CGTACACCGTCCCACGACTGACCGGACCGTCACCCCTGGGCCAGGCAACGCGAGGACCGCGCCGATGAACTAACACCATGACATGGAGAGCGAGTTTGACGCTTACAGCTAGAGATCCGTCAATCATGTACAAATGACAGCTGCACAGCACAGCACAGCATAACCAAGAAGAGGCCAATGAAACGAGAGGAACTCGACCTCCAATCTGAGCCCAGGACTTGTCTAGCGACCCGTACTCCAGTGGATATATCGAAAAGTCAAAAGTGAAAGACGGCTCTGTCCTGTGGGGGTTTATGCTACTGTTACAGTACACTTGACACAGAGGGAGGAAAACCAGAGATGCTCACTCGTTACATGCATGATTAATTGGCTTTGAGATGCAGAAGCGCGACACAGTCTGCTGATTGGCTGAGGTAGGTAGGGATGCGGAACTCAACTCAACCTGAGAATAACGCGGGCGACGGGTAACTACTGGTGCTGACCAACGGTACGAGGGCTTTTTTTCAGTTCATTAGAGGCCTCTTGTGATCCTCATAGGTCGAGGCTTATTTGTCTGTCAACGCCTCAAACCCACAAGAGAAGAGCATAAAAAACTCCCTTCCGTGTCCGGCAGGGAAACTAGGCTTAGCTGTCTGAGATGGAAGTCAAGATTCAGGCAAGACTTGAGCTCAGCTGATAAACTGAGGTACCGAGGTAGTTAGTGAGCTCGATCGCTTTAGTCTTGTGTGGGCTTGGTTTGGTTGGTCTTGTCGCGGTGCCGCGTCGCTATGCTACGGCACGGAGGGGGACGCTGAGGAACGACACGGTTGTCAAGACGAGACGAGCGAGACTGGGACGCGATGATGGCTTCACGTTCCCGTTCCGCTACTGCACAGGCTTGTGGGCAGTTGCAGTTGGAGTTGCAGCTACAAAGTGGTTCATGGGGAGGGGCACACACGCATTAGCTGCGTGCCCGAGTCGACTCTACGTTAGTCACGACTCACAACGGCAGTTTGTCTCCCCCAGCCTCACAGCCATTGCAGGTGATGACGAAGTGGGATGCTTAGGCTGGCGGGTTGTCTAAGTTACCGAGTTACGGGCCCGTTAGAGTGCAGAAGCGTCCACGGAGTTGCACATCCCATCGCCTTTTGCAGGTATTCATGACACTATCACTGTATGGGAACCCATGTTTTTGAAGGTTTGGCATGGGCGAGGCTTGCATTTGCAACCGGAGCAACAGGCAGTCAGTCATTCTCTTCTGTTCTTCTGACAGGTGTCTGATGTTCTGATCTGACAGTTCAGTTGCATCTTGCTATAATTGGACCGTCTCGAAACTTGGCCCCCTGTAACAAGCATCACCTTATCTGCATATTGATGCTCTCATGATTCCTGTTTCGTTTATTACATCAGAACCAGCCCGTCATCTTTTGTCACAGCCTGCGGTGCGCATTGACTGTACTTTGAACATGACGACTGATATCGGGGCCGCGGGTAATACTCAAATGCTTCTGAGCGTGTCGTTGAGACTTTATCATTCATGTCTTGGTTGCCATGATAAAGGCCCAGTGATGCATGCAAATGTGGCGGTCCTTCACAGCTGGTGTCGACCGACTCGCTGTGGTGAGCCTGCGCAGTGCTCTCCTCAATGGGCCGGGCTTGGTCGTTGAATGGACGTGGACGCACAATGCTCATAAACAAAGGACAATGGGCCGCCCGTGGGCCTGCTCGACGAGGCCGTTGAGCGGCCATGGACAGAAAATCTAAACAAACAAATATGTCGTGGCCGGCTAAGAAAGGCCCGTCATTAATAACTTGTTTACCAAGTATAAGCAGCATCTTAAGACATCGATATCTTGGAAGCAGTCAACAAATAGAATATTCGGCCGAGCACATCGTGCAACCGGGAAATTGAAGCTATCTATCTCACTCTGAAAGCCAACCCATTCCGCAGTAATCCGATGCAGCATATAATTCAAGATGGCTTGGTCTGATAACTAGCAGCCATTGTTTCGCATTCTGTATCAGACAGATAGATGTCTCTTGTAATCGGATGAAGAGGATCACAATCAGGGACAACCCGATCTATGACCATGATGAATACCATTGCCCGGATCTCAAAGTGGCTTATTCTCGGTATCGCTTTTCATATTCTTGACGCGGTCGTCACCAGGCAAACAAACTGGTCCACCCCATTTTACAGTTTTGCACTTACAGGTCTTGATATTGAATTTTCTCTTCTTACATGCAGTCTCACACGCCCGTCTCGTCTCCATTCGCGGATCCCTGCCTCAACAACCTACGCCGTATTGCCTCAGCCGAGAGACAGAACACGCTACGACACGACACAATTGGCACAACTAGCCAGGCCCAGCACAGGCTCAACACGCTTGATACACGCTTCACACGCTTCTCCAGGTGCATGTGAGGGCTAGCGTCCGCCAGAGAGTAACGTTAGTAGCTGTACCCGTTGCCTTGCACGCCCCCATGTCCTGTCTGTCAATCTTGTGCTGTGCAGCCTGTGCTGTGCTATGCTATGCTCAGCGCGCTATGCTCTTCAGTACTAATGATGGAAGAATGGCTACTAACCTGTGGATGTTATGCTGTTTGCCCTCCACTCACACACAAAAGGCCCCCTCCTGCTCTCAAGCCCCTCGAACCACAAGCTCCAGCTCAAGCTACCTACGTTTAGCCCCAGCCTCCGATGAGCGTTCCTTGAATTAGCTGCAAGTGGTGAGGTCAAAGTAGCGTATGTTTGTCAGTCCGCGAGAGCAAACGCAGGAAAGAAAAGAAGTGGCATATTGTTCTTGGCAATTTGGGATTAGATGTACCGATGGAATCATAGGGGAGAAGGAGAAACGAACTTGCTTTCTATGCATCGATTCTAAGAAAAAAGCAAATGAGAGATTCACAATTGGTAGATTAAGGGATCTATCTCGAAAAGCAAATTCGAAGCTTCCTTTTTTCTCTCTGTTCTCAAACTGCCCAGTGCCAGCCCAGGCCTCCTCTTGTTTGGTGGACGGCGCGCAACACAACCCGGGTGTGCGACTCCTGGGTCCTAGTGGCCTCCCTAACAGGGGCCGCATTTAGGTACATCCACCCACTGTTGCCCAGCGCACAGTTACCTGGTAATGGCCCAGTACAGAGTACCCGCAAGCGGTACCCGGGCAGCCCCAGAGCCTAGAGGCAGGCTGGCAGGTCGCGGTCGGGCAGGTAGGTTCCATAGCACTACAGTGGGAAAGCAAGCAAGGACGGGCAGCACCTGCAGGACCTCACTAGTACTTTAGCAGCAAGGCATCCGCGTCTGGGCACACACCCGATATCCTGGCACACCCAGACCAGACACCCACCTTTTTTCCCTCCTCACACTCACACTCACACCTACACTCACGCTTCTAATACTGACACCCCAGTCCTTGCCTTGGGTGGGCGAGCGAGCGAGCGAGCGAGCATGGATGGTATGGATTGGATTGGGATGGATCCATCCAATCCATGGATCTCTCCTCTTCGCATTGCAGTGCAGCTGGTTAAAACTACTCTGCTCGCGTACCTCTCACCCAGTCCTTTTCCCTCTTCTCTATCCTCCTCTTACCTCTTCATCCCTCCTCCTCCCCTCCTCCTCTCGTTTTGTTGATTCCCTCATTACTCTCATTCCGTCTTCCTCTCCTGACACGACCACAGCAGGCCTGAAGACGCTTGAGACGAGGAGAATTTTCATTTCAACTTCAATCCGACTCCCGACCCCAATCTCTCACTCTCCCTCTCAAAGCCCACTCCAATCCTGCCTTATTAAAAGGACAGGACCTCGAGGCTGTGAGACTGGATCCAGAAACAGGCCGGACTCGAAAAGTGAATCAAAAAGACCTTTACTGGTATTTCGCTTTTCCACTTCCACTTGCCTACTGTAAATCCTCGCCCTCAAAAGCTTCTCCTTCGACTCTGTCAAATTCCTCGGTTCATCCCCAGGAATTCAAACCCTCAACTCAGCGCAAACCAATTCACTCCCTCCCGCTCCGCTCCCGCAGCCGACGAAGCCAAAGCCTCAGATCGAAGCGCCCGCTCCCTTGATTCATCCGAAAAGGCGATCACTTTCACCCTTCTCGGAACTAGCTATCGAACACGACTAGTTTGCCAATCAAATTCCCTGGACAAAGTGACGATTGACTAGTAACAACTTACTCGGTTGCGACTTTGTCAATTTGACTTTCTTATTGACCAACCTAGAAAAAGCGTTAGGAAAGGTATGTCAATGCCGTTGCTGCAACGTGCTATATGCAACGTGCTATATGCAACGTCCAGCGCTCAAGGCATATCATTATCTAACCTCACGAGTAGCTGCATGCCGAGTGTTCGTCATCCGCATACCGCTCTCCTCTCCACAGCCAACTCGCTTCTTCTACTTCCTTAAAGATTGCTCCGTGGGAGACGTTAGCTCGTTATTCCCACTCAATCCCAGGGACTGTCTCATTTTTTCGACGAGCTCTGCCCATCTCCCCGACGTGGCGGTAAGACTCCCTCCTCTCCCCTCGATACAGTTGCCATACCCGTGCCTCTCTGTCTGCGTCTGTAACTGTGTCATTCAAGTCTATCGTCCAAGGGACAGTTGCGTTTCGCAGTTTAATGCGTTCAGCAAGGTCACGGGCTTAGCATAATCGAGATTCGGCACTATTTAGTACTAGAATTCGTTACTGACGCACATACCACATTAGAGCCCTTAAGTCTCTTTCGTCTTTAAACCGGGCCCCCTTTCCATTCCCTTTTTCTTTTGCCTCCACTATCTACATGCTCTTGGTCTTGTTACCAACCACTGTCACTTTTTTCATTTTCTCTCACGTTCTTTAATATCTTAATATCCTAATTCATCGGTTTGCACCACTCCTTTTTGCATCCGACCTCACTCTCTCTTGCGCAAATATCCGACCACAAGATTCCTGGCGAACCAACAGTCTCTCCTTCGAAGCAAGCCACACCGCACTATCTCGATCTATCACATATATCTGACGAACCACCACCTACCACCTAACATGGCCTACTCTCAACAACACGACGACTCTTACTTCGTCGAGTCTGATGAACCTCATCACAGAATCACAGCCCAAGAGGCAGCACGAATGATGACCCGTCAACGTCAAGACATCATCGGTGTCGAGCTCTCCCGTTTGGCAGGCGATGAATACCTCGAGGATATCATGCAGCATATGCGACAAATGGAGGTATGTTAAGACGCAAGGTTCGATTGCGTCTCGTCCGCTAACAATATGCAGGATGAAACTCTACCAGATGCTTCACTCATCGATATGCAGCGCGAGATCCAATGGTTTATGCGACCTTATCTAATTGACTTCCTTATCGAGGCCCATGCTGCCTTCGGCCTACTACCGGAAACACTCTTCCTAACAGTGAACCTCCTCGACCGATACTGCTCCAAGCGAGTTGTCTACAAGCAACATTACCAATTGGTCGGATGCGCCGCGCTGCTTATTGCTGCTAAGTACGGTGACAAGAAGGACCGTGTGCCCCAGATCCACGAACTGAACAACATGTGCTGCGGACTCTACGATGCTGGCATGTTCACTCAAATGGAGATGCATGTCCTCAACACCCTCGATTGGATCATCGGCCACCCTACAGTCGACTTCTTTTCGCAACTTATGGTTGCGGAGGAGGGTGACGATCAGGAGGTCGCCCACATGGCTGCTTACCTCTGCGAGATCGCCTTGTACCATCGCGACTTCGTTTCAACCAAGCCCTCAGTCATGGCTCGATCATCTCTGGCTCTCGCACGAGCTATCCTTGGACGCATCGAAGTTAACGATGGTGGTTGGGACCAGACAGAGAACGTTACACTGATTACTCTATCGCATCACCTCCACTCGATTTCACCAACACTCGCACGCAAGTACTCGATAACAGGTTTTTCTCGGGTTTCCCAGAGGCTGACTGAGTTCATGGCTGAGCAAACTGCCATCGCTCGTCGAGCTGCTAACCCTGCTACCCCCCTCGCCGAGCCCATTAACAAGCACACAAGCAACATCTACAGCACTCCTTCAAAAGGGCACAGCGCGATGGGGTTCGATGGATACCTGACTCCCCCGATCACACCGGACGGCAACTGCTTGATGGGCAACCACAACATGGCTAAGGAATCATACGTCGTACCACCTCGGTGCCCAGTTACTCCCACGCCTCCACACCATGCGGCGGTATATGGTCAACAACACCAATACGTCGGATACGTTAACCAGCATGGCATGAACCAATAATGCTCTTCATGACAACATTGAATCGACGATTCGGCCACCACGTTTAACCATGCCTAACACCATGGCTTACTTCACCACTATCCTTCCGACATTCTACTATTTGTTCGAAATCATTGCATGGTCGCGTAACAGAATGATTTTTCATACATTTATTTGGCATTTAGCGACTGCTTTCAATTTCCTTGCGGTTCACCATTTTCATCAACATAAATAAGTCTTGCGGCACCAAAAAAAGGAACACGCATCATACCCTTTTCATTTCAGCAATTTTGTGCATTTTCTTTAGGCTCCATACGACTTGCTCTCCCGGCGTGGAAGGAATCCAGATACCCCAAGAGGACCTAGGACAGGCCATCGATCGGGTACACTGGTTGGCATACACTACATATAAGGAGCCGGGCCAACCTCGAGACGGAAATAGGAACAAAACAAGACCGACATTGTATCAACACAGGTCCCTCGCGGTGGATTAAAAAAGGATACCCCCCGGATTGGGACATAGGTGGTCTATGGACCGACCAGCTTTATTAAAACAGGGACGATTGTGTCTGGCCTCGGTCTGGTACGATGAGGTGGGCCTACTATTCACGACAGCAGCACTACGTCTGCAATAATTCTTTCGAAGGTGGATGGGACGACAGCACATAGTCGGGAAGCCATGCTACTGGCACCGCATGTCGTTCCGGGGGAGGATTGAGGCATTAATCGTGCCTTGTTTGGATCTACGAAGTTAGGCTAGCTCCTCTCTTCAGAAACCCCCGTCCTGTGTATAGGTAGTTGTACTTGACAGGCACAAAAAAAGAAGTAAAAATTCTTTAACTTGAACTGTTCCAAATCGTATTCTTTTCTCATTCCGATTGTACTTGGTGAACTTTAACAAGAGTCAACTGTTTCATGTGATGTTTAGGAAGATGTTTAATGAGATCTGGAGATTTGTTGTACTTGGTGTTTATGGTTCAGCCGCTTTTGTTTGACTCTAAATCCGTATTCTAACTTGAAGAACCATCTGGTGGAGGCTGGAAGTTGACGTCAGGGAATCCCACTGTGGGGAGACTGTAATTTCGGATCGTTGCAATCAAACGGCGCCAACTGGCCTCGGCGTCTTTTTTCTGATCCAACGGCGCTCCATTCATTCTACATTTTTCGTGTAACAGCCCCTGACTAGGAGATGCTCATGCATGGAACTACTGATGTAGGGCATATTATTAGCATATTATTAGCATATTCCTCGCATTAGCAAAGTTTTAGGGGAGGTTCATAAGGTTATGGTTTTAATATTAGCTATTAATTAATGCCTGTGTCCGCCCCCCTGACGATTGCTGCATGGCATCTTGAAGATTGCGCCGCTATTCATTGGCTGCCCACTTCCCGGCTTCAATGCAGGGCTGGGATATTCTAATCTTGCTTCTGGACTATTGAGTCGCTATTCGTAGTGTCATGATGTGTTCGGGTGGTGGAATGCCTTCATTCCTGGTGTGGTCACATTATCAACGGGACCTCATTCCTGGACCGGCATCCTGGGATATGGGTTCTGAAGATCGGTAGTTGTATGTATGTCTCATGAATCGTAAACGATGACTTTACATTCATCGGGGTTCTTGGCGGTGGTGTTGGTGTTGGTTGTTATGTGTGTGATATTGGTGGTTGTGGTATGTTATAGGGTATTGTTCTTTTCAGTTCTGAGACAGGTCATTGAGGTGATAACGTTGATATTCAGATGATTCATTGACATGTTTACTAAGGTAGTTCATGCTTCCATCCTGTCTTTCAAGCACATCCTCGAGCTAACAAAGGATCATAGCTCGGATCCGTGGTAGGTGTCGAAATTAAATGGTGTAAGTCCAGACGCACGATTAGTGAACATTTACACGTCAACACCTTGATAAGGACTATAATAAATTAAAATTCCAAAGGAAGACATGACCTATTTCCATACGTCGAAGGAAATAGATACATGCATGAAACAATGAGAAGGGATTCACCTATAAATCCACATAACGCATTAACAAGGCGAAAAGCATCCATATTCATCATGTAGGGTAGCAATAGTGGCACATGCAAGTTCGACTCGGCCGAGAGCGACATGCATAATAAATTACGAGCCCCACCAAGGGAAGAGTTCACGTTCACTGGCGCATTAAAGGTCCGTGGCTGGGCGGAAATTAAAACACAAAAATAAGACACCACGAACAAACGCGTTTCAATAACGATAACACACAAAAACATAACAAACATCCGCGCGCCTACACCGTCTTTTCATATCTTGTGAAGAGATGAATAAAGTCCCTTTGGACTGTTAAGATTGGATACTACCCTACGGGGAAGGGGGGTGTACACGAGGGAGCGCCACATTTGATCGGCGGCTTGTGGCGATTGGGGGCTGGGGGGTTGGAAGCTAATGTAGGGGAGAGTTATACCAGGCGATATAGACTCTTATTCGCTGGTGCGTTTGTGCGAATGAGCATCGCGGGACGAGCCTTGGTCGTATTCAATGATGTAGGTTGCAAGTATTGAAGGTTAAGTCTGAGCTTCGGTGGCGATATGTTTGAGTAGCCTTGAAGAAACTGGTTGTTTCTGTCAGTGTTGCAGTCGTTAGATAGCATATCATAAACCCAGATAGCAATAGCAGGATAGCATGAAGTCTAAAAGTCAATACATTGGCCTTAGCTCATAATCATTTGAGTGGGAATACTATAAACTCCTCAAAACTGAGGTGTAGGGTGAGATCATTTGATGGTATGTGTGAACCACAAACTCTACAGTTCCTCCCCTCTGTTTATAGTTCTCGCCAACAAAATGCTCTTCAAATTGTAATACAAATAATCTTAGAGGGTAAGAGAAATCGATGTTCCTCGAGATTTCTTCCTCTATGTCATGTCTTGCGGCCGTGATTTATGATGGTTGGAATACGCGGGTTGAGGTATGTCGTTGCGAGCATTAGTCATCAACATCTAGGTTGACAAGCTTCAAAGACCACCCAATCACATTCTCCATACCTCACAAGCAACACTCGAAACATATCAACCTTGTTAATACTTTACCACCCAACATAAACACACGAGACCAGTCATGTCCGTCACACTACACACGTCGCACGGCGACATTAAAGTCGAAATCTACTGCGAAAGCGTCCCCAAAACTGCAGAGGTTCGTGAAATGCTGCTTCATTCTTCACTCAAGCTTTTGACTAACAAATATCAGAACTTTCTCGCTCTCTGCGGCTCCGGCTACTACGATCAATCACCATTCCACCGAGTTATCCCCAAATTCATGGCCCAGACCGGTGCGCCCGCAACGCCCAACCCCCCCGAGAACCCCAAAGGCGGCCGCAGTATATGGGGAGGCGCGTTCGAAGACGAGATCCGACCTGCGTTGCGACATGGCGCACGAGGTGTGCTGTCAATGGCGAACAAGGGACCTGGAACCAACGGATCGCAGTTCTTTGTCACGTTCGACAAGGCGCCACATCTGGACGGGCTCAACACTGTGTTCGGACGCGTAATTGGAGACGAGGGCATGGCGACGTTGGCCAAGATGGAGAGTGTCGAGATTGATCGGAAGAACAGACCGAAGGAGCCAGTTCGCATCGAAAATGTGACAATCCACGCCAATCCTCTTGCTGGCTGAGATACAGGAAGCTGTCCTGAACTTCTCTTTGCAACGTTATCACAAGAAATGTACCGGGAGAAAGCACCTACGAATGAACAACATACAACTGGCCACAAAGACGAAATACCATCGCGGTTGGCATATTATCACGAGAAACTTTATGCGAATTTAACTAGGGTTTATTGTCTTCTTACCTTTCCGCATTGCCTGCAATACTAAGATCTACCCAAAACTCAACTCAACTCCAACTCCAACCATAACTCCGACTACAACTCCAAAATCCAAACTCCTGACCAGCCCTCCGTCGTCACTTACTCGTCCACACCGCCCCACTTCAGCACCTCAATCTCGCCCTTCTGTGGGATGTGCCAGGGAATGTTCTCATCCTGGTTGGCGACATAGATCGCGTCGATCCATCCCCTCTCCTCGACCTTCTCCATAAGCTCGAACAGCTCAAGCCTGTTGCATGCGTCGAGGTTTCGCTGCCCAATAGTGACCATCATGCCCACTCTATTGCTCCGCTGGAACAAGAAAGCTCGTTGACCGGGACGGTAGGCTGGAAACTTCACGGATCCCTCAGTTGGAATCCGCCCAGAGGAGATTATGTCGTGGAGAAGCTTCCATCCCTTGGGACCATCGTTGAAGAATGGAGTGTTTATGATCTTCTCACGGGACTCCTGAATCTTCTTGGCCTGTTCTTCCTCGTCAGCAAAGCCGCGAAAGGCCTCAGCATACTTACCTTCATAGTCACGGTTAGGAGGGGGGTTAACCTTACCGTCGAGGATTTCCAATGCGTGTGCCCGGTCTTGGAGCACCTCAGTGTCGACCTCCTCTGCCTCATCAGCCGTACACCCAGGAATGAGAAGCTCCAAGTCTTCCAAAGTGTACTGTGGTGAGTCGGGAGTATCAGGAGTGACAGACTTGTCGGTAGGCGAAGATGCAGGACTGGCGGCATCGACCTCGTACGAACCGTTGGTGATGGTCCATTGGCCATTCTGCTCACCGGTTTCTTGGCACACGCTGGCTACCTTGTTAGCACGCGGCTTTGGAAAGAGTTCATCATACCACTTCTCCAAAGATTGGATGTCGAGTTGGAAAATACGACGCTCGGAACCAACTTCATCCCCAAGAGGAATGCAGGTTTTGAACCCGCAAGGAGGGGACTCTAGAGGCACGGAAGCAAACATGGTGGGCAAAGGACTGTCGGATGACCGGCGAGTGAGAAAGCAAGAACTGTTGAGTTGCTGTAGTCTTCAATAACAGGAGAAGGGATGCAAAGAAGTCTTCAGCAGCTCGGAGTTGTGGTTGATGAGAACGAGTGGATTAGCAGCTGCGGCACATGGCGAATTTATACACATGAAATATGGCGCGTTCAGGCCTTCCGAAAGACAATGCCTTTGTTCTGTGATCGTGTTTATGATTGTTACGTTTTCCCACAGAACACTCATACCAGCTTATTGTAAACGATGAGAACACATCGCAACGGTGTGTTCCAGACGCTTAACAATACCATTGTCTCTTGCGGTGAAAAGTATTGATGTCTTAAGAAAGTCTTGGTTGAGGAACACATCGGCGAGGTGTGAAGGGACCGGATGAGTTGAGCATGTGTTCGAAGAGGACTTGAGCCACTTGAGAACATCGTAACGATAGAACGAGCAAAGTTCACAGGCCCCTTTCCTACTTCAATGATGTTCAGCAGGTTCTCACTAGATTTGAGTAGAGCAAGGCAGAAGAACCACGGCACATCATGACCGCGTTAGAGAACAAGCGTAATATACCAAATTGAACAACATATACTCTCATCAAATTAAATGGGTTCACCCATACTGCGATTTGCGCGAACACATATTGCAGTGACGAGGGAAACAGACAATGTGGGATTGATATGAATCTCGCCTCCATTCGATGTACATATCACATTTGACTGGCTGTGGTGACTTATTCTCGGTCCTCTAGCCCATGATAGTAAGTGATGGATATGTCACAGGATCTGAGTACGACCAACCAAGCATATCATGATGATATTATGAGGTCCTCAAATACATATGCGTGTGGCTCTAGTTTCAATTCCAGTTCTTGTCTAGTAAGGCACGCAGAAGTAAAGGTTGGTGCTTAGAGCAGAATGGAAGTCCAGATCACTTATGCCAAATGCACAAGAAAGCCAAGGATTCTCATTAAGATGATCCTAAACTTACCTAAGCTTATTATAAAATGAATATGAGTTGATGGTCGCTTTAGTACGCGGACCTGATGTCTTGATATGTGACGAGAAGGAAGAGATAGATATCTTCACTCCTGTCTTGACTGGACCTCAACGATAATGCCTCCCATAGTGAAGATATATATTGCTCAAGGTGCAGATACATGGATCATTGTGGAAAAATAGCTGCGAGGAACAACAACACAGAGAATATGCTCTTAAGACTGTAAGGTGGGCTTGTATGTTCAGAATCTCAACTCAAAATCACCAATCGTACTTCAAGCATGGAAAGCATCTAGCTCTTTGCAAATAGAATATCCACCAGTGGATATGTATATATAATTGATCTAAGCATTGTTGGAAAGGAACGATAACATTCTGTAGACCTAGCAGCTTTTAGTCTCCGCATTCATGGTAACAAAGTTGTACCCAAAACGATTTGCACTCATCGTACTCATAACCAGGAGAGTATGTAGATGGAGTATCGATATCCCAATGGTATGATACCCTTCAATCGGACTCCAACTGACGCTATTGCACTTTGATGTTTCTGTATAGGCAGGTTTGTGGTTGTAATAGCACAGACGTTATGAGCATGGATAGCCATCCCTGCCCTGGGGAACCCTTGCTAGATTAGCTCAGAGAAATGCATAACATCGAGAAGAGTGCCATCGATGATTCGCAGACTTATCTAGTGCATGAACTAAGACACTCTGAGGGTTTGTCTGAGTGTTATTGCAGACATGAACAGTTGCAGCTTTGTCAGGAACAACGGTATTTGGATCTCATCATGAAGATGGATATCTCGGGAATTGTTCTTTTAGGTGGAGATGAGCCAGATCATACGATAGCCTGGTAAATATACAGTTCGGTGCAAAAGTTCCGATAACAAGCCAATAAGAGATAGTTAGATTAGAATAAATAATACTAAATATATTAAATTTATAAGACTTTATATATAATCTTAAAACTATATTATATAAAATAATATAAATTAAAAAAAGCTTTTAATAATTTATATAATCTTTATAAAATATAAAATAAAGAAAATTATTAAAACTGTTACACGCCTACTATACCAGCCCTTCTCTTGCTTTCTCTGTAGTGTTTAGTTGCTGTTGTTGTTCCAACATAGGTATGTAACTGACAAGACCAGGCTGTAACCTGTATCCCAAGACAACATATCAAGCAGCTGATGCAATGTCTTGTAAAAACAGCTTGTCCATTCCCATAAATACAAAGCTTCATTCTAATTGACAATGTCTATTCAGACACAGCTCAGAGAGGGAGATACCCCGCTAACACCCATGCCTAACCCTGCCACATGTTCATCGTGTCTTGGGGAGAGTCCCCTGGAAAGATGGGGCAGACGTAGATCTGGAGCTGCCCGAAGACCCGAGGTTGGGGCTAACAACGGATGATGATGTAAGTTTTGGATGTTGGTGTTTACTCAATTGATACTGATTTTCTCATAGAAGAGGCCGTTTGTAGTCTAAAGGTATCTCATAATAGTTAATACAATACACATGTATTTGTGTATGTAACTGTCTGAGCATCTATCAGCACACACTATCAAGTAATGCCTTGTATTCTTCAGTTGATCTACCCCTGCACATCGTGTTAACTAGCGGAGTTTAGGCCCGCCCCAACTTCTCCCAACAATGGATCAACCCACACTTGGGATCGTGCGAGGGGCCTCTAGTTGATCTGTTCTGCCGTCATCATCGTGATTGGCGAATTCCTCACCTCCACATGCCATAAATCCAAGGCGGTGTCTGTCAATTATCTCTTGTTTTGTTTTGCCCTGTCTAGCTTGTCTAGCCTTGTCTTCACCACCTGTACGGACCCCTCTATAGGTACTCTGTCTCTCCCAGATGGAGACTTTTGTCTAGGCACTCTTCAACACCACACATCATCCATCATGGCCAAGAGAGATAAACATCGCGAAAGCCTTCGAGTACCCCGCGCTCGTTCCCGCCGCGACGCCTCCAGACACTCCTCCGCACGCTCCTCAGCCAACGTTGACGAACATCGTCTTTCTTCAGGTCCTCCTCCTGCGCCTCCCGCGCCTGTTGTACCTGCTGTTCAGGCTCTGCGAGCTGCATCCTCTCGCTTTTCTCTCAACGAACAATTCGCTGCGACACGGCAAGAGTTTTCATTCTGGGATGACGATGCTAGTTCCATTTATGAGCATCCAAGCAGCAATGCTTCCGAGGCCGAGGCAGAATTCGACGAAAAGATCCTTGCAAGCTCGACAGAAGGCGAGGATGACGATGAAGATGAAGATGAAGATGAGGACGAGGACGAAGATGAAGATGAAGACGACGATGACGATGAATCATCGCATCACGATACTGCCGATGACACAATAACCATTCTGGAGGATTCGGACGTGGACATCAACTTTTATGATCTTTTCTGCCTCCCGCGAGACATCTCAGCACTGTCACAGGACCAGATCCGAAGCGCATACTACCGCCTCTTCATTCTCTTCTATCCAGACAATTATCCAGAGGATCTGCGCCCAATTGCTCGCCAGCAGTTTCTCCGTGTACAGGATGCCTTCGAAACACTAATTGATCCGACACGCCGGGCGCAATACGACCTGGACCAGTTCGTGCAAGACGATGATGCGGGAGCCACAGGGTCGGAATACGATATGGCGTTCAAGGAAGCTGTTTGGAATCGAATGCAGAACGGTATACACACAAGTTCTGATCTAGGTATTCGATTGGACGCCTCTGGGTCGGCAGATGACAGCTCCAGACTTCAGATCCTTGATTTTGCTCTCAGTCACTCCGTCACGGTCGATGTACCAGCGCTGCAGAAACTACTACAGCCCCAAGTCACACGGATAGAGAACTTTACTTCAACAAACGAGAAGCAGGTCGTTGAGAGTCTATCGCAGCCTAGTATTCATGTTGCTACACCTACTGTAACAATCACCGGATCTGCTTATGGTGTTACAAAAGACCTCTCCTCAGTACCGACATCTCTCTTATACGATCGATACCAGCCTCTTTTACCCTTGACAATTTCCAGGCAGAGGCTCTTACAACTCGTTGAGAACAAATTTGCACCATTGGCCACTATTCGATATCGACAGGAGTTTCTGAACCGCTCACCTGCAAGATCTCCTAACAAGTTTAGATGGATCAAGACAGCTGTTGAGCTCGAGTCAGATGTTCTACCTGAATTATCAGTAACCAGCCGTCTTTACCACCACTTCATAATCCCCAACTACTCAGAACCCACCGTTGCAGAGGCCAGTGTTCGATCTTCTCGATCTTCTGCTTCTTTCCAGCCCCGTGTTGCTCTCGGACTCTACCAGAACCTCCGCCACGGCACAGGCTTCCTACGTGCAGACAGCGGCGATTGGGTATTTGGTTCCAACGATTACTCGCGTTTTTTCTCGGAGCATTCGACAATAAGCCCGGACTTCTTTAATACTGAAGCGCCTGGGCCTATACCTAGCTTAGAATTGGGTTTCCGAACAGGATCAGCAGATCGTTTACCCGCCCCAGGCTCATCTGACGCTCCTGGTGACGAGGGCGGCATAAGAGGACTTGACTATGAGATCAACTCTTGCAAGCATGGAACTTGGGCCGTTTCGGCTTCTGCTACACCCAGTGCCATGTCAGGCGCCGTGCGATACAGTAAAGATCTAACACTGCCGTTCCAAACTCCTTCGACATCATTAGACCCTGGCGTTTCTTTAGCATCACGTCTAGAGGCAGAACTCTGCTCAAATACCTTCCATGATCAATACTTTGCCCTCCGAAACCTCTGGTCCGTCGGTCGCTTTGCGCGTATCGGTGTTGAAGTCGGTATAAGTCTGCACAACCTCCATCTGTCCGTCTACTGGTCCCGTCTTGGCCAGCGACTTAGCGTTCCTCTCCTTATAGCGCCGCGATCACTCCTTGGACCCAATGTCCTGTTCTGGGCTGGAGCCTTACCCTTCGCCGGACTCGCCGCCGTGCAGCTCGGTCTCAGCTACCGCCGCCGTGAGCGAACTTCATCACGATCTCATCGTCGTGTCCGTTCAGATGTCTCCTCGACAGGAGCCCCGGTCGCCATTGCTCGACACCGCTACGAAGCAGACAACATCACCACGCTCCTCACACTACCAGTCGAGAGTCGCCAGAAGCACCAGATGTCCGTCAGCGGCCTCGTTGTCCTCAGCGCTAAATATGGTATCCCCAGTGAAGACGGCACTCTCTCAAAAAGCGAACAAGTCGCCGACGTCACAATCGCCGTTGCTGCCTTGATCGACGACTCGGTTTATAACAACGGGCCTGCCCTGGTCATTCCCCACGGGGTGCGTAAGAGCCGCTTGCCGGGGTTCTGGGACCCTGCACCAGGCCTTGACAAGGTTCTACGTGTGGAGTACATGTTCAAGGGCGAGGCTGGTGCAGTCGAGGTTGGCAGCCGTGATGAGCTGGTTCTCCCACCTCAAGCGTAGACTATTCCGATATACAGCACCTTACATATGTATGTATATATGGAATCATGTGTTATGAAGAAATGAGTGCACAGGCATGACGGAACGAGCTACATGATGAGAAGCACTGGCGATGATGGTGGAATGATGGATGTATATAAATGACGATGTTGTATTACGACCGATATTACGAAACAAATCCACTTGAAGAAATATAAAACAAATATATACATTATTCCTACAGTTCTATGCAAAAGTTCTAATAATAACACACCTAGGGATACATACAATAATGGAGGGGGAAAAAACAATTGGAAGATTTTAGATCTAGTTTTGTGATTATCTAAGATTATATGAAAGAAGAAGAGTTTATCATAGTTTACCATAGTTCATATAAAGCATAATAACAAGGAGATTGTCGGGACTTACATGCCTACTATAACTCGTGTGTATTGGTGATGCTGCGTAATAATACTTTCACTGTGTGCTCAGTCTAGAAGATCGCACAACAGTTTCCGCAAGGCACAAGCCGGTCATTATCAGGACATGGCGAAAACGACTATTTTAAGACAAAGAGAAATTCATTTCTTGTGGTACCGCTATATCTATCGTACATAAAATAAAATGTACCACCCATCTCGTTAACCCGCACACAACGTCTTGTGTAAAGCGCCGCCCGACATAAAACGGTCCATGTACGGGAGAACCTCATCACCCCACACGAGAACGCCGAGTCCTTTTTTTGTCTGAAGAAAAACGAACAATTATCTGGTATAAGAAAAGTGGTTATGGGAGAAAACCAAGTCTTGATGTCGAGATTAAAACATCATAAAGTAAGAGTCTGTCAAAGCAGACTGGTGAAAACTGTGTCGATTGATTAATGCTGGTGATCATGGCTGTGGCTGTGATCATGATCGTGGCTATGGTCGTGATCGTGTGCGTGAGGACTAGCTGCGCTGTGCGACGATTCACTAGCCCGTCTCACAGATGAACCCCTAGATGATGCATCTGCGGGACAACAGCCCTGAGCTTGGCAGTCGTCGATGCACTCAAGGAGACAGCTATCCCCCTTGTTTGAGTCGGCGGTGCCATCAAAAGCAAGAGCAGCAGCCTCAGCGTCGTGCGCGTGCTTCTGGTCGAAACAAAACTCAGGCTGTATCGTGGCGCTGTGAATACCGAAACCATGGAGGCACTTGCGGGCGCGTCGAGCCAGTTCCATGTACTTCTCACCACTGTGAGAGTCAATGGGGAAAGAAACCTGGAGATGCATGCTTGCAACGAGCTTGGTGTCCGAGAGTTGCCAGACGTGGATGTGATGGCAGGTGATAACGCCAGGAAGAGCTTCGATATCTTGTCGGATCTCGGGAACGCTGATATGCTCGGGGGTGGCTTGCAGTAGAACTCGCGCAGTGCCTCTAGTAAGAGGGATACATGTCTTGAGGATGATAGCCGTGATGAACAAGGAGACAGCAGGATCGGCGTAGACCTTACCAGGCCAGTCGGTAAGCCAGATGATAAGAGCCGTAACCATGACTCCAATGTTGCCAAGCATATCTCCAATGACATGAAGAATCATGGCGTTCATACCCATATCAGCGTGGTTGTGGCCATGGCTATCCTTCTTGCCAGCCTCCTTGGGAAGGGTGTGGTGGTGACCGTGGTGAACGCTCGAGTCCCGTCGAGGTCGTCGAGAGTGTGAATGGGAGTGGGTGTGAGAGCCGTTCCTGTCGTGGCCAATCGATGAGCCGTTCTTGGCGACGCCCTTAAGAAGAGGCGACTCTTCGTTCGCCTCATCCTCCTCCAAGATTGGGGAATTCTCGGCATCGGTCTCGCTCTCGCTCGTGGCTTCGTTAACATCACTTCGAGTAGCGTCGATAATGCTCTGTCGGAAACTAGCTGGGTGGATGCTCAAGTCATCAAGACTAGCGAAACGAGCATGTCCACTTCTGCTGGATCGATGGTGGTCACGACCTCGGGAGGATGTATCGCGGCTGTTTCGCTGATCGTTGGATTTACCGTTAGACTTCTTGGGAGCAGTTGCGCGGCGAATAACAATCTCGGGCAAGACCTCAGCGGCACGGCCACTTTCATCAGCGAGTGAGCCGTGGGTATGGAAGCCAGCGTTGCCTTCCTCCTCATCGTGGGCATGGTTGTGGGAATGTCCGTGATCATGGTCATGGTCGTGACCACCCTCACCAGGTCCGTGGGAGTGACCATGGCCACCGAGGACAAAGAAACCGACAAAGTTCGAGAAGAGACCAGCGGAACCCACGATAAGCATGAGCTTGGGGTTGCTGATCTCCGGGGGTTCGATGAATCGGGTAAGGGCTTCGAGGACGATGGAAACGCAGAGGGCGATAAGGAAGACGGCGTTGAAGAAAGCACCTAGAATCTCGGCGCGAACCCACTAGAAGATAATTAGCTATGCGCAAAGGAATTTGGGGTTATCGCAATGCTTGGAAGACGTACGCCAAATGTGAACTCGTCAGTGGATGTCTTTTGCGCGGCGGACACTGCCCAAAGACCAATGACAAGAGAAATGATATCGTTAAGCTGTGCAAGGGATTAGTCGTTGATCAATCAATTAGGTCGCGGCGCAATGGGTGGTTGACTTACCATGTGAAAAGCATCGGCCATAAGAGCCAGAGAATGCGCGAGGAAACCAGAGACAATCTCGACGATGAAGAAGGCCGTGTCAATGGCGATCATGACCTTGATCCTAGTGCTCTTGGACCAAGCCATCTTTTGAAAAACACCCATTGTGAATAGATGACAAGAGCGCCGAATAAGGCGCTGGTTCTTGTCGTAAGAGAAAGATAATGGAAGTGAAGAGTGTTGATGAAGGGAAGCAAAACGATGTCAGAAAAAGAGGGAGCTGGCGCTGGAGCTGAGTCCGGAGGGGGAACGGTTTGGTCTTAGTCTTTTACTGGGTCCAGGGCCCTCTAGGAGGAGACTACAGTACCTAGGTAGGTTAGAGGTACTGTAGGTTTGGGTGGTGGGTTTTGTGATGACGGAATGCGACAGTGAAGGTTGATCCCTGAACTACCTATTAACTACAACCTTAACAAGGGGATGGAGCCGGAGACAAAACAAGGGCTGGTTACACAGAAGTAAGAGGCGTTTTTATAATCCCAATTGTTACAAGAGATAACAAAGAGAAGACAAGCAGTTTGGAGAGAAAGTGAGAGAGTTATGGTAGCAATTCATGCCGAAGAGCTGATTAATTTAACTAGTAAACAGTTTGTCACCCTTTTAGTGGCAAAAAAAGGTTAAACGGCACTCAATGATCGAGACTAAAAAAAAGTGCCAGGCCAGGGCGGCCCAGACAGTGCAGTACCTGCGACGGGATATTTGGGACAGGGCTGGAGCTATATCGTTAGTTTCGACAATGGCATGTCTCCTGTCTCAGTTCAGGCGGCCGTTCCTTATCTCAGAAACACCGAAATATGATCAGAAACATAGCTGCACTGCCGTGTATGGCTCGAAACAATCAGGTGTAAAGAGAACGAGTGAGATATACGGAGAGTGAGATATACGGACACTGAGCATGATACTCTCGGTTCGGGGATATTTTCGTAGTCTTCCGTGCTAGAAACCCGAGCAGCCGGCTCGGCAGTGTTTTTCTTGGTGTTGCCACTCGAACACTCCGACTTCGGGAATAATATCAAGTTAATGGAACTATCCGTTACCCCGAGTAGACTGTACAACAGTGATTCTAAAAGTGTGTTTCTAGTAAACAAAGACGTCTGCAGATACGTACGTAGTAGAAACACACGGATAAGGCTTCTGCGCGTTGCCTGCACTCTCAAACACCTGGCTAAGATCTTCATCTTTCAAACCAAAGACCCCTGAGAATGTTTGACCCATCAATGTGATGTTGCGGCTGCTTCCCCTACAAACAAAAATAAATACAAGCTTTGGCTCCCCCGCCCAAGCTTTCTTTTCCTGGCGAGCCTACAATTATTACCAGGGCTATCAGTCGACCGTTTCTACCGCCATTAATCCACTGGGTAGCATTATCAACAGCAACATAAAGAAATATTCCAGACCGGATTGAGTTCATCCGAAATATAACTATCGAACCACTATCATATTTGTGCGTGATAGTTTCGCATATCGTTGCCTTCCCCGGACGCCCTGCATTAGAGCTGTCTGTGGCCCAGCCAGCCTCAATCTTTTCAGCTTCCCATAAGCATGCCAGCTATTGAAGGGACCGCATCCCAAATGGCTGCGTTGAAAGCCACAATATTGGCACGCTGACAGTCTATGTAAGTTCAGATACGAAGACCTTTTGCAACATGTATATGCTTGGACGTAAATGTGTTCTTATCAAAACCGACCACAGTTGATTGAAGACAGCTCGTCAGCTCTTAAGCTCGTGTGCTGGGTCTAGGTTAAGTAGATTGCCACTCAACTATTGATCAAAACAACAGTATATCCTCACAACCAATCCTGCAAGGTATGATCTGGCTTATGGCACTTGACTGGTAACAGTACCCAATCTCATCCAAACATTACCGGTTGCACTTCCGGCACTACAGTTGAATATGGCAACCATCCGGTTTACGCCCTGTCGAGCTGTTGAAGGCGCATGATTGTCACCGTCTTTATTCGTTGTGCAGCCCTCTACTGTCATATTGCATATTCCAGACAGCCAAAGAGAGGCAACTGTATCTAGTCAACTCCTAAGATTGGCCGAATCTGCCAATGCCTACTGGAGATAAATAAATCATCCATTGAACTCCTAGTGTTTTCCCGTTGGTGGAGGTAGACATTTAGCGCCCGGCCAGCGGCCCGCACCCGTGCCGTCCACGCATGCATTTTGACGTTTCTAAGCGCGCCTCATGGGGATGCCAAATACAGCGTACTGTTCTCATTCTAACAGTATATCCATCGGTTACTTATTGTTTGAAGAGACTAGAAGAAAATGTTGGAGCGTGCGAGTATGTAGGAGGCCTACCATTGTATATCATGACCTATTTGAAACACTGCAACGCACAACATGTGCTGCGGCCTGTTGTCCCCCAGTCACTTTGCCGCCCATATTTATGCCAAGGCTGTTGTGTAGGCGCCTGATATCCCGGATAACGGCATGGATAGCCACAATGAGTTGTACTGGTTGGTCGATGGTAGGATCAGCTGTTCTTGTAACACGCCTGCATCCCACAGTATTGAGGACTTGTTGGTCGTGGAATTCATGATGGGGCAGTGCTTTGTTTGATGGGGTTGTTTAGGTCTCTATTCAGCTCCTATATATGCATGACTGTGTCGTTCTATACGTGCTGCCAAAATCTTATGCTCTCGTTCTTGGATCTTGCAGTTAAACTCGTCACCAAAAGTCACCATGGAGGCAGCTGCCAGCATCATTGCTTTTGTTCAGATCACAAGTGACATTGTGAAATGCATGATAAAAGCAAAGCAAATATGGGATCAATCTAAGGATCTTCCGGAAGATATGCGGGATCTGACAAGGCGACTACAGCACTACAAAGAGATATTCGAAAACATGCACAGTCAACTATCCGACAACACCGATCACCTTTTCTTCCAAGCGCGCAACGATGCTCTTGTCCTCAATAGCTTAAAGATATCCGAACAAGCCCAGAAAGCGCTCGAAGCCCTTATCACCGATTTGAGCGCTCAATTAAGTGCCAAGAAAGGCTTCAGACGAAAGCTATTCGCTATCAAGTCCGCCATGGGGAAAGACACTATAGAACGACTCAAAGTGAGGCTACGCGAGTCTTTAGAGCTACTGGAAGCCTCTGAGAGAGCGTATAATATGTAAGAGTCATACAGATTGTCCAAAACTAGTGGCTAACGATTTAAAAGGGCATTTACGAGACATGCTCCAGATTACATTATAAACAAAGTCACCACTCAACTGACTGCATGCATCATGAGTTCTCAAATGATACATCAACCAGTCTTGCAGGGTACACCCGAAGCAAAGAACGAAGAACAGTGTACGAGTATAGAGTCCCTGAAAGTAACACAATATACACATTCAGGCATCGACAGACCTACTCGACCCAAGACCTTTGCACCTTCGAGTATTGGGAGATTTTCTCTATCCTATGTCACGAACACAGGGGCATGGCAAGCCTATATACAATGTCCTAGTTGGCTCTCACAAAGCGTCCTCGAGCTTCAGTCTAACCCAACATCATGGAGCTCCAACTACAGTTTTAGGGTCTACAATATCGTGTCATATGACTCGGACATCGTTCAGATGGTTAGGAAGGGAGACAAGAATGGAGTTTTGCAACTATTCAGCTCCCGCAAAGCATCGCCCTTTGACAAAGATCAGTATGGATCTTCATTACTATATGTAAGGCCTCCTTGCCAGAATAGGGGCAGCAAGATGATATCGAATCACACTGACAAATATTAGCATGCTGCGTATAATGGTAATTATGAGATGTGTCACTTTCTACTCAACGCTGGACTACAAGAATCGCTCGAAGAAACAGTTGGAAAAGAAAAAAAGTAAGTACAGGAAACAATGACATGATTGTATTCGGCACCTAACAAGTTTTAGTTCACCATTATCCGCACTGGTGTACCAGTCAGAGAAGAAGCTCAAAACACAAACAGAAGACGTGTGGGGGAAAATATCCGAGCTTTTTAATTCATATCTTGATGAACCTGAGAGCACCATGATAGTGCGGCTTTTTGACTTCATTCAAGAATGGGCGTATGGGGACGAATATGTGTTTGTCTTCCAGCGGAGGGTCCTCAAGAAATTCTATACTGGCCCGATTGACAATCGTTTGGAAGCCTTCCGTCTGGGATCCTTTCATCTGAAAACCCCGCGGGCTCTATTGAATATTCTCTCTGAAAGCAAGGAGGTGACGGCATCAGATGTAGACCTGTCGAGTCGCAAGGGGATGTCGCTCGTTCATTCATCAGCAATAGCTTTGGGAATACGTTTTGCTGATGAAGTTCTTCCCTACAAGAGAGTATGGTGCCAATGGAGTGTTTACAGCGATGCGTGGAGTGACGTGGTAACTGAAGTGGCATCAGTTGCAACACAAGATGACCTTCATCACATTGAAACTGTGAGCCCATGGGACGTGTATCATGTCCCGAGCTGGCAAGGAACACCACTTATCTCTCTGCTTGGAGGCGCACTTTGTTACATCTCACCCGACATCTCGTTCTTACACTGGGACTCGGTATTTCAGGGAACTATCCGGCGGTGGGTAGAGGACCTTGAAGCGGGAGGTGTTGATTTGCTTGAATATGGACGGCGGGAGGCGGTAATTCTCAAAGAGCAGATGCGTGGTGCTTTCGATGCAGACGCTATTGAAACGTCGAAGCATCAGATTAGGAACCCCATGGCAGGCTCTGCTGAAACATCCAGAGTGGTTAATTGCAAAGAGGGAGGATGGAACCAGACCCATTGGGTTCCTGTTCGGTTGTTAGATTTGGAGTTTGGATCGAAGCCGGAAGATTGGAGAATTACATGGGCACCTGAGTTTGAATGGATGGCATTCCAGTTTTGGAAACTGATTGAGAGAGAGGATCATATAATGCCTGGGTCTTGGATTGATTAAGAACGGTTAGATACTTATCATGGCCTTCATGATGTAGATGTGTTATCCGTACTATCAACAATATTTATAAGACCAAACAATAGCTCACAAGGAGGAAACTTTCTCCAAACAGACTCGACAAACACAATAGTGTAATCGTGACGGGCATCATATCGTCCAATGTTGAATGTTTCTAACCACAGCACAACACATCCAGGCGCCAATCATATCGTTTGAAGATATCACAACTTCTTCAACGTTAATGCTGATTCCCCGCCATGCAGGTGGAGTGTTACTACCCCGCCCAAGGAAGCGTCGGGGTGGGGCAGGCGTAGCTTGTCGTCAGACCAAGCAAAGTATTAGAAGCTTTAGAAATATATATATGAGCATCTTTGGGCTGCACTTGAATCATTTTCTTCTGTTCTCCTTCAATTAAGCTTTTAGAGTTAAACTATCTCCCATAGACATCTGTTGAAGTTCAGATCACCTTGTTTTATTGCTCCATTCTCTACTCTCTACACCATGGCCACTCGTCCCGCTGATAAAGCTGGTACATGGTATGATGACGATGCTAAGAAGTTGGAGGCGCAACTCAAAGGCTTCCTGGCCGCAGTTCCAGAGAGTGTTGATGGAGTTTCGTTGCCTGTCACTGGTGCAAGGATCGTAATTGCTCCGTGAGTTCACCACCAAAATGTTTTGTATAAGTTGTGAACTAACAACACTGTGCTCAAGCCATGCAGGATACTCGTACTCAGGCCGATGCGCAGCATGGGCATACAAGAGTCTCGACCTCAGCAAAGCGAAGCGTGTGTTTGTCTTGGGACCATCTCATACCTACTACCTTGAAGGATGCGCAGCAGCGACCTTTGGTAAATACGCCACTCCCTTCGGCGACCTGACTGTCGATACGGAGACGGTTCGAGATATCAAGGAAGCCGGCTATATGGAGGATATGCCCCGTACCAGTGAGGTTGACGAACACTCTTTGGAGATGCATATGCCCTACCTTTACCTCCGCTGCGAGCAGACGTTTGGCTCGCCAGACAAGTTTCCCACGATTGTGCCGTTACTCATTGGAAGTAACAATGGGTCTGAAGAGAAGGCCTACGCTAAGGTCCTGCTGCCTTACTTCAAAGACCCAGACAACGCCTTCATCATCAGCTCAGACTTCTGCCATTGGGGCAGAAACTTCAGCTACCAGGTGTACTCGCCATCCAATAGCCCCTCTGACCTGATCAGGCTACGCTCTTCCGATGCAGCACCCATTGATCCTCCAATTCATGAGACAATCCGCATAATCGACGAGGCTGCCATGGACGCCGTCAAGAGCGGTAGCCATGACTCCTTCCTCGCCAGTCTTCGCCAGACAAAGAATACGGTCTGCGGTCGACATCCTATTGGAGTTACTCTGGCGGCTTTGGAGCTTTTGAAGAAGGAACCTGGGTTCGAAGATAAATGCCGTTTTAGCATCATGCAGTACAACCGCAGCAACATGGTTGAGCTTCCCAATGAGATGAGCGTCAGTTACGTGTCAGCGTACGCTCTAGCATGAGCCAAAGAGCTCTGAAACAGAATAGTGGGAGTGAACTTGAGCGTGTCCAATTTCTGAGTGTTTTGTTAAGGAGTTGATTTGAAGCTGCTGGTTGGGAGTGAAGTAGTTCGACCTGGAAAGGGACTCATGGTTAAGAGGAGGAATAACAATGAACATCTGTCTGAGACAGCCCTCATTTACTTCTAGTCGAATTTTTAGATAATACGAGAATTCAAGACCATCGACTCGTGAAACTGAATTTTCGGAATTTACCTAGGGCAAAGTCCGTCGGGTACGGAGGTGGTGAAGTGTCAGCTTATGATGTGCTGCAGGACGTCGGGGCTGAGATGTGAGATGGTTGAAAGGGTGTGAAGCGTCCCAATATTTGTAGGTACAAAGTACAGTAAGACGAAGCAAAATGGTGGAACCAGACGGGAAATGAGGCTACGGAAGATTACAAGAGACGCTATAAGGATGAGTGACATGGTTTGGTATGTCTATGTAATTGCGATCAGGTGCAGATACCGTATTCAGATAATCGATTTTAGCAGAAATTGAAGACGATTGACTAGACTTCGAATCCGAAAATACCACAAATAGATGCCTTGGCAATGTCGCTACGAGCCACTCAAGACCCACGCGGGCGAAGCTTAAGTTGATTGTTCGAGACCCCCCTGGTCAAGGTCAATCTCCAAAATGGCGGACGCCATTTCTGACTTGTGCAGGCAGAGCTGAAGGAATTAGCGCGCATTCGGACTCGCAGGGCTCACCTGTGAACCGCTTGTTAGCCTAAGGTGCAGATAGACGGATACGCACACGATGAGAGGAGAGTTTGTTTCTGGATCAGAGTTTGGTGTTCTTGGCGATAATGGATAATGACGGGTGGGCGTTTCGTGATGATCGTCGCGACAGAGTCAGAGACAGAGACCGACTGGACATAAAACACCAGACTTGTTACAGATTTAACAGTCAGAGGATTAATGGAGAACAACCGCCCAGATGTGAAACAGTGGAGAATTCGTCTCCAATGAACAGAGCTATCGACCGTCTGTGGTTATTTAGGGATTGCCCCTTGTCCAGGGGGGTTGACAGAATAAATTGAGCATATTAGGTGCAATCATACAGTCATTCTGTACAATCAATATGTCTCGCATCTGTAACCTAAACCACAATCATATTAAGCTCATTTATAGCCCTGGTTGCTGCATGTCTTAACACCATCACCATAATCCAATTGAGCATGTGTCGCATGATTCAACCGGATTCTGAAAGTGTTTCCAGCTGTTGCATGTCTGGTTTTGAGCAATTATTATATCACGTACGAATATGTCGTATTGAAGGGGCTTTTGCTTGAAGCTGATCATGACGACGAACAGCTTGCCTCAGCACTAGAACCAGCAAACACAACAGTCTCTTACGTAGTTGTAGCCGCTAGAAGTCGCGACTGGAATCGTATTTGCGTCTTGTATGTCATTTATTGGACCCTGCATCATCCATTCAAATCACTCAAAGGGGGCAGAGGCACGGAGTAAGCCTGGTGAGGTGCCCGTACGGACCTGGGCTAAACTAGAAGCAATCTCTAGCCCGCACCCGCTAAAGGCAGTGAGCGGCGTCCAAGCGCCAGGTGCCTTAGCCTCCACTCTTCCACCCCCCCAGGAGTCCAGGACCCGCCAAACTTAACTGCTCCAGTGGCTAAGTGCCTATGAATGGATGGATGCTACCTACCCTTCACTGCCACTGGGCACTGCCGCTTAGCAGCTGGAGCTCGCATTGCAACTCTCCAATTTCCATTCGCACTTGGGGCTCGCACTTCCCTGTCACCATTCCTGGTCCCTTAGGTTCCTTCCCAGGTTGTTGCCATCCTCCGTCACGTCTCATTTGCCTTTTTTCTTACTTACTTTACACCCCTTCCTCCTCCACTCTCACTCGACTTTCTTTCATCTGTGCCGTCTTTTTCTTTTTTACCATTTCATTATCTCTCTCAATTACATACGCTTCAAGCTTAACATCAGCTTGTCCGCCCATCTCTCATAAACGGGTATTCCTCCTTTCTCCTTGCTGTGCGACGAGAATCACTCGCTCCAATACCACCCGAACCCCTTGGCAACACCGACACGATACAGAAAAGTCACACGAGAAAGATACTCGATCATATTCAATTTCTTTAAGACGACAATCCTCCAATAACCGGAGGTTGAATTCATTCGAAAGAACCACATATATAATTCTATAGAGCTTCAGCTCAGTCGCTACAATGAGTGTTAGTTGCGCCTCCTATCCAATCCCCCCTGCCTCGAAATCGCTTCAATCTCGAGCTCCCATTTTGCGACACGAATTGAGCATGTGACTACATTATAAATCCATATACCTGCCCAGGGCCATCTAAATCTTGTTCATGTGCATTTTGCTAACCTACTATATAGTACGGGTATGTTCTATCATGACTGCGCCTACCTCACTTTTGAGTTCGCTTACTGACTGATCACAGATACGGTAGACAGAATCCCTACGACTCCCCTGATCAGGGCTACGGTGGTCAAGGCGGCTACTCCGACAACACTGGTTACGGCAACGGTGGTGGCTACAACAGCCCTCCCGCTGCACAGGGCTATGGAGGTGAGATTCTGCGATTCTGAAGTATTGCTTTTCCGTCACATACTGACATGATTTGAGGGATAGGCAGCGTCGAGATGGCCCCTCTTGCTCACAACGCCAGCGGTTTTGGCCAAGACCCCAACGCTATTCTTAACGAGTGTCGCGACATTGACCGCGGAATCGACACGGTTGAGCAGAACCTCGAGCAGCTCCGTATGATCCAACAGCGAACTCTCGATGACGCCGACAGCTCAGGCTCCAGCGCTGCTAGCCGTCAGCTTGACTCACTTTCCGCTGACACCATGTCGCTCTACCGTGAGCTCACCGAGCGAGTCCGCACCGTCAAGTCATCTCCTGAGGCTTCATCCGCCAAGAACAACCCTCATGTTACCCGTATTGACCGCCGCCTCAAGGCCGCCATTACTCAATATCAGCAGGTTGAGTCGCAGTTCCGAAAGCGAACTCAGGACCAGATGGCTCGCCAGTACCGTATTGTGCGCCCCGACGCTTCTGAGCAGGAGATTCAGGCTGCTGTTGAGGACACCACTGGTGGTCAGGTCTTCAGCCAGGCCATGATGCAGAGCGACCGCCAGGGTCGTGCTCGTGCTGCCCTGAGCGCTGTTCAGGACCGTCACCAAGCTCTTGTCAAGATTGAGCAGCAGATGGTCGAGCTGTCCCAGCTGTTCCAGGACATGGACACACTCGTTGTTCAGCAGGAGGCCGCTGTTACTCAAATTGAGCAGAAGGGCGAGGAAGTCGTCGAGAACCTTGACAAGGGTAACGAGGAGATTGGAGTTGCTGTCAACACTGCCCGCAAGACACGCAAGAAGAAGTGGATTTGCCTGGGTATCTGTGGTATGTATTTCCGATTCAGACTGAACAGTAACGGCTCGCTAACTTACATCCAGTTGCTATCATTGTTGTTATCGTTATTATTGTCCTCATCTACATCTTTGTTATCAAGGGACAGAACAACTCCGACAACAAGAGACGAAGCATCGAGGCGGTCGCTGGCAGCCTGCCCATCATGCACACTGCCGTCCTACCCGCTCGTCTAGCCCGCCGTGTTGCTGCCGACAACTCTGCATCCGCTCTCCTCAACAGCCTTGGCGGAGGTCGATTCCATCTCCCTCAACTACCGCAAAACTAAGTGTTGGAAGCTGGACGATGAGAAGATATTTCAGGTGCATTGTCTTTTGACAATGCGCAAAACGAGACGCGCCCCCACCATCAACCTGGAATATATATAACTGATGGAGGAGGGATGTCGAATCGTGCGGATGTAAAAAAGCAGTGTAAGGCTGTGTTTGTTCTTGTCTTTTTGCGTATTCCCATTGGATCATAACTGTTGCTATAGCCCGATAGCCGTCTTTTCTTTTTTGTTGATATAACCGGGCCTGAATCTGCCACTCTTCTGGCGTTGTTTTCTTTATTACAGTTTGCATTAGTCAGGGGCGTTTATAGTATGAACTTTTAATTATATTTCGCTTCCTTGAACTTGATTGTGCGCGTTCGGTCTGGCAATTGACTGCTTAAACAGTCTACACATAATGGCTATGCTCTGAAGCAATTCATGGAATACTAAAAATAAAACCCAATTCGGTAAACATCTACAGCTCTATACAAGAGTGAGTTCCAACAGTAAATCACCCGGCCTTCACAGAATGAATGAGAAATAATGTGTAGAAGATTTTAGATATATTTTAGGATATAACTATAAGCTTATATAAAATCATAGAAGGTTATTATAAAAAAATACATAAATTATAAAAGTAATAATGGTATAGGAGGATTGGTCTACTAAACACAGAGGGTAATACTAAGTTCATAAATTATGGATTGAGGCCAGCTGCTCATCTTAAATAAGGTTTATCAAGAATAGCAGCTACCGTCAATCTGTTGATCGGGTAATAAGCTATTTGGATGATGCTTGTTGTGAACTTTAATGGATTGGTTATTATGCCTCCAATTGTGTTAAAAAAATCACTGTATTATCCTTATGGGGCAGCCTAATAATCACCTTTGAAGGGTATATGTTCTATCAAATAAAAGTGAGGAAGGTGTCGGAGCTTTTGCATGCCCGCTGTAAATATCAAAGCGACATGCCATCAAACAATTTCCATACGCCAAGCTGTATCCATGTTTTCAAAGGTGTCTGGTCCACCTGAAACTAATAACCCATATGCATATGTATAATGCCCTAGCTTACAATGATTCTGTTACCCAAGCTCTTGGTTTGGTGCAATTGCCATCTATCAGTAAGAATGTCAGTATCGGTGTTATTGATGATAGCGCCATTGCTTACCATGGTGTGTTGATGGCGCGACTTCGTCTATACCTCAAGACGGAATCTCAAACACGGTGAAGGTCCCTCGATGCAGTGTTCCATCAGTCCTCCACCTTTGCCTTTCCTTTCTCCAGGTTCTCCTTCTCTTTCTCCTCATCATAATCCGTCACCGCCTCATCAGGTAGGCCCTCGTCTTCCCCCTCATGATGACTCTCCTTGTGCTGTCCCACCACCACACGTCTTCTCTCGCCCTCATCAACCACCTTCTTCAACACCCCCATGCGTCTTCGAAAATCCTCCGCTAGCACATCCACATCCTCCCCTCCTATAGCGCCACTGCCGGAATTAGGTAGAGAGTCGGATCGCATCTCGACGTATTCGGGCTCGACTCCTTCGACGCGGAGCATAAGAGCTCCTGCGCCTCCGCTCTCGTCGCCTTCGCTTTGCTGCACGGCTACGCTGGAATTTGTCACCGCGAAATCGGGTGTCAGGCTGGCAGCCCAGGATACGGCCCAGCGGCTGGGGTCGCCTTCGGGTGCAGGCGCGAGATCTACGATGAGGGCTCGGTGGGACGGGTCTTCGGTACTGGTTGCGAGGATGGAGGGGTCGTCGTCGGAGAAGAGGTAGTGAACACGGGGGTGCACGGTAGTATTTGTCGTTGAGTTGGTAAGTAGTGTAAACAGCGGTTCGAAAGGCGGCATCAGGGTTTCATCATGTGTGTTTGCTTCAACAGCAGCAGCTTGGTCGTGAGAAAGTTCAAGCTCCGGTCCTTGAGCCGACGTCGCAGTCGCAGCATCCGTCGGAGACGGATCCCTATCTGTTCCCGACATGTTGGTAGAGCGTGCGCACTATTGAGATTCTGGAGTGACGGTAAGATAATGAGCACTCCGGGGGCATCTTTAATAGGCGATGATTCGTCTTTGAATGCTGGTGGTTGTTGATGGTGAGCTGCCGAGCTGTATAGTCGTAGGATGACGGAAAGAGCTCCTTATCTTATCAGCACGTGGATACTACCATGCGAGTGGGAGTTGAGGATGATGTTATGACACCTCATGTAAGAGATATTATGATAACTTAGATGAAATCAAATAAAAATTTCCAATATCGGGACTGTTCTTATGCATTTAAATTTTCCAGCAAGTTGGACATTGCGAGTATGACATCTCGTGGTTTGCGACCGTAACCATCTCTCATCAGACACCGGCGCAGTATGACACAAACAAGAGATTCAATCCAGGTCAAGTGAACGGCTTTTATCATTGGCTATCAGAGATGTCATAAATAAAGCCCAGCCGTTGTCGTTGCCATGGTGTATTTGTTTGTGGCTCAACGGTTGCAAAGGTTAAGTGGAATACATGAATGGAAGTATCGTGACTTGGCATGTGACTGATCTCCAACAACCTCATCAAATGATATTTCGTCTACATAATTAGACTTGACTCGCGGAGTTACGGTCTGTCACCGTATAATTAATCATACCTTTGACGTCTGCAGCATTATGCACTCTGACGTCTTTCCGTTTGTGACTTGTCCTCTTGTTGCCCAATATGACTTCCTTGCAGCCTGACTTTGGTTGTCTCCGTCAATGAAACAATATGGAATAATAGACGGTTCTCTCTTTTTTCAAGTGATCTACATATCTTATAATACGTGAGTCATGACCTTCTTTTTCAAGTTGTTTTTGGTGTTAAATAGTGTTAGTCTTCAAGTGTTACACATTGAGGAATCCCTGTCCTGGCTACACACCCTCAACATCTTCAACAAGAACTTATATCATCCTTCGACAACACATGCATACCCTGTCATCCTTTTTTTCATGTGTAATTTCCATCCAGTAAAATTCGTTCATTAATCGTACGCTACAGGAGGAGGGCTACCATGGATCAAGGGTTATAGCACAAGTAAGCAAAGTTACAAAATGATGAATTAAATTAGGCAGTGAACCATTAGGGTTCAGAAAGAGTCAGGCATCCATCATTGCCCTCATCCAACCCAGCTGCCAGAACAAACGCCGGCCCCGTCTATTTTCTATGTGACTCCCAATTCCCGTGGTGGCATTTTCCTTGCCTCTATTTTTAATCTTCCCAGCAGATATCCCATTTTCCCCAGCATGACCTTCGTGATATAGACGCTTTTCCAGATAAACAATGACAAAGGAGATGAATATGAGTCAAAACAACAAGATAGCGCCAGAAAATACACCTTCTATAGGTTTAGAACGCCGTCCCACTGCCCTCTAATACAAAAACCGAAGACCATAAGCAAATAAGGAGTGGTCGTGACCTGATCAAGACGAGTGTAGGGCACGGAAACCAGCCGCAACTAAGCTCCTCGACTTGTCTTTGGAATCAGCGGGACCGTTCCAGTAGACGAGACCCTATTAAGACGAGGTTAGCGATTCAGTAACAATGTTAGACGGTTGTGGTGAGAACTCTGTTGGTCCCGTGTCAAAGACATGACAGACTCCAGAGTCCTCGTTATATCCACAGTTAGGCTACTCACCCCTAGTCCCTTTTGTTTGCAGAACCCGGCCTTGATCTTGACAGTGTCTGGGTTGTCGTACGTCACAAAACCTCCGTCTGCACCCATGCATTGCGCCGCAACATGGCGCTTGTCGACAACCTCTTTGCACCCTTTGCGTGGGAGTTGGTTGTACTCAAAGGTGCCGTCTTCGGCACCGCCAACACCCTTGTACTTGTGTCCTGCTCCTGTGCAGTGAAGGAAGCTTCGGCCAAATGTCGGGATACCAAGCAGGATCTTCTTTGGCGGGAATCCTTTGGACATGAGGTATGAGACCCCTGAAGAGGCTGAAGTTTCTTCCTTGTCCATGGCGTAGAGCTGGGCGTGGTGTCCAGCTTTGGCGGTCCACGAGCCGAAGAAGTCGTAGGCCATCAAATTGATGAAGTCCAAGTATTCGGCTATCTCCATCAAATCGAGGAACTGCAGGACAGCCTTGGCTGCAGGAAGTGCAGCGGTGAGGATATAATGCTCCTCGGGAAGATGAATACGGACAGCTGCCAGCAGTGCCAGAAAGTCGTAGCCTTGTTGAGCATCACAGGGATATTCCCATGCAACTGGTGGTTTTGTTAGATTCGTTCTCAGTAACAAAGTAGCAGCGTATGACTTACTGTCGATTCCATCCAGGCCAGATGCTTCAACAAGACCCTTGGCCGATCGGGCAAAGTTGTCGCGTAGAAGAGTGTTGGATGCCACGATGGGGAAAACCTCTGACGAGTTACCGCCCCCAATAGACAAGACAACTCGAAGATGAGGATGCTTCTGCTTAAGGTGCATTAGAGAGCCCAGCCCACCTTGCACACCATCAACAGGCGCACCAGCGTCTGCCCACTCATCGCTCAGCTAGAGTACAAGAATCCGAGTCAGTTTTTTCGCCCACCATCAATGTTTTTTAAAGTGAATCAAGTCACAGGGGGAGAACTTACAAAAACGCCGCCGTCAGCTGAGACACTGGCGTAGGCATAATAAACATGGTTGATACAACTGTAGTTGAGCATTCCAGGTGTATCTCCCTGGTATATCCGATAGTTGGGGAAGTAGACGGCGTTTGTGAACATGACATCAGACATGCTCGAGGCAATGCGCGACTTGCGCGAAGAACTCATGATGGATGATTTAGAGAAGTAAAATAGAGGAAAAAAGACAAAAGATAAGAGCTTGACGCAAGTGTTGAAAAGAGTGTGAAAAATGAAACCTTGGCTGGATGTCTGCTGTTTTAATATGACCTGCACAAACGATCTGAGGATCAAGACGATGTCGAAAGGATTAGAGAACTGGTGTGTCGGTCAACAGCGTTAGGCACCAAAATACTACTGATGAGAGTCATGACTGCGACTGAGAAGGATAAAGGGCTATCTATATAACAACACTCAACGCCAGTCCGGTCCAGTCCAGCAGAGGGTCATGGTCATCTAGCTGATGCTGGTGAGCAGGGACTAGCACTTCAAATTACGGAGGGACCTAAATTCGGTAACTGTACAGTAGAAACCATGGATGATTACATGACATAATTGCGGGGAGGTAGAAGCAGAAGCAGAAGTAGAGGCCAGAAGGGAAGAAACACACAAACGCGCTGTGCCCGTTGTCAGAGCTTCGGGGGACGCTGAGGCTTCTTGGGAGACCGTGAAGTTGCTCTCTTTTTAGCCCGACTTTGGGGCTGCTCGGGCCAGGTCAATTCGGGCCTTGTCGAGAGAGGTGTAATATCGGCCTCGCCCTTATGAAATGACGGGTTAGCAATACTTGGCAGCTAACTTGGAGACACACACGGGGATCCGGGGCGATGATGCTACCCTTCTAGGTTCAGTTCGTAGAAAGACCAAAGACCAAAGACCCTGAAGCCGTTACTGCCATGAGGGACGGAGTACGGATAGATGATTCCGACTCGGACGCGGGAGCACAAGACGAGCTTCCCTTCTAAGCATTGACGATATGCGGCATCTCCGAAGCCGTTGGATAGCCCTGCTAAATGATGGATGTGCAAAAAGCTGAAACGCGTTGACAGAAATGGCCCGCAAATGAGACATTTGTCCAATTCCTTAAAACGGTATAGGTCTTTGTCACGTTCTGTAGACTTAGACTGTAGATGTAGATGAGCCTCGGTGCCATATGACTTTACTCTGGTGCAAGCTATCGAATTCGACTCGATTGTTGATTTGTTTAGAAAGCGTCTGTCTCTCTAGAGTATTGCAGGATCAGAGTAAGCACTGTAGGTAACGTAATTGCTTCTATTAGCGGCATGATCTAAGGGGTGAAACAGTCTCAGCCAGACGGGCCGCGCTCGACAGCATTGATTGTTATTGATGTCACAAACGTCCATGTTTGGGGCTGGGAACGATCCAGGTACAAGCGTTATACAACGTATCCGTACAGCGAGGGTTACAGAAGCGCCGAGTCAGAGTATAGTATCCGTACAACTTGACGATAATAAGCGTGTCAAACAGCTCTCTCTCTCTCTACTGCGTAGTACAACCGTGCGGCTGGCTCCATGGATTTGCCCTGCTATTAAACTTCTGGAAGGTCCACGAACGTTTGGAACGCGCTATGGTCAATGGTGAGAGATTGGTTCCATAATAAGAGGCGCCATGGATCGTGAGACTCTGGGCGCAATATTCAGTGGACCAGACTCCAGAACATGTTCCTGTTTGATCATTGATGCTCTCTCAGGATGAGCCAGGACCATCCAACAGAACAACTTTTGTTTCATTGCATTGTACCTGAATCCTAGGTACGCCCTGCCCAAGGCTGTCTGTCATCAGGTGCTTACCTTGTCATTCATCAATTGGTGACCAAACAGGCAATCTTCAAAACTCCCTCAGAATGACTAACTTTAGCTGACAGTCCGGGGGTTCGGGGTTACTAACGTTAGGTAGCCTAATGGAATTCTTTACAGCGACAGTAGCTGCTAGGGCAAAAGTTAGCTCCGTTTTCAGAAATCATAGTCTACATGATGCAATGAATTAATAAATACAAAGACAAATCCGTCAATATGTGCAAGCCTCTGATGATCCTCCGTCGACTGTCAGCAATCAATTCTTTTCTAAGTCACAAAAGACTCAATGACAGACATGACCACCGGAATCCGGCATCATGTTCCGAAACACAGCTCAACTGATGGCATTGCTTCGCCTCGGTTTTGCGTCAATATATCCGCGCCTGCATGGATCTGTATTCGGAATGTCGTATGGGAAATATTGAATATCCATGCTGGCGATCCAACACATTGAGGACCATGGCCAGGTCGTTTCGCATACGTTTGCGAAAGAGATGCATAAAGCATGTTACGTATAATGGGTGTGTAAGAGTGCTGACGGTCTCCGTAAGCATATACAAGTAATAATGAAATTTAATGAGATTGAATAAACTCATGTAAAAAAAACTATATCATCTTACACAAATTCTACCAAGTTTCACTTACTTGTATAGTCTTGTAATCACTCTAGTTCATATATACCTATCTTTCATCTCCCCAGTTGGCTTATTGTCACTTTGCACGGACTGCAGGTCTGACAGCTTATCACCCTAGATAGGAAGGGCCAAGAAACTCAGGATTCTAAACTCAACCAACTGCATAAATATATCTTGTGCGCCTTCTGACTGGCATGTTGAAGATACCCGGATGTTAATACGCGGTAAGACACTGCAGGAATATCGATTGGTAGCGCAGAGACTCGGTGGACATCCAAAACAACTTGGATGTTGGTCCAGTTGATTCAACATGTGACACCAAGTGATCAGCAACATGATGCAGCCGGCAGTGAATCCTGCGAGGCTATCGCACATGTGTAAGGTAACCTCGATAAGCAGTAAGCGACAAGAGACGTACACCGTACTCCGTACTCCGTACTCCCGTGCCGAATCTTGATTGACCCAAGGTTTGAGATCTGTCAAACCACCGTGATGTTCTTCTTTACTCGTCCAATCGGGCTGAAATGACACGGCAACCAACATCCCAACCACTCCGAAACTTTGTCGATGGAATGCAATCTTGACTGACTTCACTTTTGATTCAGTCTCAACATCACGACTTGGGGGATGTCTTGGTTTCTATTCGACGGGGCGCCGCGTTAGACCCATGGAAGCAAACAAACAAAGTGGCACCCCTTCCAAAGAACTGGACCAACAGTCGAATCGCAGACGATCATTATGCGCCATCCGCATAACTCATCACCAACAACTCGCCCCAGTATGTACGGTGTAGACGAACATACCATGAGTACAGGTTCAGCTCCCCAGTGCCAGACGGTCAAAGCCATTGCTGAAAGAGGGGGGGCCTCATCATGGAGGCAAACGTGCAGTATACCGCATACCGCATACCGCATACCGCATACCCCATGACCTCGGATAGGCTCTGGAGTGAGAAATGCTCCTCCCTTTTGTACTGTACTGGTGTCACAGACATGTTGATGTACCGCAACCGTGGGGAAGAATCTCAAATGAATTATAAAGCTTGTGAAGCCCGGATTCCGCGTGCTTTGACCTGTTGTACTTTCAATCTGGACGCCTAAGCACTATTCACTATTCACAATGCAAGACACTGATGATCATTCCTTCTCTCTCATCTCCGAGCCAGGAATTGAGACCATATACACACCGACTGACCAAGGCACGGATGAGTATGAGTTTGTGTTCGATGATAGCCGATCCGATTGCTCCCAACAAGATGATGCCTCAAGCTGCTGCACATCGTTAACCCCGAGTGTCTTCGACTATGAGCACTCTTATGGCCGGCGCTTTCATGCTTATCTTGGTGGAAGGTATCCCTTGCCAAATGACGAAGGAGAACAATGTCGCGAGCTGGTTGAGCATCTTTTGATGGAACAACTTATGGTGCGTTTGGGAGTCGTCGATATCAACCTCAAACATGGTAACTGATCGATACAGGATGGGAGACACTTCTTATCTGACATCGGCGACGAGCCGCAGAGGATCATTGATATTGGCACAGGGAACGGTGAGTACGCTGGCCTGATATTCTGGCAGCATCGACACTGACAATGTTTAGGAGCATGGGCAATCGACGGTAGCTTTTATCTCGAATGACTCAATAAATGTTACTGATAATGCTAGTTGCCGACTTATACCCAAGTACAACCGTAATCGGAACCGATTTGTCCCCTATACAGTGTAAAACGACGCCGCCTAATGCATCCATGTTTGTCGAAGACTGCGAGGACCCGTATTGGGCGAACGGACATAATTTTGATCTGGTCCACATCCGGGGAATGGCTGGATTTCTTCTTGATCTGGACGTCATGGTTACCAATGCCCATGAGTAAGTAATCGTTCTCGGAAAGAGACAATTACTAATGAACAATCAATAGGCACATCAAGTGCGGTGGGTGGATCGAGTTCCAAGATTTCGACTATACAGTCCGTTGCGACGACGGTACCATGCAGAAAGACGACCCATTGCGAGTATTCTTCGAAACTTGCGCCCAGGGAATAAGAAAATATGGCTGCACAAACTTTGGCAGGAAAGATGTACGAAAGTCAATGATTTCTGCCGGTTTCCTCCAAGCTCAGGTGGTAACCAAGAAAGTGCCCATCTCATGCTGGCCGAAAGACGAGGGACTGAAGGATTTGGGAACACTGATGGAGGCCAATATCCTGGAGCTCATCGGCTCCATGTCTATCAAGCCTCTGATTGCTTTAGGAATGTCGGATGAAGAGAGAGAAGAGATGGTATCTCGAGCTTGCAAGAGCCTCAGGAGAGGCAAAGCGCATCGCTATATGAACTGTCGTTTTGTGTACGCTCAAAAAGACGGAGATTATGATTCGATTGAGGGGCCTGATAGCGATGGGTGATTATATTTAGTGCTTGAGCGATTCTAGCTACATGGACTACTATAGTAATTAAAGTTCATGTAACATATTATAATATACTCTTTTATTCTGTCGAGTGAAGGGGAACATGCTGTGATGGTCCAAGGCGTACTGTAAACGGCAGCAAAAGATATAGCTATAGTGTAGCGCCTTGAATTTGCAAAGAAGTCGCGGAACCATTAGACAATTACAGTTCTCTTCATAATTCTTATCATAAGACAACCATTTTATTAATCAATTTGGAAAAAATAAGAGATATAAAAACACGGGATAGAAGCTCAAGCCCAAGCAAGCTCATGAAGTGACGTTGCCCGTTTAGCGGCGCCCCTAGCCGCTGACAAACCTTGGGCGCAGCACTATCATGGCCTGCAGCTGCTGGAAATTGTTAGCTTAGCTTCGACCTTCACCTCAACACCACAACTCCAAAACGCGCCAAGCAACATCTGCAGACTCCGACACAAAATACTGAAATCGCATCAGTACTCTCATATCAGATAATTCGCTCTACAGGCTATAGGCCTGCGTATTTCGCGCCATCATGCCCGCCGCCGTCGAATCTCCCGCCTCTGCCATTCTCAACCACTCTGCGACGCCCTACAGCTTCCGCTTCTCGCCCTTCCTTCGACAAACATACCAAGTAGGCCTGTCTCCCGATCGACCAGTATGCAAAGCCTTCCAGTCTGGGCACTGTCCCAACGGTACGCGATGTCCTGAACGTCACGTCTCCGATTCCAAAACGTCGCAGCCCACCGGCGGTCTTAACTCGCTTGTCTGCAAGCATTGGTTGCGCGGACTGTGCAAAAAGGGCGAGCACTGCGAGTTTCTTCACGAGTACAACCTACGAAAAATGCCCGAGTGTAACTTTTTTATGAGAAACGGGTATTGCTCAAATGGCGACGAGTGTCTATACCTTCACATCGATCCTCAAAGTCGACTACCGCCCTGTCCTCATTACGACATGGGTTTCTGTCCTCTCGGCCCCAACTGTTCGAAGAAGCACGTGCGTAGAAAGCTTTGTGTCTTCTATCTAGCTGGTTTCTGTCCTGATGGACCCGAGTGCAAGGAGGGCGCTCACCCCAAATGGTCAAAGGACCTAGAGAAGCCGACTCTCAAATCAGAGGAAAAGAAGGAAGACGATATGCGGATGGAGTTTGTTCAAGATGATATGGACAGACAGCGCGATCAACCGAGAGACAGGGATCGCGACGACGGAAGACATCAAAGAGGGGGCCACGGTGGACATGGAGGTAGAGGAAAGTGGCGAGGACGAGGAGGTCGTTACCGCGGAAGAGGCCATTAAGGCGAGGTGCTACGTCTATGCTGTACTTCTATTCAAATGACGATACCCATGTGGCTCACGGATTCCAAGATGCTCCAGATGAACAAAGGAAGCATTGGTCGAAAGCAGATACTTTAGCTCAAGGCAATTGGATATGTATTTTTCCAAAAGCTGTAATATGTGAAATCATTCAAGAGGAGTCGTGACGGCGTCTATATGTAACAATGTGCGAACCTTTTTACGTGTCCCATCATAATGCGTGCAATGCGGACCCAATATGCATTGGGTGACCAGCATGAATTTCCTGTGTCATCAATTAGGATGACTCTGATGCCTGGGGAGTCCATACAGCCTCGGGGTCGGCATGCCATACGTTGCTTTCATTTGGGACAGCAACAAACTCGCTGGATTCCTCCTCTCCCTTCTCGCTCTCATCGTCGCTGCTGCTTTCTGAACCTTCGTAGGAGCTTGTCTTCCATGTGGAGAGCTCATCGACCCGGCGGATGCCCATCATCCAGGAAACGAGGCTTCGAGGGGCCCATCGGCCGACGAATCCGTAGACGCTGGCGCCGAGACCAACTCTCACGGTGTCAGCGGTGACAGATCCATCAATCACATCGAAGACAGAGTTGTGCAGACGTCGCAGCGAGCTTCCCTTGAGTCCACGAATACGGCCGCCGGAGATGGCTGAGCTGGTCTGGGCAACGAAGTTTTTAGCATAGACGTGTCGAGCGCCCTCTGGCCAGACGAGAGGAGACTCAGGGTTTCCTGCAGTGACAAGTCCTTGGTGAGCACCACCTCGAGTAGGGACGAAACTAGAGAAGTCAAAAGTGCCTAGCTGCATGTGGGTCACCGGGATGTCCAGGGGTCTGAGTTCGGCGGTGAGGACCTCAGTGAAGGCGGATAAAGCCGAGCACACTGTTGCCTCAGGCGCATGGAACGGCGGGTTGATAGATGAGATGATGGAGGGAGTAAAGACGAGAACCTTGGGAGGAATCCATTTTTCTCCAATGGGGTTCAAGCGGGATGTGAGTAGAGGCAAGAAAGCCTGGATGGCAAGGATAGGCTGGAGGAGGTGGGTGTTGAAGAGGTCGGCAAAGTTGGAGGGTGGGATGGTTGCGATAGGAGATGTCTGGTAGTGTAGGCTCGGGATCAGAATAACTGATTTGAGAGTGAGCTGGTTGGGCTTCATTCCAGGTCCGGGAGCTTGAGGCGACTGGAGGAAGTGAGCAAAGTGCTCAATGGCGGAGCCAGCGCTGGGAGGCTGGGAAAATGTCAGTAAAATCACACCATAAATTAGCAACAAAACTCACGTCAGTTGTGTCAATGCTCAGAGGTCGAATATCAGGTCTCTTCATAGCTTGGACCATGGATTCGTCCTCAGCGGCATTGCAGACGATAAAGACAATGAAGCCCCGCCTCTCCATATCCAGAGACAAAGACCTTGTCAAAGGAAGAGTTGGAGATCCAGCGATAACGACAACATCTGTACGTCCGCCGTTCCTGGCCCTTCTCGCCCGTCTTGTCTTCCTCATGGAACGGCTCTCATAGTATCCCTTGTAAACGACGGTTCCGCAGGTCAAAACGATAACGCCGGTCAAAATTTTATGCTCGGCAATCCAGTTCTGAAATCGTTCGAAGCGAGACAACGCCACGACGGCCACCACCTCCGGGACGGCCGGCTTGGGTCTCACTGACTCCGGCACCCACTCGGACGTGGAGAGGGTGTCTCTGACGACCACGGCGGCGCGGTCGACATTCTTATCGATGAACTCGGAGGCAATGTCGGAGTACTTGCGAGCGTGGCTCGAGAGCTACAGCACAGTGAGCAAACATGACCTGAACCGGGAACCGCATTCCTTACCGTGTCCAACAGCTGCTGGGGATCGACCGACATGGTGGTGGTTGGTGAGAGAGGAAAAGATTGCTATCTTGGGCTCTGCTCATATGACGGTGACCTTGAAAGTGGTGGAGAATTAAAAGCTTCTGATACCCAACCTCACTGATAGGCGGTTGGCGGCTGGCTGCTGGCGGTTGGCGCACGGGCCATCCGATCTCCGCGCCGGAGCTCGGGGTCTAGTCCTCCGATCATGCTACCCGAGGTCGGGTATCTCGACCAGGGTGATTAGTAGGTTATGCCTTGCAGATATCAAATACAGTCCTTGCGAGTCGATATGGGGCAGGTACTCCATTTCTGAAAGACCCCATGCAGTGGTGTTTGTTCACGCTTCCTAGGTTCGTTTTCATAACCGTGCTCTTTGGTGGTGACTACAAGTTAAAGTTAGTGCATGACGGTCAGAACTGGGGATGCTTTAGGTCATGTTCTCGTGACTGAGCATGGTGATAAAGCTTCACACAAGCCTTGCTCAAGGTGGTTCGGTGCCTGTCGGATTTTACTGCTATGTGCTAACGTTAGAAGCAATGTATAGATCTAACCTACAGCGTTGTAAAGGCGTTATGTTGTTGTTAGCTAAAGTTGATTTCAGCATTACTATTATCTTCATCGTGAGATCTTAGTATAAGTTTACGAAATATTTGAGTATACTCTTATAATCCTGTAGTGATCCAATAAGAGGTTCATTGTTCTATGCACCTAATCAATCACATGTAATAGGATGCAGTAGCTGTCTCCACAGATCTTGGAGTATACAAGTTAGTTTCTGTTCAACGTCTTTAATGTGCTGCTACAGTGGGCGTGCAAAGGTGTTGATAACTTCCTCTACTCTTCTCTAAATTATATATTAATTTCCTAAGCTTATAGAACTTCATTTGGTCTTATCAAACTTTTTACCAAAGTCTTCATACTTATTCGAAACCTTACATTACCTTTATCCTCTTATGATGACTTTAGTAGAGCGTAGTATCCAACCTAGGTAATTATCGGAACTTTTACACGGGACTGTACTTGCCGAGCACATCAACAGAAGAGAAGAATATGATGTACAACATATGGACTTGACTTGATATTCTGCATGATAATTAATTGTATTCAAAACTCCATCAATATCAGTGTCGATATCTTCGATGATGGTGATCGTGACCTATTCCTAGTCCACAATCCCCCAGAATCGGGTATTGGAGCGGAGATGACTGCGGGGGTTTGCCGGTTATCAACGGATCCACTTAACTTACAGAGTTCAACGCGTCTTATACCACTATCTCTATCTCGTGACCATGATGCTTTGTTTCACTTTACAACACTTCCCTACCAAAGTCTCTCTATCTTTTTCAAACCAGTCTCATATTTTTCTCACTATATCCCAACCACAAGTCGAAAACCTGTGAGACATCGCCTGGCCTATTGCCCTGCGACCTCTCCAGTTATGGTACTCTTAGACTATCTGCAACATCGTCGAGCTTGGTCAGTTTCATAATATCACTCATTAACAACCAACCCTATAATGAGCAATTTTACTGACAATTTGCAGCCAATTCAAGCAAGAAGAGAGGACATCTCGCATCAAAGGACTTACGTCATACCGTGCTCCTGTTATTGCGTTGGACCGAGACATCATCAACAGTTCAATCGAGGAATTGGTGGAAGAAGTCCAAGATGACCCAAGCAAGGCTGGAGACTATCTCCACACGTATGGAAAGATTGCTCTCAAGGCGCATAGGAAAACCAACTGTCTAACAGAAGTCATGCTCTCCTCTGCCGAGAAGTGGCTGACAGATGGATCAATCAACTTTGAGGGACCTCTTGCGGGCATTCCGGTTAGTTTGAAGGATACTGTTGAAGTTAAGGGATACGACAGCACCGTAGGCATGAGCACGCATGCCGGAAAGCCATTGGCAAGAGATGGTGCTATGGTCAGGATACTCAAAGACGCTGGCGCCGTGCCATACGTTAAAACCAACATCCCCATCACTCTTCTCAGTTTCGAGTCATCTAATGATGTATGGGGCCAGACGTCAAATCCATATAACAAGAACTACACAGCTGGCGGTTCAACAGGAGGTGAGGGTGCCCTGTTAGCACTTGGTGGTCGAATCGGAATTGGCAGCGATGTTGCTGGAAGTGTTCGCTGCCCTGCTCACTTCTCAGGATGTTACGCTCTCAAGTGCTCTACTGGGAGGTGGCTCAAGACGGGCGTGGTTACGAGTATGCCGGGCCAGGACGGTGTTCCGGCAGTCTACAGCCCCATGGCACGCACGCTCAACGACTTGACTTACTTCACAAGGTCAATTATCCAAATGGAACCTTGGACCTATGATTACTCTTGCCACCCAATCCCGTGGAGGACTGAAATCGAGGAGGAATATTTGGACAAGACAACGCTACGCGTGGGGATCCTTAGGACGGATGGTGTCGTGGACCCTAGTCCTGCCTGCCAAAGAGCCCTGGAGATGACCGAGGCCGCTCTGCTAGAAGCCGGCCATGAGATTGTTGAAATCGACCCTCCTTCTCCCTACGAAGCCCTATGCCTAGCTTCTATTCTTCTCTGCAGCGACGGTCTTCAAACTGTCAAGTCATTCTTCCGCTCTGGTGAATGGAACGACCGAGGCGCCGCTCAGATGTCCTTATACTTTAACCTCCCTCGACCGATTCGATACCTACATTACCTCTGGGTTAAATACGTTCGAAAAGATCCTATCTGGGCTGGACTTATACAGAACTGGCACCCTCAATCTGGATACGAGATCTGGCAACTCAACGCTAAGCGTGAGCTTTACAAGAGGAGATGGTACGACTGGTGGGATAAATCTGGAGTTGATTGCTTGATTGCCCCTCCAAATGCGACTCCGGCCGTTCCTCACAGGGGCATGCATGATGCCTGCAGTAGCTGCGGCTACACCTTCATGTTCAACCTGGTACGTTCTTGAACACATGTCGTTTTACCAAAGCTAATTTGATGCAGCTCGATTACACGGCCGGTGTTCTGCCCGTTACACACGTTGACAAGGACCAGGATCAACTACCAAAAGACTTCAATTTCAAGAAACTCAACGGTGTCGCACAAGGCGCGTACAAGTTGTACGATGCGACCGCCATGCATGGGTTACCTGTAGGTGTTCAAGTGATCGGCCGTCGACTGGAAGAGGAGAAGGTGTTGGCGATCATGGAGAGAATAGAGGATGCACTAGGAGAGGATAAGTTTCCGTTGCTTGAACTAGACTAAAGCGACCCCATGTAATACGCCTACTTGTACAACTCGATTCCTTTTACTATATCCCTGTTATCTCAAATAAGACACCAAGATCTGTTCAATGCCGTGGTATCATATAATATCAAGAAACTTGAACTCTACACCGTTTACCTTTTTTCTTTTTCCTTGCTTTCCTTCATCTTATTTCCATGTTCAAAATCGTTGAACAAAATCGATTTTGCCATACTTGTCCATTATCGGCTCTTCACCAGCAGAGCAAGTGTATTGCTGGTTGGCTCCGTGTTCAATATCGAAGCCCTTGGGACCCCAGGCGTTTTCCATATCCACACGGAACTTCGTCTTGGGCTTGTCCGCCTGGAGGCGCTTCTTTTCGAAGAAGACGTAGGCAGCGTAGAATGTAATATTGGTATTACCGTCGCGAAGGCCCTTGCGGCCCATGAAGTAGCGAAGGTTTGCCGCAGACACACTCTTCCCCTCGGGTAGATTCTTGTTGAGGGCGCGGATGAAAGCTGCCTGTGTGATGCCGTCCTTGGCCAGAACAGGACGGATCTTCTTGCGGATCTCATTGCAGGTATCGTAGACGGGAACTGTACCGTCCGCCTCACCAGGCAGGGGATCGACATTGCTCACATCAAGAAACTCCTCGGTAGCCTTTGCGGAAGCGGCGGTCTTTGCTTTCTTTGGCTTGTTAGCCTTGAGCGGCAAACCCTGAAGCTCACGCTTCTTGAAGAAATGATGAGCCTTGGCAAAGGTGTCGGTGCCTTCACCATCCCAGGTGCCAGTTCGGTTCATGAAGCTGCCATAGGCCTTGCTGCTAACACCAATTGTCTTTTGGAACTCGCCCACTTTCTGAGCTCCAGAGTCGATCCAGTTACGGATCTTGCGACGGATGGAGTTGCAGGTGTCTCCGTCAAGACTCTCCAGACGCTCATCGTCACTGTCGATATCTGGGACGTCGGTTGGGAAGAGGTCCTCTTGAGTGTTGTCGGGTGCAACATCAGACTTGCGCTTCCTGGAGGTGGTGGTTGTAGTTGGTGCAGGTGCAGGTGCTGGCGCGGGAGCTGGGGCTGGGATTTGCTGTCCTCCTGGAGGCATTCCCCTTGCTCTAGTAGATGCAGCCATGGGAGGTGGTCCACCTGGTACTTGGTGACCGGTCAAGTGTGGAACAGATGGTGGTGGTGGGTTGTAATACGCAGGAGTTGTACCGTTGTTGGAGATAGGGCCAGGAATATGGACAGGAGGAGGCAGTGGGTTACCATAAATTGGAGGAGGAGGAGGAGGAGGAGGAGGAGCAGCTGAGTTGTTGTAAACGGGAGGAGTACCGATATAACTAGGCGGTCCTGTACTGATAGAAGGATAAAGAGGAGGAGGAAGATGAGAATGAGCAGGAGGAGCAGGAGGAGGAGCTTCAGAAGCAGGCTGATAGGACGACATCTGTAGCATTGCCTGTCTTGGCGACCAACTCCAGCCCGACATGTCTTAGTTTGTAAGACTGATTGAGTTTCAAGTAATTGGAGGTTTGGGGGTTCGAGCTTTTAATATGGGGGGCGTTAATCGTTTATCGAGGCAAAGGTAAAAGTGACGACTGCCGAACTATGACGTTAATTGTTGAGGTCCACGCTTTTATTTTTATACGCGTCCTGGCTCCTGGAGCTGAGATGATGAGCAACGCGTGAAGTCCAAGCGGGGGAATGAGTACCTGCGTCTTCAGGAACAAGCACTGTTTTTTAGCGTCTCCATAAGATACAGGGGTCTGCATCTGTTGTATACAGTGGCTTCCGAAAGAGCCTACCCTGTATCCAAAAGCGTAGTATCGTCAATGATGTGGACTGAACAGTACAGCACATCACTCAACTAGTTTGGTTTAACTGAATTTATTGAAGCTGATATTGAGACTTGTTGCGTAGGAGTGAGCCTCGGAATCCACTAATATTTACTTTTGAATGTAATGGTTTACAACCCACCAGTGAAATTACAGTAGAACACCAATGACTTACTAACCAAGAAATAACTAAATGGGATGTTAGTATTGGCAAATATACACGGCAGTATTGCAATCAATTCTAGAACATTTAATCTCCTCAGCTATTTTATTGAGATTCTGTCTCGATTGCTCGTAATGACTCCCTGTTCGGAGCTCACGAAGGCCTTCGTTGTGCCTCCACAATTCGTGGATGATGCTCTCACCACTTGTAGTAAGAGCCTCCAACTTTGTTCCAAATCATTATTCCCCGGTGTAAATAGCAACATTTTCAATCTCCATCCCAAATTCGTGCCGGTCAAGCTCCAATGTGCCGCAGAGTGAGTCTGCAAGTCCCAGCCGGTGAATGATGCTCTGGCACCATGTTGAAAAAGCTCCCAACCTTGTTTCTTACCTTTCTACCCCCGGCCATCCTTAGCAACGTGTTCCAATTCCCTTTCCTATAAAACTCCTTATAACGCCGGAGTAAGAAATCCCAGATCTCTCGTACGTGGATGATCCACGGCGGGCATATGTAGAGGCCCATGGCTCATGTCTAAGCCCAGGTATCAAGAAGTCCATGAGGGAACTTGTAGAACGTCTGCTCACACTTGTTTCTCACTTGTTTGACATTTATTGTCCCATTCTCCGACTGTATGGCCCTGTAGTGGTGACGGAAGTCGTAGCCATAGTCGTAGTCATAGTCGTGTTTATACATGATGGCGACTTCTTTGAGCCCTTCGACGGACTCGACAAGTCGATGAGCGAGTTTCAAGTAACAACAGTGAACCCGAACATCTATTGTCCCTCTTGAACTACCGCTTCTGGGCCCAGCCGAAGCTTCCAGGAGACCCCAAGGGATATAGAGTGCCAATTTGACGAGCTTAGTTTCCTTGAGTTTCGTGATGAACTGTTTGAAGAGGTCCTCCTAGTTTTGGTGGTTAGTTCTTCCCCCTACCCAATTTGCAGAGTGGATGATCTGTATGCAGGTATCAGAAAGCACTTACCCAAGCCTGAGGGTCGCTTCCTGTGTAGCCAGAAATTGGCCGGATTGGTTTTTCCTCTTGAATAATGAGCCATTCGAGGTTGGGAAAATCTTTCGTAATGAACGCGACCTTATCAAATGTTTCCTTGACCAGCCCGATTGTCGCAGGAGACTCGAAGTGCTTGTGGTATTGAACGCGAAGCCTCTTGAGAAGAGGGCTTTGTGTCCTAGAGTCGTCTCGCATTTTGTAGAAGGCCTTCAAGGCATTGTATTCTAGAGTCAAGATGCCCTCGTCTCCCAAAATGTTGAATGGGCTCGCTAGATCCGTCACCTCTGGGTCCTCAGACTTAAGTTCCACTCCTGTTAGATACATGGGATCGCATTTATCGAGGCAAGCCAGCGTAGTCTTGACGGAACATTTGATCGACAAGGTCCGGATCATCCATTTGCCTGGCTGGTCAACCATCTGGCGGAACTTTTCGTCTTGTGTGGGCGTTAGCTCATTAGCTTCCAACATGAGAAACTTGAGCCCTGTAGCATGTGTAGTAAGACTGACGATACGTGGGAGGAGTGCATCATCCACGTATTTCATTTGCCGATCTTCATTGTAAAGGTTCCAGCCCCGGCCAAATGGGTCTCTCAACTTAATCGAAACCGTCCTAGAATGGATGATGCTCAGTACACATGTGCTTCTGATGTTGGAAGCAAACTTACTGGATGCATCTGAGGTTCTTATTGGGGTGTCCCTCGAGCAGTGCTGCGAGCGATGCCGAGACACCTTTTTGAAGGCCCATGACCTTCACATGCTTCAGATGAGATTGGATGAACCAGTCATAGAATTGGTGGGATACTTGAAGAAGGTTCAGTCGTGATTCCGGATCGCAATGTTTGTGGATGTCATCAAACAGTTCCGGAGGGAGGTCCTGAAACCGCGCCATGATTACGGACACACGAGAGATGTTCAAGAAACTTGATAGCTGAGAAGAGGAGAAAGGAAAAAAGGTTGGGTGTATGGTGGTGTAGTGAGAGGATCATCCACGGGGCGATGTGATGGGGAGGCGTGAGTGCGTGGTGATCCTCTAGTCAAGTTGTGGACGTGTGGAGAAGAAAGAAGAGAACAGAAGGATTATGAAATAGAAAAGAAAGTGCACAGAGTGTGGGTTCACGGTAATGCAGTGAGAGGATCATCCACAGAGTGATGCGATGCCGAAGGGCGAGTGGTGAGTTGTCATCCTCTGGTCGAGGTGTGGTTGTGTGGGGAAGAAAGAAAGGAAGGAAGGAAGAGAAGGATGATAGAGAAGTGAACGTTTAAATAAAGAGGTTACTCTGCAAAAGCGTCGCTCTAGGCTTCAGTCACAGGTGAACGGCAGTGATTCACTATCACAGAAGAAGCCACCAAAAGAGATCTCGGGAGGCGGATGCCCCTTTCTCTATAAAACTAGTAGTAACTAAGGCCGATCCAGGCGAACCATGATATTCCCCCCGTGCTCTCTATTTCATCCCTTCTTTCTCTTTCTATCCCTCCTTCTCTTCTCAGACGTTATCAATCTTGCATCAGTAACTTAATCAAACCTACCAAATCCTATACCACTACTCATCTATTTATGAGCTCCCAAGACCTACTTGTAGATAACATATTTGCCAAATGCACATCGGCAGATCTATAATCCCCTCTAAACGAGCCCTTCATCTATAAAGTAATTAAGAAAGCTTTAAAGGACAGAGTAGTTGCTATTGTGCCGGATATCGATTTTAAACCACGGGACCTAGACTTTCCAGCTTTAACCTCTCCTTGCCCTTATTCATACGGTATGTATGCATTGAGTCGTAATGAAAGAACAGGGTTATTATAATAAAAGCTAATCGCCTAGTGGAGTTGATAGGATGCCAGGACAAGCCAGTGACTATAACCCAGCTGGTCGAGCAAAATCTGGTCACCGGGCCTTTCTTACATCACCAAGACCAGTCACCTAACCCCCCAAGAGCTCTTAGGGAAAGAGGACATTAAACAGTCCCTCGGAACCAAAGACTATATCGATGATCATGTTTTTCTTTGGAGGCAGATGGGTGCATATATGTGACTTCGTGGCAGATGATGAATTCGGTCGGATCACCGTAAGCTCAATACACCACTCCTTTGATGATTTGCGTTGACTCGATTCTCATGGATAGGAACGAAGCGACATGGACCATGATACTCCCGCCGGGATGCTAGATAGTCTCTCCACACCCTTGAAGCACTGGCAAATATCGGGAGCCATTGGACTCGTCGAGCTTGCGCAGTCGCAGTTCAAGGGCGGAATTCTGGGGGACTCTATGGGGTTGGGAAAGTCATCAACGGCACTTGTTGCTGCATTGGAGCTTCGCAAGAGGCTCCTCCCAAATCACGATTTCATTTCAATTGTTTGCAGAGCTGGATGTGTTCTCCAGTGGGCTAAGGAGCAGGCAAGCAGGTCTCCAAGCACAACCACTTTCGATACCCTACTTACTAGTATTTCTCAAGGACTGCCATCCAATCCATTATACATCTTGAGACGAGGATCACAGAAGTTTAGGATGAGACTTACATAAATTTAGGATAAGACTCTATTCCCCGGACCAGCAAAAAGGATATGGTTATACTTGATCCCGAACCTCTACAGAGCAAGGATTGTGCCCTAAGTTTAGACAATCTTTATCCTAAAGTTTTACAACCACATCTATATTTTTGTCTTTTCATGTTTTGATCTCTTCCAACCGCACGCCTCGCAGCAATCAGGTACCTCTCACTGCGAGGTTTGGGAGGATATCACATTGCATTATGTTGCAATCGCTGCGTGATTTCCAAACTATTGAACAAGCATCAAGACAAATGCAAACTGCCTAACTAAGCAAAATGGTAGACAGATGGCAATCACACGAACTCTGGCTATAAATTGGAAGCTGGGCCCATCTCATCTCTCAAGTTCATCATGGATCTGGTTGTTGACTCTCTTTTAACTGCTCAACAACAGCCACCCCTCTATAAATATCATTCGATTGATACGGGCAACAAGTATCGAAAGCCACACCTCACTCTCTTCTTCATGTCTTATCCTTCCACCTACACTATACTATTGTTAGAGACTTTACACCAAGTTATCCTAAGCTTTATCCTAAACTATACTATAGTATACAAGGTATGACACTCCTACTCTAATCTTAGACTTCTTGTTCTAAATATTCACAAGGCCTTAATTATGGCTCAGAGAAACAGGGGCTACCGCGAGGCCACTGGCCAGTTTCTCGAGGAAAGACACATCGGATGGAGGATTGCGAGGTTCTAAGCCAAGCCTCTTCAATCTTCGGGCTCAGAGAGGCCAAAGCGGCAAATCCAGGCCTAAACCGCATCAGTGCCCCGTTGCACTCTCAGTTGTGCGAGTCGTGGCAACAAGAAATCGCAGTCCTGATCGTCGACGAGTCCCATGAGTGCCGAAACTCTGACTCGGTATACTGCGAAGCGATCCAGTCACTTAAGTATCACCATATACTTATGCTGACTGGAACCCCGATCTACAACACCTTGAGTGACTTGGTTGGGCAGACCATGCTTCTGCCTTGTGGTGGTCTATTCAAGTCGTTGGAACACTTCAGGTCCATTTTCTGCCCTGTTAATGAATTCAACCCACAGGGTGTTTGGCGTGACCCTTACCGTCGCCTCTATCGGATCCTCATCATGGCTCATCCAAAGAACGTCATTGATATACTGCCTATTCGAGTTGTATCTCGAGAGGTCAAGTTAACTGACCGGATCACTATTCTGCGCATTGATACGCTTATGGCGAGATTCAATACCCTCTTGAGGATAGAGCGTCATTACGGCAGTGGTTCTGGTCGCAACATGTTTACAGCCATGGGCTTGCTGTCGCAGGCAGAGCAGCTGTCTGCATGCCCGCTGCTCCATGGAGCTACGCTCCGTAACCCAAAGCAGGCGAAACGCGAGACCGAGGAATTTATGGCAACAGCCCTTCAACTGCTCCGAGCACGACACCCTGAAGCTACCCTTGACGGAACAACTGAGCTTATTGCATGTTCGCTACTCCATAGAGTCACATTCCATGATATGGCGACGGGGCGGTGCGAGACTGCAGTTGAGGAGTGACTGTGTACTCACCGTAAATGAAGGACTCCGTCATTAGCTACATGTTTAATCAGACAAGGCATTCGTCTTAATTCTATCGTTTCCTACCTTACATGACAAAATTGTAACCTGCAAAGTACATGTGAAGTAACAACAAAGATCCACAAGTCTTCTAAGTTACATGTTCACAGTTTTGCGTAAAATCTCCTGTAGTAAGGAAGCTTAGGATATACCAAGTTTTCATTTAATATTAATAACAAAGATAATGAACAGGAATAAACTTAAGAGTAATTAGAAGAGTTTTAATAATAATAATAAATATATTTTATAAAATATTTAAAATTAGTAAAGTTTATTATAATTTATTAAACTTTATAAAACTTATATAAATATTTAAATAAATTAAATATGAACTATATAAAATTAATAGAATTCCTTTTAGTTTATAAAACTTCTATAGAGTATAAAATACGAGAATTATTAGAATATTCATACAGGCATTATATCAAGCCACCATCACACTGTAATCATGGTCGAAACACTATCAAGACATAGATATTGCATTTAGAAAGTTCGTAATAGAGGACCTTATCTTAACGACACTGCCAATGCATGTCACCTTTTTACTCTCCGACATTGTAACTATTCAAGATAGTGGTTTGACTGCAGCCGACGATGATATAGTATACATGGTATTAAATCACCTGCTAAACGGCCTTCAAACTTGCTGTGGTATTATTGGTATATTCGCCCGCTCCGTTGAAAGAATACATCGAATCGTGAGCGTCTCTTCAACATGGCATGCAATTCGTTATTATTCAATCACCATATCACCTCTCCCCCTCCGTTTCCATTGCTTCCTCACTCCCTGGCCCTGCCAACTCCATTGGCGGCTTGGCCTGCACCGGTGTCACATTCGAATCCCTCTTTGTTCCGCTATCGTGACTCTCCCTCCTCAAGATACCAGTATCTTGAGATTGAGCAATCGTCGGCGTGTTTGCCTGGCTGCCTCCACGTTGCCCGTGATAGTGAATAACTTGAGGAGGCGCCTGTCCGGAGTGAAGTCCCAATTGCTGGGTGGGATACGGGTCAAGGTCTTTGCTCGAGGTCGAGAACATCGACACGATTGGCTGATGGTACCCGTTAGTCGCATTGCTGGAAGATGGAGTGTGGCCATATTGACCGCTATGCTCCGCTTGGGTAGGTGTGCCCACGTCAGGAGAGCCAGATCCCTCCACAAGATGCCCAGTAAGGCTGTTCATTCCCCCTTCAATATCACGAAGTAGTCGAACATACTCCTCAGGCACCAGCCCGCTTTCCTGGGTCTTGGGATCCTCGGCCACAAGCCATCCTTGGCCGTGTCGGTACGAGACCCAGATGATCTGACCCTCAACTAGGGGTAATTCGTTCTCGTTTTCACGCTCGAAGTCGAACAAGGCAACGGCCTTGCCGTGAAACTCCTCGTCCGGCGATGTGATAGTAAACTGATAATCCCGTGAATAGCGAGACTGATCGTCATGAAAGCCTGGGGACGATGGGGAGCTGTCGGACTCGGGCTGATAGTACTCACCGCCCTCAGCGGCCCTAGGTTGCTGGGCAATGTGATATGCACGGCTGTGACGCGCCTGGCCCGGAGGGTATGTAACAAAATCTCCGCCAGGGCCGTTGGCCTCGCCGCCGTTATTAACGTAGTACGTTTCGCTACCATCTCCACTAGTTCCCATGTAGTAACCCCGCTCATGATCATAGTTCGCCGAATGCATATCAACATCACGACCAGTCCTCCCTCTCAATGTTGTCGCCGCTGAAGTTGATTTGTGTTTGCGGTGACGTGTGGCCACGACAGGGCTTTGCAAATCTTCATCCTCACTGTACGGGGGCCCACCGTCAAATTGAATAGGTGCAAGATCATGGCCACGGTTGATGCCGTCTGTACCCCACGACTCCCAAGGCATGCGTGTCTCCCACGAGACAGGAGGGTCTGATAACCTGCGATGTTCGCTTGCGGGCGTTGTCATGCCTGAAGGCGGTCCCGAAGGCTCTGGCGGAGGCCCATAGTGCAGAGCATGAGTGACAGGGTACGCAAAGTCCCGCACTTGGGTATATGAGAGAGTCGAGGGAAACATCAGATACATGTGTGATGTCGGGCGGGATCTCGTAGGCAGAGAGCCTGTCGAGTATTGGGAGAGTCGGTTCCTAGAGACGTGCGACATTGGTCTTGCTGGGACGCTTCGGTGCGATGGTGGAGAGGTGATTAAAGGTGGCAGCGCGGGGTGATTAGGGTTCGGCGACGAGGATACGGCTGCTGATGGAGAGGTCACTGGAGAAGAAGTTGTCGACATAACTACCGTCGCAGACATGCCTCTCAAAGCAAGATCTAGCGACAGTCGTGCGATCTGGCGCACACGGCCGCGCAACCGCCGAAGGATGAGCGTGCTGCAAGAAAGGTCTCGCGGGGCTGCAGTAAGACTGGCGGATAAACAGTGCACTGAAAGAACCGAGTACCCGCACCTCGTCCTGAGGCGGCGGAGAGTGCTAGACAAAGGCGATTTTCACGCCAGTGAAGCCGAAAGGATGCTTGTTTTCGTATGCTCCAATCGTCGTCGCTCGAAATTGGGATTGTCAAGCAGAGCTGTCGAGTCGGCGGACGTCAAGTCAGCCGTAGCGCTAAGTCGTAAGTACCGTGGGTTGAGGGTCGAGCAAGGGCTCCAGAGTTCCAAGTATAATAGTTCAACGCTGAACCGAGCCCTAATGCAGAAGATGCGAGACGACCAGTCGTCAGGCGATAAAGCACAAGATAAGACGACTGCAGTGTGGAGTGAGGAGTGCGAAGGAGCGTAGAGAAACAGAAGCAGAAGCAGAGGCAGAAGCAGCAGCAACTGGGTTGAAACAGAAAATAGAACAGAGCAGAAAACAATGCCTGTTCCTGGTTACTGCTGAGGAACCGACCGATGCTCGGGAAGAACAAGGGCACCACGTACTGGTAGCTGGGTACCTGTCCAATGTCTATGCCTGCGCTTGCGCTTTAGGCGAGTAACCAAGAGAGCCAGGCCTGAGCTGGGCTGGGCTGGGCTGGGGTAGGATGGTATCCCAAGATGGATTGCGATGAGTGTAAGGTTGGGTTAGGTTAGAATGAACGAGAGCCAAAGAAGCGAGGGCCATCAATCGATTGCCCACCTTAGCAATTCTCGCGAGGAAACTGGGGGAGAGACGGTATGTGCTGTACCTGGTAAGGTCGCCGGTTGGCACGTCCAGACCCAGGACCTGAAGGCGTCGTACCTAGTGGAGCCGGAGCCGGGCGCTATAGCGCACCACACCACTGAAGCAAGCGCCTTGCGAGCCAATCTGACTGGTCCGGGATTGGAGACCCAGCGAGTCAGCGCCTGTAAGTCAGATACAAGGAGCCCAATGAGACTGGAGGGTTGAGCGAGCTGTATCTGTCAGTCGTCGCCTGCTTCTTCTTGGGCGCTAGCAAGCATGGAAATGCTAGTGATGAATTGATATGCAGGTGAAATTGAAATTGAGATTGAGAACGAAGGATGTGAGAGATGAAGGTGAAGATGAAGGAAGCAGATCAGATGACCTGGTGCCATCCAACGGCAGGTGCTCCGTACTTTTAGTCCAGTTGCCAAATGAGGGGCACTGCACAGGTGTTGAGTGTTCACCACCTCAGTCCTAGGTACCTACTCTGGGTCTAAATTTAGGAGATCTTTCATTGAGATAATAACAAATCTTTCGATCGATCTCTTATGCCTAATCTTTTGTCAAGATCTTATACCATTTTACCTATGAATCGGCTATATGACTTATAGATTCCGCTATAACCATTGGGCAAGGCCCCTCCCTACCCGACCTTCCTGGACGAGCCGCACTCGTTTAATCCATCCGATTAATTTAACGTTGGATAATGCACAACAGCCAAGCCTAAGGGAATACTACCCTACGTTGCACTGGCCATGATGTATGATCCAACCTGATATAAGGCTTCGACCCCTCATCTTCGTAGCCCCATCCTTGCTCTATCTCCTCGTGTTCTCGCGGGAAGCATACTGTATCTTTGTCGTCTTGCATGCGTATGCACATACGCACACACAAACGGGACGACCAACAAGACGTGCCACGATTCGACTTGAGAGAAATCTCCCCGATATCCACTTTGTCCGTTGGAAGCTTAATTTGGAATGGCTACCCTGCTCATCTCTGTTAGTGGTTGGTACAGACTACAGAGTCTTTAGGTTCAATAAAAAGACAGACTAAAGACACCCTGTTCACTCCATGATAATAAGTTCTTCTTAAAAGACTTGATAGAGCTCAACATAAAACTACCTATGTAATACTTACAAAAGACATACTCGGGATCAAAATTGGAAGTTCCGTATTCTTGTTGTATCCAAGTGAGTATCCGTAGGTACCTGCACACGGAAAGACAAATACAGCTGACAAGGAACATGCAAGACCGGGCCGCCGTGATAGCAATCTCCGGTCATTGCATCGTTGCCGTCGCAATAAAATAACACTCTTCCGGCTTTCTGGAAATTACCATCATCATGGCAACGCTGCATGATGAAACCAGACCCCAGGCGGTTGTATGGCAGGGGCATCTAGATCGGTTGGTCACATAGTGAGCTGGAGGCAAGGCAAGGCAAACATTAAGCAGGGTCGTATACAGATAGGACCCTCTCTACGGATGTTAATTATCGTTCTTGAGTGTTGTTGGACCTTGGTGATCTTGGCCCAGGTTCTTTAGGTTGGGACCCGCGATCTCGCTCCGGCTGCCGAGGCTTTGACGGCGGACTGTCAGTCATGACGCCAGATAATTTCTGCAGCTCAATTCCAATTAGTGTTGCGTAATTACATCGGCAGGGTTATAACCGGTGGAAGTAAAATGCGATATTACAGCTGATTGAAGTTCAATGCCGCTTGACGTTGGGTTTGAAGTATAAGAGAGCTTCAGTGCCTGAAGCAAAGTATACTCAAATATTGAAGCTCAAACTTAGTAAAGTCAACTGACAATCAGTATTTATGCTTTACTAGACCACTGAACCTTCTTATACAAAGATAAACTCGAGCTCGAGGCCAGTTCTACCAGTGCCTTGAGTTCTCTGTGACCGGTGAGGTTTCTATTCCTGGCAATTTTGGTGTCTTCCGTGATTGGCTGATGCCCAAGCGTCGTTTGTTTCAGGTTATGCGGGCGTTTAAAAGCCAATCGCCGTGGCTGATAGATTCCGTCAGTGGAGATCTTCCTGTTGGCCGGCTCTCAGTGACAAGGAGTCAAGGAGTCAACTCCAGCCGTCTGACCACCCCAATACATATCAACTTCCTAAATGAATGGATTCGTCGTCTTCTTAACCTAAGTTGGTATAACGTTCGGGTTGGACGGACTATACTGTGATTGCTAAGTGGTTATCGGATCGTCATCCTTTGAACCTACATATCAAAATTCAATACAGGAATTAAGCTTCGCCATGAGAGACATGATGCTAATACACAATATTACCTAAACCACCGAAGGGCATTGGTCCGTGGAATTCGAAGCCTGAAGGAAGGAAGCTCGGAAAGCTGTGCTGACTTATCAAGCTTGGTGCCAGAGTTTAGCCGATATTTGTGGAAACTCGCGTCACCTCGCCCTAGCTTAGCTTTTCACCAACTTCACAACAATTCCCAACCTCTTTCCTTCAACCTCTCTTCAGCTTGCATCGCGTATACCAAACAATCGCGAGGCGATGAGATGATCATTGAAGCTCTGACTTGAGACCTGAAGCTGGGTAAGTAAACACGTGATTGATTTCCTATTCTTTCTATGATGAGTTTAACATATTGGAGCTGTCTGAATTTCCTTTGCTGAAAAGACACTTTATACGCTTTTTATCTGAAGATTGATTGCACACTTTCTTGTAACTTGATCCCACTTGGAAGCAATGCACTGACCCTGTTGTCGCATAGTCTATCGCGTTTTGTTCCTCAAAGCATGCCAAAAGCCCTCGCGCCCGCCAAGGACCTCGTTTTCTCGCCCGGCTAGAGACTCGAAGAGATGGAGGTTGCCAATGGTGGCCCTGCGGCCCAGAGCCAAAATGGCTCACCTGAAAGCAACGGTGGATTCAAACTCAAGTTTTGCACCGTCTGTGCCAGTAACAACAACCGGTTCGTAGATGTGTGCCTGTTAAAAGGCAACTTTCGTGCTAACGTCAACACCGACAGCTCTATGGAAGCCCACTTACGGCTATCACAAGCAGAGTACCCTGTTATCTCGTTCGGCACTGGCTCTCTTGTCCGTCTGCCTGGACCAACTATTACCCAACCTAACGTGTATCACTTTAACAAGACCTCTTACGACAGCATGTTCAAAGAACTTGAGTCTAAGGACGCTCGGCTGTATAAGAACAACGGTATCTTGAACATGCTGAACCGTAATCGCGGCGTCAAATGGGGCCCAGAACGCTGGCAAGACTGGCAGGTCGGTGTACCCCGTTTGCAACACGCTAAAGACCGTGGCAGCGAAGGTACTGAGGGCGGTCTCGTCGATATTGTCATCACCTGTGAAGAACGATGTTGGGATGCCGTTATTGATGATCTTCTAAACCGAGGCTCCCCACTTAACCGGCCTGTCCATGTCATCAACGTTGAGATCAAAGATAACCACGAGGAAGCTGCCGTCGGCGGACAAGGTATCCTGGAACTTGCCAATGCCCTCAATGCGGCAGCCCAAGAGGAACGTAACGCTGTTGGTGCTTCTGCATTTGACAATGGCTCTGCCGCAAGCAGAGCTACTTTTGACGAGCGAGTACCTGATGTTCTTGCTACATGGCAAGAAAGATGGCCCAATCTGCCAGCAACCTGGACCGTGGCCTGGTTTTGATCCGCGTAAGAACTCTTATCATATTACACTGGTGATATGGCTACACCACACGGGAATCTGGGGCTCTGGATCCAAACAGATCCGAGCTTAAGCAAATGAGTGCTAGGTCAACCTGCTAGAGAGCGTCGAGATAAGGAGGATATCTTGCTTCCAATCGTAGATACCCAGACCTGGCGAGGTGGGAGTACAGGTCATATCGTATGCGGCTTGTTTCTGCCGTGCTTGGTTTACTGTACAGGCCAAGCAATGAGGCCGCCAGTAGTCCGCATGGAAGTTATCCTTAAGGCCCCTCGGTGGTGCGTTCTGGACTCCTGGGGTTCAACCCTTCACGTGTCTCCTTAATCCATGGGCAGCTGAGTCTGGATAATCCACTATGGCCCGACTCGCCCATCGAACCTATGGTCATCAGGTGCTATTCCCGAAATAGTTTCGCGATTAAGCAGATCCTATCGACGGCAGCTTTAGAGACCCTCACAGTGTCTTAGACGCATGTTTTTATAGACGAATTACAAGTGTCGATCAGAACCAACCTACAAGCTTTTATTACGATTGTCAAGACTATCGATAGTGTTTGTTTCAGCAAGACTGGATATGATGTTTAGGGTCAAGTAACAAAGAGGAGGCATCTTTTCTCGCTAAGCCTCTAATCACTTAACGAAGAACTTTACAAAGGCTTTTGGTCTTTGAGGCTCTTGTCCACTCCTAAAGCTGATCAAGATTGATCTCGCTCTAACCGTGCCAAGTTTCACGTTTCGATTGCGCGACTTGGCCGGCGCCGACGATCACTTTGGGGGTCTACTTTTACGATTCATGCGCTTTGATAGTGTGGCACTTGGAAGTCAAGAAGTGCACAGTCTAGACAGTCTCACCTCTATCCACCAAGTCGCTAACAAGTAAGTGAAACCGACTTCAACGGCGTGAATGACATCAAGTGCCTTGGTAGCTTGTCAAGTTGAGGTTTGCATGCAGCCGCATGGAGGTCCTTGTCAGATCAGATCAGATGGTCTCCGGATCGCCGGCTAACTCAGGGGTAGTAAGAGGCAGCCAGTCGAGGATCCGCCGTCTTGGTCGATGCCGCGTAATGGGAGGAAATATCCTCGACTAGGACGTTTAATTAGGGTGAGCGCCACAGCTTTGATAGAAGGTGGATCATCCATTGCTGTATCCGTACTCTGCAGAAGGTCTTCATGATAGCATCGACGCCAGAGTATAGGATATTAAATTTAGAAATAAGATAGTCTATAAATACTCTAAAATATTCTATAGATTTAATATATAATTATAAACTTAGACTTAGAGTACTAACTTTAGAAAAACATAGTCTTTATTAAAAGTAAAGTTTAGTTAAGTTTTAGCTATATTCTTTTTTCTAGATACTCTTTAATGCCGTAGTATCTTAGCATGAAGGGTATGGATCATGCTGGTGTGTTCTACGTTAGGTAGTATTCGTCTGATAAGAACGTTTCCTGTCAGTCGTTTTTAGCAACTGTCAGCATTCGCATCCTGCTCGTTCATCCGCGGGGAGCTTATACGGCGACCCGCGGACGCCGCATCATTGACATGTTAGATAAATACAACGAATAGTTTACCACACCAATAAAGATGATACTCGTGATATAGAATAGTACGGACTATCCAATCATTTTAACAGCAAACTAAGAAACTTTGTCGATCAAATGGCGCCCCGACAAGAACCCAAGGTCATTCGACCAATGAGCAACATGTAAAGTCTCCTTCAACCTCTCTCGTAACCATGAGGCTAACTACATACTAGGGAGTTGTATCACTCAGCCCTACACACTTTGCGTCATAGCTGTGGTACTTCTGTGGTCTGTCGTTATGGTCTTCCCAAGCATCTCGCATTCGAGTCCGTTCGGGATATCTTCCATCGAGCTATGGCACTTACAGTAGTTGAACATCCAATGCTACAAGTGGGAATCCTAAACGAAGACTCTGCTGTACCATCGTGGATAGAACTTGATAGTCTTGATCTTAGTACACATATCAGCTGGCAGGAGATTAAAGTCTCGGACAACTATGACAGTTGCCTAAGGGAATCGATCCGAAGTCAGCTGGATACTTGGTTCACCGACGTAGAGACGAAGCCAGGATGGAGAGTTTCCATATTATGGCCAGAAGGGAAGCCTCAATCGCTGGATGTTATCTTTTGCTGGAACCATACCAACTTCGACGGTGTGGGAGGCAAGATCCTGCACCAGAGCTTGTTGCGCAACCTTAACGATCCTCGAGTTTTACAGGAACTGCCCGACCTTAAAGAAAATACACTCCAGCTCAAGAGTGTTTCCGATAGGTTCCCTCCCCCTCCAGAGAAACTCGTCAAGATCCCAATCTCGTGGGGATTCGCCCTGTCAACCGTCTGGAAAGAACTGAGGCCTCCGTTTCTCGTATCCAGCGATCCCACCCAAGCCAGCTGGGCCCCTATCAAGGAAGAGCCCTATCGAACTGAGTTCCGGACCTTTTCGATTGAAGACGCAACGGTGAAGAAGGTTATTGAGAAGTGCCGAGTACACAAAACCACCATCACAGGCCTCTTACACGCCTTACCACTGGCATCTCTCGCCCTACAACTAGCAGAAGGCAAGAAGCATTACAAAGAGGAGGCAAAGTCGATGTATGCTATAAGTGCGTTGGATACCCGTCGATTTATGCCCGACCGTTCCGAGGCATACCCTTGGCATGTCCCTAGTACAACCATGGATAACCAAATGACTCTATGCGACCACCTGTTTGACGAGAACTTGGTAGCAGACATTCGCAGCAGATGCAAAGGCGTATCCTCGGACGAAGATACAATGGCTCAGCTGGAGGATGTCGTCTGGTCTGCTGCGGTACAAGCTCGCCAGGATATCCAGAGCAAGCTCGACAAGGGCATGGACAACGATCCATTAGGGCTTATGGGTCTCGTTAAGGACTGGCGTGCGCAAAAGAAGCAGCAGCTCAAGAAGCCTCGAGTAGGAGCCTGGGGTGTATCCAATCTAGGAACCATGGATGGAGACGTTGAAGGGTCCGGCTGGAAGGTTGAGCGAGCTGTGTTTCAGCTGAGCTGCGAGGTTACTTCGCCTGTGTTCCACATCAGCTCCATCAGCGTGAAGGGTAGGGAGATGTGCGTTGATGTCAGCTGGCAGGAGGGTGTTGTCGATGCTGAGATTGGAGACAAGCTTGCTGCGGATATGGAGGCCTGGTTAAAGTTTCTTGGCGTTGGAGGCAAGGAATGAGACGAGGATAGGATGTATCCGTGAATGTGAGACAGTCTATGGAGGAATGCTTGAAGAGTTTGGGGTGTCGTGGTGACTGGGAGTCCTTAATTATCATAATGTTGTGTTAATAATTTAATAAATTAATCATTATATCTTCATAAATTATCCTAAAGTTGTATAATTTAGGAAAAGATGAGCTATCTTATATGAAATCGATTTCTTTGACTCGTCCAAGCGTGCACTTAGACCCTTGAGGCTTGGTGGTTACTTGATCACAAATCATACGATAAGGTCTGATACAACGGCAACCAAGACATGTCAAATCTCTTGCCGATTTATGAGTTTTATACCGCGGATTATAATAACAATCGTCGTCCCTGGTTCATCCAATGTTCGACTTATTCCGGCCGTGTGGCTGTACTAACCGTCCCATGCACGTGCCGAGTTAGATGACCCGCCTATCCCCAGCGCCTCGCTCGGCAACCCGCTAAGCTTTGGACGAGTTGCTGGGATCATCAGGCCAATCAGAACTCGCGTGTAGGTGGTGCTTCGCTGGCTTCAGGGGCAGGGGTAGCCCCTGGGGCGGTTGACGGGTGCAGCACAGTGCACTCAGTGGAGCGAAAGGTTGAATAAGGTGTCGAGGCTTGGGCCCAGGTTGCATCGAGATTGGTTGATGCCGCTTATTTCCCGTTTCCCCTTGCATGGATCATATTATTCGTTAATTAATTACTTTTGCAGACACTTTAACTCGACGATTGGGCGGTTATGGTAGATGGAACAAGCCAATTCGATATCTCTGTACAGAGTCATGTGCGAGACAAGACAAGCTATGGTAGTACTAGGAACTGCGACTATTGTTCAATAACTCACCTTGAACAACACCTTGCGGCAAGTCTCGGTGGACTGCAAGAAATTAAACGTCGGTTTTTTGAGCATAAAATAGATTGCCAGACCAGGGGGGGAGACGTGGTTCATATCCATTTCTGGACATTCTGGATTCTCACCCCAGAAGATAAAGACCAAGGACTCATTTCCCGTCCAGATCTCATCATCTCACGGTGCTATATCTGTCTGATGTCCACTTGTTCGCCTTGGATTGTCCACCCCAAAACTTGGGGCACCTTGACTGTCTAAGCACAGTACGGAGGAGTACGCACGCTATTTTCTAGAACAAGTTAAGCTGGTGATAGTGGAGCCAGGGGATGGCTTGAGTGCTACACACCCCCCGAACCCCGATTTAGTCTAAGCAGCTTGAACCCCTTTTGGCACGGAATTGGAATTGGAGTTGGAGAGTTTTTGCTCTGTTGCTGAGTTGAAGTGAATTCACTTGAATTTCAGTTGGTTCGCAGATTGGTGACTCTGAATCGCTTTGTCCTCTTTCTCTTCTTGCTCCTTGTTCTTTTCACTGCACTTCTTATCCTTTCAGTCTCTATGAACAAAGGCAGCAGCAGCAATATAACTACTGACCCGCAAATCCATCCTCCTTCCCTGCCTGGTCTTTACTCTATCAATTCTCTCAACCACACCGTATCTCTTACAGAGGGACCTTGCACCACTGTTGCTCTACTTTGCTTGCTTCTTACAAAATCACAAAACCACCTTCACCATCATCATCATTCCTGTCACTTCGAGCTGCAGCCAAATCGTCCGCATTCGTCGCTTTCGGCCACTCGCTGAAGCTTGGCGCTTGCGCCCCTGAAAGACGCCAGACTTGTGGGGGATCCTTGATTATCGACCTGTTTTCGGCTACATTCATTTCGACCCCGTCTTCGTCTCGTCTCCGTCTCCGTGTGGCGTTCGTATGAGACAGGCGGCTGGTGTTCCATCTCCCTCCAACATCATCTCGGTTTCGCCTTTCTGTCTTTTTTCTTCCGACCATGAGCATCAGCCTGGGACGCAATGCGCCGCTGTCCCCAATCTCTCTAGGCGGTAGCGAGTTTTCCGTTTCAAAGTACCAAGGCCCCGACGACGGCTATATTACCGGTCGCCCCAATCTCGCATCGCCCCCGAACTCGGGCGGCTCCAATAGCAACATGAGCATCAACGGTTTCCCAGCTGTTCCTATGAACGGTCCAGGTCCCGGTCCTGGCCCAGGGCCTGGTCCAAGGAGCACCGGAAGACCTTCGCCGCCTGCTTCCATTGCTCGCTCAAGTAACGGTACGCAGCTCTACGCCGGTAGCGAAAGCGGTCGTAACAGTGTCCGCGGTGACCTTGACGAGGCCGTCCTCAGCGAGCACTACGTCGCTCTGCGCACTTTTCTCAACACCCGCGATCCCAATCACAAACAACAACCCAACAAGGCTCGCGACAAGCTCCTGCGCCTCAGCTCGGTCCAGTTTTATGAACTAAGTACCGATGTTTTCGACGAGTTGATACGACGACAGACCGCCGCCAGAACACCCCCTAATGCTCCAAATGCCATTCCTCAATTTCTGCTGCCGGAGAAGAACTTCCACCCCAAGCGAAACCAGGCTCGTCAAAGACTATCATCCCTGGGCCCACCGCGATTTCGAGACCTAGCCGCCGACGTCTACCACGAACTCGAACGTAGATTCCCTCGCTTCGTGGGAGGTGACTTTGCTCGTCCAGGAAGCTCCATGTCGATGAGAGGTCCAGGCACTCCAATCAATGGTCCACCTAATGGTAATGGCTTTGCCCCTAGAAATCAAAGCCGCATGAGGAGACCCTCTGATGCGCCATCTATGAGAGGCCCTGGACCAACAGATGCTTACGGAGTACCAGCCTCACCAGGTATTCAAAATGGCGACTACGGACGCCCGACTCCGAAGCAGCTCAACCAGAACAACACGCTCGTTCCGAACAAGAGTACGATGGTTGAAGAAGATGACGAGGGCGAGGAATTCGCAGAGCAAAATCCGAATCGCGAGAGCAAACGAAGTGCCGGTAGCGGTGCGACTTCAGAGGTAAACACTTGCATTTTTCTTTAATCGTTCGCAATTGCTAACCACACACAGGCTGACAAGAAACTTATCGAGGATTACCAGAACCAGGTACGAGAACTACGCGAAAGGTTGGACAGTACGGAAGACATCATGAAAAAGAGGGAAGACGAAATGAACAGTGCGCTGGATCAAGAGCGTTCACGAGGTACTGCTGTCAATGAGGAGAAGCAGGAGTGGAATGACATCAGAGTCAACCTCGAGAACAAGCTTGCCGAGGCGCAAAGTTTGAATGACTCGATGAAGCAAGAATTGCAACGCGTACGAGAAGGTCACGAGATAGAGATACAGAGGCTTAGGGACGATGTGGCCGCAGCACAAGATTCGCCACGAAATGAGCCTGGTGCATCCGATTCAGAGCTCCAACGGGAGAACGATGAGCTACGACAGGAGCTCCGAGACCAGCGAATGGTGACAGAAGAGGTTCGAAAGGAAGCACAGGAGTTTCTGCTTGAGATGCGTGAGCTTTCTCAGCAAAGTGGTACGACACATGAACGACATGCGGAACTCGAAAAGTCAATCCACAGCCTTGAGCGTGAGGTTCAAGAATGGAAGAACCGATATGCCAGCGCAAAGACTCAACTACGACACATGCGCGCAACCTCCGCTGGACCTGGAATCGAACAAAATGCTGCGAAGCACCTCCGGGAGAAGGGATTCATGGATGATCGTGGCCTGGTTAAAGATGTTCACGTCACCAAGTTCCAACTCGCCATTGACGAGCTTCTCGAAAAGGCACGAAGTGATGATCCTGAGAAGGTGGTTGACGCTATGAAACTCGTTGTTGTTAGCGTCCGTCGCATTACTAAGGACATTCAAGTGCCTCAAGAGGATGAGGACTTTGTTCAGCAGCAGACCAAGATCAGGGCCAAGGTGTCATCTACCGCGAACAACCTCATCACAGCGTCCAAGAACTTTGCCCACAGCGCTGGAATGTCGCCTGTTTCGCTGCTCGACACAGCAGCAACACATTTGGCTGCTGCCATCATGGAACTTCTCCGCTTGGTCAAGATTCGAGCGACTCCTGCCGAGGAGTTGGATGACGATGATGGAACCGAGACGCCCGCGGATTCTAGCGGTCTCTTTTCTCCCGTCGCTACCGAGCATCCTTCCAACATTCAAGATGCTCTTCCTCCTCCCCCAGCCTTCCAAGGCTTGGGCAAGATGCGAGAAAGCATTGAGTCATCGGCATACAGTCCACGGGGCTCACCTCGCCAATCCGCAGACCCATACTCACATGAAAGATCCATGTCTAAATCGAGCGCGGTACCGATCGGGCTTGGGCATCCAGGCGCGAACAACCAAGTCAATGGACAAGGTGCACAACAGCTGGATCCCCGAGCCGCCGAAGATCTCAAGGTCAGTAATTCTCTACACTAAAGCTAGGGTCAGCAGTATTAACACATCAACAGGGATACCTCGAGGACCAGAATGCATACCTATCGTCTGATATCCAGAAGCTTGTGAACACCATCCGAGGAGATGCCGGCATGCAGCAGATCACTATTGAGATCGGCTCTATCAACGCTGTCGTCAGCAACATCATCTCGGAAACACAGGCCTACGGCTTGGGCGAGATAACATCCCAGTTGGCGAACTGCAGAGCACGGCTACTGGAGGCTGCTGATCAAGGCCAGGACATGGCCAACATCGGCATGGATACAAACTCACACGAATGGCGCATGTGGGTTCAAACATTACCACCCATCGCATTCGGCCTGGCACGCGAGTCTAAGGAGCTCGTTCAAGATGTAGACAACATGGCCAGACCTGGACGACCTGACGACTTTTCGTAATCACTTTACATTTCTTGAAAAATCCGGACATTGTTTTTTTACAACCGGAAACACGCTTTATACCCCCCTGGATGCCCAGTTTTGACACTGGATAAGCTATTTGATGCTGTCCTGGTTTTTTGTCTTGGATTGGTCGATAATGTCGGGACTCACGTTGAACGTACTCCGACGGTCAAATGGGTTGAAGAGCAGGAAAGGGATACACAGTTAGGTAATGTTGCACGTGGCAAAGCATGGGAATGGCGTTGGGTTTTGCTGTCGATAAATCATTGTGCAGACATAAGGCTTGGATTGAGTATATACATAGCAGTATTGGGATGCGGGAAAGCTTTTGGGCATTTGACCCAGGCGAGCTAGAAGGGACGTCCTCCAGTTCAGACAAGACTACACGATGGACGACTCTAATAGAGATAGATGAAATGGAATGTTATCAATTACTTGCTATGAAGAGATGAATGTGAAGTATTGTCAATTGATGACTAGGTAGTAGGTATGGAGATGCAACTGACTATATTGACAGTACATGAGAGATGGTGACCTGTAGACGGGTCGAGACCTTAACCGAGTGTCCAATGAAGCAGATACTTATAGAGAAGTTATAAGTTAATAATATTGGTTGGGGTTTTATCTATGTCTAGACAGATGATCTGTCTTATACTATTGACTGAGAAGAGAAGCGCTCGCTCTATAATGCCATCTCCATATGGCTTGACATCTACATAATACATTTTACACTTTTGAAACCAGGCCAGACTGATCATGACCTACGACTATAGAGTATTTCTCTTGCGAAACCTCTTCCCATTCTTACAGAGCGTGCCAGTATTAACAGCAGCTTCCTCCATCCCCCTGTTGCAAACCACCAACTTGCAAACCCGCCAGCTGCAAGACCAGTTAGACTGACAAGCCACATGTCCCAATTCCTAGCCTTCCATATCGACATGCGCATGTCTGCTGTCTGCAGATGCATCGGCCTCAGCTCCACGCCCTTGCGGAACCGAAGCTCTTGGTCTGTCATGACCTCCTCGATGAGATCAGCAGCAAGGTATTTGCGCTTGGCGTTCAATGTTGCTATGCGCTGCATACGACGCACGTTGGTGGCATATAAACCATCTGTGTCAGTTGTGATGTTCGCGATGGCGGAGGATATGGAGGATGGCGTGACATGGGATTTGTCAAGTGATGTTCCGACCCCGGATGCCGCGAGACGGGCGCTGTTGCAGAGCTGGTCGAAGAAGTAGCCTACGACGAGGACGGGGGTTCCATGGAAGAGGGTTTCATTAGCGCTTGAACCGCCGCCGTGGGTGAGGAAGAGAACTGTGTTGCGATGTGCTAGAATGGCCCGTTGTGGTGCGAAGACGGGGAGGCGGAAATCCGGATAGGCGTCGTTGAGAAGGTTGCTGACGCTGAGGATGGAGCCATCAGTAAAAATGTAGGATTTAGATGTGTCGAAGTTGGCACGAGCTTTTGAAGGCATAGCCCATATAACACCGTTGATAAAGCCAGCGTCAAGAGCCTTGATGAAACCGAGGAGAAATTTCGCGAGCTCTTCTCCAGGGAGGCTGACGTGAGTTCCTAGACTGACATATATGGTTTTTTCATGGCTATCCAGAAACTGAGCCAAGTCTTCATCAAGGTGAGGGTACTCGTCGCTGAGAACAGGCCCAACGGGAGCCATGAGAGGTGGTAGTTCTTTGGGAGCTTCAAGCCCCCAGAATGAATTGACCAGCACGAGATAATCGGGCTTGGGGAGGAGAGAATGGCTGTAGTCGACGCCAGCATCGGCTCGCATCCGTTTCGTCCATAGCAACCAGGGGATTACAGTAGGAAGCGCAGCCATGACAACAAACTCGTTCCAAAACCGTGATGTTAGAGAAGCATGCTCAGAAGTCAACGCCCCATCTGCTTGAAACCCTGGTTGTCCGGGATGGTAACTGACAGGCGCCATGGCATACGGCATCTGAGGCCATATGCTCGCCAGCTGGATGTTGAACTGCTTGAGCATGTCCCTGGCTGCACTGTCAGCGAAGAAATCCGCAACGATAAAGTCAGGCCTCGTGGCTTCATCTTCACACAACGCCCGGAGAGACTTGTAAGTATCTGTCCAGAAGTTGTCAAAGAAGTACTTTGACTTCATCATGGGAGCAAAGCCGTGCTCATGGCGCCAGAGCCGCATGGACTCGTAGTGCAAGTCCAGATCATGCTCTGCAGCTGCGGGACCGACGGTGTAAACAGTTTTAATAAAGGGGTAGTCAGCCGTCCAGTCTTCCTGGCCTTCACAGGTAGCGAATTGAATATCATGACCACGAGAAGCGAGCACAGCGCCTATTTCAAGGACTGGAGCTGTATTTTGTTATGCTCGTGTTAGCTTGTATATATGGTGGTGGTGAAGTGGGGGGGGGGGGGAGGCTATGGAGTTGGTATAACGTTACCTGCGTGGGTGAAACCGCCTGTTGTTACGAGGAGAAGGATCCTCCTGCGGAATTCATGGCTGTCAGCCATTTCTTTAGGCTCAGTAGTTTAAATTGGGAATGTGTGTGCGTTAGGAATTGGGGGACTGGGTTGGTTGTGTATTTTATGTATGACGCCTAGTTCTCATGCGTGTCTGGGGTCTGGGGTCTGTGGTCTGAGAATAAAGTGGCTCGGCAAATCGGTATAGGGCTGAAATCCGGAGTTAGGATATTATCCAAATATAATCCGGATAACTCCTGTGTTCAGAAGGGTGTCACTTACAGACTTGGTAATGTGAACTTGTCTTTGATTCGAATTGTCCATTCCCCGGTTTCTTTAGATGTCTTATGATACTCGTCGGGTCTTGATTTCGACGTCCCCCCACTTTCCGCCCTGTTGATATACAACGACAAGATCATCAGTATACAGTGGCCGTTCCCGAGTTATATTGTTATAGCTTTGCATGGAGTTGTACCTTAGTCTGAAGTAGTGTTAAAGCCTCTGTCGCTCAAATGTGAGCATCCATCAAGGTGTCGGATCAGTACCTTATCCTAGTTGCATCGGTTGTCTCTTGAACATAATTCGCCGTCTTCGACTGGAGAGGATAATCCTCTACCTAGAATTATCAAGGGTAAGAGAGGTTGGCATCGATTAATTAAGAGAGATATTGGCACTAAAGAGAGATCTTGTATGATACCATAAGAAGGTCTAGCAATGGTTACAGCAGGTGTAGCAATATGAATAATAGGCTGCGATAGTCATGAAGGGCTAATCTGAAGTAATTCAGTCGGTATCGATGATCGAATGGACGATCCACGATACTTCAGTATTGGTCATCAATAGTGATATCCAAATCCATAGGATCCTCTTCTCTCTCAGAGTCTTCAGAACTGTCGTTGCTATCGCCATCCGACATTCTCGTGTCACTAGCCTCATCTTCGCCGTCCTCGTCTTCCTCATCCTCTTTGTATTCGTCGTCTGATACAAACTCGTCGTCATCTTCAACAAAAGCGCGGTTATCTTCATTCTCTTCTGGTATCTCAAAATCTTCGTCCTCATCTTGGGTAAGATCTTCAGAACTGTGTCTGGGGCTTGGCATGTTTTCTGATTCTGGCGCCGGTGTTATGGTGTTGTCATTTCGAGCTTGTGACCGCTTAAGCTTTGAATGAACATTAGCCGGGTCCAGTATAGATAGGGTCGCTATCAACTCACAATGATCTTTCGTCTTTGAGTTGGGGGGTCGTCCACTACGTAGTTCTTGGCTCTTCTAGCTACTTTACGTGGCTATATTACCATTGTCAGTAATGGATGATCCTCGGCGGATGGACTTGACCTACACGACGGGGTTGTTGACCTCTATCATTTTGTGCGAGCTCCTTTTGCACTTTGTCGTCCCAATCTTTATTGTCCTTCGCAATCACTATTTGGCTGATGTTGCGTAGCTGATCGAGAGACTTAATACCCTTGGCCTTTAACCACGGGGGCAGGTCGAGTGACGTCGACATTGCAATTTCGTTGTCAATGGATCATCCGGAAAGAGGAGAGAAGGTAATAAAAAGAGGAACTGGAACATATCTTTCATTCAGGAAGCGAGAAAGCTAAGAGAAAAGTACTGGTCTGGTGGGAGGAGAGTAAGTTATCCCAATGACACTGCATGGCAGTGTTGGACGGTTCCGTAGATTTCCTATCCGGCAGCAGTATGATTCACTGTCATTAAGCATATACAAACACGCCTGAGCACGTGAGGGTTGTTAAGGTATTAAAATTCTTTTCTCCATCCCCCTCTCTCTTCTCTCTTTTGCAAGCATCCCCTCTTGCCTGTATTTCTCTCTTCCTACATGCGCACCGGACCTTTAAGAGGTTACTTGAAATCTAGCCTCGAGGAAAACACTATTTGCAAACTGCAGTTCGTCTTTCCATTCATTGAAACACATATATTCCTTGTCGCTAGTGGTCGCTGTTACCTACTTCTCAAGGTATTACTCAATTGCATGAACAATTTCGATGTGGCATGACTGACTTGACTGGAGTAGATATCAGTAGTGGACGATCCACGAAGCACTCCTCAACTCGAACATCTTCGCACCGTGTTTCACAAAGTTCCTCCAGCACCTGTTACGTTCGACTCAACTCCTTATCCACAGTAAAGCACCTCCACGTGCATCATTCACGATGGCTGCACAGGAGGACTACGCGTTTAATCGACAATGCGTAGCTTACCAAACTGGAAGAGTTTCGCGAACTATCCGCAGGATCATCCGTGTTCGACTGAACGAGCGTACAGACAGCAAAAACTCGCATGAAACGAAGAGCCTTGAACTTGAGCCCTGGGATGATGCTCCGTGGTCTGAAGAGGAGTTAACGATCACAAACGTCGAGTCGTGAGTGTCTCTTAACGTAAACAAAAATACATTTGAAGCTAATATTTGATAGGACTGAGCTTGTTCTTGTTGTCGGCGAGTTCGTTGATACCAAATTTGAACTAATTGAATACACCGGATCAACACCGTCATCTCCTGATGACTTCGAGCCCGGCAGACACAATTTCGTACAGAAACAAGAAAAGATTGGAATTGTGGTAATAAGGCTCAAAGATTCCAAATGCAACTTTTATATACTACGTGACCAAGTTGGGGGCCTACGACGGGTAACCATGATTCCTTCTGGTACTAATAATCAAGACCATATCTTTTGGTATTCCGAATGGATAGCCAACACAAGATTAACCCAAGCCAAGCTGAGATTTCAAGCCTGGAGAAACAATATGACCGCATGGGTGGCGAATTACGTCGAGGGCCACCAAGGGGACTTTCTTGATGAGCAGAGAGCGTCAAATCTGCCTGCCTCGGCCCAAGAGTTTGACCTCAGTCCAATCCACAGTATCATAGCAGCAATTCGAACTGGAATCATGATCTGGGATGAGACTGGAGACGAAACGCATCTTGCCCAAGTGCAGTCAAACGTGGACGATGCACTAAAAAAGGTGGACTGGAGCAAGCATGCTGAGGATACCGATGGCCTCATGGATGTGTTCCGTTTGTTGATGAACGGCCCGGGCTTCGAACACGCTGATGCGCACAAGATTTCAAACTTCTGCAAGGTATGTTTAGTCAATCATGAAAGTTATGGCATGCTAATTTCAATTAGGACGCCTGGGGCTTGGCCGCCGAACCCGACTTCTTTATGGGCCTGTACCAAGAACTACGTCAAGATGGTCTAGGTGATATCAATGTCGAAGAAAGTTTGTACAGAGTGTTCATCACCAGGTATTGGGATCTCTGTCAGTATCCGGTAAGAGCAACCGAGGAGAGCCAAGAGGGCAAGAAGGGATATTCCAACCTCAATCACGCATATGACTACGCTATTATGGCCGTGGGTCGTCCACTCGACAGCCTCCAGAAAACACCTTGCAAAGTTGACGCTCCAAACACAATCGCCATTCTCGACAATCTGATAGGCTTGAGAGAATTACAATTGGACGCAATTCAGCAGCGACGTGCCTTGGAGAAGGAAGAAGCTCCCAAAACTGTTCTAAAGAAAACTGACAGCATCTCGAAGATGATTCGTGAGCTGTCAAAAAGTCTGGACCGACATGAGCTCGAAGAAGGATTGAAGTCCATCGGTAATATGATGTTTCAGCGAGTCGACGCTTTCGCGCAAGATATAGTCTCGATGATCAAGGAGGATTTGGAGGGATTGAAGGCCTTCAGGACTATGTATTTGAGGATGGATGGTGGTGAAGATGAGGATGAATCCATGGAAGATGAAGAGTCAGACTCTTAACGAAGGGATTTGATGGTTTGGTGGTATGGACGATGGATAGTGGACGATCCATGGATTACAATTAATGCAGCGCAATGGAGTTATACAGATCACATCACGCATTTCATAATCATAATCGCAATAAGATCAGCGTAACTTTGGTCTCTCTCTCGCTCTCTATGGCCTGACTGATCTACTTCTGTTTGTCTTCCACGGGAATTTGCGCGAGGTCGTCCAGAACAATTTCAACATCCTTTCGAAGGCGGACTAGAAGTTCAGAATGTATCTGAGCCCTGTTCAAAAGATTGTCGATGCGACGAAGTTTGGCGAAATGGCGACTATCGAGACCAATAGGACAAGCAGGTCGAGGACCGAAATCGAATTTAATCAAGCCATGATCACGCTGGTAGTTCTCGAGTTTGGTGAAAGATTCTTTAAGAGCCCTCATACGTTGAGCTTTCTTAGTCTCATCGGGAGCCTTAAGAAACGCGGATAAATCTTGAAACACGGTTTGGAGGGCTTTAGGGGCGCCACCTACAGGACAAGTGTTAGATATAAACAAGAGCATTGATATATTGCCTTTGCCTTTTGTTTTTTGTTTTTTTGTCTCCTGCCATCGTGGACTGATTACAAAGTGGATAATGCACTATGTAATGATGAGAAGTATTGTTGATGCGAATGGGACGATGCACCGTGAAGGATGGTAACAAGAGGTGACTTATTGATGTTTGTGGTTAATGTTATAAAGTGGATAATGCACTATGCAGTGCCGAGAAATAGTTATTGATGGAGGAAGTGGGTAGAACCACAAAGGATCCCTAATGATAATATGATATTAGGTACCTTAGTTATAGCATACCTACCTAAGTACTAGTAGGTACTTACCTACCTAACAAACGTATACAAGAACCTTGTAGGCTCTCGCTTTTTTGCCGAGTTGGTCAGCTCCTCCCTTGAGGTGTGATTGTAGAGATTGTCTAGGCAGTTACAGGTTGTCTATGAATGTAACTGCCAGGCTATGTAAACACTCGGTATGCATCACTGTTTCCCCATCTTTCATTTACAGAGCCTTCTATTTCAACACAATTCATCTCCATGTCACATCAATTCTCACTAAACATCCATACACAGACATCGCTATCATGTCTGTTGCAAACAACGACCAGCCGGCAACCCGTGCTGAAGCACAAAAGAAGCTGACGATTTTACTCAACCGCATGGTCAGCGATGGAAAAATTGATATCCCAAATGGCCATCACTTCCAACTGGATGATAATGGAGTTCCCGTGGTGGTCGTTAAACAGATGCCGAAAGTTTCACCCAAGAGAATATGCCAGATCAAGGACCATATACAAAATAACCTTCAACAGCATTTCATTTACTGGGGAGGAATATCAATCCATCTGCACATGCACCCAGAACCGACAAGCCACTCCCATCTCTGGGGCCTCATCCAAGCCTGCCACAAAGTCACCGTGGAGGACTACAACTGGATCCATCACGCATACAACACCCTTGAGAAGAGTCCGCAGAAACTCCTTACCTTACTGCTTAAGGACAAACTGGCTCCATGTATCGGTCGATTGGTTAGCACCTGCAGCGAGCAAATCCAGTCTGTCGGGCATGCTATATCTGAGCTTCAGCTCCAGAAGCTATCTTACAACCACTTTGGGCTTTATGTTCTGATCTCTAGGATTCACCAGCTCTACGGTGAAGCCATTAAAGGTCCAACGACAATTGAATCCTCTGCCCAGAAAGGGAAGCAGATTGCGCAGTGCCTGAGGTGTCTGATACAAGCGACCAACCCCGTAGATCCCCGGAACAACCTTGACGCCGAGGTATTTGTCTCCCTGAAGCAGAGATGCGATGAGATATCGGATGGAAATCGAGACACATCTATATCTCCTGAGCCGTTCGACTTTGTCGACTGGTACGTCAAGAATGATTAAGAGATACCTTGAGGCTCTGTCGACCTAGCCGTGGATGTGTTAATAACCGACATTATGTATTAATAGCATAACCAATAGCTCAGCTCTCCAATCGGTAAATTAATATCTATGGAACTGATTGATAAGACCCCTGTCTGCTCTGTGAACGTGGTAGAGAATGAATAAGTGGAGATGCTCTTAGCGTGCCGATCATGCACTTGCCCTTTTTTAGACAGCTCTGTCTATAGTGGGTGGGTAAGATTTCGATGACTTCCTCTCTTTTAAAGTACCTATATAGAGTTTATAATAATTTAAACTCTTTTACTTTATACAATCTTGGGTAATTTCAGGATACCCTTATATGTGAGATATCCTAATTATTATATATATTCCTGGTCATTATTGTAACCTTTGCATGGGACTGTATTTATCTAGAATCAGGTTAGAACAAACTTGTATTAAATTCTACGCATTTGATCATTTTAGACAAGGTTCGTCCTTAAATTACCTCAGGCTTTCAAATTCTCCTCTTATATGGTCTAACTTATGATATCTACTCCTAAATTTAGATGGTATCTTCTTAATCTTGAGTAGCCTCGTTCCTTACTCACGATGTCTTGATATTTATTTGTTATTCGTCAAGTGGTCATTGTATGCGGGGTTTTATTGTCACCCGCCCACCTAGGTACTTACCCGTCCCGATCTTGGAGGTCACAATCGCGGCGTTTACTTAGCATTTTCCATTGGCAAGACGAGAAAACTTTGATCATTTGAACGGCAACACCGAGCAGTCATGAAAATCACCTGCCACTTGAAGACACGGCTCTACTCCCCCAAATTATACGAGGCTGCGGTATCATGGGCAACCAAACATACTCTTTCTTGCTGACCTTTTCCTGTTGACTTCTTTTCTTCCTCCCCCTTCAACTTCGTTTTCTCGGATGCCCCGCGCTAATCAGGGGACCTTGCAGGTGGTTTCCCGCTAGAATTCAAGCTTTGCTTCTTCTTGTTCCTTTTTTGGCCAATCTCTGGACTCCCCGCGTGGCCCGCTTCCTGCTTTCTCTCTGTCTGCATCCCGAGTGCAGTGGTGTTACCTCTCCGCTGGCACCTGCTGAGGCTCTATAAGCCAGAGAGATACATGCTTTTGCGTGGCGACTACCCTATGCAAGGAAGTACCTACTTGCACTTACCCGCTGCTTGGCTGCCACTGCTTGCTGCCACCACTTACTCACTGTTGGTCTTATTTGGTCTAGCACTTTTTAGGCTCTCTGTCCGCTTCTCACCTGGGCTTCTCCTCTACCTACCACCAACTTGCTACGGAGTAGTCTTCCTTTTATCTCCTGTTCAAGGGTTGATCACGCACAGAAAAAACGAGTCGCCGTCTCCCTTATCGCATTGCTTCTCCCTCGATCCTAACGCTGTTTCTTTTGGCTTCGCCCTGTCGATAATGCGAACACTGAGCCTTGAAGCGCACCCGCTCGACAAATTCTGGCTTCTGTCTTAACTTTTAAGGTACCTTAGGTGGCGATTACGCTCACCTCTCACCTCACTCGCCGCTTGTCTTCCTCACCCTCACTTTCGTTCCCGCCTTCACCTCGTTGTCAGACACACATCAATACCAATCCTATCGCTTGCCCGTCGCAGTAGCGAAACGGGCTCTTCCCGGCTTCAATGGAGATTCAACATCCGTCGCATGAGGTCCGGGCTCCTCTCCCTCAATTCCAGCACCCCTCTTCCCAACCTCAGTCAGTGTCTGCGCCTGTCCCTGCGCCTGGGCCTCTTCGTGCTCCCCAGTTCGTAGCCGAGCAGGGACCAATCCCTATCAGCCTACAGAAAAGCGTCATCGAACCAACACCATATCTTCAAGCTCCTCTAATTACCATGCACCAAGACGCATCTTTTTCTACTATTACTACCAACCGACCATCTCCCCCAGGGCAGGTGCCCTCACTCTCTCCAGAACTCGACCGGGATGATGCGAGTTCAATTCTAAGCGAACTGCCGTCTGAGCTGGATGAGCCACCAACTGAGCTTGACTTAATCGACTTTGACTGGGATGGCCCGGAAGGACATGAAGTGTTGCGACTCAAACCAACCGTCGAACAATGGAACGATTTTGCTGCTAATCTAGCCTTCGCTAGAAGCCAAAACGCTGACAGGCATGGCTGTTTCAAAATCGTTCTCCCACAAGAGCTTATTGAAGACCTCCCAGAGAAGGACTCCCAAAAAGTACCTGCGAATGCATATAAGCCCATCCAAATCAAGAAGAACAGCTTCTGGCGAGTTGACACTGTTTCTTCTGTGGGCAGTTTCAACTCGTCTGTTACTGGCCCAGTATGCAAAGTCACTGCCGCTAAGGCTATTGACCAGCTGAAGAAGATGTACCATAAGAGCAATCGCAAACAGATCCGAAACGTGCGTTATCGGGTCGATGTTCCTGCATGGACCCCCGAGCAACGCCGTGAGGCCGGTGTTCCTGAACGCAGCCCTATCTATCCTCTCAAAGGTGATATGCTGGACAGCACAAAGGCCATTATCCCCGGAATCCATACGCCGTATGTGTATGAATCAGGTCCCCATTTCGGTGCAAGTTTCCAGATACACGCAGAAGACTTCCGGCTTGTCTCCCTGAACCATTTGTATAAAGGTCGAAAGATTTGGATTGTGGTTCCATCCACTGCCGTCGACATCGCCGAGGAGGCCCTTGGTCGAAAAGGCAAATGCTCTCAGTTCATGCGCCACCGAGCCGAGTTCTTCTTTCCGCAGAAGCTTGAGAAACTCGGCATCCCTTTCCGCATTATTGATCAGCGCCCTGGTGAGACCATAGTAATTCTACCGGACGCTTATCACGAGGGCTTTAGCACAGGCTATACCATCGCTGAAGCCAAAAACTACGCCGATGATGCCTGGTCCACCGAGACGTATCAGGAATGCGAGGTCAAGTGCCAGCTTGCTACAGCCATCCCAGCTGATTTCATGAGACCGTTGCAGAATGGCGAGACACAGCTTGATCTCTGTGCCGGGTTCGAGCTAATAGAAGCACAACAAACACCCACACCTACACCGTCCCCTCCGTCTGCACAAACGAAGCGGCGTTTGGAGACCGGGGAGCGGAAAAGCGGGAATGCTAAACGGGTCAAGGGATAGGGCGGCTCAGGGAACTATGATCTACTCGTTTGCATGCATACGGGGCGTTACTGTTACTTGCTGATGCTTTAATCATCAATCATTCATCATTTACACTGTGCAGGGGATGGGATTTTGCTATGGATGGCTTCGGAATACCCATGACGCCCGGCGTATGACAATTGTTCCTCTCTTTATGTTTACGGATTTGAAGCTTGGCTGGTTGTTTTTCTTGGGTGTATTGCTCTTTACGGATGTACGTTTATCTCGTGGGCACAGGCAGGCCACATCGACTGTGGTTGATAGACAAGGCGTTCGTATTAATTTTCGTTATGCGTCGTGTCGAATCGTTACACCTAATTGTCGCATCTACATGCAAATATCGCTACAGTATTACTCATTTGTACATTGGAACAGACCGCATGGCATCAAACTCAAAGCCAGCGTCACATGGGATCCAAAATTACAATCAATCCTCCTCTCTTTACATACGTCGCTCCTCCTCTTGTCTCCTCATCTCGTCACGGAAGGCATTGCGGCCGTCAGCGTTGCCCTGGTGAGGGAAGTTAGGGTCGACAGGGCTGCCAGCCAAGCTGCCGAGAGCGTCACTATCGGCACGGGCACGCTGAGGAGCATCACGGTACTCGCCAGGAGGAGGAACGGAAGTGTCGAGCTGGATCCCGTTATCCCTGGCACCAAAGATGCGGCGCTTAGCACGGCCAGTGTAACCGTGACGGGAGCGGCTTGAGATGTTACCGAGACCAATGTGACGGGTCTTGCGGTTCCAGAGGTATCCACCAACGATAAGAAGGAAGAGAGATCCGAAGACGACAGGCAGGGCAATGACAAGAGTCTGGCCCGCAGGGAGCTTCTCATGGGCCTTCTCGGGGAAATCTTCAGAGTTGAGGTGGAGATACAGAGTCGAAGACTTGGTCTTCTCGAGCGAGTTGTTGCTGTTGCTGTAGAGGGTGAGGGAGATGTTGTGCGAATGCTTCACGTAGTCGTTCTTGACATCGAAAGGCCAGTAGCCCCAAGCGGCAGGGACGGCGGCATCGGTGAACTCCTTGTACTTCTCCCACTCTCCGCTCGATCCGTTGAAGATGTTGAGGCGGGGAGTGATCATGAGGGTAGAGTTGTCGGTGGACTTGGTCTTGTTGAAGAAATCGGGGTCCCAGGTGACTTTACGGGTAATGTTAGCAAATGAACACAAACCAATTGATCAATGGTGCTAGCCACTTACCATAGTATGTCTTCTTAACATCGAGGGTGCTGTTGGCGTAAGGCGCGCAGAAGGGAGCATTGTCGCCATCCTTGTTGTAGCACCGAGAAAAGACACCCTCGCCATTCTTGCCGGTAGCCCGGGGATTGGGAGGCTCGCCAGTGCTGGTGTGAATCTTGCCCCAGCTAGTGTAGGTGTAGACACTGGCGGTGAGATCGTGAGGAGCAGCGTCCACAATGGAAGTGGTGCCATCAACGGTCGTGTACGAGGGAGTGTAGGTCGTCGCGGGCTGCATGTCATCATCGATGGTCACCCAAGCAGCGGTCTTGTCGGCTCGCTTCTCCAGACCAGCATTGGCTTGGAGATCTCGCTCGTGGCGGATGACCGTGGCATGGGCAGAAGCCATGAGGCCCATCGTGGCCAGGATCCTTGATGCGTGCATTGTTGTTTTTGTTTACTGTTTTTGTTCCCTCGACGATAATTATCCGTAACACGACGTTTCCGTTTCCAGGAGACTCAGCCTTTTCACACGATCGATTCGCCGACGGAGAGCAAGGGCGATGGAATTAAGTAGCAAGAGGAGGTTGAGGGAGAAGAGGTGAAGAAAGAAAGAGAGAAGAAAAAAGCTGGGACACGGGGAGATTTGAATACCATACCAAGCAGCACAGCAACAAGGAGAAGACCGATCGGGCCGGGCGAAATGGCCCCTGCGACCAACCACAAGCTGGATTTTTTCTATTTCCATGGGGGGCACTACTATTTCGCGCAGCTTTCGCAGTGGGTCGAACACCTGCAGGGCCCCATTCCCCGGGGGATAGCCAGGGGTTTTACGGGGCGGGTTCTGCAGTGCAACGGGACGCTAATGCCGGAGAAGCCGCCAAGAGAAAAGAACGGTCGGGATGGGCGAGGAATTAGAGGATGAAGGACGTGATGTCATGTTGTAAATGTTTAGAGTGAAGGGAAGATGGTTTTGAGGCTATCATGAGCTGATAAAAGACGTTAAATGTTGTTTGTATGTTTAATGGTCGCTTGCTTTTGAGTGGATGGATTGGTAAACGGCGCAATTAATCGATAATGTTTATCTGCCCGTTGATCAAAAGATTAAGGTAGACGTTAGTAATTTTGACAATATACCGGCTTTACTGTAACTTACAATTTTCTCATAGGTTGCTCCTAGACTATACAGACCCCTATGATGAGGCTGTTCCACGATGGCCCGTCTGCATAAACGAATGATCAAGAGTTACCAGCGTGTCTCGTACTAAGAGGTCTCGTCAATTTAAGTTTACTGCACATATGCAGGCTTGATGGATGTCTCAGAGTATGAAGATTTCAACAGATGCTAACTAACACCGGGCATATACACACATCCTCCCATGAAAGCACTCAACAAACAATAGTGACTTCATGACTTCACAACAATTAAAGAAACGTTCTGTCACTCCTGATTCGACGATCTCTTAGTCAAGCACATATAACCCGCTTAGTGAGCTCGAGTTTCACAAGCGGGTCTCCGAGATCCTCTGGTGAGATGGCCGAGTTGGTTATGGCGCCAGGTTAAGGTTAACCTTAACACCAATTTCCTGGTGGAGCAATCCTCCTGGGTTCAAGTCCCAGTCTCATCAAATATTTCTTTTTGCTTTTCCCACAGATTTTCCTGCTGAATGTCCGAATCACATTGTCATCTTCTCGCCGGGGACGGCCCTAGGGCAGGTATAAACACGAATATCTGGTGTCCATCTTTTAGTGGCATAGATTATCAACGAATGAAGGCGAGGACAGGACGTCAATCCGGCCGAGTGGGTTGGCAAACTGTTCTGAATGGTGTAGTCCGATTGGCTGCCCTGGATGTACACTGAAATCTTCTTGGGAATGATAATCAAGGTCAAGGTCAGCAGCTAGAGAGAACCAAGGCTGTTGAAGTTGTTGGCTTGGATATAGAAATGAAGTTCATGAAGTATTGCACTGGTTAACATTGTATCCGTCCAGGGCAGCTCGCAGACCGTCTTCTAGAGCGTCAATGGTGAGCGACTTATGTTCTCACCAAGTTACAGACGCCAACTTATTCTCAAGATGGATGGCTAGGTTTTGAAACATTACAATGATAGGCAGTGAATTATTATGTAGCGAGCTGAAGACTTTTCGTCTCAACTCTCTCTGCAGCTAGTGAATCACTCTGCCTACTCTATCTCTCTGGATATAAATCCTCGGTTTCTTCCTTTCTCCCCTCTTCTTCTCTTTCTCTCTTCCATTCTACTTTACCTCTCCAGCTCTGTCGAAAACATGCATGAGATGGATACCAAAGTTGAGGCTACTTGCCCCAACAACTCCTACGTCGCCAACCCTGACATGATCAAAGAAGAAGGTTTCGACAAGGCCATCAAGTCAGAACCGGAACTTGAAGAAAACGACCTCCATGACTATCCCCTGGCAATCAAAGACGAATCTGTTGAGCACTCGGATGGGATTGAGTCAGAAGTCGAGGTTATCATTCCCTACACGATCAACGACGAATGTGACAGTGTCGCTTTGAAATCGGAATCGGAGCTTGAAGGAAACGATCTCGATGATGATCCCACAACAATCAAAAGCGAATCTTTCGAGTATTCGGATGAGGCTGGATCAAAAATTGAGGCGATCAGCTCCTACGGAGAGGAAGATGAGGGCGACGTCGGTTTGGAATTGACCAAGGAGGAATTTTGCGAAGACCAGTATGAGGCTTCGGTGAAGTCAGGGGATATCGAATCCCCCAATGAAGGTGATTCCGACCTCGCTAACTCTATTGCGCTTAAGGAAGAAGCTGTCCAAAACGTGAGTGTGGCGGATCTACATTCTACTGAAGAGACCTTTTGCGCTGACAGACTAGGACAATGAACCGTCCGATGTTATCAATCTATCTGAGGGATGGCCTGAAGATCGGGAATGCGACCAAGCCGACGACGGCAGCGACGGCGACGACAGCGACGACTTTGGAGCCGCTGTCGTATTGGTCCCGCGTCGCCCCTCTGGGCCTCCCAGCTCTGGAGGTGCCCAGCAGCAAATGTATGCACCAGAGCCAGAAAGCCCAACACGAACTTCAACTAATCGTCGCCGCAAACATGGTGCGGCAGATCTTGGCCCTACAAACGATCAACAACGCTCCAAGAGGGCTCGTTTGGAAGATGATATGATAGACGAAGAGCCTATCTTTCTCCATGCTACGGCTCTTGAGAATAGCTAGAGTGTGTTCAATATGAACAGGTCTATTGGGTCTTCCGTGGATGAGGAAGAATACGTTAGAGAAGAAGAGTTGTGCATGTCCTGGGCGTGAAGAAGGAATTAGGTATGGACTTATATGTGGTCTTTATCCTTTGATACCGAGCAGATGTGTCTTTATTCATCACTATACAAGTTATTGATAAGCTCGAAACATGTGAGGCAAACCAGAAATGAAGAATATGTTTTTATTCTCGCGAACATACTTAAGATCATATCATAGGTATCCTAGGGGGTGAGAAAAGACTTCAGACGTGAGAAATCAAGTAGATATAGGCTATTATATACCATAATTACTATAATTAGCTTTAAGAAATATTAAAAAGCTATTAAAAATCAGACTAAAATTTAGTAATTATTTTAATATTTATATAAAAGTAAAATAATTTTATTTAAATACTCTTCTTACAGTAAAAAGTCATCTTAATTTTCGTCCCGTGTCTGATATTTTATTTCACCTTGAGGGTATCATACTTAGGTATCAATCAGTTAATGCTTCTATCCGCTACCGTTGACGTGCTCCGGGATATCACGTGATGCATAACGTCATCTCCTTCCCCGTCGCGATTTCGGAATCCTTTGGGGAAGTGCCCACCCACTTCTCCCGGGTCTAGCTCTTCAGACGACGTCAACGACAACCTTTTCCACACTCTCTTCCTAGCCAATTGACCTCCAATTGACTTCAAAAGAGCCTCATAACCCAGTCACGATGTTCGCTCGATCTGCATTCCGCGCTGCTCAGCCCTTGAGGGTATGTTTCATTCCTGTCTCTCCCCGCGCATTTAAACACCCCTCCGTCATTGGCCGGCGGATTATCAATCATCGCCAATGCCTCGTTTTTCTAGGCGCATGGGGCTAACTTTTTGACTCAGTCTGTTCGACGATATGCCACCGAGGCCGGAGGCGCTGGCGGCCCAAACCCTCTCCTCTTCGTCGGAGCTGCTGCTGCTGTTGGCGGTGCTGGATACTGGTACTTCAGTAAGAGCGGAGCTCCCTCTGCTGCCGCTGCTGCCGAGGACGTGAAGCAGGCTGTTGGCATTGAGCCTAAGAAGGCCTTCACTGGTGGCGACCAGGGCTTCCTCTCTCTCAAGCTCTCTGATGTCGAGATTGTCAACCACAACACCAAGCGTCTGCGCTTCGAGCTCCCTGAGTCCGACCAGGTCTCGGGTCTGCAAGTTGCCAGCGCCCTTCTTACAAAGTACAAGGGTCCCGACGACGAGAAGGCCACTCTCCGACCCTACACCCCCATCAGTGACGAGAGTAAGTAATCCCAACTATCTCTCTTGAACATGTACTGACTCACTATTCTAGGCGAGAAGGGTTTCCTCGACTTGCTTGTTAAGAAGTACCCCGATGGTCCCATGAGCACACACATCCACAACCTTGTTCCCGGTCAGCGACTCGACATCAAGGGACCTCTCCCCAAGTACTCCTGGGAGGAGAACAAGCACGATCACATCGCCCTCATTGCCGGCGGTACCGGAATCACCCCCATGTACCAGCTCGCCCGTGCCATCTTCAACAACCCCAACGACAAGACCAAGGTCACACTCGTCTTCGGCAACGTTTCCGAGCAAGACATCCTCCTCAAGAAGGAGTTCGAGCACCTCGAGAACACCTACCCCCAGCGTTTCCGCGCTTTCTACGTCCTCGACAACCCCCCCAAGGAGTGGGTCGGCAACAAGGGATACATCTCCAAGGACCTCCTCAAGACTGTTCTTCCTGAGCCCAAGAACGAGAACATCAAGCTTTTCGTCTGCGGTCCTCCCGGTCTGATGAAGGCCATCTCTGGAAACAAGGTCAGCCCCAAGAACCAGGGTGAGCTGACCGGTGCTCTCAAGGACCTCGGCTACAAGGAGGATCAGGTGTACAAGTTCTAAGCAGATCATGTGGATGTAATGATAGAGTTAGATGCTGGCGACATAGTATAAAGAGACTAGTGTACGATTTTGCTCATAGAAGCGACATAGATGACGGGTATGCCGTCTGAATTGATACAGGCCAATTTACATCAAGCGTTTGATCATATTGTTCACTGACTGTGAAGTATCGTGATGAAAGCACGGGGACGGTTAAAAAATCAGGGTGGAGATCCTCCAAGTCAATGATTGAACGGAGACACTCATCACATCATCATAAGATGGTATAAGCTTCTTATTTAGTGAATTGTACATCATTATGCTTAAATGTTGAGTCGATAGATCTCTTCAATATCCAAGATCGATTCAATCTAAGGCCTAATCAGAGAGACTATCAATAGCACTGCTGATGGAGCGCGAAATGATGGCAGACCACTTAAGACCATTGATATAGTCCTTTGCGTCGATGCTTTCAACCCAACCAGGGAAAACAGCTATAAAGTATTAGTAATTGAGTCACAACGCTCGGACGTTTCACTTACCTCCAGCGTAACCGGTCCAGATACCAGGCGCAAACACAACATGCTTGAACCAGTCTCGGCCATCTAAGCCACCCTCGTAGAGGAAGCTCCTCTCGAGGAACTTGTATCTCTTGTTGACCTTGACAATAGTGTAACCCAAGCGGATCTTCTTGATAATGTTCCACCACGGGATGCCTTCCTCGAGCTCACGCTTGGCAATTTCGGCCTCGGCGTCAAGCTCCCTAGCCTTGAGGTTGAACTCGCCGAGTTGCTTGCGGATATCTTCAAGACTCCTCTTGAAGTCGTCTTCGCTACCGATTGGCTTGTTTGACAAGACGGCACCGCGGGCGTTGAAGAGTTCCTCGTAGCTGAGGGTTTCAGCGGCAGGCTCAAACTTGGCCTCGACCTTGTCAAGGTAGCCCTCTAAAGCATCGGCGTACTCGCTGGCACTGAAGGGAATGATGACGGTGCCGGCGAGCTTTGCAATGGTCAGACCAAGGACCTGGGCCATGGTTCGGTGGTACTTGAAGCCGACATCTCCGTATTCCTTCATCCAGTAGAAGCTGTCGTAGTTGCTGTGGTAGTGGTAGACAGCGCTGTCGCTGCTGTACTTGAAACCGAAATCGATGCAGGGAATGCCAGCAAAGTCTTGGAAAGCAGTGAAATCGCTGCCGCTGCCCATAGTTGCAATCCTCTTGGACCAGAGATCGTTGACGGTCTGGCCAGGGACGGTCTGGTTGGGTGAAGGAACAGCGCTTGTAACATCGCGGATGAGCTGGTTGAGAAGAGGAGCTGCAGAGGCGGTGAATTCGGGGCCATCAACGCCGACGTCAACGTTAACGTAGGCGACATTGGCTTCGGAAAGCCAAGGAAGATATTCCTCAACCCATTCAGTGCTGCCGATGAGAGAGTACTCCTCACCATCCCAGCTTGCGAACACGATGGTTCGAAGAGGCTTCCAACCGGCCTCAATAGCCTTTCCGACTCCGCGAATAACCTCGTTTATAACTGCTGAGCCGCTGTTGGGATCGCCAGCTCCGCCAGCGATCCAAGCATCTCGGTGGTTACCGACGACGATAACCTCGTTGGGGATGGTGCCGTTAACAATGCCGATGACGTCCCAAATAGGGGTGGTGACATATTTCTGCTCGTTGTAAAGGTTGATGACAACATCGTCTGGCGTAGGGCCAATGTTGTAGTCAACTCCCTTGTACTTGAGGCCTAGGTTCTTGTTCCAGTACTTGTTGAAATCAGTAATCTTGGGACCATGACCGTTCAGAGCCTTGAGGATAGGAAGCGCATCACGATATGAGATGGGGATAGAAGGAATGTGAGCAGTAGCATCGTCAACTGGAGCTCGAGGAACACCGGGCTTGGAGGGATAGCCAGGGGTAGATCTAAAAGGTCAGTCGAGTCTAATTTGGAGGATTGGGAGACATACGGATCACCAGGACGAATACTCAAGAACTCTGCACTTCCACGCTGAACAGCGCTGGGGTTACGCGCAGGACCCTTGGGGTAGGGCTTGTATCCATTCTCCTCAGTCCTCTCGCCATCATCGCCAGGGTCGCTGTAGATGAGAATACCTTCAAAGCCCAGTTCCTGTGCACGCTTGACTTTGAGGCCGCGGAAAATTCCACCGTATCTGGCAATAGCAATCTTGCCCTTGACATCAATCTTGGCATTAACGAGATCCTCGTAATCTTGATAAGTTCCATAGTTGACATAGACAAAGGACGCAGTGACATTGCCACTTGCTGAATAGCCGTGGAAGATGGGCACACGGTTATCAAGCGAGCTTGTGGGATCCTCGTCGATGATGTCTTCCTCGAGAGAGGCTTTGAAGGTAGTGTTCCAGTCTTTGCCGTTCTTGGTCTTCTTCAGGATTGAGACACTGGCATCAACGGGGTAGTTAAGATAGGCGTCGTAGGAAACAATTTCTGACTTGACTCCGAACTCCTCCCAACGGTCCCTTGTCCATTCAGCCTGAGAAGAGTAAGCCTAAGCAGTGGATAAATTAGAATAATGGAAGTCACCTGTGAATAGTTGGCACCAGCCAGATGGGGGCCCGAGGTGTAGTAGCGGCTCCATTCCTCAGCCTTTTTAGGATCCGGAGTATCAAAGAGAATACGTTCCAATTCGTCGTAACTCAGACGGCTCTTGCCGGGCAACCAAGAACCAGGGTGGCCATGATGATGGCGGGGACCAATTAGGAAGTTCTGGAAGAGGAACAAGCCAAACCCGCCAACAAGAACGACGGAGCAAATCAGAGTGAAGAAGCGACGCCAGGTCTGATGAGGATACCGCCTGCGGGCTGGGCCGACCCGGACGGTTTGGATGAGAGGAGTGCTCTCGTTTGGCATTTTCTCCTGATGAGAGGAGCTACTGGGGGGATTAGGTTTTAGTATAGGCCTTGGAGCTTGAGGATAGATGTTGTCCAGCTTAGGGGATGACGACGTCCGGGAAGCGGAGGGTGTTTGGCATTTGAACTCACAGCCTGCTCATGGTGAAGGTCCACGCGAGATTGGTGCTCCAGGGAGTAGTGTTTAGATTGAAGACCTCATGTATCGGGATTGGATGTTGATGGTGTCGAGGAGTTGGAAGTGGCTTGGAGTGTGTAACAAGTTGAAGTTGAGGTTGACGACGAAACCGAAGTCGAAGACGTGAAAGTGGTAGGTGATGACGTTACAGAGCAAGGAAGCTGATTGGCCAATCATACCCATGTTGCAGGTGGCGCTGCCGTTCCCGGCCGCGGTTGAAGATAACGGGGATTAGGATTAGATACGTAGTAATTATGCGTGGTGTCCGTAGTTGACGGTATGAATGTAAAACTGCACCAAAAACATGGGCAATTGTAGTATATAATTATAAGCACAATTGACTTATACCATTTAATACAGTTTAAAAGCTAACAAAGCCCCAGCTTCCAAGCCGTCAGTAGGCTAAGAAGGCCACCTATAGTCGGCCGAGCTCTCGGGACGGCAATAGAGCGGAGACAGGCGGGGAAAGTGCCCGGAGAGGGGTTGCATCTGGTGCTGCAGCTGCTGCAGCGGCTGCATATGGAGGGAGGCTAGGGAGGTTGGAGGTTGGACATGACCCGAAGCAACCTGGCGCGGTCCGCTTTCGGGGGAGGAGAGAGAAATGACAGGCATGACAGGGAAAAGACAATGCTAGACAGTACAAGACAATGATTAATAAGCTCACGATTCACACAAACACTAACCCGAGAGACAAATCTACATCACGTATGGATATGGATACAATCGTACATGTACATGTACACGTACATTACATTACAAGACCTGCAGAATCGGAATTATCGAGATCTCATGCGTCATTGTATCTCACCCAATGTCTTACAAGAAAAAGCACTTTTCTTCCCGCTTGTGGCGCGGGGAAAGGAAAATAGGCGCCTTATACTAACAATCCCCGTCCGTACCGTATCATGCAGCCCAAAAAGTGTAGCTGCTCTTGTGACCCATCCTCGTTTCTTCACACACCCACCCACCCACGGCCCAGCTTTTCAGTGCATTTTCTAAGACACGGGCTACTTTATTAATTAACTAATATTGAGACACGGCCTACATGTACGATCCAATAATCGGCTTCCGACCGCTAAATCAATCCCTGGTCGCTGTTCGTCCCCATTTCTGCACGTCTTAAACCCAGCCAAACCTCTTTTGGTTCCTCGACCCAATTCTTTTTTTTCTTGGGGGACTTGGCTTTCTATTACTTTGTCTGACTCTCTTCTCTCCCTTCACCTTCACCTTCTTGTTCTTCCCTTCACTATTGAGACTTTTCGGGAGGTTCTGATGAGTTTGATCACGTTTTCTGCTGTATTTTTCAGACTACCTTAGCCGGTCCATTTCTATATATTCCTCAAACTCTGTTGGACAAGACGCTAGAAACAAGAGAGAAAAAGTTGCTTTCACTTTCCATCCCAAAAAGACTTATTTTCCCTCCCGTTGTCGAATCGCTCCTCATCATGACGACCAAAGGTAGCCCGAAGCTGCCGAAGCAGCAACTGGCGATTCTGGGTAAGTTCTCGGGATTTTCCAATCTGTTATGTCCTAAATCCTATCCTACCTGTAAAAACACTTCAAAAGAGACCCTCGTCATGATGTCTTTGGGCCGTGCTCGATTTTCGCATTTCGTATACACGCGAGCACAATTGAATAAGCCTCGACATATATAGAAACTGTCGATGTGTCTCTTTGTTCCTATACCACGGTGTGCTCTCATATGTATATCCTTGATAGAGCAACTTCTCATCGAGAACAGAGGCGCTATAACATTGATACATCCAGATCCATAGCATCACAATGGTCCAATCCTCAGGTACCCGCAGACACCGCCCGATCTCCATGCTAACACCCTCTTAGCCATTGCCAGAATCGCTGAGCCCATGGCCTATACCTCAGTCTTCCCATATCTTCCCAGCATGGTCGCCAGTTTTGGTGTACCTACTAACAAGGTTGGAAGCTGGGTGGGGCTCACATCCGGTGTCTTCTCCATCTCCCAGAGCATCACTGCAGTGGCGTGGGGAAAGGCATCTGATACTTATGGCCGGAAACCTATGATCATCCTGGGTCTTTTGAGTACCATGATCTGCTTCATAGTATGGGGCATGTCCACCAGTTTACCCATGGCTATTGCAGTCCGAGCTATCCAGGGCGGCGGAAACGGAAACGGTATGTAACATCATCTCAGTATATCTGGAGTCTTGCTAACAGCTTATAGTTGGTATCATTAGAACAGTGGTTGCCGAGATGGTGCCAGAAAGAGAACTCCAGCCCAGAGCATTCTCCATCATGCCCATCGTCTGGAGTCTGGGATCTATCATCGGCCCTGCCTTTGGCGGCTTCTTTGCCGAGCCTGCAGAGCAATATCCCAAAATCTTTGGCCACATTAAATTCTTCAAGCGCTTCCCATATGCGCTGCCAAACTTGATCTTGACCATCTTCTTCCTTCTCTCCGTCACCGTCGCAACCCTGTTTCTTCATGTAAGTCCTGACTGTATCTCGACTGCCGACCATCTCTAATCTGGCTTAGGAAACTCTCCCCAGTAAGAAAGGACATCGTGATTGGGGTCTTTTGGTCGGTGATCGAATCACCCGATCCTTCAAGACCGCTCCTCCATCACCCTCTACCCGTCGACCTTCTTTCGTAGACGGTGAGGCTACGTCGCCTCTGCTTCCCAACAAGATGGCACCCAAGAAGGCTCATGAGTCGTCCGAAGGCGACAAGAAGGAGCGTGTTCTTACCCGCCAAACAGCCATGAACCTTCTCGCCTACACATTCTTGGCCTTTCACTCAGTTGCTTACGACCAGATCCTTAGTGTCTTCCTGAGACATCCCGTCGAGAAGCACACTCCTGAAAACACGGCGTTTCCTTTTTACTTCGCGGGAGGATTTGGTATGAGCCATAGCCAGGTCGGCACTATTTACACCACTTATGGCGTTGTTTGCGGCGGTATTCAATTCCTTCTATATCCTACAATCGTTGCTCGTTACGGAGTTTTGCGCTGCTTCCGAATCTGCTGTAAGTAGTTAACCCCCTGATCTCACGACAAGTACTGACAACTTTTAGGTCTCCTCATGCCCCTGGCCTACTTCCTCACCCCGTACTGCGTACTCTTCCCTACCCACCAAGCCCGCATGGCTGCTCTTCTGTTCGTCATGTTCATCAAGGCCGCCGGTATTATTGTTGCATTCCCCTCAACCACCATCCTCCTTACCAACTCCTGTCCCTCTCTTCGTGTACTCGGCACACTCAACGGATATGCCACCACTTTCAGCGGCCTGGGCCGTGCATTTGGCCCAGCTTCCACTGGTGCTCTCTTCAGCTGGGGCGCAGACCACGGCTACGTCGTAACGGCATGGTTCTTCCTCATGTTCATCGCTATTCTGGGAGCTGTCCCGGCTTACCTTGTCGAGGACGGAGCTGGCCCGTCAGCTTCTGCTGCGGCCTCAGCAGAGAACAGTGACTCTGAGAACGAGGAGGGTTCGTCTTCATCGGGCACACTCTTACGGCCTGACGGTTCTGCCATTGCTTCTGACTCGGAAGACGAAGAGAGACCTCTAAATAAGCCTAGGTCGGGAGAGCAAAGTTACGGAACCATTAAGGGAAGCCGAACGTAATGTTCTCCCTGAGGTTCCTTACAGTCCTTTGATGACCACTCAATCGATCGAAGATTGATTCGAACTAACAAAAGGTTTACTAAGTTATGAAGAGGCTATCCTAAGTTTAGGGTAAACTTCAGGGTTAAGCAAAAGTTTTGACAAATTGTGATGAGCTATACTAAGTCTTACAGTTGATTTTAGGATCTACCAAAGAGTTTACTAAATTATGACGAGTTATCCTTAGTCTTATGTCTTAGGGTAGAGTTTAGGATAAAGGTTGACTAAAGTGCTCCGGCGGCTGTTCAGGAAAGCAACAACATCAGTCGGGAGTCGTTTTAGGATAGGCTTTTGCTTTTTATGGATGATCCATGGCCAACAGGATATCGTGGATGATCCAAGCATTTGAGCATTGATGGCGCCGGCATAATGAGTATGATATACGTCTCACATCTAATAATCAGGGGTCCTCATTTAATAAAAGCATTGTTTTTCATAATATTTGATGTTTGTACCTAATTGTTGGCACTTCGGATTCCATGATGCCATCCATCTTGATGATGTCTTCAATCTTTGCCACCGTGATGTTGAAGTTCCCCCAAACATAGAAAATTCAGCATAGGTATAATAATCTGTTGACTTTTCCCGTACAAAACAAAAAGACAACCTCGCAGCGCCGATACCACCGCTTTACAGTAAGATAACAGCTAGTGATCTCCCCAGCCCTACCCCGTAATGAAATATGCTTCCGTTGTCAACGCCCCTGTAATGCCCAAAGGTAAGGTCTGCCGCGCTGTAAAAAAGGGGGGAATCATATGAATACAAAAGACGAAGGAAAGCCCGCCAAATAATGTTAAGAAAAGGGAAACCCCCGGTGTAACATGCCGGAGAGTGCAGCAGTGGCAAATATGGTAATTAGCCATGATGCTTTGTCATGGCTTCCCAGGTCTTGGCTCTTCGTGAACCAATGCTCCTGGGAAATAACGAATAGTACGCGGGCGACCTTCGAGGGTCACTTCCACGCTTAGTAAACGTATGGTGAGATTCCTCTCCGGACATCGGGGGCTCTATACCCCTCTCGCCCATACCGCTCCCAGTCTTCACTGGGATGTGGTCGCGGATGGAGCTCAGTGGGATAATGAACATCCCTCTCTCCATCCTCCCATCTCTCGCTGCGCCAGGGCACCCTCTGGTGCTCGTCAGCGCTTCGGCTGCGCACCTGGTGCTGCTCGTGGACGCACGAGGGATGCTCGCGGAAGTGCTCTAGATCAGCGTCCATCTCACTGAGGCGCAGATAGCTGTGCCCGACCCAGCGGTCAATGGTATCTGCGATCTGGCGGAATCCTTCGGTATGGCCGCCTTCGAAACGGGCTTTGAGACCGCAGACAACAAAGAGATAGCTGTGGATCATTTCGTGTAAGAATGTCGAAATGAGAAGCCGGCGGTTGTACTTTGTGTCTTGGAGGATAGGCGAGGATAGCACAATGAGGGTCTCGTAGCCTCCGTCGCGGGAACGTCGCACTGCAGTTGTGCCAACGATGTGGGCCTGGTATTGCGCACTTGCAGGGTGACTCCAGTCCCATGCGACACGGCCGGCAAGACGGTTGCCGAAGAAGAGTTCGTTTGCTGCAGAGAAGATGCTGCGGAGGGCGTCGTTGTCCAGGGGGAAGTCGGCGGCGCGAGACTTGGGGTTGATAAGAGTCCTCAGAATACGGCCATGGCGTGAATCGGCACCGCGGTGTCTTCGACGGTTGGAGCCAGCGTTGGCGACATGATCGCGAACTAATCGTGCAGCGGCGAGGTCGCTCATTAATCCTGGATCGTTGTCGTCGGCAGCGGGAGATAGACTGGCGAGTGAAGGCTGAGTGGTATCGGAGGAGATGGAGAGTCCGGATGCTGTGCGTTCCATAGCGCATGCATCGGCAACGGGAGCGGGAGTGGGTGCCGGTGGTGGTCCGGAGGGGCCGAAGGAGGGGCCCGGCCGAGTCTCGGGGTTCGACCCGAAGGCGCCAAGACCGGAGGCGATAGAGGGGAAGTTGGGTCTCTCTGGCGTTGGTGAACGCTCGCGAATGACGAGAAATGAGAGGTTTTTAACGGGCGCTGAATCGGGACGGTGAATAAATGGTGGTTCAATGTCGTCGTGGTAAAAGAAGTCCTCCTCGGTAGGGGAGTTATAAGAGTGGTGGTATGGATGAGCTTTGTTGGTATGATGGACGCCAGAATGAAACGGTTGCTGTGGCTGTGGATAATACGGCGAAGGGTGCTCGAATGAGGCATAACCACTTGGCCCTGCCAAAGCTATAGGTGCATTGTCGTAGTCATAGGGAAGCTCATCGAGCCTGGTCCTCTTGGAGTCTAAAGTGAAGCCATCGCCGCCTTCGGAGATGCTCACCCTCCGTTTGCCGCCCACATAGTACGGACCCCGGCCGGTAGCAGTAGCGGTAGCGGTAACACCAAGCGGGCGACCCCCGTCAACCACCCAAAAGGCCATGGGACATCTCGAGCCGGGGGGTATTAGATTTTGTTGAGACTAAGCGGGAAGAAAGGAGGAGAGAAGAGGCGAGAAAGAGAGTCAGTGGGTTCTAAGTTTATGTGACGCTCTCCCAATCTGTTGTTTCTTGGGTTCTGCTTCTGCTGTTTTTTGGTGGAAAAGGAAGAGTAGAATGGTAGAGAGAGTTTCGGTTGACGGATTGATGTCGGTGAGTCCGATGGGCGGCGGGTGGCGGATTTGACGACGCGTGAGCAGTTGCAGGGACGGAAGCGGTGGGAATTGGGCCCGAAGACTGGAGAATGAAGAATGGAGAATGATATGTTAAATAATAAAAAGTGAAGAAAAAGAGGTAAAACAAACTAGAAGCAGAGAATGGAAAAGAATAAAGTCTATGTTGAGAAATGCATTTCCAGAACAAGGGGTGTAACAGTAGTAGTAGTATCGCTGTGTCTCACTGCAAGATCTCGACCGTAAGTTGTTTACAGTAAGTGGCTTTTTTCTTCCCTTTCAGCTTTCTTTCTCTCTCTCTCTCTTTCACAGCTGTTAACAGCTTGTAAATATCGTGGGACTGCCCAGGTCCAAATATGGGAGAGACGGGGACACCCTTTTTTTGCCTTGTCTTTTCCAGGGCGATCGGATTAAAACGCTGCAGCGCCAACTGAGCAAGGCCTGCAGGTCGTCTACAGGGGTTGGCCCCTGCCCCTGGCTTCATCACAGCCCTTTACAGGCTCGTTGTTAGTGGCTTCCGCGCTGGGGAATCCCTGTCTTGTACTGTTGTACTCTGTAGTTTGTTGGTCTATTTTCCCATATATTCCTCTTGTCAGTGGATGATAAAGAGTGAGACTGGAACAATTCTGTGGGTTTGCAAGAAGGGAGGAGGATCATCGCATCGCCTCACTTGAGTCACTGGATTCAAGTCAATTACTACAGCTTTGATGCTAATTCAGTGACAGGTTCAGATACTTGGAAAGTTAAATTGAAGAGAGACCCTGGCTTGTCAATCGAATTGCTGCCGTCACCAGAAGCCTCAACAGGGCATGGCGTCGTTACGCCTTGGCCTGAACCAAGCCCGTCTACATAGCGGTGTGCCGTACGTAGTAACTATATCGAAGGACTACACACGACAACATCTTGCTTTTATGCCCGTACAATCAAACCACGGGTGTCACGATAGTCTCCTAGTCCATTCAGCCCCCGTTCAAGTCGGACGGCATGCGCCCGTTTTTGCTATAAAAAGGAAATTCGAGTAACGAAACCCTGCCGAATGGTAAGACAAGAGCATAACATAGCATAACATAGCATACCCGGCCGAAACAATTGGGCTCAACAAAAGAGAGTTCGGGTCGTTGTTTGTTATTATCATTCTTATCAGGGCTTGCTTCAAATTCTGGCTGAGATCTCAACGTCAGGGCAATTGTTGATCGGCCAATATTAAACATGAGGCCTCTCTTTCCGATCGTCAACTCTTGGCGTTATATCCCACACGACATGGGGCTTCTGCTTCAACAGCCAAGATCGAGCTCCACCGTCGCTTGTTCGTTTTTGTCAAGGCGAACTAAAATCACACCAACAAGGTACTCTGGTATAGAAGGTAAAGCTGACAGCGCATCCATGGATCATTATCCACTTCCCGTCAAGGGTCATGGCACCGCGTGTGTCCGGCGCCTTGAATAGACTGAAGAGCCCCCCTTCCAAGGCCGGGTTACCCTTTTGGAGTTCGGGAAACCTGTCGTTATCGTGTCATGCGTGTATGAGACAAGCAAGACCAAGACCAAGACGGTTGGTTATACTACGATAAGACTACGAGTAGAGGATAATAAGTTACTCTTCCTCAGATTTCCCCAGGGCTTGCTGTTCTGCCCCTATTGGTGATACCCACTGAGGCTCAGTCTGCTAGCTACGTGGTTTTCTTACTTCATCCTCTTTAATGTCGTGAGCCCAATGCAGCAATTGAGGCCCTCTAACTTACCCCGATTCTTCGGCTCTTCATTCGACTCGACTCTCAATCCTCTGTAAGCGCCATTCCTGTCCCTCTGCCGAAGCCATCATTGGCCAGGGGTTGTAGATCCCTGTCCACGATTGGTTGCCCTGGTTTTTCCTTTCTTAAACCAGCAGCACCTGAAGATGGAGACTTTATGGAGTACGATCCAAGCTTTTTTTTTGCCGTGGGGGATTGGTTTTCTCGAAGGTTTTTTTAGTCATTCGTTTCCTTCTTGTCATTGACTCGAGATGGAAGAGCCGGTAATTAGAACAGCTGGGGTTTCTTGAGCACAGACTTTGAAATCAAGCCGCTGTCGTCAATGTGAGATCTGCAAAGCTGGACTGGCAGCTTGGAACATTGCATGACATATTTGACCTGGCTCTTTTGCCAGGGATATCGTGGTCTCCAGCACACCGTAGGAATAGCTTTGTCTCATCTATCCAGTTTCATCTCAATCACAAAGTCTAACATTTGAATCGTGCTCCCGTCTACTCTGAGCTCGTAAAGCACGGTTAAATATATACACGCTCCACTTCTTCCGGTGACTGAAGCCGCACAGATCGATCTCATGAGTCGTCTGTCAGAGCTTCACTTTCTCACAGTGATCTATAAATCTCAAGACGATCTACAAGTCTCATCATAAAAGAAAATTCGCCTAACATCAACGGGTTCTAAACTTGCAGCATTAATGTCATGCATTGACCAGCTCATCTTGCACCTGGATGCAAGTATCCTTCTTTTATCCGTATGCCGATTACCAATGCTACTCTAAGTGCTTCATTACCAGCTTCATGCTTGTTCGTTCCCCTAGTGCCCGCTCGTTATGTATCCACAGAGTCTTTTGCCACGCGCCTCATCTTGAGATCTTCATCACTTATCGACGTTTCAATACAAAAGACCCTTAGCTCCACCGACGATCATCTTATCCCGTGATGTTAAATGTGCGGGCACCTGAAGTGAGATCGCATTACAATGTGAGCTATTTTCTTGTATATGCCGCTGTTATACAATCACACAACCTTAACTGCCTTGCATCGTACTATACAAGTCAATCATCAACGTAGCCTCTAAGACGTGGTGAAGACGCATTAGACAGAAGACACAACGGGCCACGCTAAGTTTAAGAACGATATGAGATATTCCTTAGATATAATGTTTATCCTAAGATTACATAAGATTACATAAAATAGAAGGGCTTATTATAATTTATATAATATTTATCCTAAGATGATATAAAAAGGAAGAGTTTATCTCAACTTAGATAATGTTCATCTCAACATTACTTAAAATAGAAGAGTTTATTTCAGCTTATTTAATATTTATCCCAAGATCACATAAAATAGAAAAGTTTATTATAATTTATATTATCTTGTATAAGATCTTCGTAGATTTTGCAGCATCTCCGGGCGCCTCCTCGTTGCCGTGTTCTCAGATCCAATCACTTCTTCCCACTATAACCCCAGACCTTGAACAAACCTAGCCTCGTCAGCCTGTTTCTCCAACGCCTCCCGCATCCTTTGAGAATATAGCTGGCGCTGCCGATCCTCTTCTGTCGCATCCTCGCTCTTTGCGCCTTTGTCGTTTTGTAGTTCCTCGGGCGTGAACAGGGTATCTCCCGTGAAGCTGACCATGCCAAGCTTTTCTCCCGTCCAGAAGATCACGTTGTCTTCGTTGGGCCGGTCGCGATCTTGCGTCTTGGTGGATAAGATCTTGCGGGCGAGATCGTCGGACCCTGGCATCGAGGCGAAGAGTGATGCTTGCGTAGGTGCGTCACTGTTGCCGATCTTAATACGTCGGCATTCTATATATCCGTCCCTTTCAAACCACTTGATCTGCCCGGCTCCATCTGAGAATGCTATCTTGGTTCCGTGATTGATTACCGACAGGATGATAGATGAGGCCGCAGTATATCGGTTCTTCATAGTTGAGTTCTGCTGCATCTCCCCATCACTCGATAGGTCTACAGAATCCAAGCCGTATACCTCGAGTGAACCCTTAGTTTTGTACTCTCCGCCTGCGATAAGAGTTCGGCCGTTGCCAGATGTTTTGCACTCTTGGACTCTTTCAGCCGAGAATTCTCCACGGCGGCGTACTTCATAATCTAACGTGGAGAATGGGTACGGCAACGCTGCCAAACTGGATATCCGCGACCCTGAGTAGATAGAACCCACGATCTTTGGGAACTGCCGCCTGTCGTAGTGAAGAATATTGGAGAACCTCCCCGCCACGTAGATGTCGTCCGACACCATGTCGTCACCGGCTGGACGGGGTAAATGAAGAATACTTGTTGGCGTTGGCTGAGACAATGAGGCGTACGGCGGCAATGGGTTCGGGTCGAAGATGGCTTTGAAAGGGTTATCTCCTTCTGACCCAGGGCCATCTAGTCGCTCCACAATATCACCATGGAAATGTGAAGGCGCACGGAAGTCTTGAAGATGGATACCCAATGAAGTGCCGACAGTCATAGGGATGCCATCCTGGATCTGTGATAGAGTTGTGATGGACCACTCGAATGAGTGTCGGTTGACAACTTGCAAACGGTTAAGATCTACTTCTATGAGATCTACGATATTGCAGTTGTTAGCGAGATGCAAAGCAATTATAATTTCGGCACTTACGACTCTGCACAGCAAAGACAGCCCTGTGGTTGCTGTTGTTAACACTGACACATTCAGTGACGCCCGTGTCGATCTTCTTGGACCGCCTCGTGTTCTGATCTCCTCGGCCATCGAAGAAGAGAATATCCGGCTGACTAGTTGCAACAATACCTCCTCTCTTACCTCTGGTACCGTTGACGTCCCATAGGCACACAGATCCATCGTCCAGTGGTGAAACGGCCAACAAACTGCCGAGGCCATCATCACCGTTGTTAGGGCGGTATAGTGTCATGCCTCTGACTTCGATGGAATGATCCGAACCGCCTTGTTTTGCACGGGGCGTCTCGAGCCAATTGGTGGTTGTCGGGCCCTGACGTTGGATGTATTCGTCGTACCACGAAACATGCTCATCCGGGAACGCAGGATCCCAGTTGGCCATATCTTGAAGAAACTGAAAATGGTCCTTGTCTATCCGAGGCGTCTCATCTTGCTCGAGTAGAGAGCCATCATCATCCTCTTCTACCTGAACAGACTTTCCCAGTGAAGTGTCGGGCAAAGAAGCGAAGACCTTTCTGCGGTTCTGAAGAAAAGAAAACCATGGTGAACTCTCGAAACAGTGACGCTTCCAGAGTTCGTCATCAAGACAAACGTCTCTGAGTTTTCGTGAAACAAGCTGAAGTCTGGGCAACTGCTGAGGTTCAAGGTCTGAAGCGATATGGACATACGTGGTTAGTTGGTGGGTATGATATGGATTGGTTGTTATGTTAAGGGCGATAGCGGGGTACTGAGGGATATGATATGAATAAGCCGGGTTTCAACTCACAGCACAAGATCTGAAGGAGGATCTCATGAGGGAGCTCGTCCCAGCAGCGCTCAGAGCGTGCGCTTAAAGCCATTGGGCCTAGATCCAAGAGAGAAAATGACAGCAAAAGAGTGAAATGTTGATTAGGTTGAGAGGTAGAGTAGTGCAGAACAGAGCTGAGTGGACGTTACTGTCAGTGTCGATCGATCGCTACCTGAGCCCGCTGATTGTGGACTGTGGGGGGTTGGCCAGACGGGAAGCGAGGCTTGGCAAAGCTTGTACTGTAGGTAGGTACCTGAAAAGTACTGAACCAAATAAGTTACTGAACTGTTTAGTGCTGTATTGCGCATTGCAGGTGTAACAGTGACATTTTGACAACAGTCAAGCAGTGAAGGGTGGGCGGGTCGAAAGGAAGAATTGGGTAATTAAAAATTAGCATTGACTGGGGTTATCGCGATAAGCGATCGGACGGACCGGCAGTTGAGAATAAGATCAAAAATATGCGTCTATTATTTTTAACGCCAATGTCTCGATTCGATTAATTAGGAGGGACGGGGTAAGAGCATGATTTGATCTTGTCACTTAAACGTTAGGCACAAATGCCTTCTAATTGGACGATTTACGGGTTGGCGTCTGATCGATCGAGATGGGATAACCTCGATTTTGACCAATTGCTTCGGCCATAAGGAACGTCAACACGAGATATAAAATTGTATTAAACAGGGCTTGTTATTACAGTCCGGTATGAAGGCTCTAACAGACATTATATAAAATAAGAAAGTTTATTATAATTTGTACTATTTCACAAATAATATTATCTTAAAGATTATAAAGATTTACATAAAGTGAAGTATGTTATAATTTATATTATTTTATATAAATTTTAGACAAGAGGTATCAGAACCTTCACCCACCCACTATACTCAATCAATCTTGGAAGGATCAAATCGCTCTTTAATGAATTATATGCCTATAGTTAGGTATGTAATATCTAGGCAGATGTATCTTCTTCCACGCTTCAGACATATCAACACATGACAATACGACCAAGACTGCGCTGCAGGCGGAAAACAGCTGCAAGCTAGAGATATTATTGAAACATATTCTCATCATCATACTCCTATTTAGTACGCTGGGCTATATCACTCATATCATGGTATAGTGGTACTTTCTGGCGCTGTCAGTTATTGACACTGCCATCAGCAGCTTGCAACTGCCAGGCTTCATCTCCCGCCATATAACCCACCCAACCTCCCTTTCACTGCCATGACAACAAACTTTTGATGCCTCAGACATCTGAATCCACTAAAGCTGGAAATATCACTTTATCACAGTCCATCACGCTCTAATCCTGCACTTCAACTCATCACCCTCTTCAACACATTGCAACAAACAACACTTCTCGCACACGCTGAATACTGCTTGAACCGGGTAAATTGCTACAAGGAACAACCATCTTCGGCTTCATCTTTGGTCCTTTTTCGGAATATCGCGGTACACTTTGAGTCACTCTCGCGTAAATCTCATTCGGCCTACTCTCATCTTATCACATCTCTCCAACCATTTGAAGCTTCATTTACTCACATGCTCTCACATCTTCCAACGCTCCAATGATGAAACCTATCTCCGAAGCTGTAAGTTTCTTTCTTCTTCATCCTCTCACAAAACTTCTCCAGATGTGCTAAAGCTCAATAGTCGTTGCCTTACACTGAAAGCGATAATTCGGCCCGAGATGCGCGTCATGGCCGTAACACCACCGCCTCGTCCCTTTCTTGTCACTCAGACCCCTTTGCCAAATCCGGCATCGCCATTGAAGATGGTGTTCAGCTACGCGACTTCTCCTCGCCTGGCCCTACGATGACTCGTAACAAGACCCCAGACCCTAACAGATTCGTCACAGAACGTATATCGCGGCTGAATGGCAACGGCGGCACTGGAATTTCAGTACCTAGAACAAACAACGTTTCCAATGAAGACCAGGCAGCTTCGGAGTGGGAAACTGTTGCTGCAGATGATGCGTCTGAACGCTACCCCGAAACTGCACCTCGTTCGCTGAGACGTCAACGAAACTTCAATTTTGGCCATAAACTGCAGGACTCTTCCCAGACTAACCAGAACATATGGGCAGCACAAACGCAGAATTTCGAGCTCGTCTCACAGCCTGGCTCGTCCCTCCAACAGTCCGTGCGATCGGCGCTGAACACATCACCCCGTTTGCGCTCGTTTCACTCCTCATCCAGTCTCTACAGTGACTGGGGTAAAACCAACGGGCCAGGCCGCGGGAAAGAAGCAAACGCCCAGGTAAACACTCATCTCCCTTACCCTCCCGCCGCTTTTATTCCTACAAATGACCGCGCACAAGAGGCACCCAAAAGATACTCCCACGCGTCGTCCGACAGTGATGAAGACCCTTTCAAGTATGACGGAGATGCGTACTCGGGTTTTCTACGCCGATCAGCCGAGAAACAAGTCAGTGATGCGCTGCACCGAGCCGGCATAGCCGTTTCCTCACAAGAGACCATCCCGCGATCCGTTGATGGAAACATTCCCATTGCATCACAAAGAGGTGTCCCCGTTGCCTCCTTCTACAATGCTGCGGTTATTCGTTCGGCTTAGAATGTCGATGAAGAGGTCAAAGTTCCGGTTCGTCGGGAGGAAAACAAAGCGACTCGCCGTGATCCAGAGCCTGACAGACGCTTGGCTGGCGAGATTGCTTCTCTTGTCAAGAGCCGACCTCTCACTGGTACAGAAGGTGATTGGCAGACCGTCACTACCGAACACCCTTTCAACTCGATGCAGCAGGAACTCCATGACAGCATCGCAAAAGGAACCGGAAGCAGTGTCGCTGATGTCTCCGACGTGACGGAGCGTGACCCGCACGCTCACTCCTACAACTCAACAGACAGAATCATTCGACACCCTCATGGCAACAACAGCTATGCATCTTACCGCATCCGCCACGACAAAGGAACGAACCTCCCGATTTCTGTTCCGCGATACGGAGGAGGCCCAGGGAACTTTGCCTGCAATGCAACACGCAACTTTGTACAGCCGATGTCCAGGTTGCCTGAATCTGCTGCGCGCTTCTCCAACTTATTTCGCAAAGAGCCAACAGAGCCCACCCATGACCGTGAGAGTGTTCTTCTCTCAGACCTGCCTCCCCAGAGAGGCAGCTATCAGAGCCTCGACTCGGACGCAGTTCCTCATGAAAGCGTTGGCATCGAAGAGACTTCACCCGATGGTAGAAAATACTTCAGCTGGACTCGAATTCGCGAGAATCTTGGCCGAGAGCCTCCCAAGATCCCATTGACCATTCTCGATCAACCACTATATAGCCATGGTATCCAAGAGCCAGATAGTTCGAACAAACCAGCACATGTTCCTCACGATGACTTCCTATCCAAGCTCCCCCGACTTCCTTTTCCTCTCGTGAGTCTTCCTGAGGCTCAGATGTTACAACGCTTCAAAAGACAGAGAGGTGAAGAGGATCACACCGAGACTGCAAGCGATTTCGCCGCCAGGGGAAGATCGTACACTCTGAGTACTGCCAACTCACCTCGTCTACCCAAGACCCCTTCGCCTCGTTCGAGGAGCTTCTGGGCGAGTTCTCCTGAGAGTGTTGCACGACCTGCTCCAACTCACCACCGTCAGCGATTGCGCCAGGTGTTCCGTCGCCGAGACTGTAGGTTCTGTGAATTCCTGATCTGGACTTTTGACTAACAAGGTCGCAGCAAGCGAGAGAATCTCCGATATGCTTATATCATCGTCTGCGATCCTTGATACTCCGCCACCAACGGATCCGAAATCGAGCACACAGCGAGTTTGGTACCGAGGACTGCAACCGAACCTCTCAACACCTCACACTGAGATGCCATTAAATCATGGTTACTCGTCGAGCATTCATGATCCACGAATTGGCAGACTCCAATCAGGCTGGCAGACACCCAACGGCAGCCCTTTCACCCCAGCTGAAAGCCGACTCATCGAAGAGGCTCGCGAAGACATTCGTCGTCATCGTGAACATTCGGACATGGTAGCGGAACGCGGAAAGAGAATGTTCATGTGGATCATGATCCTCACCCTTTTCTTCCCCTTCATCGGCCCAGTCGTACTCTACGGCAAACTCAACTCGACGATCTCGTGGTACACCCACGGAGAAATGCAGCGTCTGACAAAAGACCAGCGCGGAACTCTCAAGCAGCAACTAATCGTCGAGGCAGTAGTCTATCCCGCACTAATCATTTCACTCTCTGTCTACTACTCGGTCCACAACTAGACGGATCTAACTCCCGCAGGAGGCACGGCGGTATTCTGAGGATGGTTTTGAGATTGTCTTTGGGAAGAGGCGAGCTACAGAAGGGAATGGATTTTGCAAGGCGATGAGGCATATAACTCATATGACATGAGCAATGATTAAGCACCATGGTGTCGGGTGCCTTGAAGAGATGCCTGGTTTTTGTGGTCCTTTTTTGTTTCTCGACGGTGGTTTACACCCTTTTTATATTCACCAAAAGCAAACTACGTGGGAGACCAGGGATATCAGTCAGGATCAGTAGCTTAGTTTATACGGTAGAGAGACTCGCTAGTACCAAAAGTTAATACCATCTGCGTGGAGATAGATATTCCTGTTGGTTTGCCTTGGTGATATCAGTGCTGCTATACGAAGATGTGGGAACATTAAGTATGAAGAAAGGCTTCTTGATTTCATCATATATTCTCGCATGAATACTACGTAGGACATCGCGAAGAGTGGACGTGTACTTGGTTAGGCCTAGGGTCAATAGACTCGCCAGCGCCGGACCCTCATACCATCCCATGTCTCCAAATCCTTCATGTGACACCCCTCTTTCTTGCCAGGCCTTTCATTCGTCGTCTAATCCCAGTGCCTACTTCTTACCGGAGCTGCCACTATCACCAGAGCTGGAGGAGTAGCTGTAGCCACCAGAAGAGGTGTAGGTCGAGTTACCCTGCCCATCATTGTGGTAAGTGCTCCCGTTGGGGTTGGAGTAGTAGTAAGAGCCATCCCTGTATAAGTCAATCATGAGAAACTCGTAGGTTTGGAGTAAAACTTACGTGTTGGAGTAGTGGTAGGAGTTTGAGTTGCTGGCACTGTCACCGTAGTCCCGAGCACAATAGTGGTTGCCCTTTCACATGTCAGTAATGATATGAGTGTAAAAGTAGTGTATCAAACCTGATCGTTGGTGCCAGAGCTCTTTACGGTGTAATCGTCAGGCATGATGATTTGTTTACGTTGATGTTAGTGTTAGTTGTTGTGGTAAAGATGGAGAGAACGACCTCAAGAGAAACCCGGGGGAGAGAGGCTTTTTAAAGTGAGGGGACAGTCATCAGCCCTGCAGTTAACCCATGGTATCTCTACAAGCTTGTTTATTGCTTCTCGTCGTTTTATTGGCTCTGTTTTGCTTTGTCCTCACGCTTGCGCTGGTTTGGAAACCCTGTGGAGGTTATCGTACACCCCGCCCCACTGGCGAAGATGAGGAGTATGTTTGGCCAGAGCTGTCAATTAAGTTTTGATTCAAACTGTTTGTGATGTTCTGTATGGGAGAATATCAATTGAAACGTCATGGCTTGCTTTGGCTTGCCAGGAGAAAGTTCCTGTCACTCAGAAATAAAAAATAGTACGATGTATAAGCTACTTCAGGGTAGGTGTGTTGAAGCACTGGGGATAGCTTCGACATGTGATGGTTATAGATCAGGGTCTGTATTGTCTGCTTATTTTATGCGTCTGGCTATGGTATTTGTGCAGGTTCATGAGAACGTTGGATCGGTCATTGTTTGATGATTGCTAATTTCACTAACAACGTTCAAGGCCAGAATCTGGATACCCCCTGCTCATAGGTGTAATTCCGTAGAAAGGTCCGGACAACAAACCATCTAGAGATATAGTTTATGTTATGGTTCGAAGCTTTTAGACATAGTCTTAGGATAAGATTGTATGAAATTAGATCAGTTAAAAAAAACACTATGATAGTTTATATAAATTAGAAAGGGGTTATTATAGTTTACACAATCTTATTTACATTATCATACAATCAGTTCAACTCGTACAATCTTTTACAACTTTCACTAAACGTACAGGATATCTTCTAATTGATCTCTATTTTGTTTGGAAACATCATGTGTAAATCCACTTGGCTTACCGTTCAAACCTTCGCACGGAACCATACCAAAGGCACAATAATAGATCACGAATATACAGCCTAGAAACATGATATTCCAACATTTCAGCTTACAGCAAACCTCTTAGACTTGCATAGTCTTGTGGTCAAACCAGGCTGTTGATGCCCAGGGTAAGTTGGAAGCTGTGTTACTAAAGTTGGCATATGTGGTTGAAAACATCACGGCTTCAATCGTCAATTTCTTTATAGAAACTGAGACTACCAATGCAGTCAGGTTCTTGGGGGTCTCATTGGCGAATCGGCATAAGTCTTTAGTGGTTATGGTGTGTCTAAACATGGTCTGATTGGGGGCAAAACGGACATGTGCTTGTTCAAACAAGGAAACCAAAAATGTTTGGGCAATTATATAAAACATCCCGATTCTCTTATGTCATACAGATTATATTTTCAGCAGCTGATATAAAGTTCAGCTTCTTGCATCTTGTCAATTCTAACAGTAATCAACGACAAGCATACACTTCTAAAGTAAAAATGGCACCCAAGATTTTGCTGTAAGTAGGGCCAGGGATCACTCTAGACGACTTTTGCTTATCGCAAACTGACACGGACTCATAGTACTGGAGTCACTGGTAAGGATTCCACAGTATGCCGCCACGGCCAGTCTGATATTCGCCATTAGGTTTCGTTGGAGGAACTACCTTTTCAAAGATTCATGACACTCACCCAGACTACGACTATACTCTTTATGTCCGCAACGAAGACCGGGCCAAGGTCATCGCAGAAAAGTACCCTAACGCCAAGTTTGTCTACGGCAACCTTGAGAGCACTGATGTGATTGAGAAAGCAGCTTCCGAAGCTAATGTTGTCGTTCGTACGCTAAGTAGAACCCAGAATGATATGACCACTCCTGGCTCACTCTCATCCTAGACACTGCAGAATCCGCAGACTCAGGTCCGGCGGCCAGGGCAATTGTAAAAGGCCTTGCCGCCGGAAACTCAACTGAGAACCCAGGATACTACATCCATCTCTCAGGAGCTGGCATCCTGACCTGGTACGATCTCAAACACAAGCGCTACGGTGAGGCACCACTGCCGGAGCAAAAGTACAACGATATCCACGACATTGACCGCATTCTCAACCTTCCCGATGAAGCTATCCATAAGGACGTTGATAACATCGTCCAGAACATTGACTCAGATGCCGTAAGGTCTCTCATCGTGGCCCCTCCCGCCATCTACGGCATAGGAAAGGGTCTCGTCAACAAGAGCAGTATTACCGTTCCCACACTGATCAAAGCAACCCTTGACCTTGGCTACGCACCTTTCGTCGGAGCTGGCAAGGCAAAATGGGACAACGTCCACGTGGAGGACCTTGCAGATCTACTCATAAAGTGTGTAGAGGCGTCTCAAGACTACAAGAAAGACAGCCCTGTGATATAGGGGAAGCAGGCCTACTTCTTTGTGACTGGTGGTGACCACCAGTGGAAGGATCTTTCGGCATGGATTGCTGAGGAGGCGCATCGTCAAGGATATATCTCTGAGCCGAAGACCAAGTCTGTGACGTTTGAGGAGGCGGTTGACAAGGGATATAAGGCGGTTATTGCATGGGGAATCAACTCTAAGAGTGAAGCACAGAGGGCAAGAATGTATTTGGGATGGGAACCCAAGGGGCCTGCACTCAAGGAGACAATTGCTGAGGCCGTGATGATCGAGGCCGAGGCTTTAGGCTTGACGCCCAAGTATATATAAGTAGCTGTAAGGCAATGAAATGGATACATGGGTTCGTGAAGTAAAGTGACAGTCCCGCGTAAAAGTTCCGACACTGAGGCAACTTAGAATTTATAGAATAACATTAATCTGTAAAGTGTATAGTAATTAGAATGCCTTATGTAAAAGTCTTATCCTAAGATAATATGAGAAAATATAAAATAATATAAAATAATAAAGTTTATTATAATTTATATATCTTATGTATATACTTTACATAGAAGGAAGGTATCGGAATTCTTATACACCTACTGTATTTTCCCACTCGTGATATGAACCAAGATAGGGTCCCTGTGGTCTGTCTTGTCCTTCACACAGGACTGCATACGAACAGCAAGGTTCTTTTTCTTCTAATAATATTTGTTCTCCGGACGATTTTAGTACGACTTGTGCATAACTCTAGCTTCTCATGACTTGTTCTAAACCAGATGAGCCAACTTAAAGAATGACCAATGTAAAGTAGTGACTTTGATACTGTTTTTGTAATCGTGTCATTTCATCATGCCATCTGAACTCTTGGAGCATGTGTCGTCACTTTACAAGGCTATCGTCTGGGATAGCCTCGTTTGAGATCCTACGTTACAAACCAATCTTTAAGTTTCCCAACGACCATCAAGAGCCGTTATTCGCCGGATAACGAGTCAGAAAGTTACTTGCTATAGAGGTAATGGCTGCAAGCGAGTAAGTGGAACAAGTCGTTGACGCCGCGGCTCCGAAAACGGCAAAAAGAAGAATGGAAGAAATGGTCGGCATTGCCGTCTAAGCTATTGGGTAGCTGGGGGAGCCTTGGGAGCTTCTGGGTTGGGCTGCAGTGGTGAGTTGTGTTCCTCAGGCATGAATCAGGGACTGAAACTGGCTGCAACTGGAACTCGGAGAAAGAATTTTGTTCTAGAGGCGGCTAAATCCTTGCCACTGCCTGATGATTTGCTGAGACAACCAGAAATCTCTTTTCTCGAGGTTCAAGGTTGAAGGTTCACAGTGTATTGGTATCAGAGCTATCAAGCTCGCACTTTGACCACAGAATATACAGTATCAGTATTCACATATTGGTTCTTCTGGAGTTGCTCTATTTCTACAACGAACAGGAAAAGAAAAATGGAACAGTGACAAACTATTATCGGAAAGAATAGCCTATCACAGTGACAATATCTCCGGGTTTAATATTGCCTCGTGCGCTTTTCAAAAGTGCGTGGTTGCTCAGCAGAAGTGCAAGAAAAAAAAGAAATGGAGCCTGAAAAAAACTCAGGCGAGAGGCTTAGCCGTTATAGGCTTAGCGGAGGGGATCCCTACCGCCCACTGCTCACTGCCCCGCCCCGCAGAAAAAGTTCACAGGCCCCTCCAAAATTTATTATTCTTTAAACGCCCGCTCACAAAATCAGAGGGGGAGAATTTCTTTCTTGAAACCCCACGTTCTTCTCTTCTCCTCTTCATCCTTCTTCCCTTTCCACCACAAACCTTTCAGACAAGACAAAATGGCGGAAGAATTGTACGACGGTGCCATTGGCATTGATCTGGGTAAGTTACTTTGGTTTCCTGTTGTTGATGCTGATATCTATTGTTGCTGTCTGGAGCGGTTTTATTCTTGTGCGCTGGCTCTGCTGTCCTCGCTTCATGATGCCCTCATACGAGGACAACCAGAAACATGACAACAATAATCTCCAAAAGACACTTCAACTCATCGCATCAAAACAAAATCTCTCAAACAACCCACTGACATCTTCCTCTTTCAGGTACCACCTACTCTTGTGTTGCCATCTACGAGGGCACCAATGTCGAGATCATCGCCAACGAGCAGGGTTCTTTCACCACCCCTTCTTTCGTTTCCTTCACCGAGAAGGAGCGTCTGATCGGTGAGGCCGCCAAGAACAATGCTGCCATGAACCCCCGCAACACTGTCTTCGATGCCAAGTGAGTTTTGGTCCCATTCCCACGCGAAACGCACAAAATCACAGTTTCTGACTGAAATTCCCCCCTCCAGGCGTCTGATTGGTCGTCGTTTCGATGACCCTACCGTTAAGAAGGACATCGAGTCTTGGCCCTTCAAGATTGTCGATGACAACGGCAGCCCCAAGATCGAGGTTGAGTACCTCGGCGAGAACAAGCAGTTCTCTGCCCAGGAGATCTCCTCCATGGTCCTCACCAAGGTACGCACACTATTTTTGGCGGGCTTCTCAACCCCGCCCCCGCACTAGCGGCGCTCGAGCAATTTTTTCCCATACTGACCCCTCCAAACAGATGAAGGAGATTGCCGAGACCAAGCTCGGCAAGAAGGTCGAGAAGGCCGTCATCACTGTCCCTGCCTACTTCAACGACAACCAGCGTCAGGCCACCAAGGACGCCGGTTCCATCGCCGGTCTTAACGTCCTCCGTATCATCAACGAGCCTACCGCCGCCGCCATTGCCTACGGTCTTGGTGCCGGTAAGTCCGAGAAGGAGCGCAACGTCCTCATCTACGATCTCGGTGGTGGTACTTTCGATGTCTCCCTCCTGAACATCCAGGGTGGTGTCTTCACTGTCAAGGCCACTGCTGGAGAGTAAGTTACCTCACGCCATACCATAGATATCACAATGCTAACCGACCATTAAAGTACCCATTTGGGTGGCCAGGACTTCGACACAAACCTTCTCGATCACTGCAAGAAAGAGTTCACCCGCAAAGCAAAGAAAGACCTCTCAGGTGATGCCCGTGCTCTCCGACGTCTCCGAACTGCTTGTGAGCGTGCCAAGCGTACCCTCTCCAGCGGTGCCCAGGCTACCATTGAGATCGACTCTCTCTTCGACGGCGAGGACTTCCAGATGACCATCACCCGTGCCCGTTTCGAGGACCTTAACGCCAAGGCTTTCTCTGGCACCATCGACCCCGTTGCCCAGGTCCTCAAGGATGCTGCCATCGCCAAGAAGGCCGTCGACGAGATCGTCCTCGTCGGTGGTTCCACCCGTATTCCCAAGATCCAGAAGCTTCTCTCCGAGTTCTTCGACGGCAAGAAGCTCGAGAAGAGCATCAACCCCGATGAGGCTGTTGCCTACGGTGCCGCCGTCCAGGCCGGTATTCTCTCCGGAAAGGCCACCTCTGCTGAGACCGCCGACCTCCTCCTCCTCGATGTTGTTCCTCTGTCTCTCGGTGTTGCCATGGAGGGTAACATCTTCGCTCAGGTCGTTCCCCGTGGTACCACATGCCCTACCCTGAAGAAGCGAACCTTCACTACGGTTGCCGACAACCAGCAAACCGTTCAGTTCCCCGTCTTCCAGGGTGAGCGTGTCAACTGTGAGGACAACACCTCTCTCGGTGAATTCACCCTTGCTCCTATCCCCCCCATGCGAGCTGGTGAGGCCGTCCTCGAGTGTGTCTTCGAGGTCGACGTCAACGGTATCCTCAAGGTCACCGCCACTGAGAAGACCTCCGGCCGCAGCGCCAACATCACCATCTCCAACTCCGTCGGAAAGCTTACCTCCGACGAGATTGAGAAGATGGTCAACGACGCTGAGCAGTTCAAGAGCAACGATGATGCTTTCCAGAAGAAGTTCGAGGCTAAGCAGCAGCTCGAGTCTTACATCGGCCGTGTTGAGGAGATCGTCTCCGACCCCACACTGTCCCTTAAGCTCAAGCGTGGCCAGAAGGAGAAGATCGAGCAGACCATCAGCGACGCTATGGCCACTCTTGAGATCACCGACAGCTCCGCTGAGGACCTCAAGAAGCAGGAGCTTGCCCTCAAGCGCCTCGTTACCAAGGCCATGTCCTCCCGATAAATGCACAACACTGTTAGAGATTGCAGTGGTGTAGTAGATATCCCGGAGTACTGATACTGGAGCAAAAGAACCAAGCACCCCCGACGCCTCGCGAGGGGTGATGGGGTTTACGACTGGCCGCGGTGGATTTCTCTTTGTCATTAACGGTAATTGGACGAGGAGATGCCAAGGCATATGAAAAGTTCTACATGTTTCATGGGTATGCCGCGCTCGGACATGGGCGGCTATGACTACAAAATGAAAGCTGATGGAAGAAAAGTCCCGGGTAGTTGCGGGCTCGTCGGGCCAGAGCTTGCAAGATTGGACGGTGGCCTTTGAATTTGAGCATAGATATGGTAGAATGCAGAAATGGAATGACGCTTTTTTACCTACTTGATGATTTGTCTGAGTTGTCTTGTGATAGTGATCAACGATGTTGGGCATAACTTGGAAACTATGTCGAGATTTGTCTCCATGGTCATAGGCTCTTTGAGTTCTATCTCATATAATTTCGCATTGTCTTTTGTTCTTATCTAAATGATTTTTATATATGGCCATCATCGTACACTTAACAGTGAGTGGATACTAAGGTGGCATGAGGTGTTGTGAAGGAACTATATAGTCTGAGAAATCTATACTTACCTCTCTAAGTCTATAAAATTATTTAAGCTTTCTTAAATTTATTAATACTTATAAGGGTATTCTCCTAAATTAGAAGAGACGTATAATAGTTCTTATAATTTTATCTAGCTTTTCTAAATCTTATAAAAACTAACTAAACTTATATATTTATGAGATTTTATGAGTTTCTATTAAAATCTTCCTAACTATAACTTATCTCATATCTTTCTTATCCTCTTAGAGATTATCTCTACCAAGATGATCGCTGAGCTTGTGCTTGAGAACCAAGACTCCTTATCGCTCATTGCGAGATCACAGAGTCACAACGATGCATGTCAATGTCTCTACATTGTTTTTCTGGACGCTGAAGGTATACTTTATGAGTACTACCCTCATCTCATCTATAAGCAAGATTGCAATATATTCGGCCACCGATAAATGTTAAATACTTCTCCCCGCTAACAATTGACAGTTTAGACTGTCACATTGGCTTTCTGATCATGTCTTTCTTTTGTTTGCTTAAGCTTTGTGCTTATAGAGATGATCACTGTGATACTTATTCCTCTTGAAACTCGGGCTGTCGTCCTACCACGTAAATCGTCACCGACTCCGGGTCCAACCAGCGAGCCATCACCATGCCTCCTAGCAAGTAATCACCGAGAGAGGTATTGTCCTCACAGTTAACACGCTCACCCTGGAAGACAGGGAACTGAACGGTTTGCTGGTTGTCGGTAATAGGACTGGAGAAACGCTGAAGTGTTTGTGTAATGATAGTATTTACTGAACGACAATGGCACTTCCCAAGGCAATGGTGGTAAGCCACTTGACGCGTGTGTGATGAATGCGTATTAGTCTTCTGATCTAAATATTCCTAAACTTTGAACAGGATTCGTACTAATGAGGACTGTGTGAAACAATCTGCTCACCTTACTATGTCGTCAGTTAGAAGCCTCCACGGATCACAAGCTGGCTGTTGTTTGAAAGAGAACGAAATATATTGCCCATCGGCGGTCTCTCCCGTGGAGGGGAGAGAAAGAACTTTGGCCCTGAGGGCTCAGTTGTACTCAATGTGGGAAAAGACATGATGGACAAGCGTGACGTGTAGAGTTGGCGGGTGTTTGAATGTGCTTATCGGCGATGAGGAGAATCCGAGGATCGTGAAAGAAAATCGGTCTGATTCATAGTCAATATACTTCTGTGAGCTCTCGAGGTTGTTCTAGCGATACACGAGACCACATTCACGATTCTTCTGGCTCAACCCATCAGAGTCGTCTGTAGATAGTTGGCAACGTGATAGAGTCCGTTATTCTCTCCGATTTTAGAACTCGCGACTTCTAGCGGCCCAAGTGTAGGGTCAAAATCGCCTTGGATAACATCATGGCACTTAGGGGGGTAGAGAGTTTAAAGACCACGGCAGGCGAACGAATATCTCGACCAGGGATAGCAAGTATGAACCCATGTGATAACACTTGTTCGTAGGCTGCATCGATCGGAACCAGAACCTGATGATCGTATGGAGTAGGAGACATAACATAAGGTACTTGGTGATATCGTCAGAACAAGGGCTCTAAGAACAGGTATGAGGCTTAGGTGGTTCGACGGTTTCATTCGAGGTCAAACATGAGGCCTGGTAACGATACTATTCATAAACTGATACCTGTCTGGTCACCAAATTCCTCTTCCGACTATCGGAGTCGTTCACAGGCCATGTCCTCCAACCGCTATATCGATGACTGAGGCCACTGCAATAATTTACTAACTATGTGGACATGATAAGGAGTTTAGGATAATTTTAGATGATGTAATGATCGTACCACTACAATTAGTAGAATTGCCTTATATGTGTCCTAAATTTTGATAAGGCTTAGGATAGTATTAGCATAAGACCAGTAGGAATCTCTATAAAGATCTAGTTATTACTGTAGGGCAATGATCCCGTCTAACAGCGATATTCCAATAGCCACGCGACAACTAAGTCACCAGGATAATGTAAATGTGAAGGGGAGAGCTTATGAGGATCCGCTGAATAGCCACCTGAGCGTGATTAAACGTAAGCCCTCGTGAGTCAAAGAAGACTGGGTATAATGTCAGTTAAGTACAATAAACGCCTTTTGTCTTGCTGTCTGATTGGAGACGAGCAACCATTAATTGCAGCGAGAAAGGCTGGATGAAAAAAACAGATGCAAGAAGTGCCTTCACTCTAAAGATGTATAGATGCACCAGGTTTAGGCTTAGAGCAATATTATTTCAGATAAAACTTAGCAAAGTTGAACAATGCTGCTAAAGCATCTCTAAAATAACAGAGTAGTATCCATCCATCAGAGTCTCAGACCCTGGATTAACTTAGATGGCTTCTAGAAGCTCTGCAGAAAGGACCCACTTATTAATTGCGCGGACTTGTTACTTGTTGATTAACCGCCACTGGCTGCTCAACCTTCAACTTGGATCTTGCAACATAACCCAACCCAAACGACATGTTTCGGAGCAAAGCTGAAACTTTACCAGAACTTTCCGAGTCTGCCTGTAGTCGTCTCAACTTTATATGATAGAATGCGTCGGCTATTAAGCATCAAATATTCCTTCACAGAACCAGGATCAAGAGTCGTCATCATAGGCTAAACGCCGTCATGACAACCTCAGAGGTTAACAGTCTCAACATTCTCGACCTCCCCGTGGATATCCTCAGTATTATTCTTAAGCCGCTCGTCACTTCTTCTACGCCCATCCATCTATGTCCCTGTACTCTATCGCCCATCGACCCGCTACCAATTCTTCTCTCGCATCCGGCACTACACACCATCGCCACTCCGCTGCTGTACGCAGGCAACGAGTTTTTACTGGATGCAACAGGATCTCATGCGCAACACATCCGCAGGGAGTTGCAGAGCGCCCCGCTCGGAGCCGACGAGAGACTTCCCGGCCGAGCCACACTGCTCACTACACCAGATGCACTGCAGAGAATCGCAAGGGTAGAACTGCGAATTGACCGCTTGAGGGGATGGCTCGGGACAGATATTGCGCCGCTGCTTACAAAACTGGCGGTGCAAGGCAGGATGGATTATCTCACAGTCTGGGTGCGCACGCCCGCCGAGTCGAAAACTCCGCTGCATTTCCGCCCTGTCAAGCCAGGAAAGGACAAGGACATGGGCATGTTTGCTCGGCCGCCGCTGGAGGGCTTACTGCGGGTGCTGGCAGATCCATACCTGCTGTCAGCGCGGCTGTGGGTGGACGCGCATCATGCGAAGACGTGGTGCCGGTTCCACGCCGGAATCTGCGGAGCGGAGAGTGGGGTTCCGGGGCGGGAGCCGGAGCGGGAGAGGCGGATGGAGATTGATTGGCGGGAGATAATCCGGGTGGTTGATCCGGAGAGGAAAGAGATTGCTGTAATCGGGACAGAGAAGAAGTGGTGAGAAAAGTCACTGGAGGTGATCTTTTCTGCTTTTTGGCGTTTGTGGCATGTCGTTGAGGGTGGGTGTGCATTATACGTGGCGGTTGATGGACGGACGGAGACGGCACACAAGCCGAGATATGCAGTGGCAGGCGGATCGCCGTAGTCTACGGCTGCGCATCAGATGCTATCATCATAGCGATAGAGCTCTCTTTGGCACGGACCTTAAGTTATATAATCTGAATAGTTCCAAGCCATCCTAAACCACGCTCAAGCATCGTACCTCTACTCTAAAACCATCCCAAGATCACTTAACTTCCGTCCGTTCAACATACCATACCCTACTCCAAGATGTTCGGATGTGCGGATTTCACTGTAACACACCTGTCGGCTGAGTGGCTTTGTGAGTGAGAAAGAGGGTGTACGACATGGTTGCTCCTAAAAACGATCATCACATGAAGGCTGATTGATTGACGAGATTACAAAGTCTAGTCAAGCCATCTGCAGCAAATCTGGTGTCCCGTCTTGGCATTATAGCATTACAATTAGATCATCATAATATCGCTATATATCCAATGCTATACCTCCTCAGCTTCTGTCTCAAACACGCGTCCCAGTACTCTGTACTCTGTACTCTGTACACCCTTTGAAACAAGTCTATTCTTAACCAACCACAGCAATATTCTTTAGCACGCCTTGATATCCCCGACGCTCACGACTTGGATTCCCGAGCGATCACCGTGCACAGCAGCACAGAAATAGGTCAAGCGTAACAAGCTTCAAAATGAAACATGACGTATTTCCACGTCTCATGATTTGTTTAGCAATTGACTTTTCCCCACGCCGTGGAGGTGACAAGCTGCTCCCCTTCGATTAACGGCGAGGAGGTTATCACCACCGGAGGTTGTTTATGGAGAGAATAAGCTGATATATTTACTGTATTCAGATAGTTTTACTAGTAAATTGTAGAAACGCATATATTTCGCCCTGATCTATCATACTGTACTGTGGTAGCAAGTATAAGCGAGTACTGGACTAAAAGCCGGTCATTTCTCCGCCCCCATGACCGGCCCTGCTGGTGCGCTTCTAGAAAAAAAGAAACAGTGGAATTTTTGGTTGAATTCAGCAGACAAAATAACGATTCCAGAAAAAATTGAATAATTAAAAATGATTTGCACGTCATGCACGTATCTCGGTCACCTCCCGAAACTGTTACCCCAAGGAAACCCTGAACCCGGACAAGGCGGGATCTGATTTGAAAGACTGCCGGGAACGTGGATAAGGAAAATTGTGATTGGGTCGTATCTAAAACAGATCATATCGAGAAAGACACTTTCCCAGGCGGATATAGTAAGTCTGCGCGGCCGGCTGGCTCCGGCTATTCATGGTACGTTTTTGTTTCTGGATGCTGAATGCAAGATGCAAGGCAAATGCCACGCTACTGTGTGAAGAACTTGCACATGATCGGTCTAGAATCAATTAAATGCCGGCAATATTGAGAAGGGCTGAGGGCTACTGGTTGTGGGTGTGCATAACTAACCCTCCACGCAGCAAAGGATCATTCAGAGTAAACTCCACGCAGTAGTCTAGTCAATTGCCCACGCTCTGCTATCTTACTATCAAATAATAAGACCGAGAAATGATGAATGTGATAAGCAGATGGTGTAAAATAAACAGAGCACCCGTGTTGTCAATGCGTCTACTGATAGGCCAGCCTTACAGCCGCTCATACCGCTGTTTTGTACACCTCACCTCACCACTCACTACGGCATACCGAGATATGGAGATTTGATCATCATCACTTGGGGACCCTTCAGGCTGTAGAATGGACGCTCTTTGCTTTATCCGGAAAGGGCTAGAATCATGATTTGCCGCTATCAATAGTGCTACGGTAGACCAAGATGCCAAGAATTTAGAAAATAAGGGAACTGAGACAGTCAAGTCCTCCCCTTGTTATCAATTTAGATATTCATCTCTCTCAAAGACTGGAGAAATAACATAGGAAATGCAAAACGCCAGGAAACCTCGCTTCATCAGCCCTTTCAAGTCTCTTGCTTTCACAGGATCCAGACCAAAGCCGCCCACCTCAATCGTAATCCCGTTTCTTTCGTCGCATTTCGTTCCCATTCAACCGAGCTGAAGCGCTGCATTGCGCTTCTAGCCCACCCCCGTCTTTTCACAGATTTGGGGGATTTTACACAGTACCTCGCTTGTGCTTTTTTTCTTTCTTTCGCTTTTAGCCTTGTTTTTGCTTTTTGTCCCAAGTTGCTCAGTGGTATCTGTAATTTTTTTTTGTCGTTCACGTAATTGGGAATGAAATAAAGTGAATAAATCATCGCTGCGCTTTCACAACACACTTTTCACAAAAGATCAACGTCATTTAGTGAAGGATCACATCATGGAAGTCATGGTTGTGCTCGCCAGCGTGCTCGCCATAGTGGACGGGTCCAAGCTTGAGAATGCGGTAGGTGTTGGAGCCAGAGCTGGAGCTTGAGGACTCAGTCGAGGATCGTCGAGGAGCAGGACGAGTGTGTGCGCGGGAAGCGGGCTTCTGAGGGTATGAAGGAGAAGTGGCTGGGGCCAGAGACAAGAAGTTCGACTTGGGAGGAGGGGTGAGAGGGAGGAACTGCTGAGGAGGAAGAGAAGACATTGTGAATGTTGTTTGAAGAGTAAGAGCGTAAGAATGAGCTGTAGTGTATCAAGGTTGTCGAGCTTATGTTGTCTTGTGAGATGTAGCTGAGGTGGGCGTGACAGCTAGATCGATGAGCTTGAAGGGAAGATAAAGGCGATGTCTGTTGTTTTGGTTATGGAACTAGAAAGGAATCTTCATCTCGAGCGAGGGAACCGTCCTCTTTATGCTCTCGCGATCCCATAGACGTCTCATCTCGCTCCTTGAGCACATGTGCACACATTTGATAATCGTAGCCCACCCCCCCGGCGTACCCCGGACCTCCGTATCACCGAAGACACTATCTTTATCAAGCTCCAACTCCGCCCCGCGTGGAGGTGATGGACAATGCGAAACTAGGTCCCGCTATCCCGCTCCCACCTCCCACCTCTTCTTTTGTGTTCCTCCACTAAAGCTTTGGTATGCTTTGTAACTCTGAACTGCTCATCGGTCGTCATACCGTCGTCGCGTCTCGTTACAAATGTCGAGACATTGACAACCTTATTTGCCACCATCACCAGCCAAAGACACGGGATATGAGACACCCCCGGATCACAACTCATCAGCGGACTGACAGCACCGGGTGTCCACCCGGTCCTACTCAATCCATGATTGGTCGGCGGTTTCAGAGCCATGGACAAAAATAAGAGTCAAACATCTCCTGTTCCACCTTATTTTTGCAATCTATTAACGATTGCCGCGTCTTGTCTCGCCTATGCAATGTCGTTAACTCCTTCTTTACTCGCCCGCCAACCAGCTCGCTAACAGAAAGCCCGAACTTGGTCTCCGTACTCCGTACGCGACTGTGCAATGCACGTGGGGGCTTTCCACACATAACGGGCCGGTCTTGGTCATTGACCTTGGCTTTGCTTCTTGCTGCTCTGACTTTCTGTTTCCATCGCGTCGCTGGCGCGCTGCAGCACACAGCACTCAATCTCGCAGACATCTCATTGAACTAAAACCCCACAAAGTTGGTCTAAAGACTTGCAAAACCATCATGGTGCATCTGTAATGGCTCCACATGCGGCTTAGCCCGTAGTTACACAGGCCATCCTAGCAGCCTAGGCGTTCTCGTGACCAAGAACTCCAAATGACGGGTTCAGGGACCAGCCAGTAGAGCATATGTATTCGGGAAATTGAGACCACAGATTGCAAATTTGGCCTGGCCTAGGGACTTGGGACTGTCAAAGCTTTGCAGATCGTGGGGAATTGCCGTCATATCATGCCTTTCCTTGCCGTCTGCTGTGGATTTGCGGAACAATAGACCTGTCATGTGTCTTGCTTGTCCCTTCATGTCATGTCTGACAGGCACCCGAATTGGAAGATACCAACCCAGCCCGCCTTACACTTCTTGATAGCCTGCCGTGGTCATTTTTCACACTTCCTCACGACCTCTGCAACTGCTACGAGCAAAGCAACCAAGTTCAATTACCGAGCGTAACCACACCAAACTTCTTTCTGAGTGGAGTGCTGCTCCTCATCCAAACCACAAGTCGTTCGTGCACCGGCTTTCGGCGTGCCTAATGGTGACTTATCTCATCATCGTACACTTTGGACTCAAGTTTGCCGGCCCTGCCGCATAAAGTCCAGGCGGTATTCAGTCTTGCGCTGATAAGGCTGATATCAACTCATAGTCAACCCTTGTCGCAAAGGACAAGATCATACGGCCGATCGAGTCCAAAATTCCATGGTCCTCCTCCACAATTGTGCCATGCTGCGTCGTTGTGCATCTTTCTGCAGTCTTCCATTCTATTCCGTCAATGGAAATCTCTTCATACTGATGTTAATACACAACCAACAACGTAAATTACCAAGCAACCAATAGACATGACTTCCATCTGTCCGAATCAACGAACATGGTCAACAGGGTACAGTATTGGTCCGTTGGTTAGATCTTTGAGATGAAAGAGCAGGGTGCCGAGCCTTGTATCATGCTTGATTAGGTCTCGAGTCCCGGCTCCATCCCTTTACATCATGTGATCCAGTGACCAGGCAAGAAAGGTGATCGAATGGGTACGGTCACTCGTTTCCCCAGTCAACCTCACCGCAATCCGCCTTACGTCGCTTGTTTCACCTTGAACTGCGGCATCAAGCGGCCGTGTTGTGGCCCAAGTCATTCTTCTTCGCTTTCTTCGGTGCTAAATCAACTTCGAGTCCTCGAGGTGTCGGGTTATCGTTATATCTGGATATTCATTTGAGGCGCAGATCGAGCCCGGTGAGAGATATTATCGCAGAGGGGAGCTGAGGTATTTCCAAGTCATGGGGAAAAGTTAATCAGCCATCACCATCATGTTGTTGAAGTCGAGATGTCCTGACTTGCATTTAATAAGATTCGTCTTAGCTATATGTAGCTGCTTGACGCCTTGCTCCAAGATATAGGCTTTCCAGAAACCATGTGCAATCCAGCAGTAGCTTCTCGACTCGATTCCTTCGCGCCTATGGCTTTTTTTGCACCTTGTGATCCGAAGACCTATTTGCAGCCTCTTGACGCCGTACCTTTGGCTGGCGACTAGGGTTGAACAACATGTGTTGGTCGACCAATAAGAATGGCTCCTAAGCGCCGCCGTAGCAGCAACTCCTCGCTGGACCCTACTGCGTTTGTGTAAGTCCCAGAAACTTAGTGTTTATGTGGTTTCTTATTCAACGTCATTTGATAGCCGCAAACGCGCGCTCGCGCGCTCTTAGCTGCCAATCTGCTGCGTGAACAAGAAGTCTGGCGGAACTCACGGTATCATCGCGGCAGCATACCACATAGGGGTAAGACAGGGTCGCCAGTTCGAATTAGGAGAACCCCGAAGCCCGTCGAGCACGAGTTGCATGTTTTCTGTGGGCCGTTCCGTTATTACAGATGACCACAGCTGGACAAGTTGCCCGCTTCAGAGAAAGTGACGGTGTGGGTGTAAGTGAACCAAATGGCTGCAGTGTAGTCACGCTGGGTCACCAACAAGAGCTTCAGTTTGCGTCCATAACTAGTCTGGTCCATGTCGAGGCTTGCGAGAGAATATAAGTTCCCTGCATGTTGTGACCGCGGTGACTCCGATTCAGCGTAATCAAGAGTTACGCCCCAGTAGCGTCAATATCGAACTGCGTTTGCACTCTGGAACATGCATGACGGTAACTTCATTATCCTAAGACAGTTGAAGAACCAACATCAAAAGCAAGGATGAAGTGTGATAAGTGTATAACAACGAGTATAACTGGCGCTAGCGTTTATCCGTGCCGTCCCGTGCCACGATATCTGTTGAGGGGTGGAAGAGTTAGAGGTTGTCTGAGCTAGACTGATGTGTTCTACGTCAGCTTCATCTCGATTGAGCGTGTAATGAGGAGCCGAGCTGCGTCTCTGGGACCACTTTGCATGTAACTTGTTGGACATGTATCATGGGACGATGAGGGAGTTGTTGGACGATCTTAATCGAGTTTGCAACTCGTATTACACGCACTTAAAGGAGGTCCAAGTTGGAAGGTGTAATGCAGGAAAGATACAGTATCAATCACTTGACTGATGCGCCATGTGCCAGGGTCTCTCGACTGGTTCTCCAAAGGGGGAGATGCAGATGCATGATAGTGGTTGCCTTTCGTCACCCCAAGTCGGACCGCGGCTGACTCCAAGCAAGCACATAGTTTCTGTGAAGGTGACTGTCGAAATCTCTTGTTTCTACCAGTCTTGGGGGCAGTAGAAGGAATCAGGTCGCATAAAAGGCTGCATGAGGCTTTCCGACGGGAAGATCCTAGGGCCGCAGATGGAAATCAAGCAGACCAACACTCTCAGTTCATAAGATTCAAGGGTTGACGACACCACAACTAGGCGGTCTGAGCTGTGAAGAGAGTCACATAGGTGACTCTTAGGAAAAGATCGGAGGATAACACGCCAAGTGTGACGATGAGACTGTATTGCATGCTGATCTAGTCTGTTTTCCACTTGACTTTGAGCTCCGGGACCTCTTCCGGGACACAAAGTACCAGAGACGCAAGGTTCAAGAGTTATCAGGCGAACACGAAGTCGTCCAACCCAACGCAACCCAAATATTCTCAAGTCATGGAGAAGTATAATGACCAGGGGGTCGAAGGCGTAGACGCAGGCGCAGGCGCAAACGCAGACGCAGACGCAGACGCAAATGCAAGAGGAAGTAGTTGGCGCAGCCGCAGCGGGGTTTGTCTCGTGTACAAAGTGGACCGTGCAGGGAGGAAAAGAAGTTGAGTTACCAACAACCGCGGTAGAAAGACGCTGTTCAAGCCAAGTTATCGAGTGACTGTTGGAAGTTTGCTGTGATAAGTTGAGGCGCGATGATGTGAAGACGACAAGGTAAGGTACAGCCGCGCGCCATCACACCCAACCTGAGCTGCAGGAAATGGCAGGGGTGGCACGGTCCCACCTGGAGAACACGACCAGGGGGTGCGGCCGCCATCGAGCACTGTGCTTGGCTATGTGATCACCTGCTTCAGTACAGTGTGAACCTTACAAGATGGTGTCTTGAAGCAACAACCTCCAAGCGCCTCATGACAAGGGTGGTGCTTGCCAAGGCCAGGTCCACACCCAATCACAATTAAGCAATACTTTGTAGTAGGAAAGAGCTCCTGTAGTTGAAGGTATCGGACCTGCTTTAGTATGTACAGAAGGATGTTGAACGTGGTAGGTCAGCACTATAAGGCAGGAGTTCAGATACTTACTGCAAGGTACACGAATTCTGCCTGGACCACCATTAAACTAATAACGGCAGTTGCTTTTATCCATTTCACCAACAACACTCAGCTCTCTTTGTCTCCTCGAGTCTGGCCCGCATCGGCATCCATCACTCGAAGAATAATCGCACACCCACACAAACCCCCGTTGAATAATGGACAAACCGGCATATACTTAGTTCGAAATGGCATGATATGGCACGGCACGACATGGAGCATGATGGGACAGTGCAACGCACAAAGAACAGCTTCGTCACACTTCTCAATATCAAGAACAGTATGGTCATACGCAACCATGTGTGACAAACCTCGGCCGTCGTGCATCGAGTCATGCAGCAACGCGGAATTGTGTGAAGCTATCCCAGACTACATGTCGTTCGGTTGCGTTATGCACGACCCAATAGTTGAGAGCAAGCCGCAGATAATACCTCTTGTGGAGATGAAGACAAAGAGACATGGACAGAACAAGGAATCACGTCCACTCCTATGGGTCAGCATTGGCACCAATACGAGCGAATACGCAGTTGGCTACACTTCTTCACACTCTACTCCACGATCGCTGAAGACACTACCAGTATCAGGAACAGCCGATATACACTTCACTTGGCATCTCCAGTTCGTGTTGGCTTGCCGCGGGTATTCTCATGGTGTGCTTTCAGCGGCCCGCGCGCATGAGTTGGTCGGCGTATCCACCTGGAATCACTCCGAACAAGCCGCCTCTACGAGGTGAAAAGGTTCCAACGAGGCGAGCTTTCATCCGCCGCGTCAATGTCACAAGCGACAATTCAGTACATCACTACACGCGCGGATTTATACACTCCGTTCACGTGGGTTGCTGTGATATTGCAATGCTACGCTATCAGACTTCTAATGGTGTTGAGATTCCTAAAGTCGTAAAGATGACGCCAATTGTGTACGTTTTCTTTGTTCGCTTCCACAACGGCTGGTGCCTGATCCTTTAACCATTCTCGAACCCAACGACCCCTTCATCCCGTGGACTACTAATCTCCAAGGGGGTTAATCAACTTCATCGCGGATCATGTGCAACATCCGCTAGCTCCACAAGGCGTTTAACGCCTCTGGCGACTTAGCTTAGCCAAGAGGCAAGGAACAATGACAGAACCCTTAGTACCAACAGAGGAACAAATTTCCTCAACACGTGCCGAAGATCAAGTTGGGAGGTGGGCAAGGGAATTAAGGAGACATCTGGGGGCCCGCGTTCATCAACCAGGCAGCTTTTGTGGCGTTATGGCACAATGCCTTTCCCGCTGTTGAATTCAAAATTGACCAACAACGGCGCGGGTTGTACGGTTCAGGGGGAAGGCTGTAGAGGATGGCTGATGTCACGCCCATGTGGCAGCTGTAAGAAAAGACGACTTCGGCAAAGCTTTCTCAGGTGTTTCTTGGAAGAAGATCAGATAATCGTCTCATCAGCCTGCACCAAACCCAACTTCAGAGCTTTGAGAACTTTGAAGTGATGGATAAAGGATGGTAGCATTTCAAAAAAGCATGGGTACAGGCTGTCATCTGAACGTTAGGCCTGTAGCTCTCTTAGTGGGACTCAGGCCAAGCTCACACGTTGATTGATCAAGCCGCATACTAGACAAGGGAGCTTAGATCTCTGACGCATGCTTTCGATTACGGATGCAGGGGATAGGTTTGGAGTCAGCTCTGGTAACTGAGCCACAGACAGGAGTCTGTCAATATATTCGGCTTACGCTGCGCCTTTGGGAAATTCCTGCACGTTTGGTGTTTCAAGAGCAAAGCATTGTCCGTAATGCTGCCATACCAGGTCGTTTGCGTTTATGAACGACGGCAGTCTCAGTCCCAGCACCAAGCAACAAGCACCTAGCAAGCCAACTTGACAGGTACATAATGGGATCGCCAGAGCTGGCCCCTCTAACTGCAGTCAAGATTTTGGATACAAAATAAAAGATGCATGATGGTGGTCCCCCTCACTGCAGAAGAACATGTCCGTGGAGTGTGGGTGCACGATGCCCCATTATACAAAGGGCCCCATCGAGCCCAGCATGGCTCGCACACTCACCTTCAACAGTCACACTGCGTGGGAAGAGTTGCCAGACCTCGATTGATCTCTAATGCGGTTGGTCTCGATTGAACTCTCTTTGTGGACTGATGTGCCTTGACGTAAAGTCGACGACCCTTGGACCAGCCCGCCAACAGAGCGTAGTGTTGCGGCGCACAAAGTCTACCTGATTTGGGGCTCGGAGGTTATATCTCGATTGAACAATTCGATTGTCTCCTTTTCTAGAGTTCCGCTCGTCTCTTTTTTTGCGTTGTTTGCGGGAACTGAGGGCCGAGAAGGAAGAGGAGGTGCCCAACAGCACATTTTGCGTACCAACACGCACACCCCCCTCCCAAGGCTCACCCCCTGGCCAACCCGGAGCCAACAGACTAGGTAGCTAACCAACCATCCTATCTAAGCAGCGCAGCTCCTGGTCTTTCAACACCGGGGAAGTGCAAACTGGACCAACAAATCGTTTTTCTCTTTCCCTTGCAGTCCTTGTGAGGGTTTATTTCGACTTTGACATTGTGGGATCTTCAAGATACCTGTGCACATAGTGTCATGGACAGCAAACTGCCTTGCTCTATCAGAATCGTTTCCAAGCCCTCGGGACGGGGTCACCAGCTATATAAGGGCCATGGGCATCTTGCTTCATTGCAATAATCACCACTCAGACTCAGCAGCCTTTCCAATCTACAGTCTTCACTTGATCACTTTCCAGAAACAACTCAAAGGCTTCTTTTGTCTATCATCCTCAACCCTCCTCTACAGAGTTCTAAGCCATCTTTTTGGTGCCTGAGCCTGAAATAACCTCCTACGGCAGCAAGCCTATTTCCCCCCCAAGATACACAAAGCCACATCCGTCGGGATAGGTACTACCATATACTCACACAAACTTCTCGGATCACGGCTTTAGACTGCCTGTCATCTGCTCAGCGTAACTTCGGTTGTCAAACACGACTATCCTCGCACAACTCTATAAGCAGCCTTATAAATTGAAGTGTCAAGACAAGTCTGCACTTCAACATCAACGACTTCAAAGCACCGTCAACCAAGGTCCTGTCCTGTCATATCTAACTTCCCAAATTCAACTTAACAAGCATCCAATCATGTGTCTCTGGAGAACCACTCAGCACTGGACTCAGTGTGGCTGCACTGTTTCTACCCTTGACCCTCAGCCCGGCACTACCTGCCGATGCTCGTCCAACATCACGGATCAGGGTCTTTCGACGTGGGAAGGATCGTGTGGGCGCTCCTCCTGCCCCAACCCTCCTCGGGCTACCTAGTAGGTCGGTATTTGAGTTCCCCTTTGAGCGATCCTCTGAGCTGGAGTGTGGCTAACATGTCCTATACAGCGATCCACGTTACCCTCGAAAGCGAGGGGGAAAGCTATGAGCAGGTTGCCTAGATCTGCGCATGACATGGATTAAGCTGTGCAAGGTGGAATTGTGGTGACGATGCAGGGGATTTCTTATATCTTTTTGGATTTATACGTGAGTCCATAGATGGACCGTTGTGTCCCTGGAGCTGTTTGGCAACAAACTTGGGCTCCCAGAACAGCACAGACGAGAGGGTGATACAGTCATTTCCGATATTTGGTGGAGGATTTGTTCTCGGGGTCATTTATGCTTTTTTTCTTCTTACACTTATCTATCTACTTTCTCTGATAGTTTGAATTGCATCTTTTTTATTTACTTCTCCAACCAACTTACTTCTCCAACCATTGATATCTATCGTCTGAAGTAACGTGAGGAGTGTGAGACCAGGGTGTGTGACTAACGTGTGGGAATGACCAGGACCCATGCAGTCTTGTAGCTAGCGAAATTTAAAGGGACTGGGGACTGGGGGTTTGTTCGCTTATTTTTCTTGAGCTCCTCTTGCTTTTGTATTTGGTGGACAAGACAAGCGATGTACCTTTGGTGTTTTGGATGGTGGTTCTCATACTCTGTACCACAATTGGAAAATCTCTGGGTGTTCAACAATATCAACTTTACTTTTTCCTACTTAGAGTCTTGTTGTCTTTTTCTCTCTCTGTCTCTGTCTCTGTGTTGATCATTTGGTCGAAGTTGGAATAAGACAACAGGTCAACTAACTACTATAGTATCCCCCCCACTCACACTTCATCTTCTGGCCCTGTGGCCGTATCTGCGACCCCCTACGCCACGCTATGCCACAGCACGCCACGGCCACGAGAACGGGCCTGCGGCGCAACAATGTGGGAAAATGTTTCAACAACCTCGATCTGTGGAGGGTCTGGGAGAAGGAAAACGCCTCGTGGGCGTTTATAGGGGGAAGATTGAATGATTATGATTGATGTCACCGCCCTTACAGCGAGAGTGCTAGGTACTAAAGTGGATAAGTCTACTCGATACAACAATGTCCGTGTAAGTCGGCCTCTCTCGCTGTAGATGCTCCAGTACTAGCTACCAACGACGACATCATCATTGTCTTAGCCCTGCATCAGCGGCCTAATAAAAGTCGAAATCCAATAGGAGCGGCTCCATTTTGTCTCTTTTCTTTTTTTTTTTTTTCCTTCTGCCAGTTAATACTCTATTCCAGAAGGACAAGGCAGAGTCCGAGCTACATCTTACACTTTTCTCTTTTGCTCTTAAACAAGCCTGTCACGATGTTTAAATTAAGCGCCCATGCTTCTGCTAGTCTCAGCCCTTTTTGCTTAGTACGAGCTGAGCGCAGAAGCCAGAGCGAGTCAGAGCTTAATAATAATTCAGTCGGTGAGTAAGAGGAATGAATGAGGAAGAAGAACCCCTTCTCTCTCTCTGTATTTTTCTCTCATATTTGTTCAAAGTTGTTTCTTTTGAGTATGTCCTCCTTTCCCTTGGTTTAAGCGACCCTTTTGCTCGACACCCCCTGGCCCTGGCCCTGTTACTGACACAGCTACCGCTACCACTGTTGGTGGAGTAAGTGGGCGACAGCTGTGCGTGCAGACGTCACCGATCATGTGACTTTGTCTTTCTCGATTGCTGGGGTTCAGCTCTACGAATTGCTTCACGTCTTTTGGTCATTTGTAACATTATAAAGCCACGATAGTACGGTCGCTATTCCAAAATTACAACTACTTGGTCTCTTGAAATACTATTATCAAATATCTGCTTCCCATTGTCACTCAGTCTTCTCATCTGGTGCTATTCTTGGCCGTCGAACAAACATATGTCCAACCTCACCTCGTACACCCCGAATATGTCGTGATACAGCAGCACCCGCACGACTCAGAAAAGAGAAAGAAAAAAACTCTCCGGCCCGCATGATAAGTTGTGAATCGATTCGATGCTCTCTGTAACTCTCCGCATCTCGCTTGGGAATAAATGCCGTCGTCCTCCCGCGGCCCGTACGTGACGTGTCGGCTCACAACAGGATATGTTTCTGTAACTATCCCCGTTCTTCCTTATTCTAATGTTGTCTTTTCATGGGGCTTTCTTGAGGGGGGGAAGAGGAGGATATGCATGGGAGCGGGAACGGTAATATGCTATGGGGTTATGCGGTTGGTGGATGTGTAACTCCGGGTTTTAATTCATGTAGTATGAGTATGAGTGCCGGGATATATCTTGTCGAGGGCCTTGTTTCGCTCCTCCTCGACATGCTTGCACTGGACGGGAATGGATTCGTACATAGACAGGTATTGAATTAATACATTTTATGGGTGAGTCCATTCCTATTATGACGTTCTTGAGCAAGTATACTCTGTGGTCTGTTGATTGATAGCGAAATAAACTTCCAACCACCATGAACTATTATGTAGACGTGTAGTGATTGAAATTCCACTGCGAGCCATCTAGCGATTGATCCGTTAACCATACCATGGGGAGTAACAAAACGACAGGTGAGCACTTTCGCGTGACGTGGCAGAATCGTAGTATAATGAGTCTCTCTCTTTCCGTGGGTTCCTCCGTTGAACAAGGCATCGCTGCTATCATATCATCGTCGTGGGGATATCCTCGTAATGGGAGTACTAGTCCAAGAGTTACATATTTTGCATGAGTCAAACACTTTGGTGACATGTCGCTCGGCGAAGTACAAGTACAACCTCGATAACTCCATTGCTCATGCACGAGTGGTCTCGTTTCTCTCGTGGCCAACAAAGTTGCCATGGTTATAGCGATTATAGTAAAAGGATCTCTGCTCAGGTAAGTCCCAAGGTTTTGCGAAAAGATTCAGCGACAAAGCCTGGAGTGGAAGTGGTTACCATGTCGAGGATGGCCCAGTCAGCCTCATCTCCTTGTGCACAATAATGGTGTGGATGACCTCGCCGGTGTCCTGGTAAGAACCAGAGGTAGCTGAATCTTCCGGGCCCTTGTCAACATTCTCAATTGTGCGGCGGAAGCAGAATGTCTATAGGTATAAGGCAGTACAAAATAATATAACATATGTCGGCGGTGTTCTGGCTCGTTCGAGTATGCAACCTGTCCAGTCACTCGGAGGCAACGTTGACGGTCCATGATTGAATGGTATGTCATGAATGGTTCGCACGACCTTGTGTTCTTCATCCACCATGGATCATTTTCTTCCCAAGTCTTCATCTCCGCAGAAAATTTGATTACTTGATCTGAGTGCAACCTTGTCCATGAGTTATTTCTGCGATTTCTGTACATAGCATTGGATTATACCCCGGTCAGGAATCATTAGAGGCCCAGCCAGGACTTCTGATCTGGCTGTCTTTGTGTGTCGACATAGACTGCATTGCTTGTTACGTTGACTTCAGGTATTGCAGGACTGATACATCGCCAATCCATCCTAGTTTGATCCAAGAGACAAGCATAGGATTGCTCTGCGGTTAAGCACCGACTCCCAAATTCGAGTTCGATGTTGAATTTCGGATTCAGTCCTGAGGCTCATGTCTGACCAAGACTCAATCACCTGAGATTTTCCAACACATGGATTATACATTCTTCAATATTCCCTGGTCCGTATATAAGATAGTATGTATTGGGCTCGAGTCTGTTGTGTGTGTCTTTTGTGTGTATGTGTGTATCCGGAAGATATATACGAATGGAGACCAGTACGCTCACGCTCACGCTTAGCAAGAGGCTTGCGAGGAATAGGCGATGGCGACGGCGAACGATTGGAGTTAACATCGTCATCATTCGTACGCTTACGCATAATAGAAGTCGACTGGCGCCTGGCCAAGGAAGTTCACAGGCGGGGAGAGGCTATAGATGCAGGGCTGATCTATGGATTATTCCAGTAATACTGGGCGGCACCTTTAACCTCAAGAGGAATCTGTGAACAGTCAGTTACCGTTGGTCAAGATAATGACGATAATACTCACAGCACCACACTTCTGCGAGGATCTTTCTTTACTACTTATCGGTACTTGTTGCTGACGATATCCACCAAAGGACTCAAAAAAGTCTAGAAAAGCAATAGTCTCAAGATAGACTAGTTTTGTTGTCATCGTCGACATATGTTGTCTTGGTTTCAACATCATTGTTATCTCAATATAGCGCTCATAGTATGCAGCAGAAGTCATAGCTCAGGCGCCTTCATGTCCTAGCTTGATGGTGTTCTGGTCTCCAAGGCTTGATGAATATAACGCATGCTCCGCATTTGCGACGATCTTGAGATGATATCAATTGATATCATTTGTGAAAACCCTTGTCCAGGGAATGACAGTATCTCCGCCGTGAAAAAGAAGGTTCTTCGTGATCTGCACTCACTCATTAGTAAATGCGCGGATCACGAGAAGTATATCTAACGAATCTCGCCAGGCTCAAACATCACTATAATCTCCAATTCACAAGATAAGAATACCAAGCGTAAATTAGAACCATGCTCCTGTACACTCAAGACCGGCAATTAAGAATTCTCAAAAAAGGCACTTACCATAACATATAACCAATGCAATTGAATGCTGGTACCCAGGCATATTGGTGTGTGCTGTTAGTATATGCGAGTACTATCGTGTACGAGTAGTATGTCCAAGTTCGCTCTCTTGCAAAACTCTGTCCAATATAAAGATTTTGTCCTGAGGCTTAGTTGATATAAGGGATGATTATTTTCCTTCGATCCGGAGGACAAGAGGCCTTATATAGCCCAGCGAGCCTGGTATGAATGTTCCCGTTCTACATGCATTGCGTCTCTGCGCAGTATACAAACAGCACCCATCGATGGCAAAGACAAGCATGACGATGCAATGCGACACAATCAAACCATTCGTATTTCCAGCAAAACAACGGAAATCCCATGATTGTTTGTCATATGTTTATACAAAGTGCATCAATCTCACGCTGTGCCTGAGTTTCTCAACAACCCTTCTAATCGTCAGTCTCAGGGCAACATCAACTGAACAATGTTTCTTCTATTAAACATGTTTCCCAGATTATACGACTTCATATGGCCAATCATACCCTCGCAAATAGCACTCTATATCCGAAACAAGTGAAGTCGTGGAGTGAGTTTGTTAAGTCTGAACGGAGCATTACCACGCAAGATATACTTCTTGCAATCACTCTCGCTTCAAACAACCACCCAGGTTCTGAAAGTAATATATATTATGATTTATCATGCAATTTTGTCTACTCATAGAAATGCTTGGATACGATTTACCAAACGGAATCATCCCTTCACCACATCACAGCTCACAACTTGAGCACCAACGGAATGTCAGAGCAAATAAGCCAAATCAATTCCAAACTTGGTAAAGCTGACGCAGTCTGTAAGTGCAGTCTTGAATTCCAATCTGGATCTTCATCCCTATATGTTAATGCACCTCCCCTTTGCTTGCCAGCCCCGTCGCTATTGTACATCAATGTCAACTATTACAATGGAATGTCCCGAATCTTGGTCCTTTTCTCTTCATCAAACGACCCTTATCTGGCCGCTTTCAAAGCAAATGCATCTGCATCACCTTCCCCTTAGTAAGATTTGGTTTTTGTGTTTTTCTTGTATAACCCCTACCAACTTCTTTTGCGGATCTATCATGCTCAAATAAAACCCCTACCAAAAACATGAAAACTGAAATGACAACCTGTGCCACGTATGCATTATTCAATCAGAAATATTAATCGTTTGACGGCGAGTTGGGAGAACTGTGCAACTGTTAGTTTCCTGTTCACAAATAATCATATGGCCAAACTCACTATTGGTTTCCAGATGTCCCCGGACCCGGCGTGCGAGGAGAGAAAGCAGGTGACGTGGGCGAGTAGCTTGGGCTAGTCGGTGACTGCTGCGCACCAGGGCTCCTTTGGAAGCTTGGACTCGTTGGAGAGTAAGCCTCAGGAGATGTCGGAGACCAAGAGGGGGATGCTGGAGAGTAGGAGGGTGAGGTTGGTCCGGCTCCGTGGATGTTGGGTGATGCCGGGCTGTAGTTGGGGCTCGCCGGAGAGTAGCTGGGGGAGGTGGGAGAGTTGAACTGCGCCGGTGATGTTGGGGAGTAGTGTCGAGGAGACGATGGTGATGTAGGAGAGTAGCTTGGCGACGTCGGGCTGTAATTGGGGCTGGCCGGGCTAGTAGGTCGCATCATAGGCGAAGTGGGCGAGAATGAGGGTGACGACGGGCTGAAAGATGGGGAGCTTGGTCCATATCTGCCCATACCGCCATCGATCATAGGTGAAGTTGGAGAGTAGCCCACATTAGGCGACGCTGGTGAGTAGCTGAATGGAGATGTCGGAGAAGTAGTGCTGAAAGGACTAGCCGCTCCAAACCTGCCACCTGGGCTCATCGGCGTCGTGCCACCGTAACCACCGGCATATCCATCGAAACCGTTATGGGGTGTATCCGATCCTGCTCCCTGGATAGGAGAGAAGTTTCCTGCAGCAGGAGAGCTGAGGCTTAGATATCCTGAATCGGCCATAGGAGAACCAGTGTCGTAAGGAGTAGCAGCTCCTTCAATGTCTCCACTCTTGGTAGGCATACCCGCCATTAAGCCCATGCGAGAGTTATCAGAGATAACAGTCTCCAGCATCTTAGGATCCAAGAGAACATCGAAGTTTCCTGTGCCCATAGGTGCCATCTGACCAAGCATGACGTTCTCAGAGATACCACGGCAATCATCCAGTTCACCTGTGGCGGCAGCTTCGAGCAGAATCTCGACTGTCTCCTCGAAAGAACAACGCATCAGAGCGCCAGTGTCAGCTCGGTTGATACCGTGTCGAGTAACAGCTGAGATAACACCTCTGTATGTCATCACATCGACAAGGAGAGCAATATGACGATGGTTGACGTAAGAACCGTCAAAGGCCAACACGTTGGTCAACTCCTTCGCCAAAGCGGAACGAGCAGCTTCAATGCCGAAGACCTCAACAATCTGGTACAGATCGTTGGTGTATGTTCGTGTCGCATCAACACCGTCGACAGCCAACACCTCTCGGAGAGCAGTGCCACTGGTATCGAGGTACCACTGTGTGCAGCGTGGATCGTCCTTGATTGCAAGCAATGCACCGTCATTGCCCTCAGTGAGTCTGGTTCCCTTGGTCAAGAAAGCACGCTCAATACCAGGGACACCACGGAGGGTAAGGGTATCCAAAAGATGGGCCTCCAGGCGCTTGAGCATAACATCGTCCTCCATTCGAGAGCCATCACCATCGTCTTCCTTGTCGGCACCAGTCTGGATGGTTCGAATACGGATGACTTGCTCATCGGCGTTGTTGTCACTGAAGATGACGGCCAGATCAGAGGAATACTCCTCCTTGATACGTTGAGCAACATCGTCAATCTTGATCTCCTTATCGAGCAGCTTCTGTCGGTCCAGAGTAATACGCAGAAGCCATCGCGATTGGTTGGCGGTGGGATCGACGGTTTCATCAGGAATCATGTAGTAAGACTCGACCATATCCACATCTTCGGGAATGTTGGTTTCCGTGATCTGGGGATCGTAGTAGATCTCAGTAACTGAAGTGACAGAGCGAAGGTTGGTGTATTCCACCATACTTCGCAGTTTCTTGGCCTGCTCTTGTCTCGCAAGTGGTGTGTTGAGGTACACAGCCATACTGGGAGTCTTGATGTTCTTCGCCAGGTTAAGAATTTCCTTGAGACGCGGCACACCAAGAGTAACGTTCTTGGACGACACACCAGCGAAATGGAAAGTGTTCAGTGTCATCTGGGTAGCGGGCTCACCAATGGACTGGGCAGCCAAAACACCAACCATTTCACCAGGGTTCACGAAAGCACGGTCCCATCTGTTCTGGAGCTCACCCAAGATGTAGTCGAAAGCCAGCTTGTTCAAGCGGTGCTCCTTGACAACTTCCTTGAAGGCAAGTCGGGAACGGAGTAGAGCCTTGAAGAGAATGGAGGCGTTCGCGTCAGCCTCCAATGAAATCTCATCAGTACCCCGAACGATCTTCATGTTTTCCAACATGTTCCTCACTCCGGGGATAACATCCGAGGGTCGAAGGTTACTTCGGTCATTGGCCTTGACATTGAATACACGCTTGGCAGACTCAATGATACGAGTGATATTGAGAGGCAATTGCATCATCTCCTCGTTACCCTTTGACTGGTTGATGAGGCGAATCCTTTTGCGATCAAATCGCAGAGCCTCCCATTCCTCATCGAGAAGGCCCATGGAGGCTCTGTCACCAGTCAACTCGTTACCGAATTCGTAGTCGTGCCTAAACCAATCAGGAGGGTTGGCAAGATCCAAACGGTATTTCTTTTCGAATGCACTGTTCGACATGTTGAGAATTCCTAGCTTCTGCTTCTCGATGATCATAGCATCGAGACCATCCTCGCCGTACAGGAATTGAACAATATCACCCAAAGAGTTTCGAACAGTTCCATCGTAGCGCGCAGAAAGATCTTCCAGAGCCTTGACCAATCGTCGCTGAATGTAACCTGTTTCGGCAGTCTTGACCGCAGTATCAATAAGACCTTCTCGACCAGCCATGGCGTGGAAGAAAAACTCGCTAGGGGTAAGACCACGAAGGTAAGAGTTCTCAACGAAACCACGAGCTTCGGGTGAGTAATCGTCCTTGGTGAAATGAGGCAGGGTGCGGTACTTGAAGCCGAAAGGAATACGTTTGCCTTCAACAATTTGCTGACCGACAAGAGCAGTCATCTGTGAAATATTGATGGAAGAACCCTTGGAACCTGAAGAAGCCATGGTAACAGCGTTGTTTGAATCCTTCAAACTCTTTTGTGTTGTCGTACCAGCCTTGTCACGGGCCTGGTTGAGAGCCATAGAGACCTTGTTCTCGAAAGTTGCACGAACATTCATACCGGGGAGGGCCTCAAGCTCGTTGGCAGTGGCCATCGCTGTCAAGCGAGCGACTTCAGCCTTCTCCTCATCAATATGCGCCTGAACCTTTGCAATAGTGGCAGCATCAGGAATTGTGTCACCAATACCAATACTGTGACCATTGTTCAGAAGCCAGTAAGTCACGACTTGCTGAACACCGTTCAAGAAAGCCATAGCTCCCTCAGGTCCCAACTCGTTGTAACTGATATGAACGATACCACCAGCAGCAGCACCAACGCTCTTCTTTGTGAGAAGACCGTACATAAGTTGACCGGACTGAATCAAAAGACCCTCATCCCTAAGAGGGGCATTCTCATTATCGTCCGTACCGTTAAAGAGACTGACCTCCTTAGGAATAACCATGCTGATAAGCTGCTTACCAGTCCAACGAGGACGAGGCTTATAAATAGCGGGCTGAGGAATAACACCATCCCAGTTGGGCACCCAGAGCATGCAGTTCATGATCTGTTCCTTGGTGAGGAACACATCTCGACGGCAAAGCTTGTAGGCTCCAGCAAGAGAGTCCTGAACAATACCCATCAGAGGACCGTTCTTTTGAGGAGAGACAATGTTTAGAGGGACCAAACAGAGCTCCTTGACCTCGGCACGTGTCTCTTCAGACTGCGGCACGTGAAGATTCATCTCGTCACCATCGAAATCGGCGTTGTAAGGAGAAGTGACGGAAAGGTTCAGACGGAAGGTGGAGTAAGGCATAACACGAACGCGATGACCCATCATGGACTCCTTGTGCAGAGAGGGCTGACGGTTAAAGATAATGTAATCACCGGTCATCAAATGACGCTCAACCTTCCATCCGTACTCCAGAGAAATGGCACCAGCACGTCTGTGATGTCGCAGATCAATTCGTTGGCCATCAGCTCGAATAACATACTTGGCACCAGGATGCTCATTAGGTCCGTTCTCAACAAGTTGATGTAGCTTGCCGATGTTGTAAGGTGTGACAGTCTCGGGGTAGGTTAGAGTCCTGGCGATACTGCGAGGCACACCGACTTCATGCAGTGAAAGGTTGGCATCACCTGTAATGACTGTACGTGCAGAGAAATCCACACGCTTACCCATCAAGTTACCTCGGAGACGACCTTCCTTACCCTTTAGACGTGCTCGAATGGCCTTGACAGGTCGGCCACTCTTTTGAAGAGCACGAGGTTGACCAGCAATATCGTTGTCCATGTATGTGGCAACGTGATATTGTAGGAGCTCCTCAAAGTCTCGGGCAATGTGTTGAGGTGATCCTTCACGGATAGCTTGCTTGACATTACCATTGGCGCGAATGATATCACCCAGCTTGTAAGTCAAATCATCTTCGTTACGCATACCAGTTCCGGTGCCGTCCATGGAGATACTAGGACGAACTGGGGGAGGAGGCACAGGAAGGACGGTGAGAACCATCCATTCAGGGCGAGCGTAATCCGAGTTGAGACCCATGTTGACAAGGTCTTCCTCTGAGATTCTTCTCAAGATGCTGTGAGCCATCTCAGGTGTGATAGGTGTCGTCTCCTTCTTCTTCAGCTTCTGTCCATCTTCATCGACCGAGACTTCAAAGGCAGCCTTGAGTTGCAAAGCGGCTTGTCGAACGTTGGGCTGCATGTTACCGCAACCACCGTGGCCTTCCATGGGACCAGTCTTTAGACCGGGTGCGAATTCCTCATCCTTTTTCTTGGGCTCTTCGTTCTCACATCTTCGCCTCTTCTTGCAAACTTCCCAAACACGGCTGAAACGGACTTTAGGATCTCGAGTGTTAATAGCTGCAGCGAACTCGGGATCTCTCTGAGTGTGAGGTTAGCATACAAAGGTCAAATAGCGTCATACAGTGAGACCAACAGTATCGGCTAGCACTTTGCTGCAGTTATGGCAGACAATCTCCAGAATCTTCTTGACCTTCTTGATAAATCCAGGGTGGTAAACAGGTTTGGCAAGCTCAATGTGGCCGAAATGTCCTGGACACTCTCCCATAGCTTGTGTGCAGGTCTTGCAGCGAAATTGTCGATCGATCGATCCTAGAAGCGGGTCGTTGAGGCCACCATCACGAGGCTTCGTCTTGTTCTCTTCCATCGTTTCGGGGTAAACAATGTGGCAGACACTCATGCTCTTGATCTCTTCGGGAGACATCAATCCGAACTGAATCTCTTCCACCGTCTTGAGCGGAGCGCTCGAGTGGGTGAAGTAAAGGTTGGCCATGGTGGCGATTGGTGATTGTTCTGACTTGGAGTGAAAAGGAGCGAGAAGTGAGAGTAGAGGTCAGAACACGCGCCAGAACGCAGATAAACGCGAAAAGTTGAAGAAAAGTGCAGATATATGCGATTAAGTAAGTTTTGAATGGCACAAGGCTGTAAAATCGATGGTAAAGTCTCTCGAATGCGATTGCTAGATGGCAATGAGCCGCAATGCCTGTCCTGGCCACCGGCCTAGGTGAACCTCAGGCTGGTCTCCCCCGTCGCCGCCACCTCGTAAGTCGCAGAAACTCGAAAAATCGCGGTCGGCGATGTCGTCGATCGGTCGGTATCGTTCGCGAACTGCTTTCGATGAAATGCGCGCGATGCCTGACGCGCGCTGTGATGACTTTGTGTTGTAGGCAAAGTTTTGTCGTGGTTGAAGCGAGAAGGTCGGGGGGAAGCCTAAAAGAATCTGGACTTGAGAGCAGCCCGGGAGCGGTCGAAAGCTAAGCCCGATTAGGCCACCTTGGAGCTTTGTGTGTTGCCTGAGGCTTGTAGCTCGGTTGGTACAGCTACTTCAAACTCACGCACTCACGTGCTGACTAAAGCAATTTAACGTGCGTTTCTATGTCAGTCGCGCTCTGTTAATGAGACCTTCATGTACTTGTACTTTTACCCCTATGCAAATGAACAATCACGCCCTCTGACGTTAGAGACCGGGCAGTGACTCAGGCTACCGCGGCGCCTCCCAACCAATTATGCAGAGCACTGAATCCCTCAAAAGGGAGTTTCAGAGTGCATGAAAGACTGCTGTTGCAATGGCGCTACTTGTTTTATCTCGCGATTGAGATGAAAAGACTTCAATTGCTCTGCTATACAACTAATCATCCCTTTCCCATGCAGATTTAGCTCCTGAACACGCGACAAAGGCCACTTTGTTCTTCGTCCGTGGTCCACCTAACTCCTTTGTTTGCAAATATCGTCTAGCGTTTTCGGCCTCTTCTGCCTGCCGTGCTTTTCTTGACAGGTATCTTTTCCTCAATATCGCTTTGACCCTCTCCAGGACTCCTACGTCTCATGGTGCCAGTTGATACGGCGATAAACTCATCCTCGCTATCGCTCTCGCCGAGATTAAATAGAATTGGCACCCGAAAGCTCTCTTCATCCAAAGTCTTTGATGGATCGAGTGTCAGGACGTCAACTGCTTCATCCTCTGCATCCAGTCGCCGTCGATGGATCTCTTCTTGCGCATAAATATCGAATTCATCCTCCCGCTCAATGTATTCGACGTTCTCCTCCACTTCGGCAAAGTCTGGCGCCAGCGCAGACCATTTCTGTGGGCTAACTACAGACCATATATATATGCGACCAGTTTCCAAACCACAAGCAACTAAGAGCGCACGAGCTGGATGCCACTCGATAACTCCTTGTTCTTCTTTTGGATCCTTGAGCATGCATACAAGACTGCCGTGGTTGCGCTCCCAGACGTACAGCTCGTGGTTGTTATACGTCGAGGCTGCCACGTATTCGCCAGTTGCACTAAACGTGACATGATTCCATGATAGTCTGTTGACAACGTCTTGAAACTTGTGCTCCAATGGTACTTGTAGTGTATCGAGATCGAGATTCTCGGCCAGTAAATTCGGGACTCGGAAGGTGCGAATAATTCGATCTTGCGAATTGACTAGCAGCTCTCGGCCTGACACTGTCATTCTCATGGTGGTGATAACACCCGAACATATCTTTTCAGAGTATATAATTTCGTATGTCTTCGCATCGATAATGTTGAGCTTTCCCTTGTTTGTCCCGGCGAGGATGTGATCTCCAGTCGTGCTCCATATCGCGGAGGTTGTCATTTGTTTGGCATCTTCTTTGGCTTGTTTTTCGCGTGATGCTTCGGTGCCGTCGGTACTCGATCGCTTCGGTGCAGATGGTAGGATATGTTTTACGTCAACAGGCTCCGTAACGTCGACCAAAACAGGTTGCTCTTCAAAGAGCGCAGCGACAAACTGAAGACTAAATTGGTTAGTTCGGGTCTTCAGATCGGTTGAGGCGTACGTACTGGTTCCACGGATGAAGTTCAGCCATATACGCTGGCGCGCGAAAACGAACTTCCCGTAAGCGTTTACCATCCTGGAGGTCCCAGAGGATAGCTTTCCACCCCTGGCAGGTGGTGAGAAGATATTGCCCACATCTTGACCAGCTCAGAAATGTAATGCTCTTACTGTGACCTCTCAGCTTCCTCGCCACCCCCATAGTCTCCAGATCCCACACCACGACAGTTCCATCGACTCGGCCGGAAGCAAGGTAATCACCCTGTCGATTGAAGCGTAGTGTTGTCGCATGTCCCGAACGGATCGTATTCGTGATGTTTTCAGGATAGTCTTGGAGGAGATAATCGTCTGATAATAGGAGATTCATAGCTTCGCGACGCTAAGAGTAATCGGCAAGTGATATGAAATGCAATAAAATCGTCGTGTTCCATTAAAGGAAGTGTTTGTTTGTGTAAAGCTCTAGAATTCGGCTTCAGCCGTGCTGTCAAAGGTGGGCGTTGATCTGCAAGGCTACGAAGACCCACTCTCACTCCCAACGGTAGGTGTGCAAGCAATAATGCTCCTCTCTGCACTATCTAAGCTGCACTAACAACTTCACAGAGCCCCTCCAGCTCTGATTCACAAATATCAGACACCACCAGATCGGCGACTAGACTCCTCGCTGAGAGTCGCAAACATGGCAAACTCCAAGTGGGTTTTATCACTCTTGTATCTATATAAGTCATGTATCTAATAAGTTCCAAGATTCGAATACGTCCGTAATTTTGAGACGTCAGATCCTCTACTACCTAACACATGGATCGTGGTCAGGGTCGATGGAAGAGGTTTCACAAAGTATACTCAGCTCTGTTACTATAGCATGAACTTGACTAATGCGATCAAGAATGTGTGCCAAGTATGGCTTTGAGAAACCAAATGATCGTCGAGCGCTGGATCTCATGAATGCTGCTGCCAAGGCGGTTGTGACTGAATTGCCAGAAATCACTATTGCATACGGTGTCAGTGATGAGTACAGGTTCGTTGATTAAACTGTTGATGCCCGCTTTTTACTAACCCCGATAGTTTCGTCTTCCATAAAGCAAGCACGCTGTTTGAAAGAAGAGCTAGGTAAAGATACGTCTCCGATTATCCGCTGCCTTGACTGACCTTGTCCCAGCAAACTTGTCAGCACTGTTGTCTCTACATTCACTGCCAACTACGTCTACTTTTGGTCGACTTACTTCCCAGACTCCCCTTTGTCTCCTCCGCTACCTTCATTTGACGGTAGGGCAGTATGCTACCCTAGTGTCCAGAATCTCCGCGACTACATGAGCTGGCGACAAGTAGACTGTAAGTATCCCAATGTGTTGGATAAAATCACCAAAATATTGACTTTTTTAGGCCACATTAACAACCTCTACAACACAAGTTTCTGGGCCTTGATTCAGCATGGAGGCCTTGACAACAAGGAGGCTGAGAAAACTCTAACTGTAAGTCATTAATAGCATGTTGTTGGAATAAGCTGACAACTATAGGGTACGTTTGCAGCGGATAAGAACGAGATTCTTTTCTCCAGGTTCTCTATCAACTACAACAATGAACCCGAGATGTTCAAGAAGGGTAGTGTCATCTTCCGCGATGTATGTGCTCCTATATCCACTCAAGAAACCTCGCTAAACCGTAGCAGTACGAACTGGTTGACCCAAGTTCTCACAACATCACTGAAACTATCGACTCTCAAGCAGAGCCGGTTCAGCAATCCAAGACGCAAAAGGAGAAGGACAAGAAGAGCCGCGCCAAGGCTCGCGTGGTGGTGGAACACATAGACATTATCAAGGACGATTTTTGGAACCAAAGACCGTGGCTTCTTTCCAACAAGCCGGGAAAGATTCCAAAACAGACGTAAAATATACATCTATGGGGTATCATCCAAAAAGACTTCCGTTGCCGCAACTCCGTGAATATGCTTTCGCTGTATATGCCGTCAAACTCCGATTTTCCTTATTCCTTTATTTTCCAGCCTCTTTTGCCCTTTGTCTTCTCTTTTCTTCTTTCTTTGCACGACGCCGTCGCTTTTCCTCGTCTGCGTCGCTCGATTCGGCTGAAGACTTGGAAGATTTAGATGACTTTTTCGACTTCGACTTCAACTCCCGGCGCGCAGCTTTTTCTGCCTTTTTCGTTGCACGTGCCTCCTTGCGCTTCTTCTTGGCTTCTTTGCGAGCTTTCTTCTCCTCCTTGGTTTCTTTTCGGGGCTTGTCCTTGCTGGACTTGTCTTCTTGCTGGTCGCTGGATTCGGTTTCGGATGACTCAGCGCTCGAGTCTTTGATGTTGAGTCTATCTAGTGTTCCTTCAAGGAATCCGCCTCGGACGAATGTCGAATATACAGAGTATTTGCCGAGGTTCTTGTCGATAATGTTGAGTTTGCCGGTCGTGACAGTCTGAACCACTTTTCCATTCTTGGACGTGTCGATGCCTTTGAGTTGCTCATCAAATGCATTCATCCACCATTGATCGCTGGTGAAATGCTGTTTCTGGCCCAATCCTTTGGTATTGTCTTTGCGATTCAGGAGTAGAGGTTTCGCAAGTCCGATCGAGTCGTCGGTTTTATGGAGGGAGTGACCGGTACCTCGCCATCCTTGAGAGGAAAGAAGCGCATGAGCATCCATCGTATGGGAAGTTGTGAGGTACTATTGCGACAGATTTGGAGTCGTCTTGTCTTGGGGGTTTGACAAAGAAGAATAAGTGAGTGCTGAATGATCGAGAGTCGAGGGTCGCGATTGGGAATTTTTTTTAGCGGGGCTGGCTTATCGGACCCCAGATCTGCCTTATCAATCCTGGCCAAATTCTCATGTCTCCTACCCTGGAGCCTACAATTTTAACATAAGTCTGTTCCATCAAATGACGTCTACAAAGACATTGAACTAGCATTTGATGCAGATGGAATGTGTGGCTTTTTAACTCGATCCTGACCTTGTGCTTTCAGTATCGGGTGACCCTCTATTTCATATTAACTTCGGGATTGACCCCTGAGAAATGCATCTGATCTCATAGTCAAGGTACAAGCTCATGAGTAATGACGTCGGATCTACAACCTCTACCTCTAGCCATCAATGATCATCATTAGCACAGAAATATAAGGCGGCAATTATATTAAAAACCAATAATTATACAACCCTCAAACCATTTTAAGCTCCAGTTTCTTCTTATTCAACATCTGAGTATTTACTCACAGCTTATGCGCCGCACGTGATAGAGGCTGAGCATAACTCCGAATCCTTCGTTACATCACGCCAACCAACAACATAACGATCCACCTACAATCTACTCCGTACCCCAAATCTGTTCAGGGTTTCAGCTTAGAGCTTACGAGTTTCAAACTGTACAACCAACAACACTAACATTCCCTCCCTAGGGTCTCGAGGCTGAGACCGGGGACTGATCATTGACCATCCATATACACGGACCAGTCTGGGACTATGACACCTCTTGACATCACAGAGAACGTCCTAAAAGACTAGCTGTCTCCCTTTCAAAATATTTAACTACCTTACAACAAACACAACCAACTTTTATCTCTGTCTGAGGTGACACAGTCAAAATGGCACCAACATGCTCGGACCCTCGACAAATCGTCATCACGCTCAACCCCGCGCGACGTCAGGCCCTACTCAAGCTTGTTGATGAGATCACTTCATACATGAGTGATCAACTTGAAGCTTCCGACGACCAGCTAGGCCCTGTTATATCAAGCCCGCGAAATGAGAGCGGCCCTTCAACACCGAGAGATGAAGCCAGGTCGTCAACTCCTAGAAACGACGATTCCGACAAGCGCCTTCAACAGCAGCAGCAGCCGAACCAGCCTTCGGCGCAAGCGCTACGCATCCAAAAGGCTGCAATCAAGCATTTGAAGCAATGGAAGAACGAATTCATGCCAAAGCTGGAGGAGATTGTACGTGTCAAAGATGACCACAAGATATTGGATGAGAGACGCAAACATCAAGCAGCCGCAGAAAAGAAGAAGCTTGATACCCCCGAAGATGGTGAGAACCTCATCAACTTCGGTGAAGTCAAGATCGACAAGTCCCAGGACATCGCCTCGCTCCAGGCCTTGTACCACCCAATTCCAACAAGACTGACGACTATTCCTGCGGCTGATAGGCGAGAGGCTCTTTCATGTATCTTGCTCCTCCTTCTTTCTACAGGCAAGTATTCTGCCCACACGCGCGCTCTCGCACTATACCTTGCTTCATCCTTGGAGATCCCTCAAACTTTCATCACCAAGGAGGAGATGGAAATCGCCAAGACCCTTCTTGAATCCTCCAAGGACCAGGACAAGCAGCAGGAGGTCATGTCTGCTGAAGCCGAAGCATCTAAGCGCCGAGAAGACAACAAGTTCAGCCGATTCTGGAAAGTCGGACTTGCTTCTGTAGCTGGCGCAGCTGTTATTGGTGTCACTGGTGGTCTGGCAGCACCACTTGTTGCTGGTGCTGTGGGCGGTCTACTTGGCGGCGTGGGCTTGGGAGGTGTCGCTAGCTTTCTCGGTATCTTCTGGATGAATGGTGCTCTTGTAGGCGCCCTGTTTGGTGCTTACGGAGGAAAGATGACGGTTCGTAAACTTGAAAACCCCAATATTTCTAGCAGCTAACACCTCGAACAGGGCGAAATGATGGACAAGTACGCTAAAGAAGTTGAAGACTTCCGCTTCATCCCCCTCAAAGGAGAGTGGGGTGAGATCTTCAATGCTGAACAGGATCAAGCACAAACACAGGAACGGCGACTGCGTGTTACTATTGGCATAAATGGATGGCTTCGTGACGAAGAAGACGTTACAAAGCCATGGCGGATCCTTAGCGACGATAGCGAGGTCTTTGCTCTACGTTATGAGATGAAGTCCCTTATCGCCCTCGGACATGCACTGCGAACCATGGTCGAATCCTTTGCCTGGAAGAAACTCAAGATGGAGGTCCTCAAACGCACCGTCTTCGCTACACTTCTTGCTGCTCTTTGGCCAATCCAACTACTCGCTGCTGCTTCCAACGTTGACAACCCTTTTGGCCATGCCCACAACCGATCTCGTAAGGCAGGCCAGCTACTTGCCGACGCTCTCATCAACAAGGTTCAAGGAGAACGGCCCGTCACACTGATTGGATACTCCCTTGGCGCAACAGCGATCCATGCTTGTCTCCAATCTCTGGCGGAGCGACATGCCTTTGGACTCATCGACTCAGTTGTTATCATTGGCGCTCCTGCTCCTTCAGCACCTACTCACTGGCGCACCCTCCGTACTGTCGTCTCTGGAAAGATTTTCAATGTCTACTCAGAAAATGATCTGATTCTTGGCTTCGTTTACCGTGCTCACAGTCTTTCCATGGGTGTATCAGGCTTGCAAAACATCCAAGAGGTAGAGGGCATTCAGAACCTTGATCTGAGCGAATCTGTCAGCGGACACCTTCGATACCCTGACCTCATCGGCGAGATCCTCAACAAGTGTGGATTCGTCGGAATCAAGGCAACGTCAGAGATCGAGAAGGATGAACTCATTCTGATGAAGGAACGTCATGCCGAGGGCGAGTTGATCGACTTAGAAGGCACTACTATGGAGGGGCACAAGAGTCCTCAGTCACCTGGCCAAGAGCAGATTGAGAAGGATCTTCATGGCCTTAGCATCTCACCTCCGGCTCTTGTGTCTCCATCACAGCCTCCAAGCCAAGAACAGAAGACACAAAAGCCCGACTCTGAGAACCCACCACTCCCCCAGCGACCTGCCGCTAAAGAGAAGGAAGAAGCGCCAGAGCTCCCACGACGACCCGTACCTAGCCAGGCACAGCCATCTTCAGCAGCCGGCGACGAAGCCGCACCATCATTGCCTCAACGTCCAACTGCGCCGCAGCAGGAAGAGAAGCATTCCATTACCCGCCGCCCTGTTGGAGCTGATAAGGACGAGAACCCTGCTTTGCCTCAACGTCCCATCGTATCTTCACACGATTCTCACCGAGAGGAGCGGCCTGGAACGCCTGAGTCCAACATGACAGATGATGAAGAATATGGCCATATTGCTATGGTGAGCTACGACAGTGACCACAGTACGAAGTGAGCAGTAGAGGCTATGAATGGTTATGATGGGGGCTGCGATCGAATCAAATGGTAGCAGAGCTGTGAACTAAACTCAACCGAAGAAAGTTGGAGTTAGAATCCTAGACCTTGACGACTGACACAGGCTTAAATTTGGAACTATGTGGAGGTTGTATGTATTTCATTACTTAGTCACATTATTGTTCTCTCATGCTTTTTGGAATGGGAACCTCGTACAAGTCGAAGTGTTTTGTGTGTTGACGTCTGCCAAACTGAAATGGTAGTTTCCGAAAGCAAGATATGTAAAGAAACAATCAGACAAGGCATCTGCTAAAATATTGCTTGGGCTAATAAACATATGAATAAATACAGGATTTCATGGCAAGCCCCATTCACTTTTCTTGCCCCCTCTTCGTTCTTGTCCTGTAGCTGTCAAGATTCGCACTGCCCTTTCTCTTCTTGCGTCTTCTAGTGGTATCATATGTCAAACGAAAAAAAAAGAAAGCACAAATATATCAAACGAGACCAGAGAAAATGAAGAAAACAAATCAGCGTTGGCTGGTATTAGGCATATGCAGAGCTTGCGAAATGCGTCTCGTAGATGTGTCAGGTCGTCGCGAGGGGTCATATAAGGGTAAAACTTCACTCATGGTCAGAATGAAGGGTACAACGCATGCCAAACTGGCGTAATCATGCTTTTGCTTGAGTGCGGGTTGATCAGTAGCGGGCGGCGTTGGCCTGAGGTCCGTTTGTGCCCTCCATGTTGTTTGTCAACTCGGCCACACGAGCCTTGATTCGAGCAACACGGGATTCAATAGCTGAAAGGCTTGTCAGTTTTCTGTTATGTTAAGGAATGTGCAGCTGGACTTACTCTCTTCTCCACTTGTGTCATCGTCGCCATCTCCAGTCCTGTTGCTGTTGCTGTAGGTTGGTCGTAGTTGCTCATCAGGGCGTGAAGCAGCTCTCTCAGCAGCATTCTTTCGAATTTGTGCCCATCGATCCTGAACTCCTGGACCAGCACTGTGGCTGAGCTTTTCCTCGGGCTGCGATGGTCCTCCAATTTGAGGAGAGTGACGAGGTGATCGAGGAATAGGAGGAGGGGTTGCGTCGTCTTCATCGTCAGAATCGGGAGCAAAGGCTGGCTGATCCTCAAGGGGGCCGTGACCAAATTGGGGAACAGGTGGTTGCATGGGTGTCGAATCCTTAGCAGGGATTTGTGACTGGTCGATGGTGGGCTCAGGAATATCATGTTCTCTCTGAGGTGTATCGACACGCTGCATAGGTTCCTCCATAGGAGTTACAAACTCAGCAGCAGGCGTAGGGGTGGGCATGTCGGCCTCGTCCGCTCTGGGGGTGACTGGGGCACGCTGGATGGCAGGTGTGGGCTCAGGTGTGTCTGCTGGAGTAAGAGGCTTCTGGGCCTGTGGCTCTGGTGTACCTTGGTTTTGACGGAGGAAGGCATGCACATTGGCGGAAGCGTCCTCAGGCAGTTTGGAGCTCCTGTTCTTACGGAACAGTTTGCGGAAACCACGGTTCTCCTTTTCGGGCTTCTGAAGTTTCTTGTTTTTCTTGTTATCAGGGCTCGAGGGCGTTGGTGAAACCATGTCCTCACGAGAAATGTCCTGAGGCGCATCGTCCTTAGGAGGCGGCATGGGGCTGAGAGGACTGACAGGGCGTGCAGGTTCAGGTGCAGGCTCATGAACAGGCTCAGGGGTTGGCGCCTGCACAGGCTCGGGCACAGGCTGCGGTTGGGCCTCGACGGGCTTCTCTGGTAGAGGCAAAGGCTTTCTCGCAGTCTGATTTGTAGTAGTCGAGAAAGTAGGAGAAGTAATTGGAGATACCACGTCCTTAACGGGCACCTGAGGGGCCGCTTCCTGAATATGCAGGCCGTTGCTGGGAGCAGCATCGCCATTCATGCTCTCAGAAGGAATTGGCGATACCATGGCCCCACGGCCTGCATGGTTGTTGGCCAAGTACAAATCCTTAATTGTTCCCTTGTCGTACTTGGAAACCCACTTCAGTGCCGATGAAGCCTCGCCAATGATGGTAGGCTGAAGGGTTAGAACGCTGTTAGTCTTCTCCGCCATAAGCTCAGCATCCGTTCGACCTCGGCGTTGGTACAGTGGCTGCGAAGCCAACTTCTTTCCGAGTTGTTCCTGTGCTCGAAGTTGAGCAGCCTTAGCTTGAATCCTGGCATGAGTGTCAGGGCCTATGCTGGCCTTGCTGGCGCTCTGGCCTATGTTATCGCTTGATTGGTTGGTAGTCGATTTTCGTCGGTTGAGGCCCTTTCCGCGTTTTGTCCAGCTGAAGAAGCCCTTTTTCTCTGCAATGTACGCACCCTCCTGAGGTTCAGGTGCCGCGCCAGCCACCATTTCTTCCATTACCAGCCAGCGACCGTAACTGATCTTGGTTTCGATAACGGCACATCGTCCAAAGGCTGACTTGCGCTCTGAAGTCTCCTCAGGAGCAAGACTGGCCATCCAAACCCACCAGAAGGAATCGTCTAGCAAAAATGTTGTAATGCTTGCAAGCTCACCAGGCTCAAGAGAGTGGTCATGTTCAAGTCTTGGCCGATGTGATTGGGAACTATGCTGTCTCTGGGTTTCAAGTGGAGGAAGAACCTTATCAGGGGGGAGAAGCAAGTTTGCACGTGCAGCTTGATCTTCGTCTACGAAGCCTGAAGAAAGGAAATCGGCCCAAGACGGTGTAGTAGGCCGGCCGAGTCCATTACCAGAGGCAGGTGTTCTTCGTAGAGCAGGCGGCTGTCGCTTATAGGCCAACGCGCTTTCGTCGTTCTCCTCATCCTCATTCAAGCTGGAGGAAAAGCCGATATCCTCAAATCGCGACCAGGATGCGTCGCGCAGACTTGTGGAATGCTTGGAACTCGAAACTTGAGACTGGTTGGCTCCAGAAATGGCATTGAGTACTCGACGACACTCATCTGTCAACGCCTGCACTGGGTCGTCAAACTCAGAGAACGCCTGCAACGCGCGGTCCTCGTCACGATATTGAAAGTGGTTCGCTCTTCGTAGGAGCGCAAAAGGGGTTGGCGATACAGTGTCGACGATCATGACAACCTTGTTCGTCGTTGACATCATGAGCGCGGGCCGTTGAGGAGGGTATTCGGTTTCCTGGAGGAGTTTTTGAAGCGACCTGGGTAACATTGTAATGCCGGTAACAGCTTGCTCTGGTGAGAGAGATCTTAGGAAGGCAAAGAACATATGGCTTGTGGCATCAGCAGCACTGGTTTCTTGATAAGCAATCGCAAACAGGGCAACTCTCGGGAGGGGCACTTACCGAAGCCAAGATTCGTATCCTCCTTCAAAACCCTTTTTGGTATTCTTGTGTTCGAATGCCCACCATGCAGCCATTCGTGAAAGCTTTCGTCCACCTAGACCGTTAGTTTTCCCATGCGCTGCAACCGCAGCCAGCAGGTCGAAGAAGTCGAAGATGATGCGCTGGCGGGCGCCGTTCTCAACACTGATGGGAATAAAAGTCTTGAAAGAGTCTCGAGCCATATTTGAGTCTGAATCAAAAGTCAGTACGATAACTACGCGGGGAACCATCATGAGAACGTACCAATTTCTCCGACTTTGAACAGCTCGTATGCATCCCAACCAACAATACCTCCTTGAATACGACTCCAGCACCATTTTGCAACACCAGAGACAACCTGTTGTAGAGTCAGCTCCTGTAAACACCCCCCACCACATGTTACTGACCATCGGTTCTGTCATGCGCAGCTCTTGTGCCAATTGTTCACCTCGTAGGTTGGCATGGGACTCGAAGAAATGGCGAATAAAGGAACGCACGGCGCTGGGATCGGAGGTCGGGCGGTATGGCAACAGAAGAAAGGGGTGGTCGAGGCCTGCGGTGGGACACAAAGATCAGCATGCTGTGTACTTGAAGGTGCAGAAGGTGTATTTCATGTGATACGCAACATACCTCGCGCTTTAAGCTCCTCTGTACAACATCGGATCAACTCGTGAACTTCTTCAGGCTCAACATATGTACGTGTCCAGGCGTCTGTCCATGTTGGTTTCGTTGGTAGCTGTTGTGTAGAATCGTTTGCGCCTTTCTTCTTAGACTTGGCATCCTTGCTCTTAAGGCGAGAGAAAAGGCCTGCCATTTTGGGTTATGGCTGAAGAGATTTGGTCTTTCGAAATCGAGTATCAAGCTAAGTTGCTGTTTGATTTCATGTACTGGGAGAAAAGAAAGGTGACGTTGGATCGAGTCGAATGAGATTTCGAATAAAAGGGGCGTTAATCTTTCAGGAGATGGTTGTGATAGAAGCTAGGTATTTGGTGGTAAGTTCCTAGTAGAATTTTCAAACGGTACAATTTCGTTCGTTTGCAAATATGCGAATTGAAAGAATCAAAGTCGACAAAGCCTGTATTGGAAATGATTAGTACAGAAAACGGTGACGCTGTTGTTTGTTGAAGATGCTGCACGCAAGACAATGCGAGACGTGTAAGTCAGGGAAGGTGGGCATCGGGCAGTTTTGATGCGCACCTGCGGCAGATGAGCCCAGATGGGTTGGGTTGGGTGGGCGTACAGATAAAATTAGTAGGGGACCCTTTTTTCCCCTCTGTACCTCAGAATGTACGTTGGTGTTTAACACAGGCGAGCTAGGTAGGTACTTTGAACTGGGTATCGAAACGAAACAGACGACGAGTGAGCGAAGGAGAGAAGAAGAAAGAAAAAAAAGCAGGGAGGGGTGAGAAGGCCCGGGGTTAGAGAAGAGATGAAATTGAAGAAGTGTAGAGAGTAGAAGGGAAAAGTTGAATCATGATAGAGGAGAAGTAAAAGAGGGAAAAAAGTGAGTCTGGGTCGAGATGAGATGACAAGCTGGGCTACCTATGAGAGAATGAAAGGGTGACAGTGGGAATGGGGGACACGCTTTCAGGGGGTGACTGGGGATGCACGACCAGGTTCATCATAGACTGGATTGGATTGGACGGTACGTACAGAAAAGAAAGCGGAAAAAGAAGAAGAGCACTAAGGTTCGAGAGAATTGGGCTTTCTAACTGGGGTGAGAGGATAGAGAGCATGAACAAGAGTCCAAGACGACATGGGGCGGGTAGGGATCATTTGGGGGAGGGGGGAAGAGATGCTGCTGTGATGGGCGTGCATAGAGCATAGACAAGAGTTATCATGGGTGGTGGCTAGTCTATCATGATCCAATATTCGCAGATTGAACCCTCTCGATGCTTTTGTGCGGCTGAGATCCAAGAGTTGTATGTATGTGTATGCTTGCTTGCTTCTATTGCTTTGTTAATTACATTTGAGTCAAGTCATGGACAGCAAGACCAAGACTCATGTTGCAACAACGGCAATGCTGTACTACAGAATAGCTTCAAAGACAGTACAATACAATACACAGCTGTCTTTCTTGTACGCTGTAACCATGAGGCTGAGATGCATTGACCAAACACAAGGCCACCGACGTCCTCTACTTCACAGCCCAGCAGGGCAAGCTTGGCCAATTCCAGCGGTTGGTCCCCTTGATAGAAATGATGAGAGTCACAGAAAAGAAACAAACCGAGATAACCAACCATTGGATCAGCTTGCACTAGCAGACGGGACCTTCAGCCGTTGCACAAGGTCAAGGGCTTCATTAGACGAGTGGATCTCATCGTTCCTTAAAGTTTTGGGGTTTAATTACAATGAGCGACCGGGCGGCCGTGTGGTTTAATTAATTGGAAGGCCTCATGGGTACCGATAAATCGGGCTGCTTTATTGCGCCGGTTCACTTTATTCCCGCCACAGTTTCAGTTCTTGATTCAATGGCTTGCATAGGTGATTCTTCAGCACGAACTATTAGACAATAGAACACCATGCAGAATGGCAGACATTCTTGAACAACGTGAAGTCTATAATGTCTTCAGTTTGAGGTTAAGCTTCTTCTACAACGTCTAACTCGGGATGATGGACAGGGGTAATTACCGCCAGTGGTCCCTACAAGCGTGGCACCTTGGCGTCTTGGTTGGACGCCAAATGATATTGGACCTTCGTTAGCTCACGATGTGCAAGATATTGGATATGGGCAGTCTAGCAATCCAGCGCTACGCGATATGCATTTCGTATGGCGCTCCAATACTGTCCAGCACTATGGCGGACGATTCGACACCAATGCTTCGTAATTCCCGTGGCTCTTTTAAAAGCCCAGTTTCCGTATGGAGCACGAATGGAGAGGGCCCAATTCAATCAGAACTACAACGCCGCAACTATAGCCTCTTCTAAGGAAACCCTGCTCATATCCCCAATATCAGCATTACTATCAGCTAGTTCCTCAGCCTGCCAACGGTAACACCCACGCACGTCACGAGAGGCAATTTCTGTCCTTTCAGTGTTTGCTTTTGCCAGGTTGGGCCGCCTTCAGCCCACTGAGTTGCTTCTTTGCGCTTTAGCACATGATTGAGTTGATCGTCTTCGTCCAGGATAGCACATATATCGTCAGGAACATCTGCTTACGCCAGATCCTGAATGACAGACATGGAGCTAAACTTGGAATGCCCAAATATAGCCGCTTTCCTGCTTCCTCCACGTTGGCTTCAGTATCTGCTGCCCAATGGTTGTATTCCATACCGGTAGCTCGGTCATCCGTGGGGCGTCGAGGGTGTGAGTTGGCATAGCCAGCGCATCCTCATCCCACCCTCTCTGGGCAAAGTTATTATGTACAACATCTGTGAGTCGTCGACTCCTCACTGGAAATCTAGGACGAGCTTCCGAGATCGACGCGATGAGCTGGCACTGGACTGTACTTCAGGGTCAATTACGCAAGCTTGTGAAGCAATGTTTACTTGAAACGAACTGCTGTAGATTTTCCAAAGTGAGGCTCTACGATGAACATTCCATTGCTCTTCCATCCTAGGGATCCTAGGGCATAGGTCTCGCACTCTGTCTCAGCTATATATCGAAATCCTTGCTCATTGGAGACCCTGAATAACGATAACACAAGGCATAAGCCTGTGCAGGGACTATTTCTTACCCGTCATCCCGTATGAGTCGCTTCATGGGCCATGCCATCATATCACGTCCATGGCGCGGCCCGTGGATTAGAGCTCCGAGATTCTGAAGATTATTTCGCGCACGAACATCACCCTCTTTTCCCTCCGACAACTCGGGCTAACTGTTGTCGCAAGTGAAGGCGCTTAAATAGGTAGGATATGACACCTCAAGATTAAGAACAAGATGCCACGTTACTACGTAGATCTCCGAGGCTCCATACCCCGATGAAGCTGGGGAATACTTCGCAAGCTCGAATCTACTTATCACTGATTTGGAGCACCTTAGAAAGTCTTTCCAACTACGAAGCCCCAGGAGATCATGCCAAGTAACTCGAAACGAGAATGGATCTTCAGCTTCGGCTTCGCCTTCGAGAAGGATATTCTAGGCGAACCTAGTTCCGCAGGCTGAAGAGTGGGGATATATTGGGAATCATTTCAACACGGACCCTTCTCTCAACCGTGAACATGAGACGACAAAAAGCCTTTGGCTTCAAAGGTTTAGATAAAATGACCCTAGTTCAATCCGGAACGTTCTCACCCTTACGGCTGCACACTCATTACAAACCAATCTATCACTTTATGCCGGCCAGCGTGGAGTCAATATCAGACGAGTAACATGCATTGAGCGACGTAGTACTCCATATTCATCTAATAATCATTTCCCCTATATCCATGTACAGAGATTCCCGAGGCTGATCCTCCGTTGATCCCTGACCCAGTGAATCAAAAACCCAGTGACCTAACGTTAGAAGCTGTGTCCATACACTAACATACCTAGTAACCTATCCTTCGTGTCCAACGCCGTCATAATACGTACAAGCCAGTATCGAAAACTTCAAACCCGCAATAGCAGCCCTACTTATCCTTTTCTTTCTCCTCTTCCTCAGCTAATCTGAGAGCCTCCTCCAGGGCCTCTTCGTCTTCGTCGAAGTCAACTTCATTCTCCTTGTTCTCTTCAACCTTCTTCACCACCTCTGGCTTGGCCTTCTCAATAGCCTCAGCCTTCTTCTCGGCTACTTTGGATTCTTTTTCATCAGACTCCTTGACGGGAGCTTTGGTGGATGCACCGGGGCACAATGCCCAGTCTATCTCTCCATCAGGTCCGTATCGTGATACGAGCCAGTCGTTGGCCTTTTTGAAATGATTGCAATCGAAGAAACCACGAGAAGCACTAAGAGGGCTAGGATGAACGCTCTGTAGTACGAGGTGCTTCACGCGATCGATCTTCTGCACTCGCTTGCCAGCCGGTGTTCCCCATGCCATGAAGACAACGCCCCTCGTCCTCTTTTGAGCAATGAGATCGATGACCCTTTGTGTGAGCTTTTCCCAACCTCGATTGGAGTGCGAATTGGCCTCGTGGGCGCGAACCGTGAGGCAAGTATTCAACATAAGAACACCACGGTCTGCCCACTGCGTGAGGAGACCTCCTCGGTTTGGCGGTGGCTCGAACGTGGGGTAGTCCTTCTTGAGAGCGATGTACATGTTCTTGAGAGACGGCGGGGCAGGAGTCGGAGGTCGAACAGAGAATGCCAACCCGTGGGCCTGGTTATCGTTGTGATAAGGGTCTTGACCCACGATTACAACTTTGACATTGCTGAAGGGAGTGTGACGGGACCTGTAGATAATGTGTTAGAGATTATTCGTTTGTACAAGACACACTTCGTTCTTACCATGAGTAAATGTCGCTTTGAGGTGGGAACACTTTGCGACCTGAAGAATATTCCCGTTCCAGGAATCGCTTCAGATCCAGGAACTCCTTGCCCACGAGATCATCTTTCAAATGTGCAAGATAGCTTTCGTCGAGAGTATCAATCTCAAGTTGCAAAAGCTCCTTTTGCTCCGGCTTAAGAGAAGCTACCCACTTGGCCTTGTCAAACTTCGCGGCTGGGGCGGAAGAGGAATTGGAAGTAGCAGCAGGCTTCGGGGCGGCTCCAAAGAAGGATGCAATGTTACCGTCGGCTTTAGGCTTTTTCGAGTCGTTTCCTCCTGTTGCTGCGGCGGCCTTGCGTTTGAGAGCTGACATGGCGAGATATCGTATGTGGAGACTGGTAGGAGTGGGAGATGCTGAACGCACGCTGAGCCCTCGATACGAGGGAGGGACTCTTGCGAAGAGAGTCCGTATGGGACGAATTGAACAAATTATGGGCAATTGAACTGGAGTTGATTCAATGCTACAAAGTGAGGCTGGAAGAGAGCAAAAATGGAGAAAGAGGAGTATTGCAAGTATATTGCAAGATATGTGGTGGTGTTGTGTGAAGAGATGACAGGAGCAACTAGGTGATAATTCTGGGCTAAAGTGGTGATGCAAGGCCAAGGAGTTAAATGCACGGCGCGTTAAGTAAAACGCGGGTGGCTCCAGCCATTAACGCGCTTCCCGTGACTTTCGCGCTGAGGCTTGGGAACTTCAGTGCTAGCTGCAGGGACTTGAAACTCTGAGTGGTTGGGACCTAGGATAGTTTAAGCACTAACGAGCCACGCCGTCATTCTGCCAGGCAGACAAGCATTTTGTGCTAAGGAAAACGTTGAACATCTCCCGATTAAGTAGTCGCCGAGATGATATTAGAGAGTCTTGCTGTAAAAAGAAAAGATATATTCTAGGATAGCTGCCCAATTGCTAACTGAGTTTGATAGCTTCCTCGGGAGTTGTTTGGTAACCACATGGCTAGGATTAGGGACTTCGTCCTGATTATTAGCAAACGTCGGCAACTTGTGAGGACCATGTACAGATTATTCGAGTAGTACAGGTGAAAAGTAATCCTGTAACTGAAAGTTGATAATTTTCCGGAAGCTTTTACTGGTCTAGGTATCCTCTGCCTACCCGGCCTACCACCGTATGTGGGCCGGTTTATAGTCCTCTGTAGGTCATGCGAATCATTCCAGGTTAGAGTAGAAGAAAGTCTTGTGTCAAGTCTTGCTCTTAATCGCCTCGTCTTTCAAGGTTGTCTACAGCCATTACCATCAGTCGCGCTCTCATTGATCCATTAATGGACCAATTTAGAGAAACATCACCTGATGGCAAATCAATGTCAGTCGTAAAGTGTAGGTGCGCCAGCCATTCGACGTTGGTTAGTCAGCCGTTCAGCGCAACGCTTATCCGTTTCAGGCAATAGAGCATTACCTCATGCGAGCTCCGACCTCAACTGGACAGCTTGTAACAACATCGTCGGCCCGCATCTACACATCTACTACTTTGTAGTATAACCATGCTCTATAGCATAATTTACTTGTCTGGCACATAACAGCTGCCAACGATGCGTCAATCAATCGTTCATATCCTCCGTTAGTTCACCACTATGTATCTCAATGGTACACGCGACAGCTGGCAACCTGGCTTACTGACCACCTTGTTAGTGCTCTCGCAGGCGACGATAGGACTCGGCACGAATGTTAACCACTACCGCGAAACTTATAAAGACAAAGACGTGCAAGATGTTGGGCAGAACCAACACATCGCTTCCCCAAAGCCAGAAGCAGTTATCGACCATAGCCAACCAACTGGTCCACAACCTGGTATGGCCACTCATTTTGAAAGGAAGCGCAAAGACATTAACAACTCCTAGGGGCAGAACTTGTCGATGCAGCTAGGATAGAACTTACTAAAGCTCCCCAGCTCTTGCACCGTCGAAAGAAGAGACCATCCGGTCTTGTCGGCACCGCTCTGCGTTACATCCTCAAGGCCATCCCATCTGGCCCTGTAACAGCTCCATCGCAGTCCCATGAAACCACCGTCGATGGCGCCCTCTCTAATGCCGTCGATCTTCTCGAGAAGGCCGCCCAACAAAACAACTCCGACGCGCTATACCTACTTGCCGAGATAAACTTTTTTGGAAACTACAGTCACCCAAGAAATCTTGATGCTGCATTCAACAACTATTATCAACTTGCCAGCGTCTATGGGAACTCGACAGCTCAGTATATGCTGGGAGTATATCATTCGACAGGGCTTGGAAATGTGGTAGAGCGTGATCAAGCCAAGGCACTCCTCTACTACACATTTGCTGCTATGCGTGGTAATGCTCGCGCGGAAATGGCAACAGCCTTTAGACACCATGCCGGTATTGGTACAACAAAGAATTGCGAAGCCGCTGTGAAGTACTACAAAAGTGTCGCAGACAAGGCTATCGCTTGGTACAGGTCGGGGCCTCCTGGTGGCAGATCCTGGGTTCATCAATCCTGGCGTATTTCTGACGACGACGGAGGTATCTATGGAGAAGGGGCAAGCGCCTCCAGTTCTGGAATGAACGCTTTGAAGGCTAGTCCAGGTTCCGATGCTAATGCAGCCATTGACGATGTGATCGAATACTTGGATTTGATGTCTCAAAAGGGCGACTCCAAAGCTTCCTACAATCTCGGCCGTATATACTACGATGGTCAGCGAGGCCTGGAACGCGATATCGACCTAGCCCGCAAATACTTTGTCCTGGTCGCATCTCGTTATTGGAGGAAGGATGGACGTCTGCACGAGAATCTCAAACTTGGAATCGAAAAGATTGCCACCAAAGCAGCCGGGTACCTCGGCCGAATGTATTTGAGAGGTGATGGCGTTGTCCAGAATTTTGACCGGGCAAAGGTGTGGTTTGAGCGTGGCGTCACGCATCATGATGCCCAGTCGCAGCACGGCTTGGGCTTGATGATGCTTCACGGCTATGGCCAAAAGAAAAATGTCAAGAAGGCTATGGAACTCTTCAAGTCATCTGCTGATCAGGATTATGCCCCAGCCTTGGTTCAGATGGGCCAGCTTTATCTAGATCAGGGTGGTCAGGAAGATGTCAGGATTGCCAACAACTATTTCGAACTTGCCGGTAGACACGGCAACATTGAGGCTCATTATTACATTGCAGAGATGATCCATTACGGCGTCGGACGAGAGAAGCTCTGTGGTGCTTCCTTGACGTACTACAAGAGTGTTGCCGAGAAGGCAGAACCGCTAGTCTCAGCCTGGGGCGATGCAAACGACGCATATGAAGCAGGCGACTACGAACTCGCATTCCTCGAGTACCTCTTGGCCGCCGAGCAAGGTTACGAGAAGGCACAGACGAATGTGGCATACATGTTGGACTCTATTCAAAATAAGCTCTCCGTCTCGTCGCTACTTGGAAAACCCCGTGAGAAGAGCGGCCTTCTTAAGAACCCATCCCTGGCTCTCGTCTATTGGACACGATCATCACGACAGTCTAATGTTGACTCATTAGTTAAGATGGGTGACTATTATTATCACGGAATCGGGACTGAGGAGGATATTTCAAAGGCGGTCCAGTGCTACACGGGAGCATCTGATTACTCTCAAAGTGCGCAGGCACTATTCAACCTCGGTTGGATGCACGAAAATGGTATCGGCTTGGTACAAGATTTTCATCTGGCCAAGAGGTACTACGACCATGCCCTAGAGGTGAATGAAGAGGCGTACTTGCCAGTGACTGTGAGTCTTCTAAAGCTTCGCCTCCGAAGTGCTTGGAACACCTTGACACATGGCGAGATCCATTCAATTCAGGATGAGCCTAGTAAGTTTTCCCCTCGGCACATACGTAAGACATTCACTAATAATTACCAGAACCCAAAAAGGACCGCTCCTTTTCCGAGTGGATTGCCAACTTCTTGCAAGATGACGGTCAAGTATTTGAGGAGGATTACTACACAGGCGGCGACTTATACGACGGTGCGCTTGGCGACGGGCAAGGAACAGACGACGACGACGGTGTCTTGGAAAGCATCCTCATCATCGGAGTTACCTTTTCACTTGTCTTTCTCCTATGGTGGCGTCAGCGGCTGCAGCAGGCGCACCAACAAGCAGAGGACGCCCGAAGGAGAGAACAAGGGCTCCCTCCTAACCCGCGACCTGATGCACCAGGTGCCGAATTTGCTGGATGGGGAGCTGCCGGAGGAGTAGTTCTGTAAAGCCTCGACATCAGCGAGTGTTTGTTTCTCTCATTGATAGCATCGGAGCGAAGGCGTCTTTGGTTTGATTATACAAGAATAAACTTGTAAAGTGGCAAAGCTTAGCTGCAATTCTGTGGACACCGTTGTACCCGTTGCATCGTCGCAGACTCGGAAGTGAACCTTCAACTGCCTATGTTATGCACGCGACACGGAGGTAAGAGTTTAGGCGAGAGTGCATGTCTGATAAAGGTCGGCATTCCGTTTCTGCTTGGCAGTGGCTTTGAAACGTTGTCAGAAGAGACGAGATGTTTCACGCACGAGGCTGAGCTGATAATTATTGGCCTTGTTATAGGATACAGCACGGAAGCAAAGCAATCCGTCTCACAGCCTGAGCGCCATAAATACAGTAAGAGTTATGCTTAATAAGTCGCAGCGCATAGATGACTTGGCTTGGCCTTTATATCATCGAGTCTTCCATCTTCCCCATAAAGGATTCCTTCGCAATAGAAGCAGCCACCAAGTGGTCCCCGTAAGCTGTGGCACTCTATTCAAAGACTCATCCTCCAAACAGAGCAACGGTGAACCTTATATGAAACAAAGAGGGTGGTGCGTCCATCGGTCTCTGTGGCTTGTCCTAGGCACTTAGCCGCTGGTCGTGTCGATATCCCTGCCCCTCGCAACCTGTGAAACTCGAGAGTAACGTAACCTGCCGCAGAGATCGTCGCGCTTAAAGGCAAGGATAAAAGATACTGGCTGCAATCCTGTCGCCCCCTCTCTCCTGTGGCTTGTTTCTCCTGTCTTTGTGCACTGAAGCGCCTGCGTAACCAAAACCGAAGGCGAAGGGGGGCCCTGTCTCTTTATTTATGCACTACGTACGACGACTCTTTTCTTTCCATTTGCATTTGAGAAGGAAGTTTCCCGTTGCATTTCCCAGCACATCCTTTCAATAATAAACTCTTTCTTATTCTTCCTTCTTTGCTGACCTCTTACTTCTGTCTTTTGAAATTGGGGGCCGCTCCTTTCAATTCAACAAGCGCTGACTTTGATATCCCATTCCATCCCTGCAATTGGGGGTTGTTTACGCATCCATCGGGCACCTTGGCAACTGTCACTCTGAGTGGACGAGAGCACTCCCGACCTCGTACTCGGGCCATCCATCTATTTCAATATCAACAAACTCGCTCGACACTTTTAAAAAGAAAGCTCCCTCATCGCCACAAAATATGGCGTCGTTTGTGAGATACGCGCTTGAGCGCAGGGCGGATGATAGTAGCGAGACCTGGACCGATGACGATAACGACGATGTGTATTGGTGGTATAGTAAAGTGAGTACCGTTCACGCACTCGTTTGTTCACGTTCCGCGTGCTGACTCTATACAGGAGGGATACATTGTCAAGTGGACTATTCTCGCGGTTATTGTTCTTCTATTCACACTCTGGATTGTCGGTGGTTACTGGCATGCGAAGAAGAGGATCCAAAAGGGTCTGCGACCACTAGCATATCATCGAGTAAGTAACACTTGTGATACACCTTCACCGACCAAATCTAACGGTTTCTAGTGCTTCGTGAGTAGGAGCATGATGGCTCAGGTCGATCCCAGATACGCATACCCTCCAAATGGATACTACTATCCTCCACAACAGGGCTATGGAAACTACGGCCAGCCCGGCGGATATCCCATGCAGAGCATGCCTCCTCCACCAGTCTACGATCCGTCACGACCGCCTATGTACGAAGACCCCCCGAACAACGGCTCCAAGATCGATCCGGCACAAGGACAACCAAGACAGCAAGATGGGCCAGCAGATTATTACGCTCCTCCTTCAGGGCCGCCGCCTCCGCGATAAGTGATATGAGGCACTGGAAAGGTCTGAATAGTCGGAAGAATACACACATGCATGGATAGTAGTTGTTATTGCAGCCAGACATATGGATACAGCAGTCATTAAACGGCTTTATGGGAAAGTATCAAATTGAAACTCAATCAAAGTACCTAGTGTAGAAATACAAGCAAATGCATGATGGGTCTGGCGTTCGCTATCATGAGCGCCAGGTTCTCTTGGCCAATTCATTGGTAAACAAACTCCAGTCGCCTTGGGTATTATATATCTTTATGTGCCTCTCATGCTTCTTTAATCCAAGTCCATCGCGTCTGGATCGTCGTTTGTACCTGTATCGATGGCATTATTCGCCGTGTTATCCTGTATTGTCGGCGGTTCTATCTTACCCTCCCTCTCTAATCGCTGCAACTCCCTCGTGCGACGTCTCGACTCGATAATAGCTTTGCGCACAATGTCTTTATCCTCGGGTACCGTCAAAGACTTAGGGTCGCTGTAAAGCACGACTTGCATGCCCGCCAGCTCCCCTTCGCTGTTGGCTAGTACGGAGGGAGGAATACGGTTTGCGCGCAGATGCTTTTCGATGTCTGGAAGAAAGACGAGCTTGCCGGAGTCTTCGGTTTCGCTATCAGAGGAGAGCTCATCGTCCATGTTATAAATGTACACTTTATGTTTCGAGTCATCTAGTTGCATTGTCTCGTCGGAGACAGGTAGATTGGAGGAAACATCGGAAGAAGAAGCAACGGTAGGAGGTATTGAGGTCGAGGGTTCTTCAACGGGGACATAGAGTTTGTTGCCATTCCGCTCTATAAGTGATATGAGCGTTAGTTGCAGGCTTGAAGAAAGAACAGCGAAAATAAGAGAGAAAACGGAAAGATGTAATAAATACATACCAAGATTGAGCAGGCTCAGGCGTTTGGAGAGACGTTCATTATCCTGAGTATCTGCCTTTCTCTTTCGTCGCACCTTTCTGGTCTTATCGACGCCATCGGCAACAGTCGCAATAGCCGGAGCGGAGGTCGAGGGAGATTGTAACATGGTTACGTTACGGAGTACAGGGCGGCGGAAACAATCGTGCAGTGGTCAATTCGGTAGCCCAAGGCCTAAAACGGCGAGCTTTTCACCTCTCAACACCTATCAAACTGTCGAACCGACGACTCGGAGACGGACACTTGCAGCCACGCGTGGCAAGGATGAACCCTCTTCAAAGTTGAATTCCACTTTCGCGTCACGAGCGTCTTCTTCTTGCTGGAGTTTTTCTTGGTTGTGTCTCACAAGACGCTGCGGTTTGCCTCTGATGTGGGCGTGTATCAATCGGAGGAGTATCGGCTTGGCTTCAGGTTCAAACTCAATTAGGGGACACAGCGGGAATACTGCAGTGAATTTCAGTGGTTGCGGGCGTTGGAGTCGGCGCTGTCAGCCCCGGAGTTGGAGGTCGAGTACGGGCGCGGGCGCGGGAGAGCGTGGGCCTTATGTATGCGTCTCGCTTTTGACTCATTCTTGTAGAACTTTCCATCCTCCTCCTTCTCCTCCTTCTACACCTACGCCTACGCCTACGCCTACGCCAGCGCCAGCGCCACAGCAACTCGGTCTCGGTCCCCATCTCCAACTCGAACCCCAGCAACATCAACTTCTCCTCCACAATCTTCAATCCAAAACCCCCACTACCACCACTACAATTCCTCCACGGCCGAGAACAATCGCAGCACCTGCTCGGAATATCCTCAGGACTGCGACTGCGACTAACAGGAGGTTTCCTTTTTTTACTCTACGTCGGTCTTATTCCAGCGCGACCATGGCCGAGTCGGAGCTCCAGTGGCCCGCTGCGCGCGTGCGCAAGACCTTTCTCGAGTACTTTGAGCAGAGGGGCCATACGATAGGTATGTATGCGATGCGATAGTGCGGGCACCATGTCTTGTTCTGTGAAGGAATACTGAAATTATATTCAATTTCTTGCTCGGAATCCCGTCAATACTACAATTCGCTTTTTCTTCCCTCTTCGTGACTCACAAATCGCTAACAAGGCTTCTTCTCACTACAGTTCCCTCTTCCTCAGTCGTTCCTCATAATGACCCCACCCTGCTCTTCACCAATGCGGGCATGAACCAGTTCAAGCCCATCTTCCTCGGCACAATTGGCAAGACCGATCCCATGGCCGGCCTCAAGGCCGCTGTCGACAGTCAAAAGTGTATCCGCGCCGGTGGCAAGCACAACGATCTTGACGATGTCGGCAAGGACAGCTATCACCACACATTCTTTGAGATGCTGGGTAACTGGTCCTTCGGCGACTACTTCAAGAAGGAAGCTGTTACATATTCATGGGAGCTTCTGACAAAGGTCTACGGTCTGGACCCCTCTCGTCTTTATGTCACCTACTTCGAGGGTGATGAGAAGTTGAAGCTGGAGCCCGATCTGGAGGCTAAGGAGCTGTGGCTTTCAGTTGGTGTGCCCGAGGACCATATCCTTCCTGGAAACATGAAGGACAACTTCTGGGAGATGGGAGATCAAGGCCCTTGCGGACCTTGCAGTGAGATCCACTACGACAAGATTGGAGGCCGAAATGCTTCGAGCCTCGTTAACATGGATGACCCCATGGTTGTCGAGGTCTGGAACAACGTTTTCATGCAGTATGACCGACAAAAGGATGGCAGCCTCAAGTCTCTTCCCGCCAAGCACATCGACACTGGCATGGGTTACGAACGACTAGTTTCTGCTCTTCAGAACACAATCTCCAACTACGCTACCGATTGTTTCACTCCCCTCTTCCAGAAGATTCAAGAGGTTACTGGCGCCCGACCCTACACCGACAAGTACGGCAAGGACGATGTCGATGGTATTGACACTGCCTACCGTGTGGTTGCTGACCACATCCGAACTCTCTCTTTCGCGATCGCCGACGGCGCAGTTCCCAACAACGATGGTCGAGGTTACGTCGTTCGACGTGTGTTGAGACGAGGTGTTCGATACGCCCGAAAGTACTTCAACGCCGATATCGGTGCTTTCTTCTCCAAGATCCTGCCCGCTCTTGTCGACCAGATGGGCGAGCAGTTCCCTGAGCTCGTCAAGAAGCAGCAAGACATTAAGGAGATTCTCGATGAGGAGGAAGTTGCTTTTGCCCGAACCTTGGATCGTGGTGAGGCTCAATTCGAAAAGTATGCTGCTGAGGCTACCAAGGGCAGTGCCAAGAAGCTTCAGGGTGATGTTGTTTGGCGACTTTATGACACCTTCGGTTTCCCTGTTGATCTGACCCGATTGATGGCCGAGGAGCGAAACCTGGAGATTGACGATGCTGAGGTTGAAGCTGCTCGTGTCAAGGCCCGTGAGGCTAGCAAAGCTGTCAAGGAGTCTGTCCAGACATTCTCCAAGCTCAACGTGCACCAAATTTCTGAGCTTGAGAAGGAGCTCAAAATTGAGCGAACCAACGACGATGCCAAGTTCGTTCAGGGCGACAGCATTGGCCAGGTCCAGCTTATCTACGATGGCCAAACCTTCCTCAAGTCAACCAAGGATGTCCCTGAGAAGACTGCTCTCGGTCTCCTGATTGACAAGACCAACTTCTACGCCGAGTCAGGTGGTCAAGTCGCTGACACTGGACGTATCGTAATCGATGATGTCGCCGAGTTTAAGGTGCTTGACGTTCAGAACTACGGTGGCTACATCCTCCACAATGGTTACATCGAGTATGGCAACCTCTCTTCTGGAGACAAGGTCATCTGCGAATACGATGAGCTGCGCCGATCACCTATCCGTAACAACCACAGTGGTACTCACATTCTGAACCACTCCCTGCGAGAGGTCCTTGGTGACGAGGTTAACCAGAAGGGTTCTCTGGTGGACAACGAAAAGCTCCGTTTCGATTTCTCTCACAAGACTGGTGTCAAGATTGATGAGCTCAAGAAGATCGAGGAAATGTCCAACTCGTACATTCGCCGCGCCCAAAAGATTTATTCCAAGGAGGTTGATCTGGAACGGGCTCGTCAAATTGAGGGCTGCCGTGCTGTCTTTGGCGAGACCTATCCTGACCCGGTCCGTGTTGTCTCCATCGGCAAGGACATCGATGAGATGCTCGCCGACCCCAAGAAGCAGGAGTGGCGCCAATACAGTGTTGAGTTCTGTGGCGGTACCCACGTTGACCAGACTGGCTTGATCAAGGATCTTATCCTCATCGAGGAGAGTGGTATCGCAAAGGGTATCCGCCGTATCATCGCCTACACTGGCGAAGCTGCTCACCAGGTCCAGCGTGAAGCCGATGAGTTCTCCAAGAAGATCGATGCTCTTGATCAGCTACCTTTCGGACCTGAGAAGGAGGCTCAAGTCAAGGCCGTGTCAGTAGAGCTCAGCCAGTTGACCATCTCAACCTTGACAAAGGACGAGTTCAACAAGCGCTTTACAAAGATCTCTACGGCTGTCACTGCTGAGCAGAAGAAGCGCCAGAAGGCTGAGTCCAAGACTGCGCTCGACACCGTCCAGAAGCACTTCGAGGCTAACAAGGATGCCAAGTGGTTCGTTGGTCGTCTTCCCATTGGTGCCAACGCCAAGGCTCTGGGTGATGTGGTCAAGCACTACCAGGGTAAAGACAAGGAGAAGACTGTCTACCTGTTTGGTGGCAGCAAGGAGGAGGGCGCCGTTGTACACGGTGTCTATGTTGGAACTGTAAGTTTTATTTAATCGTTTTTTGTTTGAGCATTTAACTGACTTTTTCCCAGCACCTTGCCTCCCAAGGGGTCACTGCTGAGCAATGGGCTGCCTCTGTTTCCGAGGTCGTCGGTGGCCGCTCAGGTGGCAAGGAGCCTACACGACAAGGCCAGGGCACCAAGCCCGAGAACCTTGACGGAGGTGTCGAGACTGCGACGAAGTGGCTCGAGGAGAAACTGAAGCTGTAAAATTAAAACATCAAGCAAAAAACAAAGAATGGTTCTTACTCTCCGCTCAAAGGGGATTTATGATTATTCACATAGGAGTAATGTCGGGGATCTGGTCGAGTCAAAACGGAATGATATAGAGCGTAGAGTTTAGGTAGGCACAGATATTTGCCATTGCCATGAGAGAGTACGAACAATAAAAAGAATACCATTGACAACATTGAGGTCTTATTGAAGGGTATATGCTTTATCCTGGCCCGGTCTGGACATACATCTACAACGTAATTTTGCTATTTTACACTACTGATTTAAACGGTTACAAGAACACTGGCGTTGCGGTAGTTTGAGATCAAGGGGTTCTCTCCACTTCGAGTCTCTGTGTCTTCAACATATGCCCACTTGCGCATGAAGTCGCCATGCGACATCACGCGAGTCAACTTGCCCGTGATGGCGCGGTAGATCGCTTCCGTGACTCGGAAGTCTGTTGGAAAGAGAATATCAAAGTAGCCTTGATGAACCTGCGAGCTGTTAGCCTGTCGATCTGGGGTAACCACGGGTTATAAGAACCTACCAAGGGTGTTGTTACAGGTACCATCTTTCTGTGGTACCGTGTCTGAACGACGGGCGCATTCATGCCCTTGACAGCCTGGGGTAGCCAGTCAAAGTCAGATGTCACGAGTCGATGGCCTGGGAAGTACTTTTCGAGAACATCGAAGAACTGCATGAGTCGCGTGGGGATAAACTCTGGATCAGAAAGGTTGGCGGCAAAAGGCACTTTGCTGGAGAGGTAGCGCAGAACGGCGTTGCTGGCATAGGGTTTGGGATAGTCTCCCCCTGTGGCAGCATGGCGAACGCGGAAGTATCGTGCAGCAAGGGGGTCAAGCTCGTGGACGTAAAACTCGTAAAAGTCCCCTTCGCCGTCAATCAGCACGTGGCCCTGCAGAGGCTGCTCGGTAGCAACGTCGTAGCGGATACCATCGTGGGAGAAGTTATCAAAGACTTCCATGGCAAGGAAGAAGCACGGCGAGGGCACGTATTGGTCCCAGTCGAAGATGGATCGGTTGATGATCTCGACCTTGTCGGCATGACCCCGCGATGCAGCCGTGGAGAGAAGATGTCTGTTCTGAAGCGCAGCGAGCGTCGACGAGATTTCGATGATGTTGAACTTGGTGCGGGCGTATACCTGCGGGTCGACTTCGCGGATATAGTCGAGAATGTTGAGCATGAGGGTTCCGCGACCGGCGCCCATCTCGTAGATTAGAAGATCGTGGTAGGGATATGTGGTGAGGCGGTAGTTGGAGACGAGGTAGCGGGCGATGGCCTCGCCGTAGTAGGGGCGGAAGAGCTCGGTAGGTGTGTGCCATAGCTGGCGTGTTGGATTATCGCCCTCACGGTCGTCGAGAATGTCTTCGAATTCAGTGTAGCGACGGCCTAGTTCGGACTGGAACTCGATCTCGTCGCGCATAGAGTTGAAGTTGAAGGGTTCGCCGGGGCTGAAGATGACGGCTTGTTTGGAGAAATAACCATATGATGGGTTGTAAAGACTGTCTATAGTTTTAGGTTAGTGTTTTGCCTCGGCATAGTTAAGTCGAGTTGGCTTGCCGTCAATGAAGTCTCTTAGCAGCATCTTGACCTTCCGCGGCCGTTCGGTACGTTGCTTAAGCTCGTCGATGGATATGTACGGATACTCAGCAAACTCAGCTGACCGATCCTGGGGCAGAATATTCGTGCGCTGCTGCCATCGACTCTCGTTCTTCTTCATGCCGCGATCACTAGAGCGATGTTTAGTAGCATAAAAGCGGCTTTGGCTGTGGCCGACCACAGCAGCAGTTCGAAGGCCATTGCGGAGCTGGGTGATGTTTCTGACGCCTTTGCAGCCCGGAGGTCTATGGTGGAAGAGTTGGCGGAAAAGTTGGGCCACGATTGGAGAGTCCATCTTTTTGGAGGATTCGTTAGAGTATCGTCGACATAACCATTCCTCGACGTTTTGGTGTTTCTTGTGTCTGATGGTTTACATTGGATGGGGTGGGTCTCTATCTGTCGGGTGTACCTCGGGTTGGGAGAGAGGAAGGGAGGAAGCATTCAACATGGAGATATTTCATTGGGATGATCATGTGAGAGATTTCCTATTCTGGCACCTTCAAGAATGTTGAAGAATGAGTAGGAGATTGGTTTATTTGTAAAAGTTTGTCTAGGTAGTTGAAGTTGTCAGTTTGGAGGACTAATACTAAGGAAGCCCAAGCTTGTGACTTTGAAGCCGGACATAGCCCCAAGGTATCACTACTTCATACTATCAAAAGACCTCAGGAACTCATATTCATATAAGACATATTCATATGTTAGCTTGTCAAACATACAAAAGATTCAACCACTCACTCTAATCAAGCAATGTCATTGATATATACCGAGTCGTCTAGCATCAATAGCGCTGATATACTAAGCTCCACATGACATCACGCACACACCAGGGTTCACCTCATTTATATACTAACTCACTCATAGCTTCCACCAACAACCTCAGCCAAGCTTCACCTTCACCAAACAACCTCACTACAGCCAACAATGCAGGTCTTCTAGTTCTTCAGCGAATACCCAATTGCTCTTGAAATTGGGTACATCAGCTAAAACCTCCAACCCGTAAAAATGTCGCTCAGCGACCATCCAAAGGCCTACGGCACAGCCGCCGTGGTCTTTGCCTTTACTACTGGCATTCTCGTCACATTGGGCTTCAAGGACTTTTACCCTGATCTTGAGCGTCGGTTTCAGAGGAAAAGGCGTGCGAATGCAGCAAACATTCCGGGCGGTGCGCGGAGAACAAGTCTGTTCTGGGGCGATCCAGTTGAGCTTGAAGATCGCGAGTCGATGCCTTCTTCGCCGATACCCTACGATATTGCGCGAAGTGGCTTCGCCGATGGGATAGAAGCCACCATTGGTAATACGCCTCTTATTAAAATCCAATCTTTGTCCAAGGCTACAGGTCGAACTATCATGGCCAAGGCCGAGTTCCTAAATGGCGCTGGAAATTCACCAAAGGACCGTGTTGCGCTTAACATGATTCGTGTGGCAGAAGCCAAAGGTCTCCTCACGCCGCACAAGGGCGACACTATCTACGAAGGCACTGTTGGCAGCACAGGTATCTCACTCGCAACTCTCGCAAGGGCAATGGGATACCGCGCTCATATCTGCATGCCCAGCGACATGGCTCTCGAAAAGTCCGATCTTCTTCTTCATCTTGGCGCAACCGTCGAACGAGTCACGCCTGCGCCTATTACCAGCCCTGATCACTTTGTTAACCTTGCACGACGTCGTGCAGAAGAGCACGCTGCCAAGGCAAAGGATGGCAGCAAGGGATTCTTTGCGAATCAGTTCGAGTCGGAGGCTAACTGGAAGGCGCACTACAACTCGACTGGTCCTGAGATTTGGAGACAGACGGATGGTCAGCTGGCTGCTTTTGTCGCTGGAGCTGGTACAGGCGGCACGGTATCGGGTGTAGCAAAGTATCTCAAGGAGGAGCAGAAGGCATCTGATATCAAAGTCGTGCTCGCCGATCCCCAGGGTAGCGGTCTCTACAACAAGGTCCGACATGGCGTGATGTACTCCTCTACAGAGCGTGAGGGTACTCGTCGCAGACAGCAGGTCGACACCATGGTCGAAGGCATCGGCATCACACGTCTGACCGAGAACTTCGAAGCAGGCCGAGAACTCATTGACGATGCCGTACGGGTAACAGATGAACAGGCTTGTCGCATGGCGCGCTGGCTAGTTGAGCATGACGGGATTTTCGTCGGCAGCAGCAGCTCCGTTAACTGTGTTGCTGCAGTCGAGACAGCCATGAGGCTCCCGGAGGGAAGTCGAGTTGTGACTATTCTGTGCGACTCTGGAACAAGACATCTGAGCAAGTTCTGGAAGCACATTAAGGAGATGGGACTCGAGGGAGAGGAGGCGACGAATCTGTTTACCGAGCTAGGGATACCCGATCATAGTGCGTGAGTTTGAAGGAAGAAAGGGAAATGAACTGTATGTATATATGTATAATGGCACTTAGCAAGATAGATTTTATCCGAGCGAGAATCCAAGATCTATTCACCAACCCCAACAGCAACGTCCTAACCCTACTCCTATCTTGGATCTAAAAAGTCCGATAAGAAAAGAAAGAGAGAATGGCAAGGTATATATCGCACCTGTAATCTTCCCTCGTCTGATATTAAACATGAAATGTTTTTGAGTCGCCGCTCCGGTTCCCATAAACTCCATGACCCCCCTCCAAAAGGTAGTGTAATTTGCACCCATCACCCAGGCAAAAAAGTAGATGCTGTTCTGCTTCAAAAGAAACGCCGACTTTCTCCATTTCTGCTTCCATTTCAACTCCTCTAAGAAAACTGCCAAATTTGTAAGCTTTGCGATCAAAAGTTTTCGACACTTCAAAATACATACCTTCCAACGGTTTCCGCAAGCCATGCACTCGCAAAAGGTCGTCATAGGTTCATCAGCAGCTCGGGTCTGGGCTTGTGTGTAGCTGACCTGCTTCTTCTTGCAGCGACCGCACTCCAGACTCTCACTGATACTCTTCTGCTCCTGAGGCACCTGAGCCTTCTTCATGTTCTCTTTCTCCAGCTCGACCTCCTTCTTGCGCTGCTCCTCGCTCTTGAGCTCATCATCGGTCATGACGACGAACTTTTCAGGGGAGATCTCGCCGGACAAGACGCTGCGGCCAAGTTCTCGGTTGGATTTGTTCTTGAGATTGGTGAAAAGTGATCGGATCTTCTTCTTGTAGTCGGGAGTCTCGCCCTTAAACTTATTAAAGGCGGCAAGCTCAACAGCGACAGCTCTTGTTATGACGTCGTTCTCGGATGCCGTCGATCGATAAGCCAGGCCGTTGTAGATAAGGCCAATGCAAGAGTTTCGGACGCTCGACTCGGTGCGCTTGACGTGGACATTGTCGGTCTCGTACTTGCGCTTCTCGATATCGCCCTTGTATTTGCCTCCGGCACCTCCAGCGGACGAAGGAGGGGCAGGCGATGATGCGGGAGCTGACGCGGGAGCTGGAGCTGGCGATCCTGAGCCGACCTTTGCCTTTTTTGAATTCTTCTCCTGTTCGACCAGCTTCTTCCATTTGTTGACGAGTTCGGCGGCGGCACGGGCGATCTCCTTGTTGGGATTTGAGCGAAGCTTGCCGACAAAGACACCAGCCTTTGTAGCCTATGAATGCGAAATCACAGTGTTAGTAGACAGTCCACATTGATTCAGGAGAGCGAAATCCGCAGAATCCGCATACGCCGCAAGCTTCGCAATCAATTGTTAAAGTGCCAAATGCGATCATGCACTTGCGCAAAGCAGTCGATATATGTATTGATAGCGCCAGGTAGCGGGCGCTTTCTATCTCCATTTCTCGTCATTTCACGTACCCTTAGCATCTCCTCAGTAGGAGAAGCATCCTTTTTTAGAGTCTCGAGCATCTTAATGACGTTCTCCGCAGGCTCGTTCGCAGCGACACACTTGGTGAGCGCCTTGACGCGCTGCCCAAGCTCACGCTCGTCCATGGGCATTTTTTCGGTGGAGATTTCGATGATTGCTTTTGCGCGCGCGCAGTGATAAAAGAATTTGATAGAGGCAGGAATCCACTCAGAAGCAAATGGTTTAAATGAGATGACAAACTGTCACTTTCGGGGGGCGTGAGTTTCTATCTTTCGCAACACCGAGCCAATGCCTGATGGATAGCACGTGAGCTGGGAGGTTGTTTTTGCGCCGAGGTTTAGCCTGACCCGCGGAGGTGGCTCTTGTGGGAAGGTCCCTTCGGATGACGTCCCCGTTTGACAGGGGCCGTTAGAGCAATCATGATGACGGGCAGCCTATTTTATTCGTCATCATAAATCATGACGGGTGTTATCAGAGAGTGATGTCAACAAAATAGAAAGGATTCTGTTTTTAGTGGTACTGCAACTAATTACATTACAGCTGCAAGCCAGTAGACCAGCTGCCCAGGGACTAGCTTCAATGTGCTAAGTGCATGCAGTCATGTCATGATAGACTGTGGAGGTTTTGAATAGCTTCACATAATACTATCATGTTATGCAAATTCATATATCTCTAAATCCAGTCTATGATTTCCGACGTAGTTTGTATATCTCAAGACTATGTCATATTAACAATAAAATTACGATGCTCTTGCGCGCTTCCCTTTTCCACGACTGTTTGTAGGCGCTTCCTCGTCTTGCTCACCATCTTCCTCGGCATATTCATCATCACCTGTTGTGTCTGTTGCGTTCCGTCTTGACGCTCTCTTTCGCTTTCCTCCCCCGTTCTCAACAGCCCCTGAGGCTTGGCCAGTAGTGTTTGCTCGGAGGCGATCAACTGCCGCAGCCATTCGCTTGCTTCCTTGAGCTTTTTGCCGAGGCGCAAATGCATCCTTGGCTCCAGCTCCAACACTACCTGTGAAGAATCTGGTAATATTGCTCTGTGTACCTTCGCGGTCTCGCTTGTTCATATCTTTGATCACTGGCACAAGCACCTCGTCTGTCCGCTCCTTACTCCAACCAATGGTAGCCATCAGGAACTGTCGTAATCCTTCCACATCAGGCACGCCCCATTGAAAGTTCTCATTGCTGTCATCTACTTCAGGGTGCAGGTATGCATCGTAGACGGCTGGGCTAGGAAATCCCGGCGGTAAGAAGAGCTTGGTACCTTGTGACTTGCGAAACTTCTTCCGGAAGGGGGTGGAAACATCAGCATCCTTAGGCCGCGTTTGTGATTGCACCGACTTCCACCATTCGCGAAACTTGTCCAGACCGTCCTTGCCAGGAAACTCAGAAAGAATCTCCAATGCGGTAACGGGTCCGACTCCAGGCAATCCCTCAGTATAATCAGATCCAAGTAGGTGAGCAAGTGAAATGAGTTGCTCGCGAGATAAAGACAGCTCCTTCTCCATATCTCCCGCCAGGTAACACTCAACGAACTTGTTGCTGTTGAACATGTTCTTGTAAACTCGTGTTCCACCAAACAAGAAAGTATCGGAATCGTCAGTCACAATGCCGTCGACAAGTCCAAGACTAACTAGCTCAGCACATTGCGCTTCAGCTTCCATAGGGGCCGTGATATAAGGGATGCCAAAGAGTCGAAGAAGAGCTTGACACTCTGTAATCATTACTTGGGTCACTTCGTCGGCATCTCGGCGATCTTTCTTCTGCTGGGTTCGTAGAGCGCGCAACTCTTTTTCGTAGTCTTCCTTGTTCTGCTCGGCAGTTTTGTTGTTGAGTTCACTAGCAAAACGGGCGTGCTCTTCAGCTTCTTCGGCCAGCGATGCCATAAGCTCTTCGTCACCAGGATCGCTGAACTCGTCATACTCAACATCGTCAAAGAGGCCATCGTCCTCAAGATCGGGTTCCTGGTTTCCTCCGTCCACAACTGGGGCGTTGATGGAAGGAGGTTCCTCGAAGATAGGTGTAGGGCTCTTTTCTACAGCAATCTCGGTCAAAGTGTTGGTAGGCACCACATCCTCAAATTCCAGCTCGGGTGATTCTGATTTTCGGGAATCATCCTTGTCCTCCTCTATCACTGGCTCAGCCGGAGCTACCTTTGTGCGATCCGTAAGCCCTTCAGCTTCTCGTGCAGGTGAAGGCTCGTGGGTATCATCTGCCACTTGTTCCGGGAAGGCTTCTGGCTCTTGAGGTCGAGCAACGTTCTCGTTTGTGGCTACAGGCTCATCCTCAACTTCGACGACACTGGGCTCTCTCTGGATAACCTTCTTTGGTGATGGTGCTTTATCGAGGACTTCAACATCGCTACCGTCATCTGAAGAAGAGTCAATTTGGATCAGGCGATCTTGCATCTGCCGACGGTAGGCTCTCTGTTCTTCCTCGGCTGCCTGCCTGTCTGCGTTGTTGATCTCCCGTTCTGCTTCTTGCTGTTTTTTGACCGACTCTCGAATATCTGTGTCATCCACCATCCACGGTGGCAGTGGTTTTGGCGCATTCTCATCCAGCTGCTCTCTTTCAAAGCCACCGGCCATATCGTCCTCTTCCTCATTCGAAAGTGTCGAGTCTTTGGTGGGAGCCTCAGTCTCCTTGTTTGGGCCGCTTTCTTGAGTCTTCTTGTTTGCGAAAAGGGAAGAGCCCCAATTGAGCTTTGGAAAAGGCAGTGGACCATCGAACGGGTTCTTCTTGTTTTCAACCACAGGTACAAACATCGCCTTTGGCTTTGGTTTCGGCTCAGGCTTCTTTTTCATCCTGGCCTTCGCAAGTACTGTTTGCATGTCTTCATCGCTGTCGCTATCGGCAGCAGCCTCGCGCTCCTGGCGCTTAGGAACAGCAGCACTCGCTCTGTTGTTGACAATGTGAGCGATCATGGAGCCACCTTTGGCTGTAATGGGCTTTTGTAAATCGACAGACTTTTGCGTCCATTTGGGGGCATCCATTGGGACGTCTTCAAACTCGTCTTCCTTCTCTGATTCTTGTCCGACGCCATGTTGTTTTTGTAACGACATGGCAATTGCACGGTTAAGATCATCTTCTTCGTCAGCATACATCGCCTCTTGAGATGGTGCTTCGAACAAATCCTTCGTAGTTCCAAGATTGCCATCTACAAAAAGGGACTCTTCTCCCTCAACATGAGACTCTTTTTGATGGCTACCGTATAATTGACGGCGTCGTGTCGCGTTGTCTTGGGCTGCTTGATAACTAGCAATTTGTGAGGCGGAAGGCTTTGGTAGTCGATTCAGACCTTCAATAGGAACATCTTCGAAATCCTCGTCTTCATCCTCTTCGTCTTCCTTGGATTGGTATTGGACTTGGATGGCATCCACATCGATTGGTTTATGCGCTTCTCCAACGTCCTTCTCCCGGCTGACCACACCCAAAGCCCATCCTCCCTCTGCGCCGTCATTTTTCACAAGGATATACTCTCTGTTCTTTTCACCAGCAACTCTCGAATTAACTCCAATAGTTAGGTCGAGACCAGTCATACCAACTTCTGCCATGAGACGTTGGGTGAGATGATTTCGCTCCTTGACTCTATCGATTTGGAACTTGGAGAAAGCCATGCGATCGGGGAACATTTCTTCCAACTGCTCCTTGCTGAGGCCCATTCTCAATCGACTTCTGAGCCTTGCCGCGTTCAAAATATTGTATCGATCTGCGGCCGGGAGGCTCTTGAAAAACTCACCATTGAAATCAATTTTGCTAAAGTCGTAGAGATTGATATCCTCTCCAGCATGGAATTGTCGCGCGTACTCTTCCAACTCTTCAACGCTCATAATTCGTGGATCTTCTGGTTTCCCCATGGATGCGATACCTCCATCGAGTTCTGGTAGATGGTAGGCATCTTGTTTTCGAAATGTCCTTCCCTTCTGTCTTTCCTTTTGAGATAAGAGAGCCTCGTCATCGTACACAAGTTGACTCGTATCGGGAATAACTTCTTGCTGTTCCTCTTCCCGGGCTGATATATCACGTTCTCGATCTCTCCGCCTACGATCTTGATCTTCTTCCGCAATGCGCTGCATCTGTACGGCCAGCAGCTTACCAGCTGTTCGAACAGCATCTTCGCGACGGCCCTCGCGTCTGCGCTTTCGGTGCTGAATAGTCTGTCGCTTGAGAACAGGTGCGCCGCCATCGAAGACGAAAACAGGCTGGATGCCGAACCAGAGAAGCTTACATATGCGACGGAAGAAACCGACGACATGCGAATTGCGCAAGGCGTTTCCTTCCTTGTCACGCACGGCTTTGAGAAATTGGTAGATCCAGATTGAGGCATCGACGGCGAGGCGTTTGCGATTGAGAGTCGCAAGGTTCGTTGGCCGGGCGCATGGTTGGACGACCGTCCAAAGACCGTTCACACCCATAGCGGGCTATGACCGTGAATTAACGACAAGCCTGTAGTATCAGGGAGGCACAGAGCCTTATGTTCAAGGGATACGCCCTTGTGCGGTGAGATTAATGGTCATGGTCTGGCCGGGCCTATATGAGAAAGAAGAAAGACTCAATTTGTAGGGTCTGAATAACGCGAAAGAAAGAAATGTGTGAAGGTTGAAGCATCGCAAACTTCACAACTGCCTGTGAACGCACGGTAGGTACCAGCAAGTAATTAATAACGTCAGCGTGGGGCCGGTATATCGCCGCTAGTCTTTTGGCGTTAGCCTTTCTCCAGCTTCAAAATCAATGAACCTCACATTCCCATTCCCCACGATCCCACCAAAACAGCCATTACAGTCCTGACAACCCTGGCTATCAAGCCTTTCCGCCAGTGGAAATGGACACCGAAAAGGCTCAAGAATATCTCAAGAGTATTCTGAACAAGAACCTTCGCGTGTACACGTCTGATGGTCGGCTATTCTGGGGCGCTCTTAAGTGCACCGACCCTGTACGTCTTGATACCCTATAGCTTGGGCGAAACCCGGACTGCAGACCACTAACAAGGTATTCTTAGGACAAGAATCTTGTGCTGGCTTACTCATACGAATACCGGCAACCATCTTCGAAAGAACGTGTTAAGGCGGCTGCAGAAGCACATGGTGACACTGTTAAAGTCGACATGAGCTCTCGCTATCTGGGCTTGATAGTTATACCTGGACATCACATCACGAAGATAGAGGTTGAGGAGTTTGCCAGTCAAATGCGGAATGAGAACTTCATGTGACAAAACCAAACAGACGTAATATTAATGGTTTAGAATAGAAATACACTAAGTTAAGGCTACCGCGAAAGAAAGTGATTGTACCCAATTAGCCTTTTGCAACCCATCCAGCCTTAAGCTATCCTCAAACGCCTTGTGCAACCAAGATCGCGTTCCCCACATTACTACACCATGAGGAGATGGGAGAAGTTCTGACACTCTCCCACGCAGCCTAGCTCTCAATCACTTCGATACACCAATCACAAGCACTTTCTATGCAGCGAGAGGTTCCTGTGTGCGTCCGCGAGACTCGCCGTTCAGACCACCATCACTATCAAGGATGGAACCTCGGGCGTCCTCCTCATCCTCCTCCTCGTCGCTATCGAGGTCACGGTCTCTAGCCGTCCAAGAGCTGCCATCGTTAAGAGGCATATCCTGGCCGGAGAGATCGTGCCCCTCACCTCTGCGAATGTTGTTTCGACGTCGCTGAGACAACGTACGGGCGCGGGTAGAGAGCTTGGACGAAACAACGGCGTTCGAAGAGACCCAGTTGGTGAGCGCATCTTCGCAGTCCTGGATGATGGCCTTGCTAGCCTCATATCCGTCATAGGCCTGGCGAGTTTCACCGGGAGTAACAGGAGTATCATCGATAAGCTCGAGTAGATGCTTTCCGTAGCCGGCAATGATAGCAACCTTCTCGCTGTGCTCACGAAGAGCATCGAATTGGTAGGTATAGGCAGCCTTAACCTTCTCGCGGGTGATGTTAGAAAGCTGTGCCTCAGCAACAAGAGACTCAGCCTCAGCTCGGACAAGCTCCTGCTCGAGAACAACAATCTTGGGAGAGTTGGGCTCCTTGTACTTGAGCTGAGCAATCTGATCGGTAATCTTCTGCTTGCCTGTAAAGAGAGTCAGTATTCTGTATAAGAAAGAGATGAAGCAAAAGAAGTCCTTACGGTCACGGCTGGGTTGAACCGATGCCTCAATATTACGAATGCTCTTCATAGTAACTCGGTATTGGTCGTATCGGTCGACGTATTGATCCTCAAGCTCGGCAATCTCGTACAGCAGCACGCCCAGCTTGTCGGTAACGTCGGAAACATCCTCATCGCCGGCCTCACCCCAGATGGACAATTGTTGCTGCAGGAGTCAGTCTCATTGATTCGTTTGAGTGGGAGCGCACCAACTTACAGCTACTTCCATTCGCTCACGGGCAACGGTCTCCAGGCTGCGCATCACGTTCTTTTCCATCTTAACTAGCTGGGAGAGCTTCTTAGCCAGGTCGGGACCAAAGGCGCCTCCGGCATTTCGGCGAAGAGCATGCCCTGTACGGATGAGTTTGTCAGTATTGCGAGAGTCGAAATAGTATTGGAGCTAGCTTACCGAAGCTGCTCTTGAAGAGGCGACCGGACTTTGTGGACGAGGGAGGTGGTGGGGGGTTCTGCGATCTAGTTAGGATTATGGCCTCTTTGAATCGTGACGCCAAAGTTTTAGTATGGCACATACCTGAAGTTGAGAGGCAGTAGGCGCCCGAGTCTGGCGCATAGAATAGGTGCGATGCATGGTGATGGTGATAATGCGACGAGCGGTGGAGCTGACAATAAAAGGGTCCAAACAAGGACAGACAAGGGATAAATAATATGATCGGTAGAGGTGGGGATTAACGTGGGTGGGATCAACAGCTACGGATGCAGAGCTGAGAAACAAGGATAAGATGTCGGGAAGAGAGATGGAAGGATAATCGTGGCCGGGCTGCTGGGAACGTTATATGAGGGAGACCAAGAAACTGGGCAATGCTTGGGCTTGGGCTTAGTGGTGGTGTTTGTTGCTGCGGAGAACAAGATCGTCACCTTTTTGATGGGGGAGCTGAGAACGACGTCATCGAGGCCCCACCCAATTAGAATGGGTAGGAAACTGAGCTTGTGAGTCTTTCGATACAGACGGGCGCTAATCTCTAGTGTATGTATACAATGTAGCCCCTGGTGATCACTACATTTCTTGAAGGAGACGAGGTACTGCTACCTTACGTCAAGCGTGTCTCAGGTCTACGTCTTCTATTCCGACCGACAGTGTCCGGAGGAGGCCCCCTTGAGTTGGGCTGACCATGCCGAATGCGGTTCACATGAGAACTCCCACCAAGCTTCGGTCGAAACCAGCCCAGCGCTAGTGAGTCTCTAAGATGAAATATGACGATATTGAAGCACGACTTGGGGGTCTTTTGAGAGCCGGTGGGTGGGCGAACGGGCTCTAGGACTGAGCGATCCTCCGGCAGTGTCCAGCCCGGAAGATAAAACGACAAGGGGTATTTCATGGACGATCCCAGACCCAGACCCAAGAAACCCAAAGGTCGCAGGCCGCAAAATCTCTCATATGGTTAGTTCCGTTTTGTTGATGTCAGTCGTGAAACAGGGTCCTCTCCGAAAAGCTGAAGAGGGCATGGGCTAATTTGTTTGGTGAGGCTGAGCAGCCAGCGATAGCTTCTGAATACCTACACAATCAATGCCAAGTTTCCATCTAACTTGGTGACTCGAGATTATTAATACGCAATTGGCTGGCAAAGGTTCATTGTTAAAATACCACGGTTCGCTCTCTGTACCTCGTGAAAGCCAGGAGGAACATGGGAATTTTCAATACATTATTACGTCGACTGGTCTCATTTTGCAAGCTTTCCCGTTGCTTTCAACATCCGGCAATTCCGAGACGCTTAAAAGTTCCGCCGCATTCCACGTGAGACATGGCTTGCGAGCTCCGAGGAATAGTCTATCATTATCAGAAAGAATCAAAAGAGCAATAAAAATTGTTATCGATTGATGTTTAATATGGGTTGAAAATGAACTCTCACTAGGTACCTACCTAGGTAGGCAATAACACATACATAGAAATAGTGGTCGGAGCACTGTATTCAAACTTCTCCGGACGCTTGGAGGGTTTCATATATCACAACGTCTCATAGAACGATATATAAAAGTCAATTAGAGTTCTTTATTAGCCAAAGAATAGGTAATTAAACAATGATGGAGTTTTGGACTACTACGCATTGTTCTTGCAGCAGTATTGTATGAAGCCCATCAAAACAGGGGAGTTCGTCCAGCTTTAATGACCGATCCCACTACGCTAAGCTGGATTAGTGAGCGCGCTCCCCTGTCAACGTCCCTGCAGACTCCTCTCAACGCGTGTGTTTGGCATTCGTTCATTCATTCATTCACCTACGCCTATTCATTCATCCTCGCTTCGTTGAATTTCAACAACGACATATTGGCCATCAGAACTTATCAACTTGGCTACACAGATCTACCGTACATACCGCGATACTCTGGAATCTTTGTTTCTTCGCTTTGTTGGACTCGAACTGCGCCTCTTGCTACATCCTTTATCTCATCTTGCCGAATCTGCAAGTTTAATCTGTCCACACGCGTCTCTCTACTAAGATACACTCGTGTTGCTTTCTCACAAACAGCAGTCTGCACCGGTCTCTCATTCACCCTTTCTCTATTAAGCTTCTTTCTTGTGCAGAATGGTGGCAGTTGCTGTTAAGATAGAGGGGCAATCCTAGGAAAAACAGTGCAGCCACCCGTATCGCACCTTACCTTTCCTTTATCTAAAGTTTAGGCAAAGCCCTTAATCAGCCGCAATCATGGCCTCTCATCATCCAACCTCCATCGACGCAGGGAGATACACCACCATCGATTTAACCCTGGAGGATAGTGATTCTGACACTCGTCGACATCCGTCAGTATCTTTCAATCGCGCAGAGACCACTACGGCGCGTTTCGCCCCAAACTTTATTGCTGAGCGCCCGTCATCCACCCACGCGCCCGTCAGCCCGCCAAAGGTGAATCGATCTACGGCCTCCATCACCGCCAGCCAGGACAAGCAATCTTATGCTGAGTCGCACCGTCCAGCGTCGTCTTCAACCGTCAAGCTGGGCCAGAAAGTGACCACGGTAACCGTCAGCCTTGACGATGCTCACAGAATGGCAAAGCTGTCTAGTGTGACAGCCTCCAACTTGGCACCTCGCCAGGTGACGCCAACACTTGAAAAAGATGATACCAAATCAACCGAGCAGCCTAAGCAGGCCTCTCTCAAATATCAGACACCTAGGAAACCGGAATGGGATGTCGCCGCTATTGCTCAAAAGTTAAACCATTTTCGCCAAGATATCAAAGATGGTCATAACCGTATGACCTCTTATATCATTGAGTCCACCAAACCCAAAGAACGTCGAGTTCTTACGGGAAATAGCCTCTTTGCCAGTCTCACTAGCAACCCTGTGCCAGCCAAGAAGGGCGAAACGATGAGAATCAAATCCAAAGTAATTAGGCTCCAGCAATCTCATATCGAGCAGCACTAACATTTTTCAATAGGAACATACTAAGCTTAAGAACAACAAACGTGAGGATCATTACAACATCGTGCGCATTCTAACAGATGAAGAGCGTGTCCCACGGTATCGCTTTCACCACGTGGAAATCAAAAAGAACATTTTGACTCCCAACACAATGCTTACATTCGTGCCCCACTTGAGAGATCTTGAGACCTCGGAAGAGACCAAGTACAATATTTGGCTCCAAGAGCTGGAGGATATTGACCGCAAGTCCGGGTTCAAGCCTATGAGCCGCGAGGAAAAAGTGCGCATTGCTGTTCGTTCAGAATTCGCCTCGACCGTTTCGCTCTACCTCGAGAGCTGGCTGGACAAGCTCTCACTGCCTGGTTGCAACAAATCAACCCTCATCCGCTACATGGCAAGTCGTGAACCCGACGACGCAATTACACCTCGACAAAAATCAGACATTCTTAATTCCCATCGCCCAGCCGAGTCCACCACACCACCTGAAGCAAACAGGGCCGCCGACATGTTTACAGAAGCATTTCATCGCGTGTTCCACCAAGGGCAGCCTCCAAACAAACAGATTGAGCTGCGAGATGTTCTCCTGCTAGACGAGTCGGTTGACAGCATTATGGAAACCAAACCAACTGCCAAGGATGGCTCCAGCACACAAAACGAAAATGAACTCGAAGCCGTCGAGTACTGGCTGGGCACCTATTCAATCCTCGGGTGTATTGTTTGCTTTAGTCATTCTTGTGAACATGGCGAATACGATGCCCAGAACTGCAAGCGTACCCTCTCAATTGTCCCACGTCTCTCAGAGACCCTTAAACGACGGCGTCGCTTGACTTACGATGAGCCTGGTACGTCCAATGGCCTCACTTCCCCATCACAGCTTTGCAGGCGGAACTGCTATCGATCATCGCCTCGACCCGTTGCTCTCTCGATTCAGCCTCCCTGGAAAGAAGAAGACCGTTATATCCTGCGGTGCATAGCAGCTGCAGCCGATCACAGTCAAGTCAAGAAAGACACCTTCTGTATGGTAGCACAACTTCTTGATCGTGATTGCAGTGACGTTTTCAACGAACATGAACGGATGAACCTATCTCTGCCCCCGCCCGAGCCAGCGACCAAAATGTCAATCCGGACAATCAGTTGGTATGATCGATTCAAGAAGACACTTATCGGCGATTGGGAAACCCACACCCATACTCATGAGCATCAGCGTCGTGAACTCTCGGAGCCTTGTTCACATGAAGGACCATGTACTAACGAAAGTTGTATTTGCGTTCAGAACAATGTGCTGTGCGAAAAATTCTGCGGCTGTACGGTGGAGACTTGCGCCTACAAATTTACAGGTTGCGCCTGTCACTCACAAGGCAAAACATGTCTGTCGAAACAAAAGGACAGGCCATGCATCTGCGTACAGCTCAACCGCGAATGCGACCCAGACGTATGCGGAAAGTGTGGAGTGCTGGAGAGAGCTGATCCTGAGAATATGGACGACGAAGTTCTCCATTCCACCGGCTGTCAAAATTGTGCATTGCAACGCAATCAATCTAAAAGCCTCGCTCTGGGCCAAAGTCAGCTCGAAGGAGTTGGCTATGGACTGTTCACTGTTGAGCCTATCGCACAAGACGATTTCATAATTGAATATGTCGGAGAACTAATCACTCATGATGAGGGAGTACGACGAGAAGCCAGACGGGGCGATGTGTTTGATGAAGCATCCAACGTTTCATACGTCTTCACCCTTTTAGATTATGAGGGCATTTGGGTGGACGCTGTCACGTACGGTAACTTGAGTCGTTACATTAACCACGCATCGGAAAGCGATAAGCGTGGATGCAACATTACGCCTCGGATTCTCTACGTCAATGGCGAGTATCGCATCAAGTTTACAGCTATGCGTGACATCGAAGCTGGAGAAGAATTGTTCTTTAACTACGGCGAGAACTTCCCCAACTTGACTAAGAAACTGCTCGACCATAAGGTGGGAGGGAAGTCTGATCAGGGCAAAAAGCGACCGCGACGACCTACCGGAGAAGGAGTAGCGCGGAAAGCTCCCAAGACGGACAAGAAGAAGCCTGCGAAGGGGAAGAAGAGTGCCCAACTAGTGCCCGAGGAAGACCTGTTGATGGCGGATACGCTCGGATTCACTCCAAAGCCATTACGTAAACGTAAGAAGGGCGTTTTCGAAGAGGACTCAGAAGAAGAGGAATATCACCCGACGGGGACAGATGCATCACGCATAGAAACACCCTCAGATGGCGAGTCTGATTTTGGCAACGGCAAGGCAGCGGCAGCCAGACTTCGGAAACGAGCACAACAGGGTGGGAAAGCACCCTCGGGGAGCCAGGGAAGCAAATCCCGAGGAGGTGATCCCAAGGTTCGTGGTAAGAGAGGAGGGGCCAGACCAGGAAGTGGACGGCCCAGAAAGTACCCTCGTGCCGCGCCGAAGCCCACCTCTGCCCCTACGACCGAACAAGAACAAGAAAAGGAACAAACAGCAGCGTCGGCCTCAGAAGAGCGTGAGGAGCACGAGGAGCACGAGGACAAGGTGGAGGGCCAAATCGTGGTGCCAGACACCATCGTGCCAGGAAGTGTACTGCAGCGGATATACCCAACCCAACCCAAAGACAGTATGGAGGATGTCGCTGCTACTGAAGAGCACACAGAAGAGTCCATGTTACTCCAAACCCAACTGGAGGATGACATTGATGATGATGATGATGATGATCAGGACGTGGTAGTTCGTTCGCGAATTGACCGTGGCGTGCGACATCGTCGCCCAACAGCCAAGTTGAGAGATGATGGGGGATGGATGAGCGGTAGTCAATAATCTAGAGGGACTTTGATTGCAAGTTTTGTCTTCGCTGTAAGATAGGAGATAAGCACATGTGTACTCTCGCTTAGACTGGATTGGCATTTCTGGTTAGTAAAGAGCACAACGAGGCAAGAGACAAGTGTGGGAATATAATGAGGCAGTCGAGTTTTGGTAACTGGCGCAGTCGGCATCACGTTCTTCTGTGCTGGTATATAAGCATAAGGCATAATGCACAAGTTACTCTTTTAGATATGGTTAACTAGTAGACTGGCTACTATACGGTTCTGAATGTCAAGGCCCTTGTCTGATATCATGTTTATGAAATGACTCTAGTATCGTAGTTATGTCTTCATAACTGATAACATAAAATGTGATCTGCCCTAGTATCATAATGACAAGCCACTTATGAAGCTTGCAGCTCATGCCCCACATCCCACCACTAGCGGCCGTAGCCTCCAGCCACAAGCGATGACGTTGTCGATTCGAAAGCGGGAAAGAGCATGACGGGGAGCTTTCCCAGCTCCTGCCAGGTTCAGGCAGGTTCAAATTGACCACCTTTGTCATAGGCTCCCCTACCTCTACCTTTCCATTCCTCCTACAAATACGAACACTTCGTCCTTCCACAGACTTTTTCTCTTGTAAGAACACACTTGATTCGACTCTCGACCCTTGACCCTTGACCCTTGGAAGCTTCCTATTGAGCTTTCCTGATCCTCGCCTACGAATTTTCACCACATTCAGCTGTTTACCCCTCGCCAGCTTCAGCCGTCACAATGACGCTCTACTACACTCTCGTACGTTACTCACACCGCAATACAGAGCCTCAAACTGTACAATTCGCTGCCATATGGATCTTCTAACCCAGCGATTAGGTCTTTCTGCTTCTCGTCTTCGAGATGGCGCTTTTCGTGCTCCTGATCTTCCCCACGCCCTTCAACGTGAAGCGCAAGATCTTCACGTGCGTCAACACCAGATTTAGTCTCCCTTTATTGCGTGGCTTGGAGCTAACAAAACCTACAGCTTTATCTCCGAGAACCCCGTCGTTGCGAAGATTCAGTATTGGATGAAGATTACCTTCATCTTTATCCTGATTCTTTTCATTGATAGCGTGAACCGTGTCTACCGCGTCCAGGTCGAGCTCGCCGCCGCTTCCGAACAGGCCAAGCAGGGAGGAGGGTATGTTACCCCACGCAAATAAAACACTGCAATTGGACATGTCGCTAACAAAATTTATTTGCAGTGCCGCCGTCATGGGCCACGAACGTCTCGAAGTCCAAGCTCGCAAGTTCTACTCCCAACGCAACATGTACCTCTGCGGTTTCACCCTCTTCCTGTCACTCATCCTTAACCGCACATACGTTATGATCCTCGAGGTGATGCGTCTCGAGGACCAGGTCCGCGCTTACGAGGGTACCAAGACCAACACTAAGGAGGCTGAAAAGCTCGCCGTCGCTGGCAAGCCCGGTGAGGTTGCCCGTCTTCGAAAGGAGCTTGAGCAGAAGGACCAGGACCTCAAGACCCTCAAGAAGCAGAGTGAGCAGCTCCACAAGAGTTACGATGAGCTCAGCGACAAGTACGCTGCTACCCAGCAGACCGGCGAGGGTAGAAAGGGTATCTAAGGAACTCAGTATTTTGAGCTCTCACTACCGAAAAAGTTCCCGTCTACTCTTGGATCGACGCTTGAACTATTGTCGACCTGCTTGGGCGGAGTAAAAGATACGAGGTCTGCGCCTGTCAGTGCACACTAAAAGAAAGCCAGACCTCAGGCCAGAATAAATGGAAGATGTAAAATAACGGGCATATCAGTCATGGGGTTAAGCACCGGCGCAAAGTTGGTAATAGGACGTGTACAGGACGATTGACTATCTAAGATTGCATTCGAATTTCCCTACGTATAGAATCGTGAGATTGGACAACGGACGCTTGGTGTATTCTCTTGCCACCAAGGTCTAACATGTAAAATGATTGATATATACAAAATATCACTAGTCTGCTTCTCCAACCATTCTCGTTATCAACTGAGGTATATCGACATGACTTCAAGGATTGATGGTCTACATATACTATCAGTCAACCAATAATGTTAGGGTTTTCACAAATACCATAATTGTATCAATGAAATATTTAATGCATTGCCTACATATAGGCCTCCAACTTGTCATCATGTATTACATAATGTGTTTTGCCCAAATCACTCACAAAAGTCTTATCTGCCATGTCTCCTTCCTCGCACGGTAGTTTCGCCTTCAGTAGCCTGCGTCAAACTTTTCAGGAAACAAAACACCATTGGCCATCTCCAACACAGTATATTCAACATCATCTTCAGCTTCATCTTCATCCCATGGCAACAGTCCCATTGCACGCATACCGTCCACGCCTCCTGCCTCGCCAACCTCGCGGACAGCCTGTTCGCCTCCAATAGTAACATCGCTTGTGGGAGCCCCGGTAAAGTCAGGGCCTGCTTCACCTTGCAGAAATCCTTTGCGTTGGTGGGCTAGATATAGAACGTTCGTCTGAGTTAGAGGACATGCCGGAAGATAAAAGATTGTTGTGGCGGGAATATCCGGGCGACGAAGGCGATCAAGAGCGTAAACAGTATCGCAGTGCCAGACAAGGTAGTCCCCTGGGTCTAGTTTGGGGATTGGTATCATGCTGCGACCGAGTTGGAGATGAGGATGCAAAGCTTCATTGAGTTCTTGTGGGTAGGATGGTAATGCACCCTGTATCACAGATGAAGGAGGCTCTTCAAGGGCCCAGTTTTCCGGTAGAAGGAAACCTTGATCTGAGGGAGAGGATTCTGTAGGCACGAAGAAGGGGCGGAGGAGAAGATATGCAGTAGTGAGTCGCACCATGGGACACAATAGAAGAGTGCCTTTGCCGAATGGGAGATCACTCAAAGCGACCCAGCCTTGGAACATGCGGAAGACGCTGCATGAACCATCGCCGTTGTACAGATCACTCGTTACTTTCAGCCGAGTGCTGCTCTCCCATGGGTCCCAATCTTCCCAACGACCATCGAAAATGGGTTGATAAGTAGCTGCTGAACCGTAACCATCAGGCTCCCAACGCTCCACACTGCCACCATCGACATAAACACTGAGGGAACATGTTTCATCCTCAGGCTTCCTAATTCTCATACGGTCGGCATATGTAGCAGGGAAGTTGGGGCTCACAAGCGCTTCTGGGTCGGTCGAATGCCATAGATTCATCAAGAAACGTTGAGTATGAAGCATGTTTTTATGTGCTCGAGCTTTGATCTGTCCAGGAGACCAGTACACGCCGTATAGATGTGGATCATGAGTAGGGAGGCGTTGAGCTCGAGGATCTTTTAAATGCGCATCTGTATCTACCTTCCACTGGGTAGCCAATTCACGGGGAATCACGTTTCGAACAACTCCGACACCACGATCCTTAAGCCTCGAAGAGAAAGCACCCGTCACCGAAGAGATGCCGAGTTCGCCAAAATCAATAGAAGGGTAAATGTCAGGGCCAGCCTTGGCAATGATGTCGATTTCTGTTTTCAACTTGGCTAGAAGTCTTACCCAGGAGGCTTTGATCTGTTCTTCTTTACCCTCGATCAGACTCTTCTTTATTCGGGCGAAACGACTGGGAAGAGGTATGGGCTCAGTAGTTTGAGCAAACATACTACTTGAAGGACCCCGTCGATGATCTTTCGGCGCCATGGTCTGCATCTTGAGGTTGATGAGTGTAGGTATCGGGGATTACAGATAAGTTATCCTGTGCCACCCGAGTCAGATTATTCAGGGGAATACTGGAGTAAATAAGCTAAGCGAAGCCAAATAATTGAGCAACAACAAGTCGTGCAATTGGGCCGTTTTTGGGAGGAAAGCCCGGCATGTCGAAGCCGGTGAGGCATATGGCTGCTTTATATCCGCTGCTTGCATGGCCCGCAACCACACTTGAGCGCTGTGGAATAGTTTCACCGAGGCTTCTGTTACTGCCAAACCATTGATTTCATTTCCAGAAACCGTCGTCACACGGAAATTCCTCGGATAGGAACCAGGTATTCCTCGGATGTTGACGCTATCGCGGGCCGCGTATCCGGTCCTATGGCCGTTAATATTCCGATTGCCTACTACGTAGACACACTTGCAGTACGCTGTCGAATAGTAATCAACTACACGATATGACACTCGGATCTGAGAGCCTGCGATCCTGAATATATGTATGTGCGTAGTGCTGAAGAGTCACCGCAATTTGTAAGCGCGGTTCAGTAGAGCTACGACTTCACTCGCTTTGATCGACGAAGCGAAGGCTGATCATCGGTTGCATTTTCAACCTTTGCGGGCTTTGGGCCGGTTTTCCTTTTCTTCTCCGTTATCGAAGGTGTGTTTTGTTTTGTTTCCTTCAGTGACATTGCATCATGAGACTCTGGTTGGGCTGTCTTCTTCATCAAAACATATGCAACTCTCTCCACATCACTTGCTCCCACACCAAGTCTACTCCGTAGAGCATCGACTTTCGAGCATAGCTCACGGTACTCCTTGGCATTGTACTTGATAGGGCTTTGCTTCCCCTCACAGCATAGCCACCAGAAAGCCTCGTCGGCAAAGAAGATAACCCGACTTGCGTCGTGAACGGCTAGGAGTAAAGACCCGGTGGCAGGGCCAATGCCTCGGAGCTTGGTCAATATGCCTAGGGTCGCTTCGACATTGGCATCTTTGCTATATGTTTCCAATGCTTGCTTGACGATATCTTCAGCATCGACCGGAGCATTTGACGAGACTAGTTTCATGAGTGTTGGCCTGAACTTCCCGTGGCGTCTGATGATCTGTTAGCAAAAGGCTCTGTGCTCATGCAAGCTTCCGTTTCTGGCATCGCGGAATGGGCGTGAACTTACAACTTCCACTCAACAAGGGTCTTGATGTCTTCAAGGGTCATGGGGCGGACTCTCCTGTTGGAGTCGAAAATGTCTAGCGCATCGTTGTACCGGTAGTTATCGAGGTCTTCCAACGTTCTCTGACCGTTCTTAGCTACCAAGGTTGTAAGTATTAGCATAGGTTCGCATAGACTGTTCAAATTGATGTTTTCCTGCTAAACATACCGCTCTTTTCATCCGAAACCCTCTTGACAAGGTATGGATACTGCTTGAGTAGTCTCTCAAACTCCTCAAGACTGACCTTGTCTGCAGAGATAATGCTCGGGGAGGTTGTCATGATTTTGACTTGGCCAAGTATTGTGGCACAATGTCTATTTTTGGATGTTGGCTTGACGAAACAAAAGGGGTTATATCGTTCAAATAGGTACGCAATTATGGTTGTAATGTAGAAATCGCCTGTTATCATAAATGACCGTGGAAGTCACAAGGGAGAAGTTGTTAGTATACGCGACGCGACGTAATGGGGCAGGAGGGACACTTGTGTCGCACGGTGCGCCATAGCAGTTGCCGTTTTAATGGCACCTTCCCAGATGGAACCATCACAAACGCATTTCCTACCTGGGCAGGCACTATTCGTACCTAGAGGCAATTGCTTTGATTCGAATATCCGATGTTATTCCAATAGCTGCTATATTACTCAAAAGAAGGTATATGCATGCATTATCAAGCAATCCAACTGTCCTCAACCTCGCCAACCAACTTCCACAACTTATCAAACACATTGTCAGGATCATACTGTCTCTTCAACGCCCTTAAGCGTTTTGAATTGGATCCAAAGGCATCCTCAGCAGAAATTTGATCAGTACTGACATAGTTGAGGTAGTGGCCGATACCGTCCGACAGAGACTTGTCGTTGTATCCCAGCTCACGAATCCCCTTCTGGAATCCACGATTGAACTCACGAATCTTGGTATCGAGACTCTCATCCTGCCACTTATACTGGACACCGATGTTGAAGTATTTCCCTCTCGAGTTGAAGGCTGTGGTATCCACGGGGACTTCCCTGATCTTCTGGTGTGGAATACACTCTATCATGACAATACTGCTCAAAGTGTCTGGTTCGGACTCGACAAAACCAGCGAAGCGATCGCGGATTGATTCCGCAGTTGAGAGTTTCATGGGAAGCGTGAAGTTAGCACCGCCAAACAGGTACCGGCTTCCTGTAGCCATGGCCTCATCTGAGCCCTGATTGATCATGGGATAAGGCATGGGTCCAACCTGCTTCATCAATGCCTCGAGTTCGAGGATAGGAGCAAAATACTTGGGGCCATCTTCTTCCGGGTTTGATCCGACTTGTGCCATTTGAACCATGACAACGGGGGCTCTAGGAGCATCTGGGTCTGGACCAGGGGGAGCATAAGTGAATCCAGCGAGAAAAAGCTGGGTGCCATCGTTGGTCTCCCCCCACTTGTTGAGAAATTCAATCACAGTGGGAAGAGCAGCCGGGGGCAAGAAGACCATACCACCCCAGCTGTCACCTTGAGGAAACACCTTGCTTGTGAACTGCGTTACTACACCAAAGCTGCTACCGGCGCCTCGAAGGGCCCAGAAGAGATCAGCGTTCTCGGAAGAGGATGCAGTCACGATGCTTCCGTCTGCCAGAACAACCTGACACGAAACCAAGACGTCAATGGCTAGGCCGTGGATACCAGACAGTATCCCATACCCTCCGTGGAGTATCAGACCCCCCACGCCCGTGTGGGAGACGGTTCCGCCCACCGTGGCCAAGCCTTTAGGCCATAGCGCACCGTCGACATCTTTCCATAGGCAACCCCCTCCAAAGGTGATGATTTGTGCTTCAGTGTCTACTGACACGTCACGCAGAAGAGAGAGATCCAGGACCATACCCTCTGGCGATGGAGCACATGATGTTTGCGAAGTGCTATGGCCACCGCCCTTGACGTTGAACTTGATACCGTTTGAGGTTGCAAACTTGACGACAGCGCTGGCTTCCTCCGCGGTTCTAGGTTGGGCTACAGCGGCCTGAAATCAAGTAAGTATAGGTATAAGAACAATGTTGATGACTTACAGCAGGCTTGATACAGGTCAGACTCCATCGTTCGAGGCTCTCGTCATATCCATCATCTCCAGGGAGTAGGAGTCGTCCTTGGACCAACTGGTCGCGCAATGACGAGAACTTGTCTTGGGTCATGCTTGATCAAATAAGAAGTAATAAGTTTATTGAGAGAATTGTAAGAAGTAATAAGTTTATTGAGAGAATTGCTTCAGTTTGTGACTGCACACTCAGCCGGCTTTCTAGTAGCCTTATATAAAGAATGCGATACAATCCCTGGGATTGAATTCCAATCTTAACGATCCGTCTCACCTCAGCAGAAAGCTGTATCTGTGCATGCGAAGGATCAAGGTGGAGGAGCATGGCACATATTTGCTGTCCTATACTTGATTTGGTTATTCTGACGAGCTATCATATTGGATGCGGAGTTATTGGTGTGTGATGGGGTGTGAGTATGACGCCGTTGGCGGCGGTACGTGGCGCTGCCATATTGAACATTTGAGGTCAAGAAAAGTTCAGACACCCTTGACCTTTTGAACTCTATCGTTTAGCCGGGGATTCTACATTGATCATTGCATCGCTGGACACAGGATCTTGCTGTGTTGGTGATTCCTTAGACCCTCAACCCCAATGGATGGTCAGCGACATATCAAGAGCGCCCGCTTATTCTGAATACTCTGGACTCCATCGTGTAAACACAAGATGGCTCGTAGGTCAACATGGAATTATCGTATAATCGCGACTAGTAGGGCTGAGCTGAGATCAACTCAATTGCCATAGGCTCTTGCCTAGGCCACTTGTGGTATAGATGCTATACAGTAAGTACCCAGGCGAGTTGACTGTTCCCCGGGATTTCCTGCTTATTTACTGATACTCGGATCGATGAATAAGCGTTGCTTGGAGCTTACTGAGACAGTATGAGTTTGTTACAGACAGGCCCTTGAAACTGATACATTTTGCCTATTTCGGTTGTGTGGTTGTGAACTGTGATATTGGATTTATTCGTAACTCAAAGTGAATGTACTCTGTACTCAAGAGACAAACAGTACGCCCCTCCTCAGTTCGGCAGAATGCATTTTACTATTCAGCTGAGTTTCTGTACAGCACCTATCTAGCAGCTAGGTATCTAACCACAGCCTTCAAAGTGACTTTGATGCTGTAAATAGACTCGCTTACTGTCATTGGATAGATGGATCCATCACCCTGGAACGGCCGAGACCCTTAAAGCGGCTAACATGGGGAATAACAGACAAGTAGAAACAAACCAGTCCAATTGATTTGGCTTGCCTTGACATGAGATAACGGCGTGTCCGAAAGAGCGATAGTCAGAAAAAAAAAGAGGTGACCGACCAACTCCGTTTTCCGTTTTCTTGTGCATAAGTTTATCCCATGCAGAACGAATCCTCCATCTTACTTTTGCACTTTACCCTCTAAGTTAATCCTCTCAACACCAACACCGCCAGTCTACACCAAACTCTTCTCGTCCACACCCTCTTCTTCTTTTTCAATCCCTTCCTCTAACCAGACCAAGCCGCAAAAATGGGTAACGTAAGCTCACGATCCTTTGGAAATGGCATCATAAAAAGTTACTCTATGCTGACATGTGGTTTCGCAGGGTGCCAAGGCTCAACAGAAGCGCGAGCGCGCTGCTAAGGACAAGAGCACTGCCAAGTCGCAGCTCAAGGTGGTAAGTTGACGGTTGATTCCCTGTATCGTTTGGGTATCGCTTGCTAATATGGGGGGTTTACTAGAACGAGAAGGCTTGTGACATTCAGTGCCAGGTCTGCAAATCTACCTTCCTCAAGACCACAAAGGGCCCTGCGTATGTTCCCCTCAAAATGCTCCCGCTCCAGACCACATTTGGCTAACGTTTGTCTCTTCTTTAGTCTGAAAGAGCACGCCGAGAACAAGCACAGCAAGACCATCGAGGAGTGCTTCCCCATGTACCAGGGTTAGATCAGCCTGCCAGACGAGCGCATCATCTTAAGAGAGATATGATGGCATCGTACGAGACGAGACAAGACAAGACAAGAAAGTAAAAGCAAGGGGAAAATATGGACAATATTCAGCGAAGCGAGGCGTACTGTGGCGTGATAGCCCTAGACGAGAATATGGAGAGATGAGACAAGACGGGGACTCATGATGGGAATAACTTTACACGGTTCTTTTTTTTTGGCAAAATGCCTGCGTTTCTTCAGTGTCTACTATCTGCTACTTGCCTGCTTAATGAGCCTCCACAGCCTTGGGAGGCGCTTCCACCGCTGGCGCTGTAGAGTCCTTATGCTGCCTTACCCTCGCCTCTTCTTCGCGGATACTAGCCAGAATATCAGGATACCAGCGCTCTCCGACGTCGGGATGGCTCTTGACACGATTCCGCAGCGTTGCCTCGCCAAGTGTCTTTGAAATGCCGCCCGCACGGAAAGTAAACTCAACATCGTCGATGCGTCCGCCGTTGCGCTCTACGATCTTGCGACGCTGCTCCCTCACCTCCTCTGGCACAAGACCGACGCCTACCTTCTCGAGATCTTCGAACTCGGCGCTCATGCGCACGCCCTGGAAGAAAGGGATCGAGAAGCGCGCGCCTGAGCCAGCGGCGGGAGAGAGCACACGATGTGTTGTTGAGACACAGACGCCTTGTGTAAGCGCCTCCAGGCCCTGCCCAATGGCCACGACGAGTGTGCCTGGGATCGGCTCGCAGTCTATCCACTGGCCGCGGACGTTCTGTACCTGAAGACCCTTGTGCGACGTTGCTTGTAGGAGATAGCTCGAGAGCATACTATCCTTGTGAGGCCCTACGCCCTGGCCGCGCACGTCGCCTTCGATGCCAAGTTCTTTAGCATCGGGGTACTTGACAATCTTGAGCTTGTGCTGCTGATCCTCGTCGAAGTACTTGTTAAAGGCGTCGCTGGGGAGGTCAATGGCTTCGGCGATAAGAGATGTGAACTGAATTGAAACATTGCCCATTTGATCCATATACTCTGTATAAACCTTGCGGAAGTCGGGCAGTGAGTCCTCGGATGGCCATTGGTTGGGTGCTAACAAATTGCGATACAAAGGAGATCCAGGCTTGGGAATTGGATGCTCAGTGGATAGGTCGATTTGTTCCCGGTGGTCAATCTCTCCAGCGGTGATCTCCGCTGATAGACGTGAGTATCCAAGAAAAGAGGCCGCATTCTTCATTTCAATCTTGAGTCTGAATGCGCACGTCAATATGAGCACGCACGTAGTAGTATCAATTTGTATGTAACTCACTTCTCCTCCTCGGGAATGTCAAAGAAGCTTTTACCAAGTTCGATAACCCTTTGAAACAAATCATCCGAGATGCCGACATTCTTCAGATACAGAAACCCAACTTCCATCAGCGCATGACGAAGCTCCTGTAGAAACTGAGGCTTTGTAGCCGGATCCCGAGCCGCAGCAAAGTCCAGGATCGGAATAGACGTGAAGGACATTTCTATGCGTAGAGTTCGAGTTCAAGGAAGCTTTGCAAATAAAGGGATAATGATGATTGTAACTGGTCGATAAATAACTTGGTATCTTTCTCTTCTCTTCTCTTTGAATAAGTAGATAAGTAAGTAAAGGTAGCCAATGCTGGTTACCCATCACCTCATCACGCCATTGCGCGATTGGTCCACCCAAAGACACCTTTTTTTAATGTCTCCAAACTCCCCCGCATGGACGACCGATTCCCGAGCAATGCCGGGGAGTGTGAGGCCTATTTGGTGATGGCTTCTCTTTTCCCGCTCACACAGATACCATGTCACGCCGATGTCGGTCATGTTCTTGAAAACTAACTGACAGCTGGTATTCAGACCTGCTCAACGCCGGCGCTGCGATCATCTAACTTCCCAAGATGCTTTCTAACCAGACTATGTCTAGTACAATACATGACCACTTTTTAGACAAAACATTCTAGCTTTTTTACCCCGCCCCTTATTATATAAACAACTTGTATCTTTCTCATGATGCCGATAGAGGCTTTGTCGCAAGTAGGCCCGTAACCTTGTAGAACATGTCCTCAATCGGAGGCGCGGCAAATGCTGGTGCAGCATCGAAGATATCTGCCAGGTGCTGTTGTTGGATCACACTGGGGTGAGAGTCGTCATCTTCCATCTCGACGTCCTCGGGTTCGGCCGAGTCTTCGTCCTCCTCTCCGTCACTAGCCATATCCTCGTCCTCGTCAACGAGACCAACTTCGTTGCCATCAACGTTAATACCCTCAAGACGAAGATCCTCAAGGGGCTGGACCGTTGCGAGAGATGAAGAGTCAGAGCCCTCGGCAACCACCCAAACTTGGGCGGCGTCATCCAGGGCGATGAAGCCACTTGTGCCGGGAGAAGAAACAAGGCTGACAACTCTTTGGGGTGTGCTGCGCACCAGAAGAGGCTCAATATCCTCAGGCTCAAAGACGGCAAGCAGAGAACCCTCGTTAGCAGGCAGGGCCAAGGCAAAGTGTCCCGATGTGTGATCGACGGCCAGTTGGAGTAGCGCATTGGACTTGGACTTGGGTATCACAACACCATATCGTAGCTCGTCGCTGACAACGTCGTAGACGCGTAGCTCATCGGATAGAATAATGACAAAAGGTGAAAGGGCACGGATGGATCGCAGTTGTCCCTTCCATTGACCTTCGAGGGTCTTAACCACTTCACCTGATGCAGCATCGATCACATAGATTGCGCCGGAGCCAGCGGTTCCAAAAGCCACGAAAAGAGTTGAGCCATCTTCCGAGAAAGCAATGCTACCTTGAGATTCTTGGCTGCCGGAAGACTCGGGAATATCGACAACGCCGTCTTGGGGAACACCATCGCCCACAGCGATCACCTGAGAGCAGCTCCAGGTGAAAACCTCGCGGCCGTTGGGGCCCTTTACCACGACTCCGTTCTGCGATCTCGTCTTGGGGCGCCACATACGAACAGTGCCGTCGGTGCCAATGGTCGCAAAGCATGTCGAGACAGGATTTGAAGCCAAGTCAAGCACTGCCTCATTACGGGTTGTCGCGTGAGGAGCATTGATCCTAGAAACGAGCGCAATCTGCTCTTCGCCTTGTTGTGCGTCCCAGAACTTGAGATACACCTCTCGTCGTTCCTGGATAAATTGATCCTTGACGTCGCTGATCGCGCTGTCCACATCTCGTGGCGAAGGCTCCCAGGTGTCCACGCTGGCGAGCCACTGTCCATCAGCTGAGAAGGCAACGTGTGTGATAAGAGGCTCCTCGATTGGGTGACCCTTGTTTGTAATGTTGACGTCTGTAGGCTGTGTGCGGGCCAAAGCCTGCTTAGACACGCTTCGGAAAGTCTCGAGGTCAAATGTCTGCAGCAGAGGAGCAGAGAAGCCTCCTGCCATAGTAGCTTGACGGCCATTTCCAACACAAACGTGTAGTCTTGAGTGGTCCGTAGGGCTGATGACAGCTGGGATAGGTCGCTGAACGGTTGCGGGTGTGGTCCATGTTCGCTGAACAAGGAGATCCTTAGGTGTGGTGACATTGATTGCGGCAGACTGGATACCAGCGATGTACGCTGTAGGCTTCATCTCTGCGGTTGAGATGATCATGACTGAGTTGTCGTCGAGGTGAACAACATATGCAGAACCGTTGGCAGAGACTGTGATGTTCTCTACACTGCCAGATAGATGGGGAAGGAAATCCTTCCTGCCTGTATCCATTTGCCATAGGACGAGGGAGTTTTCGGAACCTCCTGAGATCATGTAGTTACCTGCAGCTTGTTAGTATAATGACCTCAACCTGTGGAGTAGGAGTTCATACCATCGCGCGACCACTTCAAGGCATGCACAGCTCTGCGATGCCAATGGAAGTTCTGTGCTTGAATAGGTTCCTTCTCGGATCCTGACTTCGCAAGCGCCTGGCTTCGAGCAAGCGCATCGTGGTAGAAGAAAATTGAACCGCGAGCGCCACCAACAATAATATCCAGAACAGGAGAAGCCTCCTGTCGCGATTTCTTTCCGCTTGTCGCCGGTCTGGGGTAAACTCGAAGGTCGAGAGAGCTGACTAGGTCGGGGATATCGAAGGTATAGATCTCGTAGTCCAAAGCGGCCAGGTTATCGAACTTTTGCTGCGAAGGGACGCCAAAGAAGAGACGATCGTTGATCGCGCCCACCAGATGCCCGTCCTCACTTGTTTCGAGCAGTTGCAAGCCGTTGCCCGACTTCTTCATAACAAAGACAACCTTGTGCTCAGACTCCGTTGTCGTGGCTTGGTATGCGACAACCTCTATTCGGCCGGGCTTGTCCGACTCGGCCACGAAGATGATTTCTTTTTCCTGGCCTGAAACCTTCTTCGTCACAAGAGCCATAGCATTTGCGGTATTGGACTGCGTGCGGAAGAATTCGGGTGCCTTGGACGTTGTCCACTTGACTTGGTAGACGCGGCCGTCTGAGGTTGCGACCCAGACGATATCGGGGTTTTGCTTTGATTGCCGCATAGCGACGATATTCGCGGGGGCTGAGGTCTTCTCATCGGAGGATTCGGCTGAAGTAATTGGGATTCGTCGAACAAGGAGAGAGTCGGCTGCCGAGTAGACCTGGATAGATGTGTTGTAGGCCATAATGAGATATCTATGATGGTTAGCCAAGCTAGTATTACATGACTGTTGGACTCACTGTTCATCCGCAGTCAACACAGGGTCAATATCAAGCATCCTGCCACCCATGGGCTTTGAGACGCGCCATCCTGCCTCTGTATCGTCAAACTGGCGAACAATCTCAATTTCTCGCGACCCAGCTTCTGTTAAAGCTCCAGAGATCCCGTTCACTTCAGAGACGACTCCCTTTCCAGTCTCGTTTCCCAAATTGACTCCATTGGCCTTGTTTGCCTTTCGTTCAGCCCTCTGTCGCTTCGATCTCGAATCGGTCTCAGCGACATCCAACTTGCGCTTCTTGGTCGGGTCGTGTTTTGTTCGGGGGCTCTTGTGGCCGGCCATTTTAGCCACCTTCTTCTCACTGCACTTATTAAATACTGTGCTTGCGACGTCTGCAAAAGTTCGTCGTCGGCGAAAAAGGTGAGGAAGTATTGAGTTGACCTGCCTGTGCTTCTACTGGGTAGGTAGAGATTCGCAGAAATTTTGGTCCCGCTACGAACTTTTTGTCGCCGATAAGATAAGCAAGTGCGGTCGGATAAACATCGGGGTTGAGAATTTATTTTCGAATGCCTGCTACAACGCCAAAAACCATCGCAAGCTTTCTTTGAAACGTGCCTCCTGCCTGTCGCAAATCTTTTTGGCGTATCCGAAGAACCCGCACACCCACAAAATACTGTCAAAATGATTATTCCCATCCGATGCTTCTCCTGTGGAAAGGTAGAGTTCTCTCCTGTCTTGCGCCAGGCGCGCCGCTCGCTGACTATTATGTGTTTAGGTCACTGGTGACCTTTGGGAGCGCTACCTTACACTGATCGCAGATCCCCGAAAGTCTGACGGGTAGGCTAACTATTGTCTTCTAGCATTGATGGGATTCTGACGAGATATATAGCGACGCTATGGACGAGCTCGGCTTGAAGAGATACTGCTGCCGTCGTATGGTCATGACCCACGTCGATCTTATTGAGAAGCTTCTCAAGTACGATCCAACTTTCCACACACTACGTGTAACATGATTTCTAACAACCAATCTAGGTACACCCCCGATGGCCGAAACGAGAAGAAGCAGGTGTTGAGCCAGAACGTATAGAGTGCGTCCTTGTGAAAGAGCCGCCAAAGGTTGGCTGTGCATGGTTTGGCGTTTGGGAAATGTAGCCGCAATATGTCATTTCGACAGCGCAGGGAAAGCAATGAATTGATCAGGGTCAGAATCGAGGCACACGAGTACACATAATTTACAGTACCCTCTGCAGACGCTTTCGAGACCTTCAAGATACATCATTTGGATTTCGCAATATTGTTGCTTGAACACGGCTAGTTGTGTTCTCTCTCGTCAAAGAAGCAACTGGATATACAATGATCCTCGATAATGCGTTTTTCGGTATGAAGGTTTGCACTCTTATGGCATCAAAGGACCTATTGTTTCTTGGGCTACCTACCACCCTTGCCAAGGCCTGTGCGCAAAGGGCGGTGGATGTCAGCGGCGAAGAGAAAAGGCACGCAGGACTCAGGAGATGGCATCCATGGAAGGAAAGGAAGAAAACTCAATGCCTGTCCGGAATCGGATGGAGCTAACAAGAGTGCCTCGCATGTCCCCATTCTCACCTGATCTACAAGGCGCCAGACCGAGTATTTGCTCCTGTAACTCATCGCCGCCCCAACCTCTAGAGAATTCAGGCAGACGTGTTGGTTGAACAAAATACTTATGGGCTGATGTCGTGGTGTATCGACGAGCCAACATGAAGGACCCATGCCCCTTTAGAATAGCACATACTGGGGTTCAATATGACAGGGTTACAATTAAACGTCGCCATTATAGCCCATCGTCAACGCTAACCATCGGTGTGAGGGCTGCAGCAATGTGTGATATCCTCAAGGATGGATCGCAATGCTGTGCTGTTTGATACATAACGAGAATCTGGGGTTCCTCAACAAATGGAGGCTGGTAAGAAACCAACATAGCTCCAAGATGTCATCGTTGTAACAAAATTGCGTAATCATAATGATGTTTTTGGGGCACTGTTTAGAGCTCTCGGCATCGAACCAACACCTCCGTTCCATTTTCCACCAAGTAGTGAAACTCCGACCCCGATATGAACTGCGTCACGAAGCTCCACGCCGGAACATAGATTATCACATATGTCCAAATTCTTTTAATGTGACTTGGCTGACTGGACTTGGTGTTACTGAGTTTGACACTGCCAATAATTTATACCATACGGAATAGAGACCTCTGTTTGAGGCCCATCATCTAACTTCTAATCTTGGCTATAAGCAAGTCACTCAGCCTATCCGATACGTCGGGCCGCCCTCCATGTTGTTGAAACAAAAGCTGCATAGTCACGTAGCTGGCGGTGAAAGCAAGAGGATGTAGCTTGATTCGAAGGGTCTCATCAACTATGCTTGGCTGCAATGAGTATACGGTGATAGACGACGCTCTACCCCTGCGCGTGTCTAGATGGTATAATAACAACAATTAAAGATTCGGCCAACAAAGTCGGGAAACAAATGCCGCGCCTGAGTGATCCGATCAGTTGTGTAGTATCCAGCCTGGCCAACAAACGCACTTTTAGCTTATGCTGATCAAACCAACGCGGTCCTGATGTTAAAGCCAACAGCATAGACGGAAAGGATACCGCAATAGGAAAGTTTGAGTCATCAAGTCGCACGGCACAATCAGCAAGCCATATCACGCCAAAAGAAAAAAGTCAACATGTCTTACCAGCCTGGCGCCTATGCACTGCATTCTGCACTTCGCAACTCCACAGCTTTTCCGCACAAGCTCAAATTCCTCAAAAGCCCTTCGCATTATCATAGCCTCTGCAGTGGATAGTGGTCGCACATCAGTCCAACAGTTGTAGACGCATATTGGCAGGTGCTTAGCATGGCTGATGGGAGTACATACGTACATAGCCTGCGCTGATTAGGCCGCATTTAAAGATTTCTTCTTCTTCTTCTTCGGCTATGAATTGCGGGAGGTGTGTTCCGGAAGAGATAACAAACCTTGTGTTTGGGTTTGAGGAAAGAATCCAGAAAGATACCCGGCTCAGCAGGATCAGGAAGCATGTACTTGTTCGACTACCAACGGCGAACTCGTGGAGCTATCAAGGGTATTCAACCGCTAGACCTGCTAACTAACAAGGAATTGTTATCCCCGCACCGGCTGGATGGGTTGACGATCCTAAAGACGATTCCGACAATGTGTCTAGCGCTGTGATAGCTAGAACAACGCAGCATGTCACCACACTAGAAAGACTCTTGGGATGAGGACCCTAGCGAGGGTAGCTGTCAAAGAGTTTGTGAAATGAGGAGTATGGTAATAAACAATCCAATCGTGAACTTGTACCCACGCCTCTCCTGGTCTCCCACGTCAAATCAGACAAAGTAATTGTCAAAGCCTGGTAAATTAAGAAGCAGGAGCAGGTTATGGTGGAACTGGCAGGGGTGATAAGTTCTGATGGTCCAACACATCAGAGGCATTTGAATGGCCATTGATAGGTAAGAGAGCGTGAATATCATAAAGAATTCCACGTGCATGGAAATCAGCAGTACTATACTGATCAGGGCATACATGCTCTGGTTCCTACCAGGTACTTTTGGTGTTGCGATCCTGTTGAAGTGTCTGATCCCAAAGGTCGCATTCCAGAGCTATGTAGCGAACTGTGCGTCACAAAGCTGGAGGCCATGCTGCGGCCCCGGCTAGTGGGGCCACCGGCTCGTTTTAGCGTCGTTAAAGCCGCCGTGACCAGACTGCTGGGTTTTGAGGTTTGGGTTGTTGATTGGCTTGCGCAACATCCTAGCGGCACTCCTGCGAGCCCAGGGCGTTTACAGGCACCAAGAAGAAAGCCAAGCGTTGTGGGTATTATCAATGAGTGCACTACGTGGTAGTGAGGAAATGGTAGACGGGTTCCTCTTCTTGCTGACCGCGAGCGAAACAAAGGGATCTCTGCCTCGTAGTGCGTGCGTTCTAACGAACAGGTTGTCTGGCTCTGGGCCCAAGTGAATTCAGACGGAGTGGTGTAAGAAAGAGTAATCGAACGTGGGTTGAACCAACATACTCGTTGAGGGGCCACTTCACGGGACATTAGGAAAACTCGGCTGGCGCATCAACAATAAGACAGCTGTTTCATGCAAAGTAACCGTGTGTTGGCTGTCGATACCTTTGAGCCCAAAGTTGTTTCCCCGATTAGAGGCAATAGTCTTGACATTTGACTTTAGACTCACTTTCATAAACTGAAGGCAGTTGGGATTCTGGTTTAGGTTGTCGATCATGCTGAATACGTATACGGCGTCGAGTGTCACATTCCGTGCCGTTAATGCTATGCAGCGGGCCATGGCACATGGCATCGAATTTGCCTTGCTGAACATAGAGAACTCGGTACCAGATCTTGTCAAGACGAAGCTCCATGAGCATAGCCATTGGTCGGTTCCGGGTCGTTGGTAGAAGCAAGGCAGGTGGGGGACTGCGGAGGATTGACCAGTCCCACCATGAGTTAAGCGCCGACGCCTGTCCTCTTTGATGTAGCCCCACGGGTTTAGGAGCCACGATCCATCCACCCTGGCCAGGTATCTGGGGTTTAACTGGCTTGTTGCCAGGGGTGGGCGGCTGGATGTTTTCTTTACGTCGTCTCGAAGCGTGCATAACAGTTAGTTGAGCGCAAAAAGACGGGCAAGTGTCTTCCTGCCGAAGGAGCAGTTGTCGGTTGTTCAAGAGCGAACGATGGAGGATGCGTGAATGTCTTGTGACTTTGAAGTGATACTTAGTGGGAGAGACTGAGGAAAGAAAGATATCGTGGTGAGCAACTTGAAGGTGAAGATAGAGTTGTGCCTGTGCCTGAGACCTCAGGTCAGCCACCTGCCTCGTTTAATTGGCATCTAATGCACCTACCATCCTCAGACGCAACTGCCATGGGAGAAATGATTGCGATGTGTAGGTAGGGAAGGTGCTGATCAAAGTGGGCCTCCTGTCATTTCACCCCATTCGTCCAGCTTGACCTTTCACCACGGATCGTTGATATTTTGAACTTACACGATGGTGTTGCTGGAGTCCTTTACCATCAACTTTTCTTAGCCCATCAACAATCTCATTTTGCTTATGGTGAGTCTCGGTTATCTGCAATTGATCCAAGTCGGCCATTTCACGAAAAAAGAGCAAGTATTGCATCAGCTCTCTGCAGAAACGCACTACAACATCCACAGGGGAGCTGTTGAATGGTTGCATTGACCACACCCTATTCTACTCTATGGACTACATGTCCAGGATAGCACCAGAGCAAAACGAGAAGGCCTTGGTGCGCTCAGTCGCTTGTTGCGGTCCAAGAGAACCGGCCACCCTCAGTTAGCCGCTCCATCCATTCATTTCCACCTCCAATTCCAATACCTCGAGGCTGCGACTCCTCGGCTTCTGCCACACCTCAATATTATTGAACCTAGACTCGAGCCTTTTGATCGGCTGCTAAAGCCATCTTCAGACTACACTGAGACTCAATTCATATCTATCAGCAGGCTCTTAGTCAGACCGTTCAAAAGAAACCTGATAACTGCCTAACAGTTCAACATCTTGGCCCCCAACTCAACCCTCGTCTCTGAAGTCCCCATCTGCCTGTCGATCCACAACTGGTCCACCCGCTGCTTCGTCTCGGCAAAAGAATTCAGAGTGGTTCTTGGCTTCCTTTAGCTGCCCTGGGCTGCCTGGGAGAGCTTCAGGTGTCACAGGTCGTGTCCTAGCCGCAGAGCCCCTCTGTTACCAACTTCCCACCCCTCCCATATTCTGTCAGCCAGGACACGCCCCAATTAATGATCCAACCGTCCATCCTCTTCCTTCACGTCCATCTTTCTTCTGCTCTCAGATAAACTCGTGGCAATGCTTTTATTCACATCATTGTGTTGAAACTCTCGACCTTCGAAAGTCCCAGTCAATCGCTCTTCTCACCCTTTTAAGAAATTGCTTAGGCTCAAACTATCATATTTCAAGAATCGCAGCCATCGCGTCTCTTTGTTTCCCACCGCGCCAACTATCGCGTTCCCGACAAGCGCCGGCCGCATTTACGGTCCCTGCCAGAATAACACAAACCGCACACCTTGCCAGAAGTCAAGGCAGTACGGAAGCAAATCTCATCCAAAGCAAGCTCTTCGCAGGTGTCAAGGGTGGGATCAGCGCACATACTGCATGTCTTGAATCATACTGCTACTTATTCGTTGCTCCACCCATAGTAACAAAAGTTACAGTTCAGTGCTTGACCCATAACACCCCGACACAACAGGGCTGCGAGAACAAGGGACTTTGACTACGAATCCCTGTCAGACTGGCGTCTGTCTGCCTTAGTCCATCGTTGCAGCCGCTGGTGTTCCAGCTTTTGACTCTGCCTGTTCTTTAAACCTTTCCCCCTCCATTTTGTCCATTCTCTCAATTCGGTACGGCTTTTTGGTGAGCTGGTTTTTGTTGGACGACTTCTGCTTCGTTGCTGGAGTCTTATTGAGCCTTTCATTTATCATTTAGCGTCATATGTGATCTTTCTTGCCGATCAATCTCTCTTCATACGGCTTGTCTTGATCGAACTATCTAGTTGCGCAGATTCCCGATCCTAGTACACCCAAATTCCGCATCACGGGTCTCATAACTGGCCGCGACCACACCCACCGCCGACCAACAAGCTCATATTTTATTGTTCACTGCCACGAGAGCTGTTGGCAGTTTCAGCTTCCAGTTTCCTGTCGGCTGTCAACCTTGAGATAGCTGCACAGCAAAGTTTGCGAGGCATTCTTGCTTGAACGCAGAGAGCTACGACTTATCTTAAGGCCTTCTTGTCGCTGGAGCTTTCGACCACCTTCGTTGGTGTAGCCTAGCAACAGCATTTCCTACGCTCCCGTCATGGCCCTTGAAGCACCTCTAAGGTCATCGACTGGAAGCCTACAGTTCCCATTCGCTTATCCTCAGACAGACATGTCTGCGCCCACAGAATCCGAGAGCCGTCGCTCTCCATTCAGACCATTGTACGTTGACAGCCAAAGTTATGCGCTCGACATAAAACCAGTCGCCCTCTGTATTAACTCAATGTCCCAGCTCTTCTCCCCCTCCCGTTACCGATTCATCCTCGCTTCGACCCAATTCCGTCAATCGTATGTCGAGTAGCTCCTACAACGTAATGAGCCCCAGCGATATCGTGGGCCCTTCTCCAGTCACTTCAAATGGCACCGAAACAACCGAGATCGAGGATGATGTTTCAGAGGACATTGAGAGGGAAGCTCCTGGCAGAAGCAATGCCCGTCGGTCAGAGGTCAGTTGCAACTGATAAATGCCTTCTTGTTGGCTGTCAACTAACTCGTCTACAGCTTTTAATGCTTACAACGAATCTACCAGAGAGCGTACGCCAATCCAATAGCGAGGAAGCCGTTTCTGTTATTCACGCGCCCGAAAGCTTTGCCAGCTGGGTATGTTCAGTCTCACTCTGGGATGTGACAAAGCTAACCCCCCTCCAGGTTGCTCCAGCACCGGTGATGGAACAAAGAGGACCAAGTCCTAGGACATCCCCAAAGTCAGAAGCTGAAAGTCTAGCATCGGTCAATGGCGCGTCGGAGAAGGTTCGCTGCTTATGGCTCAGGTTCTCGTTCATTTACTGACCTGTCATCAGACATCGACTCACCCAACTCGACCTCCGATTTTTACCGATGTCAACCCTGTGCGATACAGCATAGACAGCGCCACACCTCGAGCTCAGGATTTGCAATCTATGCTGGATGATGGGGCTCGGTTGCGCTCAAGCAGCACGAGCAGTCTTGAGAGTATGTCCAGGCGATTCGTATTGTCGTATTTAACTAACGTTCTAAGAAATCGATGAGCAAACTGAAGCCGAGGGTGATGATGAGGAATATGAATCAGAAGCCATACCAATACCCCAGCAACAAGACGAGATTGAGACTTTACGAACGACCCTCACGGAGTGTTGGACTCTTTGCAATAGTCTGTCAAAGCTGAGTTCGATCAACCGTAACCGTGCCCATGGCAAAAGCGGCATCCCTGACGCCCACGAAAAAGCATGGAGGACATGTTGGAAGCTTTGTCAAAGGCTTTACAGCAGTCGGGATGAGGATGCTAGCAACTTCAATGTCAAGGTTAACCTTGATCTCTGCCGCGACTTCTGCCAAGCACTATTTGATGTGCGACAACGCAATGACGAAGCGGCAGACTCTGTTATGCGTGTTAGTTTCGAGCTCAACAATCAGTAAGTGAATCGAGTGTAAAGGTGTTTCTTTTCTAACCAAACAACAGCTTGTACAGCGCTCAAGACGTCAACCTTCCGGAGGAGTTCAGGGAGCGCACACTAGACTTTTACATCGCCCTGTGCCATCGACTCATGAAGCAACGGAGTGATCTGGCAGAAGAGACCGACCAATTGCTCCGAGCCTGCTGGGCACTTGCAGAAATGCTTTTCAACCTCAGGCAAAATCGAAGGGATGGAAGACCCCCAGATGAAGAGCTACTGAGCTCCACCGTCCAGGCTTGCTGGGAGCTGTGCGATGTTTTCCGAGACAGCTGGACGCAGGTTCGGCCAGACCGGGGAACACCTCGACTAGGACATGCATTCCCTCAGCATTTGAACGATCAAAGCGGTCGGCAAAGTCGCGGATCAAATCCGTCATCAGTCCACTCAAGACATGACAGCGTGAAGAGCGGAAGACAGGAGGAGAAACCAAGAAACCCTGCCATTCCAGAGACCCCCGTGACCGAGTTCGAGGACACGCCTATCTCTCCCCAGAGTCGTTCGCCCACGATGCCCAACATTCTTGTTCTTGGTACACCAAGCGATAATAGTCGTGGCCGATGGTCGAGCAGCGCCTCCAACCTTTCGAGCTACTCAAAGAGTAGCGCCCGGACTTCGAGCACAGCAACTACAACAGCGGCTTCGGAAGATCCGAATGTGACACGTGCGAAAGTACTTGTTCTTCGAGCTGCTATGAACTTGGGCTTCAACCGTGACTCGATCCATGACCCCAAGGCTGCCGCTACGGCCTTGCAAAAGTTTGTACAGGATCTTCCTCCTGGATCTTTCGGGTCCCTCATCTCGCACTCGAACTTGCTAGCACAATACAAGAACTCTGTTCTCACTGATGCCATAATTCCTAGACATCACACCTTGCCCACTCGAGGCAAACGCGTCACTGCCCAGGAAATGGCTAAGAGCATCCAAATGATGATGAAGAGTTCGCAAAGATATTCTTATCTGCGAGATCTTTTCCGGGTCGTTTACCAGTTTCCAATTGAAGAGGTTGACACCCGTCGCAATGTCAGCATTGTGATCTAACATGCTATCAGCTATCGATATTCTTTTCAACACTGAGATAATGCCGAAACGTTTATACTTATGCCCTATCACGTCTAATGTTATTGTTTTACACTAAAGATTTCTGGGAGTCGGGAGCCACGAAGGAGATGCGGATTTTATTATGCCAACATGGTTACAAGCGCGACGCATTTTATGTGTGAGAGGATGGACAGGCATTTTGAAGAGATTTAAGCGGTGGACTATTCGTTTCTAACATGCACGAGATACCCTGTTGGGAGGGAGGCTCTAGCGGGCGGGTGTCTTGATGTGGAAGAGTTGAGGGCACGGCCACAAATGCCTTGGATAAGCTACGCCCTAAATACTACAGAAGATTCATGGTATCTATTCGTTGATGTATCAGTATTCACATATCTTAGGGTCAAATAACGGTTGGAATGTCTTTGAAGGTTGTCTAAATAGTGATGCTAATTCGTCTAAGGGCTATGTATCCAAGCCGTATCTTCTCCTAGTTACACGAATCTCTTGTTCCGTTCTAACTTGTACATGTCCCTCAGGCTTGTCGGCCTTCGCAAACGCGTCAAGCCCGGGCTCTGGGCGAAACTAATATAAATATAAGGTGGTTGGGCTGGTTGGTATTTCTCTAACCAGCTTACGGTCTCGAAGATAGCCCAACCGACCAACATAAAGAAATCATCGGCCAAATCAATTGAAAAGACACTTAAAAATAGATATTCACATTGTGGTGAAGGCAAAACTGACGATTACCCCAAGTGCTAAGGCCCCCGTGCCCATCACGGTATATATATGTGTGTGTGTTGGCCAACCAGCAGCTTCTGCACTCACGAGGGCGACTTTTTGACGAAAAACCGCGGATCGTAACTAGCATCGAACAGTCTAGGGTCTATCGCATTCGAGTTGTTGTCCGCGTTGTCTTCTTGCAGGGCCTCAGGAACCGAATGTGATGGGGCTCGGGGAGTCTGCTGATGATCGTCGCCCTCACGAGAAGCCAAGTGGGAGAGGGATTCTGCCTCTGCTAGATGAAGCTGGGAATCTGGAGCTTCAACGTTTTGAGTTAGCAAAGAGCGGGATGATTTGCGTTCAGCAGCCGAGCGAACTGGTCTTACGTATTCCTCCCAAGCAAGCGAATCAAGGTCTCCTCCGAACGCAGCAGGATCTAGGTTCTGCCCCTGAGGGGACTCTTCGGGAGGGATTCCCTGCTGGGGATATACGAAGTTTGAAAGCTGAGAAAAGTTGGATGGTGGCATGTCCAGCGTGAGAGATGACGAGGGTTGAGTCGCGGAGGTTTCCTATAATCCGCTCTGAACGCCTACGCTTTGCTGGTGAGCAGGTACAGACATGTTGCTGTGTACTTGTGGGTAGTATGATGGCTTCTGGTTTGAAGAGGCATCGTAGGAAGGATGGGTGTAAGAGTTATGTAGGGTTGTCTGGTTTGGCACGGTAGGCTTGCCATCGGGGCTTCCTTTGCCTTGAGCTTTGGTGTCGTGTTGGTGAAACTGGGTGTTGATAGGAGTGAAGTTTGTGTTGGAAGTTGCCCTTAACTGTGTCTGCCATAAGTTGGCAGAGAATCCAGGTGGCGCTGAGGTGGGTGAATAGGAGTCTACAGTTGGTGAACGGAGATCGGAGAGTTGAGTTTGTGTCGGTGGTGTTGCTTGGAATGGAGGAGCAGAAGAAAGTGAGGGAGACTTTGTATCTTCGGATTTTAAAGCTTTGTCTCCAGGCTTGAATGTCTTATCTTCAGACTTAGGAGGTGGACTCTGCGAGTAGGCTTCTAGTTGCTTCGGGGGATTGTACAAAGGCCCGGCCAATGTTTCTGACCGTTCTCGGCGTGTTCGCTTGAAAGATCGTGGTGAGTCTCTGTGGCCAAGTCAGTCTCGTGTAACTCAGGGGCATATACTGAAATACTGAAATAACATACTCAGAGGGAGGCGAGGCAGAAGAAGCTACCGCAAGAGCTGCTCTTCTTCGCTTCAGTTTCTTGTTGGCGGGCCTGTTAACCAGGGGAGATCTATAGTCAAAGTCTCAGTTGATATGTACGTAATAACAGTAAGGGTTTCTAGATCCAACTTACCCATAGTCAGGATCCTTCCCATACTTATTTCGCAAATATCGAATCTGGTTATCCGTCAACTCACGGTTGAATCGTTCCTGAAAAGCCAGTGAGATCTCTTCGTTGAAGAGATCCTGAACCATGAGGTCCAGAGCAAAGCGAATCTCATCAGGTTTGTAAACCGGCTTGCCCGTCATGATGTATGTGGTCTAAATACCAAGAATCGAAAGAAGTGATAAGAGGAGGAGGGGGCGTGTTTAGAACGAGGTAGATGTTTGTTGCAAAGATTCAAAAACAATGTCTGTCCAAGAAAGGTCCCAGCTGTCAGCGACAAGGGGCTGAGGGAGCGTCGGTTGTGATGAAGCGTTGAGCAAATATTTGTGATTGAGGATAGGAAGAGAAGCAATGATTGTGTGAGGTTGGTTTTAAATAGGTAGGATCGTAGTGATGGAGTGAGAGAGGAGCCTGTTAATCACAGTCGATGATGTGTAGCTTGGTAAAGGGAGTTCGACGGGCTTTATGTACTGTGGGAGATGTTGTGATTAACAGTGAATAGGTTATTGCAAGGGCAGATGAAATGGTCCAGGAATATAGGGAAAGGCCCTCAAGATATCAATGATAATTAATATTCCTCTTCCGAAAGAATAATAGCTGTTGTAGAAAAGGAAAGGCTTTGAGCGGTGGTGTTTCTGGTTGCGAGAGGAGAAGTGGAGAGGAAAGGGAGAAGCAAAGGCGCAGAAAGTGGAAGAGAAAGGAGTCTTTATGAACTGCTCGCTCTACCAAGGAGTTTGCTGATTGTTCACGAGATGGGCCATGAGTCAAGTGCACTGTTGCTTGCTTTATATCATTTGTCTTCTATAGTCTACGTTCCTTCTTGTTTCTATATCACTCACTCGTGAGGTCAGTTGGCTCTATATCTCGTCATCTAATGTCTTTCGTTCGTAGCAAGGTCGTCCCAAGTCCAGGCCGCATGACTCCTAATCACCGTCTACAAACCCCATCCCAAGTCTAAATAGATGCTGCATCACTGACCACAGGCAGCGGTGAACCACCTCGGCTGAATACGCCTAGCCAGCACCGCACTTTGCCCGCCTCGTCGTCCTCAATCCAGTCGTCCTGGCCCGCGAGCTCGTCCTCCTGCTCGCAGAACAGCGGCGTGTCGAGGTCGAGCATGGCCTGGCGGAATGACTCGAGGAGACGCTCCGTGGTGGCATCTCTGCGCGGCACCATGACGACGGCGCGTGAGTCGGAGCCCAGTGCCAGGTGCTGGCCGATGGCGGAGGCCAGCAGAGCTGGGTGGTCATCGTCGTACATGGGATCAGCCGCAAGGACAATCTAGAGTCACCGGGCGGATTAGAAAAAGGGGCACGTTTGTGAGTAAGAGTCATATATCGATAGCAAAGCCCGCAATCACGGCCTCGTCTACGGCTAAGAGAAAGAAAACATACCTTGAACTGGTGCAGTTGTCCAAACAGAGTCTGGTCTATCTCGTCCTCACTTCCGCCCCAGGTAAGATCTCCAACAGTGAGTGATCCGCCACGAGACTTGACAAGATCTGTGTTCTTGGCCACATTTTCTCTGAGGTTGGACACGATATTAGGTAGATCGCTCAGCGCAACGGGGACCTTCCACAGAGCCGCAGCTGCAAGACCCAAGAGCCCAGTTCCGGAGCCAAGCTCAAGCACATCAGGTCTTGGCTGGCCCAGCGTCTCGTCGAAGAGTCGAAACAGCGACGTTTCAGCCATGTGAGGAAGATGCTGCGACAGCACATACGAAGAACCCCAGGTCTTGAAGCCCAACGAATCTCCCGTGAGCGCGGGCTCCCGAATAATCAACTCAAACTCATCCGCGCCGTCTCCAAAAGGCCAGCTCCGAATAACCTCGCCCATAGCCGTGCGCCCGCACCGCTCCGACATGCGCTTGCTTGCCTGCGTCCAAAGAGCCTCCTTCTCGTCGTCGTTGTCGATCCATGCCAGGGGGCTCTTGATGATGGAGGAGAGATAGCGGGTGACTTCTGCCTTGCGCTGACTCGCCAGAGACTCCTGCTCCTCGATGATCTCGGAGCGACGACGCTTGTGGTTCCAGATAGGAGGGCTGAGTTCAAGAGTCTGGAGTACGTCTGCCAACTGCGTGTAGCTGGGACGTTCCCACATCTGGGGGAAATCAAGAGCTTCGATACCCATGATGAACGATTTGAACACTCCTGTGCTTTCTCAAAGTATTTTTCTTAAACCCCGACGAATCTCGAGAAGCCCACTCAGCGTGAGTATCACAGTTGAGAAAGATGTGTCGGTGTGGCAAAAAATAAAAAAAGAGTTAAAGGTGAAGAAAAGTGTCAGAGATGCGAGACTTTGGTCAGAAAATTGTCCAACGTGCCCTCAACAAGAGCACAAGAATTTAGACTATGCAGACATATCGGACACACCATGAGTCTAGAACATTGATAGTGAGTGATAATGATAGTTTCCCCTGAATATTTTACAGGTCTACGGTATCCGTACAAGTTTGACAATCCGGGGAAACAGAAGGAACCCACATCTGACTCACTAAGACACTCGCGACTAACAAGAACACTAACAATTAAAATACAAATTTTAAGAAAAGTTGCAGTCTTTTTACTAACATCTAATTGGGTCAAGTTCATTTGCCTATCATGTCTTGTCCTTTTTTACCTGGACGCATAGTCTAAGCCACACATGATCTTGCACAGCCACAGGGACTCTTGAGCAAGCAGAGATCGGCGTAACTGTAACCCGCAACCCACGTGGCTGACTGGCCAGGGGAAGGGGAAAGAGCTATGAGCACAATGGAACTTCCAGTTTCGTTTCTCCACTGCCTTCCCGATTGGTCGCCCTAACATTTTTATTCTTAATTATCTTTATCTTTAAGATCATCCTTGTTCTTGCATGTAAAACTCCAACCAAGAAATCCAATACAATGTCTATCCAAAACCCAAGTATTACCCAAACAAGACATATTCTCAATATCAATATCATGCGTAGAAAGACCCTTCTTAACATAATCACCACAGCTCTCCGCTCTTCCATCCCTTGAACAAATGTTCCTGCACAGGCCCCTCCGGACTCGCATACATCTTTGCGTTCTTCAGCTCAACAACCAGAAACCGACACGCCTGCCAGTCCCCCATAGCCTTCCCGGCCAATCTCATAACCTCGCCACAGCTGCTCTGCAGGGCCTTGAAGCTGTGCTGAAACCGTGCTTCCAGATCCGCGTTCTGCAGCCAGGGCATCGCAACCGCCATTTCGACCTGCCGGAGAAGCAGTGAGATGTTTGTCTTTGTTGACATGAACGACTCACGCGTGGGACTATCGCGACGGCTAGTCCAGTCGTTCCAGAGCCACTGGCGAAGCGCTTCGTTGGTGGTGTCTTGGCCTTGACGTTGGTGCTCGTGTCCAAACTCCACGAGCTGCGTGTTGTAAAACACGGACGCTTCATGAAGGAAATCCGAAAGTTGCTTCAGGGCGATCCGCGGCGGGAGACGATCTCCTCCCTGTTGAGCAGCTTGGACATCGTCGTACGAAAGATAGCTATCACTTGAGCCATCACTTTCAAAGGCCCTTGAGTGGCGCGATGCCCGACGTCGTCGACGGCAGCAGGAGGCGGCGTGGGCAGGTGCTGGAGCGGCATACATCTGGCTGTAGTGATCCTCCGACACACGAACAGGCTGCTGCTGCTGCTGCTGCTGCATAGTTCTGAGTGGAGTCTGAGGAACTTGGTACAAGTATCCTGGGTCTTGGAAGTAAGTCCCTGAAGCCCCAGTGGCATCCACGAATTGCGAGCGTCTGGATGTCATTGTTGAGGACGGTGACTTGTTGCTTTGAGTGAAATTGAGTAGAGAGAGGTAAAGATAGAGGTAAGTTGTTGAAATAATGCAATTCTACACAGGATATTTATACATCTTTTTCATCCAAGTTTGTCTTTACACCTATATGCATGCCCCAGGTGAATTCAACTAATATTAATCCATTGTCCTCAGAAGGTAGTTATGAGATGCCATATTCACCACTAGGTACCTTCACTGTCTTTATCACTTATATGCAAACCTCTTTGACCGCAGCAAGATGCATAAACCACATACAAAGGGAGAGCAAAAACACTGTACTACCGACTGTAAAAAGAACCCACCTTCGTACATAATAACACGAACCATCCTTTGCTCAACAAGCACTACTTTGAACAAATGCACCCTAAGAGATCACCCGCTATTTGCCAATCCTTCTTTATTCAGAGGGTCCTGAATCAGCTCACACTAGGTACCCAAGCCATTCAAGCCATTCATTCGACCCACCAAACATTAGACCGACTTCCAAGTACCGCCCAATCTGGTAAATCCCACGTAAATCACGCACCTCTATCATCAATCACATGCGCCTCACGTCATAGTAGTGCTTTCATCTTACCATGTGCCGTATCCGTACTCTCAATAGGTACTCATACATACAGTACAGTAAAAAGATTAGTATACTGACTGGCCAATTTTCATCCTAGGCCATCCATGTGTCACTCGGTGCCATTCTTTGTATCAGTTTCAATTTCAATATTTTCTGTATTGTATGGCTTTTGTTCTGCCTGCTATGGCCGCCTGCCTTGGCTTGGCTAGGCCTGTCTGATCTTTTCATGTGGTATCAAATAACGATGCAAATATCAAGGAGAGCTATGTTCCTATCCGACATGCTCATGTTCATGCAATTCCTGTTTTCCCAATGCACAATCCGAAATGCAGCTGTAAAAAAGTGTTCCGGTCGTGATGCTATACGCCGTTGAAATCAAATCCCCACGGACTTTCCTGTCCTGTGATATTATCCACTCCACTTAGCTCCTCCCAGGAGGGCATTCGTTGTAAATCTCCATCTTCATCGTTTTCAATCGGTCTCTCATTTCCATGAGATGACCCAGCTTCCTGCTTGAAGGGTTGTCCAGTGCAGAAATCTCGTGATGCAACGCCTCGTACTTCTGGTAGCAGACTTTGAACGCCTGTGCCTTTTCCACGAGGTCATCGGAAAAGCTTGCTGCTGCTGATCGCTTCGTCATAGATCCCTTGCCCATGCCCTCGATCCTGCGCTTCTTCGTGATAATTGGCGCAGGTGGTGCTTCGTTCTCGAGATCCGAAGCGTTGGTGGGTGGTGACGAGGCCAAAGGCGATGACTTTGTCGGGGACGTGTTCTTGCTCTTCATCGAAGTAGACGTGATCGTCCCGCGAGAGTTCTGGCTCGCATCAGATGGTCGGTGGTTGAGTCGGGAACCAGCAAGTGGTTGCTTCGGCTTAATGCGTTTGGATAAGGGCGTTCCAGAGCTCGAGCTCGAATCGTCATCTTCGCGAGGTCGCTTGGCTGTAATCTGTTGCTTCATCGGCTCCCTCATTACTGGTCGGGGTTTGGCAACAACCGTCTCCTTCACCTTGGGTGCTGGTCTGGGCGCAGCCTTTGGCTTCGGCTTCGACTTGATCATAGGTGCTGCATCATCCTCCGAAGAGTCTGAATTGGAAATGATTGCAGCCGACAAAACCCTTCCACCGTTTGCCTTGGGAGCAGCCGCGGGTCGTGGCTTGGTGGGTGACGCCTTGGTAGAAGATACTTTGGACGTGGGCTTAGAGGATGCCACCGATACCGATGTCTTGGTCTTGGATTTACCCAAGAGACGCTTGACCTGAGCCTCCTGGGCACTAGGCTTCTTGGGCTTACCAGAAAGAGGATTGGAGGTAGATCGCGACATAGCCTCGCCTCCAACTCTTGCCCGATTGGCATCTTGAGAATCCCCACTGTCTCGAGGGGTAGAGCCGCCGTCAGCCATCTCAACATTGATGGATGGCGTACTAGTCTTTGTGATTTTGGCCTGTACACGGCTGAGGCTCTTTCCAGTTCCTCGCTCCTCCTTAGGCAGCAGTCTGTCCCACTCAGGTTCAGCAATGGTGATTCTCTGCTTGTCGTATTGCCGAACAGCGTTGTCGATCGCCTTCTGTCGTACTTCTTGGGTATCATAATCGTAATTCCAAACATCCAGGTCTTTCCATGTTCTCTTCTTCGGCGACCATTTCTTGGTATCCTCGAGGTAATCGGCAATCTTTCGAAGTGCAGGCTCCAAGTCTTCCTGCTTGCCTTCCCACTTCTTAGCCAAATAATCGATGGAGCGGTCTTGCACAGCAAGCTCATGCACCAGCATGGCTCGATCCCCCTTGGCTCTGTCCGGAACTTGTGGTGCTGAAGGGTTGGGTGTGTTAGAGCCTAGCGAAACTTGGCCCGGAGATTGAGGAATCGATCGTGGTGCCGTGGTGAGTAGCTTGCTCTTGGTCTTGGTTGCGCTTTTCTTCGCTGGTAACTTGTCGACCACGCGAGCCCTTCAACAAACGTCAGTATGGGTAATCTAAAACAAAAGGCAAGAGAGACCGACTTCTCCCGAGAAGCAGCATGAGCCGCAAATCCATTTTGAAGAGCCTCGATGTCAGAGTCCAATCCTGAGGACGGTGCGCTCTTGCTGGACTTCGCGGCCTTTGCATCAATGGTCTTGTCGGCCTTGCCAGCCTGAGCCTTCTTCGAGGTAGCGCCCGTAGGCTTTTCAAACAGAGAGCCGGTGTGGATGATCTTTTCGGCAGTTCGAGTCGATTCGAATGGACGTGTGAGGTAGAGGTCGTATTGATTTGAGTCGGAAGGAGGAGCAATGACGTGTGATTTAGAACCGTAGAGTAAGGTCTGGCGCGCGGGTCATATTAGCAACCGTAAACATAAACCCAAATGTCTCAAGCCGCTATCTTCTTTGATTCGCGGTAAATAGACAGGCTTCGGGTTGTCAAACTTACAGGGTTAGCTCCAAGAGCAAGTTGAATGCCGTCGCCATTCTGCACGCATTTGATCATGTCCTCAATAAGGACATCGCTCAAGGAGAGTGCAAAAGCCTGCGAAGGCAGAGTGGCATCCTTGCCAGTCGAGCCCTCCAGCTGCAGCCCGCTTTCTGGAACCTTGAGGGAGTTCATGTTGGAGTCTATCACGAGCCGCGGTAGGCCGTGGGGTGGGAAATGTCGCGGAGTTGTATGTTGTGTCGATCAATGCAGGAGCAGGGTGGAAGCTTGACGTTTGAGCGATCGAGTTCGTGGATTGTGATATGTAGATTCAATGTTGAGAATCCTGTGACTGGGAGGGAGAGAGTTCGCCAATGAGGAAAGTTTGAAGAGAAAATCGTGAGGAGCGTTGTCACATTGTCATCCAGCAAGGTGAGCCGAGAGTGAGGCCGCTGTTTTGATGAGTTGGGCGTACAAACACCGGAGAATGGAGGCCCTTCTCTCCGATTCAGGAGGACAAAGACGAGCGCTGGGCGTTTGTCACTGCCAGCAACAATGATCAACACCGCAAACGCACAAAGAAGCTCCAACACCCTCTGTGATTTGCAACTCTCGTCGAGAAGCAAAAAACAAGTTGAGGGAGAAAGAGTTGATGGAGGGCGGAGACGATGAGGGAATGAGACGGGCAGTGGCAGTGGCAGTGGCAGCGGCAGCGGCTGGCGAGAGCCCAGGAAGGAGCGACAAGGACGGGAGACGAGGGTGTACCAAGGCACTGCGTGCGGAAGGGACTGGGGGAAAGGTACCGTACCGTGCCTACCTTCCTTACCTTACTTGACCTTACCTGACGGGCGGGAGTGGGTGCGGCCAAACAGGGAAGTTGACCGGGGATGAAGGATGGCGCCCCAGTGCCCTAGCAGTGGCAGCGAAGCAGCGCAGTACAGCGCAGCAGAGTAGGTACAGCACAGTACTCTAATTTTGGGGTCCGACAGCGCAAAGCATCCATTGCCAGCACCTTCACTCGAGCAGGGAGACGGTCTCCTTCACGGGTGTGCCAAGTTACCCGCACGGTACGCTACGGAAATTCGTCCGGGGTGTCAGTACTTTATAGCTACTCAGAGCTCTACAGAGGCTTCAGTGATGGGTGTCCGCTGAAGATGGTGTGGCTTAGGGGCTGACGAATTTTGTTGCTGCTGAAACGATGTCTGCTACAGCGCCAAACTCAGAGCTATCTACTCGACCAAATGTTCCTCTCCAGTACTCAGACTTCTTCAGCTTGGCTAGCGTCCACTGGGGCCGTGGCTGCGGTGGCGTGCCTGGTGGTGCGCCTGATAGTGCATGTGTTGGAGTCGACCGGTCAAGGTCTCCTCAGGAGTAGATGTCAAGTAGCCATCGTCAGCTGATGTCAACTGTAACGCCCTGGAAGCCGCCCTGTAATAGCTCCGATCCATGATCCAATACCTGGCAGCAACATTTACGGCGATGAGCGGGTCGAGTACCACGAGAGGCCCACAGCAACGAAGTGAGGTGGTGGATGCATGCAAGGCGTTGTGCTAGTCGAGTAAACTCGTCCCAGAAATGGAAAGCCAAAGGGTTCCTCCCGTCCCGTTCGCCGGTCCTTAGATCAAGGTCAAGGTCAAGATCTTGCTTGTTCATCTACGCATTTAGATGTGAGGTTTTCTTTGAGGTGAACTTGGGGAGAGCGGGAAAGGAACCAAGAAGGCGAGACGAGACAATGGTGCCTCTTCAGATTGTCGCATCTTGTTTTGTTTTCACGCCCCAATTGGTTGTCAGGTTGTCAGGTCGTCAGCCCAGAGAACGGGACATGACGGGCTGGATCCAGCGGACAGGTTGAACTACTACCTCTAGCGAACGAACGATCCATTCTGAATGACCCATGGCAAGACATCAAGGGCTCGGAATGGAGGTCACGGCGGATCTGTCATCCGGCCGGGGGGGTCGTGGCCGTGGCCGAGCCGTGGATGGGATAGGACAGGATGGAATAGGATGGGACGCTGATGTTTGCCATTTCCATCTGGTCTGGTGTGTTTAGGCCTCATCCATAAACAGCTGGCCGGGCAGTCGGTCTGAGATCAGAGGATTGGAACAAAACTTGCTGAAACAAAGCGTAGCTTGAAAGAACTCGCCTGGGGGTTTCAGCCATGGAAAACTTTGATGAGGCTTGAAATCAAGCCCCTTTCCTATCAATGACTTCTCCCTTGGAATGGAACCTCTCTCTAATAATAAACGATCTTTTTATTATCAACGCTATGTCCAATCTCATCTTCTCTTGTCGTGCCTGCAATAATAATAATAGCGCGAGGTCAAACCCCCATATCCATCTCATCCCAGGTGACCCCCCTGTCGCCGCGCTTCCAACAAGCCGGCAACGGATCCATGACCGTTTTTATGGAACTGGTGACTCTGTTTACAGTCAAGTCGAAGGTTCCATTGAGCAGAAGCAGGTGGATTGTTAAGCAGAGAGTATTCGTCGTTCTGATTCCTGCCTGATTATGAAAGCGAAAAAGAAAGGGAAATGGAGTCAAGAAGAGGGGACTTTACTGAACCCTGTTTCTTCCAGTCGAGCAAGATGAGGCTAGGCCCCAAGTATCTTCGGCGAACACACAGGCTAGACAGGACAGCCAGCCACTGGAAAGTGAGTGATGCGAGGTACAGACTAACTACAGCACAAGGACGCTGCCACATGGCGACCGCCAGCCGATCGAACTTGTAGTTACCGAGTGCTATCCACGACGGTCCCAGGGTCCTCGCGTTGATTCTCGCACCCATGTTCCTGCGAGGCAGACATTGGCTCAAATCATTGATACCTCTCTCGTACTACGTTGCGCCGAGTCGCTGGTCATTGCCATTTATTGAGGCAGCGCGATAGATTCGTCCATGTCTCTAAAGCTCGCTCATCTCGGCGGCGACCCCGTGATCTGCTGTCAGCTCAGCATAATACGACCACCACGGCTGTCTGAGGTGGTTTCTGGAGAGGCTGGTTGAGGAGCAAACGGAAGCGTATGTTCCAGGTACCGTTCTTGTCTCAACCCTTTTGGGCTCCCGATGATGTAGATTCAGTTAGCGAAAGTGCCAGGCCAGGGCTGCATGGAAAGAAAAGAAAGACTGGACCCCGGTGAGTGACTCTACAGTCGTATGTGGCTTACAGATTGCATGTCGGGCTGTCCGTTTCCAGTTTCCATGGTAGAAAAGGGCTGAGCCATGCTATTTTCCGCCCACGTCAGCCTGTGACGCCGACTTTGAGTCTGTCGGGACTTTATTACGACCCTTGAAGTTTAATGCAATCCTCTGTCGCAGAGATTCGTATTGCTATTCAACATGAGGACGAGTTTAATCGAGGCTCATCGAAGGCTGTGTAAATGGGACTAAAGAACCTTCCATCGCCAATCATCTGCTGCTACCCTACTTCGACTGGCGTGGTCGGGACCTTGCAGATGAGTTGGTCGTTGATTGCCGATCATTCTAGTGGATCAGGGTCTACCAGAGGAAGTGAATAATGGAAGTTATGTACCATCACGAAAGAAATATCAATACGAGTATATATTACTGGCAGTATGATAATTGTTCGAACAGGATATGCGAATATTAAATCGTATGTTGACCTAATTAAATAGATTGGCGTGTGAACCTTATGCTTATTATTTGTAGCGAATAAATAGGAATCGTATCTGTAATTTCACGTTATATTCGGCCTCATGTCATGTCATTACCCGGTGATCAATTGATCAGAAGCCATCAACAGCAAGCCATCTGTTGAACATCACCAGCAACAAACCATTTGATTCCTTCTCACAACATGTTAACGCAGATCTCCCCTAATATCAGGACCGCTCCTAGCCGCCGTAGATGGATACAACAGAAAGGGAGCACCCGCTCCTCCGCTCCGCAATGCGGGGAGAAGCCATATCGAAGAAGGGAAAAAGCAGGATTTAACCACCGAAGAAGCCGGGCTCTGTAGCCGAACAGTACGAAATAGACAAACACAAACAAACAAAAAAGAGCGCATCTCTCCGATATAGTCCGGTTGCAGATGGATCGTACTGCAGGATCGAGCAGCAGTATCCGTACATACACGTGCATATCCCCATCGAAAACACTCACTCACACTCGACAACATGCCCCGCCCCCGCAACGCCGGCTTCTTCTGCAACTCCACAAAGCCGACAGTTCTCCTTATGGATAATTGAGACTTTATTGCTAACTATCATACGGATACATGCAGAAGAAACTGCAGTTTACCGCTTCGTGATGACATTCATCTGCATTTGTCGAGGTTTGACCCTGGTTGCAATGTAGTTCTGTACCCGGTCCTCTCGTAAATTTCGTACCACCTCCAGCGCTTTGATGGATTGAATTTAAACTTTTCGTTTAAAAGCAAACCGGTAGATTTTTGCTTTCTCAACGGTTCACTTGACTTGACTTGACCGCCCCTCCCAATCACATCAACAGACCTCTTTTCTCTTATCCCGTACACAATTCTCACAAGCTTCACTGTCGAGCCGAGCTCCGACGTAACAGAGTTTACTCCGTGGTCACCAGTATTCCCCTCGCTGTTATTTCCTAGAAAGCGTATGGCTTTGAGATAAGGCTGCCAGGCTCAAATACAATTGCTATCATTCCCTCAACAGTCCTCCAGCGAATTCCTTCCAGAACCTCGAGTCCACGAATAGTAGCCTCCTAACAGCTGTAGGCTGTAGCTGGGTCCCCCGACCAGGATCACTCCGCCGGGGCACTAGACGGAAGACCCTGGCAGACATGGGGGTACCGCTGTGTGTTGTGCAACAAGGAACAAGGATGGTGATGTGCCATGGAAGAGGAAGACGTACCTTTTTGGGGGTGACGCGCCTCACTTGGGTTGCAGAAGCACATCTCAGTGAGGCATGATCGCTGACATCACTGTCTGTGGCCTCCCGTTGCGGCAGCAGATCAGATCCCATAGCCCTTTGCATCCTGCTCTGCTCTGCTGGACATTTGTGAGACTTTATTGAGCTTGGCGAGGTAATTGTGGTGTTTGAAAAGGGGTTCTAATTGGTGAAACTCTTCCGTTTTGTCACTTTATGCGCCAGCCTTTTTCCAACTCAACCAGACCGCCGGCCATGCTGTCTTTGCTGTACTCCGTACAAAACCACCTACTGTACGGATACCTAGTTACATACTATTATCGAATCGTATACGCATGCCGCTCTCACCGTCAAAAGACCTTACTCTGTATGTGTTGGGCAGGTCTAGCGCTATTGTAGAGATGGTCACGCTGGCAGGATGGCTCCGGTCTTCCAGACTCGAGACTCACCAAAGCTCCTCTCTCCGTCTCGCCTCGCCTCGCCTCGCCTGGACTTTCAGGGACCGTCTGATGTCGAACTAGTTTGTACTACGTACGGCACATCTGCCAATGTCCCGGAGGATGGGTCCTTACTGTCCCGAGGTTTGTCAACAACAGACCGCTAATTAGTACCCCAGTGTCTAAGGGGAGATGCGGTTTGTGCGACAAGTGAGGCAAAAACAAAAAGAGACAAAACTTTAATACTATAACAAAAGATATTTCATTAAGAAAATACATAGTGGACCCCATGGTTCATATGCATGCGATCGCGCCACGGCCGCTCGTATCTATCGAGGCTTCGCTGACATCTTCCTTTTGCCTAGCCGATACGACTACAGTACTGTGCTGTGCAGGAAAGAACCTGGAATGTCTCACAATTGACGTCTGGCTCGTGACCAACCTGAGTCTGGTGCTTAGTGTCTGGTGTTTGGTTTTATAAAAACATTTTATAGCCATCAACAGTATCCGTGGAATTATTAACATTGGTCTCAATAAGGGGAAACAGTACCTGTAACAATGACTGTGTCGATATCTCAGCCCCTTCAGGCACAAACAATCAAAAACTCTCAGCAATGTAATTAAAGGCAGTCGAAACAAACAGAAGGGGATCTACGGAGTATCTCCTCGGTGATTCAGGTGGGAAATCTAGGATTAGGATTCCACAGGGTCATCCAAAGGGACCCGCCGACTATCCGATTTCCATCCATAATGGACAAGGGTGATATGATCCCTGACATGACACTCCTACGACTGTCCTCTGCAGGTTCACTGGGTGAATATGGGCGCTTATTTGCCTCAGCATTTCCTTCTGTCACTTATGGCTTGAGTGTGATTCTACAAATAAACCTCTAGGACTGTTAGGATCGCTTCGAATTGATTGAGTTGATCCTTGAGTAGGGAGCTGGGCTATTGAAAAGCGTCTTCAGAGCATCACGATTGGATGCCAGCAGCTCGCATTCAATAAAACGGGAGGATATCACCAAGGGCGGTCTCTACAACACCACATGTATATTTCAATAATGTGATTATACAATAGT